ACGAAATTTCTAAATTATAAAACTATTCTAATTATATATTAATTTCTTTTCTTGTACTAATTATACTAATTAAACTAATACAATTAGTATTCTTGTAATACTAGCTCTATTAATTGGGCTAATAAAGCTAGCATATCATATAACTGATCCTGAAGCCTCTCATATCCCAAGGTCTTTCCTTTCCTGGAATATTTGTTTTAAAAGCTTTTCTTTTAGAAATTATAATTTTAGAATATAATATCTTTTAGAATGATAATTTTATTACAATTAATTAGGTAGAATATTTGTTTTATTCTATTATAATTGTTTAGGATACTTATCTTAGGAATCCTGGGGTTCTAGGCTTAAGTAATCAGGACCCCTGAAAGCAATAGTTAAATCATATCCTTCTTATAGTCGGCCTACAAATCACCGATGTAAATAATACTACTATAAAGAAAACCATGAATCGTGATAATTATATTTCTTAATTTATAAAATACTAAGGATAATTATATATCTATTTAATAATATTAAATCCATTTTGATCTATTCGATATATCTATTTAATATAATCATCTTGATAATATTAGTTTCTTTATATATTTAATTATCAATTTCAGTTTTTTTTCTTTTTAATAATATCAATTAGTAAAGATTCTGTTTTAATTCTATAAGAATTTTATTCTTTTTTATGAAGTTGGGATTTATAAATATATTTATAATTTCAGAATCAACCAAAATATTGATTTGTTGATTTTCTAATTTGACTTTTACAATCAGTTATTCGATTTCTATAATACTATTGAGTTCTAACAATAATAGTTCGATAATTTGTTTTCCGATAAAAAGATTCAATTATTCTTATTAATATTCATTTATACTCAATAATCAATAAGATATAATAAATAATAATTCTATTGATTCTATTTAGAAATTTCAACAATAATTTCGGTTTGATACTTTTTTATTATCTTTATCGATCCTTTATTAGATATAACGAATCTCAATTTATAATAAGATTTTTTATACATCCTCAATTTCCAAATCATATTTGTTATATTCCTATACTTTATTAAAGAATAAAGAATTTATATTTATAATATATCTTCTAACATTACTTACTTTAATATTTTTCTTAAATACTATATAATAAATATCATTATATATTATTATATAAAGTATTAACAAAATAAAATAATTATAAGTTTTATATTTCTTGATAAAATCGGGTTTCTTTTCTTTGTAATAATATTATATCTATTTCTTATCTAGATAATTGATTAAATATTATAATTCGTTTTCTTAAAACAATTAACAAAACTCAACTAATCATTAATCCTTCTCGAATTCTTCAATTGGTTTTTTATCTTTTAATTCGAAATTTTTTAAAAATTCTCCTTTATAATCGATACTATTCTCAATACTGATTTTAAGGTTTTGATTATTGATATTCAATTCCTTTAATTATTCGAGATTGAATTGAAATAGATCTCTTTCCAATAATCCTATTTCCTTCGAATTTCCTTCCAAGATCCCTACTTTTCGAGAATCTTATCTTTTGTTCCCAAATCTCATTTATTTTCTATTCTTTGTAGTAAATAGTTTCTTTTTTTGAAAATAATTTCGGAATATATATTTGTTTTTTTTATAGATATAATATAAGTTATTTTCCCTATATCTTTTCTTCTTATCAATATTTAAATTGCTTGATTTTATATAACATTGTTCAATACTATTCAATTCCATTAGATTGTTAATATTATAATACCTATTCTGACAATAAAGTTTTTGAAACTTTTTATTTTCTTAAATAATTTCTTTCTTCTTTATTCGTCGTTTATAAAATCAATTATCAATAAAAATAAAGGTTTCGATTAATTCAAAAAGATTAGATAGTTTCGAAATTTTTGTTAATTCGTTCTTGATGATATCCTTCAATTCTTTATAGAATTATAATTTTAGATAATCATTATTCTATATAATACGCTCAATATATTATTGAAATTTGATAATATAGATTATAACTAATCCAATCTGTTTAAATTATTATAATACTCTTTCAACTATATAATCAAGGTCTACTTCCCCAAATACCCTATCAAATCCCTATTTGAATAATTCATAATTGAGAAAGAAATAGTGAATCTCAGATTTCATATTCTCATTCAATTGATTATCGATAGTCTTAATTATTAGATCATTGAAAAATGATTCAATCCAATTGAATACAGTTTTACAAAAAAAGAAGATCAATTACAAAATCTTTTATATAAAAATTAAAAAAAATTGTTTATTAAAAATATAATAAAAATCAATTTATACAATAAAAACTTGATACTTATTATAATCTCTATAAAATAGATCAAGAATGGATATCTGAATTGTTTGTTTGTATTTTATAATAACGGCAATCTAAACAAGAACTCCGATTAGATTGAATGGAGACAATTCGATAGATTACTGATTGGAAGCTATTGTACTATATATAGCTTAATCATAACAATACTCAAAGTGTAACGATCTGATTAGAACAACAATTGTCTTAGGGTTTCATCTAATTGATAATTATAAATTAAGACTAATAATCATTAGTTATTTATTCGAAGATAAATATATTATTAAATCAATTGGAATATAAATAAACTAATTGATAATTAAATTGAATACAAAGCTTCTAAACTATGAAACTATTCTGATTATATATTAATCTCTTTTCTTATATTAGTTATACTAATTGGGCTAGTACGGCTAGTATTTCTGTGATATTAGTTCTGCTAGCTGGGCTAGCAGAGCTAGTATATTATGTGATTGATCTTGAGGCCTTTCATATCCCAAGGCCTTTCCTTTCCTGAAACATTTGTTTCAGAAGTTTTTTCTTTAAGAACCATAGTTCTAGGATACGATATCCTTTAGGGTGATAATCCTATTACAACCAATTAGATAGAACACTTATCCCATTCTACTATAGTTGCCTAGGATACTTTATCCTAGGAATCCTGGGGTCCTAGGCTTAGATAATCAGGACCCCCGAAAGCAACGGTTAAATCACACCCCCCTTGTAGTCGGCCTATAAATCACCGACGTCAATAATACTACTATAAAGAAAACCGTGAATCGTGACATTGTAGATGATCAAGCCCCTCTGAAAACAACGATTAAATCACACCCCTTTAATAATCAACATCTAAATTATTGATATCAATAATACTACTATAAAGAAAACTATAAATCGTGACAATTACTTCAATAATCATTATAGTATATTTCTTTTATAAAGGATTCAAAGTTAAAAAAACAATTAAAATTATTATTGAATTCTATCATTTCTTAATGATTTCAAATTCAAGGGATTTGTATAGTATTAATAATTAGAATATAATTTTTTATATTTTCTATAGATATAATATTACAGAAATTACATACTTTTATATAATCTTTAATATTATAATACTTATTCATTTATGTTTTCTTTATATTTGATTTGTATTATATAATTATATTGATTTTATTACTTTTTACAAAACTCTATCTATTTAATCTACATTCTTATCAAGATAATCATTAGTTAAATAATAAATTAGATCTTATATATATAAGCTCTTGATCAATAAAATCAAGGATAAATTTATTCACTTCAATATAACTTTATATACTTTTATATATTGTAAAAATGGTAGGTCGAGATACGTGCGTCCTGATAGCATGCTGTGAGGAGGGAATTGGAAGAGAAAGCTGAATTAGATTACATTGTAATATATCATTTATGGGTAAAACGGGGTTCACAATGGTTTTGGGGTTGATGCTATATGGGTTCAAATATATATATGTAGAAGGTTGATTATTGTGAAAAGAAGAGGCAAAAAACTCTTCTTTTATATCTAATTACAGAAGGTCATGTGATTGACTAGTTAAAACCTTTATATATTTGGTCTATAATTCTAACTTTTTTATAATATTATTCTTTTTAAGATTGTTTATATACTTTGTAATCATACTATCTGTGATAAATATTAATATATAATTAATAAAATATTTATTAAAAATTAATTAAATTAAATTTATATATAAATCTTATATAAATACAAATATAAATACAAAAATTAAAAAATTCAATATTTAACATCTCAATTAATAAAATCATCAAAAAGTTTACAATTTTCAAAATTTATTATTATTTTTAATAAGAAAAAATAACTTAAATTAAAAATGATCTAAAAAGAGACTATTAGATTTAAATAATTCAAAAATAAAAAATAAAAAATAATCTAAAAGTAAAATAAATCTTTAATTTATTTATAATATTATATATTAGAATTTACATATATATAATCTCATATCCTCCTTTTAAAATCATTAATTCTTTTCAATCAAGATCAATTAAATGAAGTGAAGTAAAGTGAAGCAAAGAGAAGAAAAGTCAAGATAAATCAACTCAGGTGTTACAACCACAGATCTTATACTAGCCGATCGTGTGCTTACGAGATACGATTTGATCGATTTAGTATAGGATTAAGATGGTATAAGGAACAAATATATATAGGCCCTGTTTACCTGAGATCCAGTTGATAGCAATTATAGAATTATATAATTAGGGGATCATATAATAGAGTGTTGGAGATTCGAAGGCTCCTACGGCTTCAATAGAGTATTAAAGGTTTGAAAACTTTTATAGTTTCTAAGAACGAAGATCTATAACCAGAAAGGATTCCTTATTGTAAAGTTTCGTGTTCAAAATTAATCATTTAGTATACTCTACTATTAGTTACGAATTGCAACTATTGATATTATTTTAAAAACCCCTGCTTGACACCTAGTTATAAACCCTTCTAGGATCCAGGTCACTTCCACGTGATCTAGATCGCAACCCTCGTAACATCAGGTCATCCAATTTATAACTACTCTACCTCTCAATCCCTCACTCCGTTACCACTACACCTCACCAAACACAAATCCACAATCAAGACATCAAAAATAAACTTGTATATACCTAAGTAATCAAGAGTATAACAATAAATAGGTATAAGCCAACCCAAGCCAACCAAAGGCAATCCAATCAAAAACGCTTCTTCACCCATCGGCGACAAGAACTCTCGGTATCATCCATCCATCCATCCATAGACGCCTTAATAAACCAGCGCAGCGCAATTCAAGCCAGTCAACAAGCAAGAAAAAAAAACCAAAAAAAAACAAGATAGATATCACCACCCAATAGCTATAGATATTCAATTCATTACTCATAACAGCCGTGACTTCTCAACGAAGAAAAGAATAGATAGAGATGATAGATAGGTAGTCGAGGTATAAATAAGAAGAAAAAATGCGCCTGCCTATCTAAATCTGACTTCCAAAACAATTCATCAATTCATCTGATCAAATTGATGAATTGCCAAAATTAATGAACAAGTAGAAAAGAAAAAGGAAAAAGGAAATTATAATCACACCTTACTCGAACCATACCATTACGAATAGAGTAGGAATAATACCTAATTGAAAGACAAAGAAGAATCATAAGGAAAATTTACAGCATTGACACCAACAAGAGATGGGTCATCGAAAACTTGAGGAAGTGAAGAGGTAGTATCAAAGAATGCCACTGATGGGTCATTCATGGGGAAGGAAGAAAAGTCAAAATTTGTTTGACCTGCAAAGTTCATTGATAGATCAATGTCATGTTGCATCGAATTGTCGAAAGTGATGTTGCTGACGAAATTTTGAGTATTGGCCGTAGGATATAGACCAAGCATTGAAGGACCATCCGAAGTATTTTCGAAATTAGTTGGTGCGTTAATAACTGGCGATAAATCGTTGAGCATATGTTCGTTCATGTCTTCTTCATCATCGTCCTCCTCTTGCTGGGTGTAATCGGCGGCTGGTTCTTCCACTTCTTTGAACCAATTCTTCAACTCCGACATGGGAGGCCAATCCCCTCCAGCCTTCCCACCACGCTTTTGAGAATCATCAACCTTACTACTCTTATTTCTACCCTTAGCCTTTGGCTTGAAATGTGCCCTTCTGAGATGTGCAGCAGCGTTATAGTATGCTCCATACTTCTTCTTCTGTGTTGAGCATGCTTTGCATTTTGAGAGTGGTAGCACAGGCTTTTCGCGCCCTTGACCGCTGGGTGGTTCAATGCAAACCCACTTCTTCACCATTCTTTTATGTTGTCGATCGCAATGTCTTCGAAGCTCATGTTCGCCACGAAATCCATCAGGGTGTTCATCACACAATTTGCAAAATACACGTTCGTGTTTTGGTCGTTGATAAGCACGTTTTTCGATAGCAACCTTATCATTTGACCCATCTTTCGAATCAAGTCGAGTCATTGATTGTGACGAGTTGACTCGAGACATTGAATTATCTTCATAGCCACCTTTAGGCATGAGTGGTCGTGCAGCGGCCATGTTACTGACTTGTAGCCGCTGCTTATTGCGAGATGATGATGTCATGGTCGATGAAACACTTTCAACCGACTGTGACTTTTCCATCTTAGCACCAAAAGATGGAGAAATTTGAGACTGAGCAAATGCTTCCGTACTAGGAAAAGAAAGAGAAAACTGAGAATCATTGCCAACACCACCAGCCCCAACAAGTAGTTGAGTCTGTTCCTCGTCGGAAGACCGACGAATATGATGAGGAGAACTATACTGAGGAGCAGCGGGATAAACAGGATCATCATTATTGATGCCTGTAGAAAAGGAGTTGTTCGAATTGAACTTCATCATTTCAATACTTTCCACCAAAGGCTCATTAAAGAGACTATTTTGTCGACTCATGTTACTTGTGTATGTAGTCGCATCGGTAAGTGTTGCAGTGGTAGGTGTACTTGGCACGTTGAACGACTGTCGAGATTGCCGTTGTTGCATTGGCATGGAAGAATGCATGGTTACAGGAGAGGGCGTGATCGAGAACACTGGTGTTGGTGAGACACCGGCAAAGCCGGTACGGAGGAGAAAGTCACCGGGATTCTCAAATCCTTGTTGGGGATCTTCTAAAACTTGTTCTAATTCCGGTTTTCGTTGAGGCATGGATCGCTGGAGAGGAGCGGAAGTTTGGTGCGAAAATGTGTAAGAGCTGTAGGGCTGGTCTTGATTGACCCAAGCTTCAAAGGCGGGGTTACATCGGCGGAGATCACTTTGGAGTGGAGGAGGCATCGCGCCATTTTGGGTGAACGGGAGTCTTCCGGAATGTGCGGACGTACTGCCCATGGAACTCGTTCGCATCATTACAGGCTCAGATTGTTGAGACATCGCCCGCGATATCACCGGTGCTTCAATCCCATCCTAAGTATCGTTAGAACCAACTCGGGAAGGAAAACCAAGGAGAATTTCCTACAGAAGATGGGTGTCGTGCCATGGAAGTTCCACTGCTCGACATGCTTCGGGGAACATTATGTCTTCGTTGTGTTTGTTGCTTGTATATTGGTGATCTGTGAGTTGGAAAGGAAGACGATAAGGACGAAGAACCGGATGTGAGGGAAGCGATTTGGGCTTGAATCTGTTCTTGCTGTGCCAGAAGGAATTGTAGCTGATCTTGATCTACCGAGGTATTGAGCCTCAGTTGGGACGACATAGCAAATGTTTATTTAGAGTTGATCAGATAGTCTCCAAGAGACTTTTCGAATGCTTGGTGTATGATAGTGGAGAAGGTTATCGTCGTTTGTAACGTTATCTGTAGCCTCACATAATTAGTAAATAATGGTATGATCACCAGCATATTTGGTACATGAGTGGGTGCAGCAAAGAGGAGTTGGGGATGATGAACATTAGAATCCATGACATACGTGTATGGATGAAGGATGCAAGTAACAATGTTAGGAACGGTGAAGGTAATGATAGTTCGCACTGAGTTATCGATATGATTATGATTGAGTGGGAAGATAGAGAGGCATAAAGTAAGGCGAAAATAATGAATTAAAGATTGTGGAAATGGGAAAGGCGAACTATGTATTGTATGGACAGCGCGACATGGTAAGATGGGGCTCATATGAATTTGAGTTCGGGATATGGATGACACGGCATGGGAACGGATGAAGTGTGGACTGGCTGGTGGGTTGGGATAATTATGATGACAAGACAGATTAGGTTTGTTTCGAGGTCATACCAAAAAAAAAAGATGATCAAGTATGGGGGATATGGGATGGGATGAGATGTGCTTTGTGTGGATGTTTGGGATGTTTGGGATCTGAGTGGATGAGGTGGGTGGATGTGTGAGGTGGATGAGGTGGGTGAGGTGGATGGCCAGCCAGTCCAGTCTTGGTATGGGAGAAAGTGTACGAGTACCGGTAGAATGAATCCCCAAATAATGATAGATGGAGACTTTCCTACAATAGGAAAGAATGAAGGTTGTTGTGGATGTCTGTGGATGTATGTGGATGTCTGTGGATGAAAGTGGATGTCGTATGGTGGGGATGATTGAATGTATTGGTGAGGATGAAGGTGAGGGCATGCGTGTTCAAGATTCTGTGGATCGATAAATTATAAATTATCATTGTACGGGAGGAGTGTGTTTGGAGGAGTGTGATTGGAGGAGTGTGATTGGATTGGAGGAGTGTGATTGGAGGAGTGTGATTGGAGGAGCGTGATTGTGATGATGAACCTATAGAGAGAGAAGAGTTTGGTGGTATGGGACATGGGCATGGGCAGCTTGGAGCTTATTAGCTATACGGCAAAAAGAAATCATGTCATGTACGAGGAGGTACAGGGTAAGCCACCTTTCTATCTACGGGTAGTAATTATCATACAAATCGCAGAAGTCACCGTCACATCACAGTCAAACCACAGTCAAACCACCGTCAAACCAATGCATTTCAATTTTCAAAAGCCACAACAAATAAAAGCAAGACATTGTGCCATTTATTCTTTTCTCCAGGTCTAAGCCATCAGCTATCTAATCTACCTCTTATAGCTCTGTATCTATGAGGTACTCAGATATTTTCAGTCGGAGAGATAACATTGATTCATATCCAACAGGGCCCATGTATATACCCTCCAAGATCTTTTCCAAGATTGACTCATTTCAGATGTCACTCAAATCTTCACGTAGATCTACCGGTATTGGTCGGCTTGACCATCTATGTGCTCGACATGCTGATTCAGATGCCGAATCACATACATGTATGATATGGGGTTGGGTTCATTCAGTTTAAGATAGATTCAGTCAGTTCAAGATGGGAGATATTTAAATATTTCGAGGGCATTCGCGGTATCAAAATCTTATCGAAAACTTTTCTCTCAAAGTCGTCTAGATCTAGAACTTCCAGGAGTACTGTAAGTGACTGATCGACTTTAATCTTTGCCGTCTTCACCTTCACTCTGGCATTACATACGTCGGTCTATCGAAATCTCTTAGGTCTCATGATCAATCATCCATCCTCTACTATTGAAAAGTCTTCCGCTCTTGTCTTGTTGTAATAATAAAGATCAACAATTGACAACGTCTTTTCAGTCTCTCTTACCTATTACCTAGTAGGCTAGGACCTACTACCTAATACCTATCTACTCTTCACCTAATGACCAATTTCATACACCGAATCTTTTTTTAACGCCGGATGCAGCCGAATTTGTGTTTGGCAAACTTGGCATGACTGATTTGATTCCCTGTATTACCTATCTATCTGCTAGTACCTAGTACCTTGGGGCTTGTAGTACCTAGGACCTAGGACCTAGTACCTAGTACCTAGTATCGATTCCCTATATTCATACTATTATTAACCAAAGGCAGACGGATTATAATTTTATACCCCAAAATTTAAAGGCAGGATCATCAACTTCATTTTCAAGCATCGATGATCAAAGAAATTCAAAATGCTTCCAAGAACTTTTTTTTAACTCTTCTAGAAAGAAAAAGTGAAGCGACGAATGAGGATCTTCATATCAAATTATGCTTTGACCCGATTGGCTTTTTTTGGAAAGAAATAAACATACAACAACCTTGAAAGATTAAGGCAAAACAATTCGCTAGTTCGCCTCATAACTTTATGTTCCAATCACAGTTATTATTCAAAAACATTCATTAATCTGAAGCTTGACATACTTCTATTCCACGTTCCTATTCGACCATTACTCATCAATCAATCGTCAAAGTCTCGTAAATGTGTTCCACCACAGACTCGACACGTAACGTGCGGTGAATTATACGAACCAACACATCGCTGACTAAAATGGTTCGCCCAGATTATTACAAGTTTACAAGCAACTTTACAAACACCCGAGGTTGCCTTTCAATCGCGACCACTTCTACGGATTACTCAAATAATCTTGGGTGTCCACCCCATCCCGTCTCTGAAAAACGCCATCATAAGCCATCATACCTTTCGCTTTTCTTAACGCTCACACGGTTGACCAGGCTCTGCGTTGTAATCACCCCTTCAACCTGACAACTAATGACATTCTCGAATCAGATTCACCCAATGCTATATGACTGATGATTGGGTGACAAGATGAAAACGATCCGCAATGACACAAACAAATTCTCTCTTTCTCGTCGGGCCTAGCCGCTTATTCCCTTTGCATATCGGGCATTGGATTTGACTTGTAAAGTTGATGGCCGAGGTGAAGTTAGCTATCATTATCATTGTTTGTAAATGTCTGGGCTGCGTGCAAAACCCCACGAATCCATGCTGTCAGACCAGACTATGCAATATACTACATACGTAAGGTACGGAAAGGCTTTGGGGGTATTTGTGTTACCCTTTAGGATAGACACCATACCCATTTGTGAGATCAATCGCATGGAGTGCACGATGCTGTGATGCCCAATATCTCGTTGGCCTTCTTCTGGCCGTGATCGGGACTTGTTGAATCTGCCGGATATATTTCTCATTCATGGATTGGTTTCAACACTTTACTTTGGTGTACGTTGTAACTATGTTCTGGACCCGAGTCTGTGGTCGGAATGGTGTGTTCCACAGCATGAGTTGAAAAGAGAAATGTGATCTTGTCATCTCGAAATGTGCCTTGTAAAAGTGCCTGATCTATCCTCATCGGCGATGCCCGTGAAATGAAAATGATGCCCAGAACTTAATTTGGACTTCCAAGTCCGAGCAAGCTGTCCAGACCTCTATGGAGTTGTAGACAATGTTCCGTTCTTCCAGCCTTCATCGTCTGCAAGATTGCTTGGATTTCTGACGCCGAACCGCTAAGAGCGCGACACGTGACCGGCCTCAATTATATCTCCGAGATCTGGAAGGTATCGGAATTTTGTTGCATATCGTAACGTTGGCCGGTCAAAAGTGCTACTCTTTGGTATGAACTCCCCCTCTTGTTGCCGTGATCTGTTGCGAACCAAGATCACTTCTCCTATGAATTCAACCAGTAAGTTCAATGTCATGTGAATGAGATACGGAAAAAATAATCTCCGGTCAAATATGACGCAGTTTATCCGAAGCTCCGGCACCAACTAGATGATGACAGCTTTGTGAAAATGCTATTCTGCTAAGTAGTTTCCAACTACATATTTTATCAATGAAGTTTTGTCCATGTGAAATCCCCAATTGCCATATGGCATAATGCGTCAAATATTTCCAGCCTTGTTGGTTACAGCTTCAACCGCATTAGCTAGTCAAAGCGTGTTCAGCGTTCACGATGACTTACTTGCATTTCCCCAGGTATGCGCAAGGTCATAAACCATTCTGATGTAACCTGTTCCAAGCTCACGAACAAAAGTATGAAGTAGTATTTTCGGATTCATTCCTCTCGGAACAGGAAGCAGATTTTATCATCAACCATCCATCTTCACCCATTCACGATACGCAACAATCTTCCGACTCCAAAAGTATATCCTCTCAACACCCCATCCAAGATAACCCTACCGACCATGAATTCGACCCCTCCAAGCATACTCATGAGCTCATGTGGCTACAAGGCCAGGCACATCTCTGTACGATTCCCATAGTTTCTCTGCCTCCACGAAACGAAACCTCCGAAGCGGAAGCTCGCGCCGCTGAACAAAAAGAGCTTGCCCGAGCAACTGATCGTGGTTGGGAATTACTTCAAGATCTAGAGAATAATTGTTTATATTTTGTTTCTGGATGGTGGTCTTATTCATTCTGCTACAACAATGAAATCACACAATTTCATCAACTGCCACCACAACCGGGAAAGGCCCCTTACCCGCCCCAACCGGATCCATCAGCTCAGGAATTTGTCCTCGGAAAAGCAAAGAAGTCACCGAAAAGTATGAGTAAAGAAGATGAATGGGGAAATCAAATAGAAGCACATACGGCAGCCAAAAATGGTGATCCACCCAAAACCGAACTCCAAGTAAAGGGCGATACCCGCTACCTAGTTCAAAAAATGGAAGATGGCACAATTTGTGATCTCACAGGCAAACCTCGTCAAGTCGAAGTTCAATTCCACTGCAATCCTAACGTCAAAGATCGCATTGGCTATATCAAAGAAATGACAACCTGTTCATATCTTATGGTCGTCTACACACCCCGTCTCTGTGATGACGTAGCATTCATGCCTCCCAAAGCAGACAAAGCAAATGGCATAGTCTGCAAACGTGTGGTCTCATCTTCAGATATCCCTTCCCATCTCGAAGCCGCCTCTTCCAGCTCACCTTCCAAACCTATGCCCTCGAAACCCTTAGTTGTCGGAGGTATAACTGTCGGCGCAGGTAAATTTATAGGCAAAGAAGGACAACGTCTACCAATCCCAGCAAATTTTGCCGATGGTGATGTCCCAAGTCGAAGCGAAGTTATTGCCCGCGGCAAAAGTAAAAGTGAAGGGGGTCAAGTCGAAGTCATTAGTCAACATGCGCTAGAAAAGTTAGATCTTGATCCAAAAATGATCGAAAGGTTACAAGAGGAAGTTAAAAAAGTGGCCGGGGATAAGGGTTGGAAAATTGAAGTGGTAGATGTTCCGGGACAAGTTAGGGAGATCTTGGGAATAGTAGAGGATGATGAGGGGCAAGGTTATGAAAAAGGACCGGGAAGACCTATTGAAAAGCCTGAGAAGAAGGCGAATGATAAGGAGAGGTATGGGGATGATGTTGTATATGAAGATGAAGAAACTGAAGAAGGTAGTGAGGAAATTTTTAAGGATGAATTATAATTTCTCATTTTTTCCCCACTATTCTGTCTGATAAGAGAGGCGTTACTGGTTTGGCCCGGTTTGGCTTGAGTCATGGGTATGATTTAGTTTATAGATATTATGATCTGGTATAATATAATATATTATAATAAATATTATCTTTAAGAAATTTAAAATTCAAATCATCTATTTAATTATATTATATATTTATTTATCTCAGTAGATGAAGATATAAATATTAATAAATTATTCTAGTATTATATTATTAAATAAAATTAATTTTAAGAATATAAAATTATACAAACTATTGATTAAGGTTTGATATTATTTCAAATTTTAATTTTAATTTTGTGATTGGTTTTATTTAAATGACTATATCTTTATAATAAAACCGATGCCACCCATCGCAACTTGTCAGGAGGTGATGTTTATTCCAATGTCATATTCTCAAAGTCTAAGTCAATACTAGTAGCTTACGAATTTGCCGATAATCATAAGGAAAACTTAAATAATCCATATTTCACATATAATATGAATCACTGGAGTTCAACTCTGCGGATTTGAATGACAGATTAGATAAGTGGCAAAGATAAGGACGTTGTGCGAGATGTTGTAGCCTGAAATGGATTTGAATAAGTCTAGTACCCTACTTTTGGACCACCCCTAATATGGACCTGTAACGATCTGGTTGAGGCAGCGGCTGCCTTAGGTTTCGTATGGTTGGTAGTTGTAGATTAAGGCCAATAATTATTGGTTATTCATTCGAAAATGAATACGTTATTAAATCAATTGGATTGTAGATAAACTAATTGATAACTAAGTTGAACATGAAGTTCCTAAACTATGAAACTATTCTGGTTATATACTAATCTTTTCCTTATATTAGCTATACTAGTTGGGCTAGCACAACTAGCATTCCTATAATGCTAGCTTTGTTAGCTAGACTAGTAGAGCTAGCACATTATATAATTGATCCTAAAGCCTTATATATCCCAAAGCCTTTCCTTTCCTAGAACATTTATCCTAAAAGCTTTCCTTTCAGAAATTATAGCTTTAGGATATAATAATTTTTAAAATAATAATCTTATTACAATTAATTAAATAAAACATTTGTTTTATTTTATTATAATTATCTAGGATATTTATTCTAGGAATCCTGGGGTCCTAGGTTTAGATAATCAGGATCCCCAAAAGCAATGGTTAAATCATATCCCCTTTGTAATCGGTATATAAATCATCGATATCAATAATACTATTATAATGAAAACCGTGAATCGTGACAGAATCACCTTTTTACACCAAAAATCGTGATTTTCAGTTATTAATAACTTTACAACCAATCAATAAAATTTGATAAAACTTGAATTGTAGATTTATTATATAATTATAACTCAATTCTGAAAATTTTAGACTTTTTGAAATTAATTTCATTGAGATCTATAATTTTAAATTTTATAATTTTTGATTGTATAGGATTTATATATAAATTTACAAAATCTTTAAAATCTTAAATAACTTTTCAACAAAAATAATGAAAAATAAATTATAAATTTTTTTTTTTTTCGAATATTTATATCATAAATGATCAAATAGATCAGTTTATTTTAAAAAATATTTTACAAAAATCCTTTTAATCAAAATGTTATGATTTTTAATTTTTGCAAAATTTAAAAATATCAATAAAGATTCATTGATATTATTTAAAATTTCAAAATCTATCAATAATTATATAGTAAATCTATAATTAAAATTTCAATTGATTTTATTTATTCGTTGTTGAATTATTAATAATTGAAAATGACGACTTTTGATATAAAAAGGTGGTCCATATTAAAGGTGGTCCAAAAGTAGGGTACTAGACTTATCTCAAGTTGAGCATAAAGGACGATCAAGACACGGAATAACCTCAAAGTGAAATTGTATATCTTGTGACTAATTCCAAATCGAGGATCAGGAAATGATTCTTTGAACGTAGTTACTCTCCACTAGTCCTCATATTCATACCAAGATCATAGAAACTATACTTTACATTGCCAGCAGCACGCACTACATTGTTTTCTATCCCTTGCACTCCTCTCTCCAACAATGACAATATCACCTACTCCACCAATTCAATAATCCTCCAGCTTATAAACCTCATAAGCCGGTTCCTCATACGGATGTACTCTAAAAAACGCAATAATTAGAGACAAAAAGTACCTAACCACAGAACAAAATAAGAAAATCAAACTTGCTTCTTCAAAGCCTCAACAGCATTTCTAATCGTCTCCTCACCCACACATAAAGTTTCAAACCTAACCTCTTGCACCTCTTCCAAAGTGCCCACACTCCCTATATTCGGATTTGCGCTATCGCCTGGTCGGAATTGTGCACTGCCTATGGTTGTCCAGCAGCATTCGGTATAATTTCCAGGGCCGGGATAGCGTCCTGCTCCGGCGGCGAAGATGGCGGTTTTGCAGGCTGCGAGGCCGGATGGGGGCACGAAAAATATTAGTTTGAAGCGGGGGGTCTTGATGGCTGTGGGTGTCATGTTTGTTTATGGGATTTGTTATTTGTGATGGTCTGCAATTGATTTGATGTTGAGTGTTGTCGAGTTGTAAAGTAATCTAATGGATATGATATGGTCGTTGAATTGTGGGGTAATCTTTTGATATCATCTTTGACCCCACCATCCCCATTCATTCATTTGTAAGTTACCTGCCTCCTTTCCAATGAGATATGATGGTTTTTGTTAGGATACACGTCTTTCTTAGTAGGTGTTGGGAAAATCAATCAGGTAAGTGCTAAACTTTGAGACTGACTGGTTACAGGTAATACACAGCACAGCTTGCGTCTCTTGTCATGTGTTTGAACGATCAGCTGAGCATCATGTGAGTCGCCATTCCTCATGTGCAATGTCCAGTTAAAGTGACCAGCGTCGATATTGTCTTACCATCATAACTACATACCTACAAAGGTTTCCGTCAGAGAATGTGAATCCTTCAGTTGATCTCTTTAATATGGAGTCATCAAATACTTCCGGGTTCAAATATCTCGATTTGGAATTGATCTTTATCGTCAATATTAGTCCAAAACTGGCAGGCATCTGATAATGGACAAAAAGAAAACAAGCTCTCGATACATTCGTACTCCTTAAATTTTGGAGGAACAGGCAAATCTCAGCCTAATTAGCTGTATCATCGCCGGACTCTTGGTATCTGTACACAAGCAAACCTACCTATGCTAACGTCAATGGAGCCAGATTGAATGGTCGATGCAGAATCCTGAGGTCTTCAAATATTGACTCTGTCTCAGCTGGGCAGTCTACATGATTCCATATCCCCAGGAAGCATACCGCACTGCTGTATCGTTCGTCTTATCGACAAAACTAGATTATGAAATCGAAGTAAGGGGTCTGTGTAGAAGAGAAACTTTAGTCAGACAAGCGAATCTTGATAGAAGATATTTTAGACATGCCAGGAATCTCACCATCAGGTCATTTTTAAAGCGGTTTTATTCTGAAGGTTTGTTCCTATCGCAAGAATTTTGCTTGGTCAGGGGGCCACCGTTCATTTGGTGGAAACATCATGAGATGGTCTCCATTTAGAAGTTCTATGTTCTTCCCGACTCACAAGTTTACATGAGATCAAGGGAGGGCGTCATTTTTGGAGATTGCTATCTCAATTTTTGACATTGATCTCACGTCGGTGTTCATAAAGATCTTTAGCAAAACACATTCTGCTGAATATTCTAATGACAGAAATAGGGTTTATGCTACTTTTGTCTTATGAGATGGGAACACTCGCAGATTACCAACGTTAAAGCACACTAAGAAAGTTACTCAAGTACACAATGAATCGGCCTTGGCAAATTATGGAAAACTGTCTGATTTACCTATTAACATGGAACATCGCGGCATATACTCAAAAGAAAATTGAAGAATGAAGCTATCATACCTAATTAGTCTCCCGACTGGCCTTGTTCATGAGGTACCATCCATTACCAGGATATTATCTTGCATCTGGGTTGTCCCGCATTACCTCATTCTGAAGTCATGACAGTGATGTCCAAGATGTGACAGGCCTTTCTTGTGCTGTCATTACAGAGGCAGATTAAGTATTCACATCATCTGTTTTTTTATCTATCAAAAGAAACGATTATAGATGTTGAACTGATTGACGTTCTTGACGAATCAAAAGTTTTATTCGCCATGAAGGAAAGAGATTTTCTTTGAAGCATTTATATTTACACTTGCTGCAATAACTTTGCTGGAAGTGGTACGCGTCACTCGGCAAGAGATCTAAGATTTGAGATATGTTTAGATATCGTATCTCGACTTCTTCAGGGCTTAAACTTGCTACTAGGTGGCTTAGACAAGGATAAAGACTCTTTTTTTAAACATCATCTGTGAATTTACCCGCGGAGTATCATTTCGCACCACATATAGGGGCTTCATAGACCTAGCGTCAGATACTGTCAATCCCGGCGATATGATGTGTATTTATTGGTACAAACAAGTCAGCCTTGCTGGGCCTCTGAAGCATGTTTGCTATCGAGCTTTGGGAATCTATTGCGTGCACGGCTTGATGTCGATTGGAGCTTGTCTTGGCCAGCCACCAGCGGATTCCGACCTGCAAGCCTAGGGGGTCCATACCTTTATTTTGACCCTAATTATCAAAATTCCAAGCGGATGATCATCGACTTGGTCCCCTTCGAAATGGCTGGCAATTGGAACCACTCTATTTGGATGAGGAAGTTAGACAGATGCTTGTTAACGAAGAGACGTGCGAGAAGACAGGATATGACCTGAGACTTACCTCAAAATACTGAAGGAAAAGAATCCCGGCCTTGAATCGGAGGATTTCAGCCTTGTCTAATATACTCAGTCGCTCAACTTCTCGGGCCACAAAAAGCTAGGAAATAGAACCATATGATTCGAAATTGTAACGACATCGTTCGCATGGAGAACTGACCAAAAGATAAGCCAGAAAAGTGAATACAAGGAATTAACAAAATTTGATTAGGCTTACTTTCGTTTTCCAGAAGACTACATCAACAAACCTTCAACATACTGCACTAATTGTCGTTTATTATGGTAACAAGAGAAGCCGCATTGAGTTAGATGTGGTCGTTGAAGACCGATCATAATACTATACGCGAGCTTTCAAAAAGTTGCCCGTCATGTACACGTTGCCACTCGTGTAGGAAATAGAAAGTAGCAGAAGGGACTCGGAGTTATTGTAGGATTCTCATTATAGACCTCTTGGCTATGAAGCTCGAAATCCTACTTCACCATGATCATCACCCCATCGCTGAAAGCATGACTTCGTACCTACATTTAGGCTGAACATAACTGACCAGCATCCAAGCCGCATTCGGAAATCTCAAGTTGGCTATACGATGTTGCATCAGAATTCTCTTCACCGATTTGTCAATATCAAATGGTTGACTTGAAAGGCTTGCCAAGGCTGCAGGATGGCGGGGTAATGACTGTGTAAGCTCGGGTTGATCAGTATTACTTGCATTGAACCTCCAGTAATATGCTTAAAAGTTACTTGATTTCAATGATATATTGCAGAGATTCAACAATTTATTCTTGGCAGCAGCCATTGACGGGCGGTGACCGGAAACGGTTCCGGTTTGGCGCAGTCTGGTGTGATGTTGGTATATATGAGGTTTCAATTCCAACATAACCTGAGATTGTTGGAAACATTTCTCTATTCAATTAACCAATACCATTCAATAAACTACAATTGTATTCTTCTCTAGGTCGAATTGAAGAATCTGGCATCGCTATGATGATATCGTCGCTTCCGGCTCTTGGGATCTTCATGATCCTAGCAGATGTCACACATGCTGCATTCAAACCTCCATTTAACAATACTCTAGAACGAGGGGTAGCAACTGAATGTAAGACTTGTCCTTATTCACTTTGTACCAATAAGGAATACTACGACTATGACACCGTCGTATCGCTCATTTGCTGGACTACAGGAACAATAATTGGTGGTGATAGGTAAGATTCGTCTCGATACTTTGACATGCCATATCAAATGTTAAAATCTTCAAGTACATGGTTGAGAACAAGCGACGACTGCTACATAACCCAATACGATCTTACCGATTATGCTGGAGAATGTAAGTTCTCTGAAGACTCACATGCGAGTTCGACTAACGGTGGTGCAACAGATGAAGACGATCTTAGCTTTTGTGGTCACGATTCTACCATCGAACACTACACTACCGCTCCTGCAACCACAAAGTACAATACCGAATGTAATCTCTGCGACGACAACGCGGATTGTGCCATAATCAAATATCTAAAATATGGAACTGATATCACGGTGACTTGCTGGACTGATCAGGGAGACCTTGTAATCAATGATAGGTAATATATCTCTTGCTTCAATTTCTTACTCATCTTAACGGTCTACCAAGGTAAAATGGCTGATGATGAGAAAAATAGTACATGGTTAAAAACCACAGATAACTGCTACGTCGCACAAATCGGACTCGAAGAACCCGCCAATAAAGCCGAGCTCGACTACTGCGGCCCAGTAGGCTTCCTCCAACTAAACTACACAGAACCAGCCAAACGTTCATCTCCCCTTAATAAAAACAAAATTTCCCCTCCTCCTCTCACCAAACATTCACCCCCTTCCTTATTTCACAATCTCAACAAACGCTACCTTCTTAATATAACAGTAGGCGAAGACTATGCTCCTTGCTATAGTACACCTTCTTCATCAAGTGATTTAGTTAGAAAATATGAATGGGATCAGGGTGTTTGGGTACAATGCTTTGTGAGTAATTTCGTGGATACGAATGGGGTGGAGACGTATGGGTATCTTACGACGGATTTTTGTTATGTGAGGGAGGCGGATTTTTGGGAGAGTTTGTTTGATCGTAAGTGATACCTTTTTCTCTTCTTCTTTTGTTGAGAGGGGAAGGAGGAAAAGAAAGTAGCCGTGGAGGGGCAAGAAATGAAGCGTATGCTAATGGCTGGTAGAATATCGATATCCGGACTGTGATTTGTTTGAAAGTGGAAGTGTAGGTACAGATGCGATTAATGCTCGGGGAAGTTCCTAGTTAAGATAATATTATTTGTGGGTAGATTGGCATTTTCCTACATTCTTGAGTTGCCCAGTGTATGTACTATCGTTTTCAGAATTCCAGGACTGTGGTTAAGAAAGGAAGTTATAGACATATGCATGACGTATTTTGAGATAGTCAATCTGTTAAAAATGAACTATATATTCCAAAATATAAACCAGTAATTAGCACCTACAAGCTTTTGTCAGTATAATCTGTCGCGTAAAGCTGGCACTGGAGACAGTTTCCAAAATGATCAGATTTCCTCCGAAGCATTTAGATTTTGGTAACCGCGTCAAACAACTTTCAATATCCAGTCTCAAAGGCTAGCCAGTTGACCTGGAGGTATTTGGTAATTCCATCAGGTTTCAGGTATCATGAAGAGGTAAGATTCCAGATGGATTAAGATACCAAACAGATCCAACGTACTTCGCAAAAAATCCCGAAATTCCCCCTCTTCACTCTCATATACATAAAGCTCAAGTCCAGAAAACCCTGCTCCCACCTGATAACCCCACACCCTCCCCCAACGGGCCCCCAACCTAAATAAACCTCCTCCTCAGCCCGACATTCGTCCTCGTATGAACTGGCAAGTGTCTACACTCTCCACCCAGCAGCCCCCTCGTCCAATTAACCGCACAGTCATTCCAAACCACCCTTTCCGGAACCATAACATATCTACCCGTATCCGGATCTTCCATATCGAGATCCTCTCGATCTATCGTTCCGAGGAGTATATCTAACATCTCGGGCCATTCGGCAGGCATGGGATGAGCGCGGTATGCGAGCGGCGTGCCGCATTTGTTGCACCAGTAGCGTGTGCTTGAGCTGGAGGAGCGGTGGGTTCCTAGTGTGGAGGGGGGTTGAGGGGAGGTTGGGGAGGAGAGCGAGAAGGGTAGAAATACTGAGGTGGCTTTTACCCAGGTTTCCTGGCGGGGGTTCTCCTCACTTGCTCTCCTGCTCTTATCATCGCTCTCTTCGCTAATATCCCCATGACCTCCCACCTCACTATCCTTAACATCTTGCAATTGATCACTATCCCCATCAGAAACACAAACCCAAATGTACTCCATAGGGCAACAAATCCAAGTAGGCAAGATGCTTCCTGTTGCCCTTCGACAATCATTACAGAGATCAATAGCTATCATGGGTAATCTAACTTCTTCTCCTGATTTATTATCTCTATATTCATCTCCTGAATCATAGTCAGATTCAGACGGTGATGAAGATCGTGATGCAGTTTTTGCTTTCCAGCAGTATGGATGAAGTGGTCGCTCGCTTGCTTCAGGTATCTCAAGTTTGTAGCGGAGAGTTTTACAGCTGCAGCCGCCGTGGATGGTGAGTGGAGTTGAGGGGAGGGGCATTTTGTGTTTGCTTTGGTGTGTGTAATGGTGTGTGTGATGGTGAGAAAGCAGGTTTGGAAGTTTGTGGGAATGGTAATTGAGGGTTTTGTATTTATATTTATATTATTATCATTTGTTAGATACAGGTGTGCACCGCAGCTTTAAATATAAGATCTTACATTATCGGCGACGAGTCTGCCTGATCTATGTGCTCCGACTTCTGACTCTTATCATATGCATATGCAGGAAGAAGTGGGGTTGCTGCACGCTACTGACTAGTAGTTTAGGCAGGAGCAGGTAGAACGGTGGGGACCAATGATATTCGGTTAGATTCTATATTCGAGGTGTATTTGAAATATGTTTTTTGGGACCGCTTATCCTAAGAAATTTATCACATTCATTATTCATCCTCCGCAAACACCTTGTAGATTTTGATGCTGGTTTTGCTGGGTATATGCAGGCTGTAAGTTGTTCTGCAGCAGTGGATGGACCGGAAGTCAATATCCCGTCATCCTCAAGAACTTATGGTCTTCAACTGTTGGACTAACATAACAGTTGGATGATCTGACATATACGTGTTACAGCCCGCTCCCAGAAAATATAATTTGTTGTAGATACAGTACAAAATAACCAACATGGCCACAACCTGCTCTCTCTCATGCTGCTCTTCTCATTCCTCCATCTGGCATTCATCCTTCCCTCCGTTCAGTTTATCATTCCTCACTCTTTGATGGCCCATTATTCTATGTAGCCTTCTATTCCAATAACCAAAAACCTGCAATCGTGGAGGCCAAGATATCAGACTTCATTAGAAAGTCTCAATATTGCCAACGAGACTGCATCTATAATATCCCCGAGATTTACTAGCGAGGAGAATCTGGTTGCAGTTTTGAGCAATCTAACTATTGAAGAGCATATAATCTCAACATTAACACCCCTTGCATACTGGACCTTTCAACTCCTTCTCGGAATCAACAATGTCTCAACTCCAACCTCAAGCAATCTGATGAAATAAATAGGTTGTTCTAGCAAGTGGCGAAATTGTGAATGCAAACGCAGATACTAACTCGGATCTTTTCTGGGCATTAAAAGGAGGTGGTCCTAACTTTAATAAGTTTTCGATGATCTGCATATAGCATACCATTAACTGAAAGCTAGTATTGTAACACGATTCAATATGTGCACCATACCAGTCAGAAATATCTAGTTTCAAGCAACCGCTTATCCTCTCACTGAGCTGCCGAAAGTCCTAGCTGCTTTCACCGAATGGCAAAAAAAATGGAACATAAACCGATTCTAAATCATCCTTTCTTATTAATATATTGAACACTGGTTGTTCACTAGGTCTCGTATATTCTGAATCTACCACTTATCTAGAAGCTTTTGCTCCATTTACTAATATTCCAAATGGTATTGTCAGGGTTCCGCCCACCAACGCAACGGTGACATTCCTGAGTACTAGTCTTGGTGGTGCATTTAGCAATGCTTCTGCGCGGTAAGTATTTTAGTCTTCCAGCTTTTCGTTCGAAAATTCATATCATCTCCAGTCATTTGTATTGTTCAGCAGCCAGCTTAATAGATGAGAAACTTTATAATGAAACATCAAGTTACTTCCTTGATACTATCAATCGTCTCCAAGCTGACGGAATTAAAGTCAATATGGCTTTTACCCTTCAAACAATCCCACCATCACTGGTCGCAGCAAGTGAAGCACGAGGAGGTAATCCAATGGGCATCCCATCCCAAGCACATCAATTTTGTACTCCCAAGCTCCACCAACCTTTATTAGCGAAAACTCCCTGACACCCTCCAAGGGTGGACCACCGTGACCGATAGGGTCTCTCCAGCTGACGATGAAATCGTACTGGATGCCGTCAAATCGATTGCTGACCAGTTTGAAATCCTCGGTGCATCTCGAAACTCTAATCTTCCATATCTATATATGAATGATTGCTATGCAGATCAGAATCCTCTAGCTCAATACCCGACTACGAATATTCGAACATCGAAAGAGGTTGCTGCGAAATATGATCCTACTGAAGTATTTCAGCTCTTGCAAAAGGATGGATTTCTGCCGTCGAGGTTGTAAGTGCTTTGAATAGTGGGGTTTGGCTTGAGATGAAAGTAAATCGTGGGTACGTAGTTGATGGAAGGTCCATTTGGATTAGGGCTTGGTTGGATGAGAGAGAATGAGATGAGACAAAAATGGGGGGATTTCCACAAAGACCATTAAATTTGTGAAAGTCGTAAGCTACAAACCATAGTGCTTCTCTGTAAAGACTGGTCATACATCCGTTTCCACCACACTAAGACCCTCATCGCATTACTCCATCAGGCCGCGCCAGCCAAACTATGGGATATAATAACAGATGCTTCGTCGCAGTGTGGGAAAGCTATTGTTAGTGTGATGAATTACTACTGAACTCTGCCTTCTAGATGGGTGGTGGTAAAGACCGAGTCCATAATTAACACATAAGGTTACATAGATGTCTTCGCTGATGGTCCTCGGCACTTTATTTCTCATTATAAATTTCGAGACAAATTAGAGTGGCTAAAATACAGCTTCAGTAAGGCCGGCTATGACAAGCCACAGCCACTACACCAAGGAATATTACGCCAAGGAAAGAAACAATTATCATCATTGCCACTGCAGTGGCATCTAGTTCGTGGACCAACACAGTATCCTCGCACCATACACCATACATGGCACTTAAGAAAAGATTGGGGGACTGTAACCATAAGGACGAGCAAGTCCAACTCACAGCAAGCAACTGCAATCGGTAGTCGAAATAGTGGTAGGAATGTCACAAATTTGTTCGATAAATTAGGCCGACTCGTAAGATACTATTGTCCGGATGTTAGGATGTTACTACGCTTCAGAAAACTAATTCATGATACCAGACTACCTGAGCAAAAAACTTATTGCAAATTCCATACTATGCTCCAACGCATATCTAGTGATCTTTGACTGCATATTGTCCTGATCGGGTATACACAAACGCTTCTTTCAGCGAAGTTTGATCCTCAATAATTTTAATCCAATTCACACTCTTCCTCCACAACTCCAAGTGCATCTCTTCATCCCGACTCTCTGGTGAACTTTCATCCTTATTCACAATAACAAAGTAGCCACTTGACCCACGATACTGTTTCCCAATTGCAATCTCAATCAGATCAACAGCTGCACCCTTGGTATTGGGCAATGTCGGAATTAGATATTTCAAGAGCGGCTGTAGTGGTCTAAGTATTCCTTTCATTAAGATTCTCCAAACGGGCGGTACACCAGAATTTATGCATCTTGAATTGGGAAGTCCGCCAGGATCCATATCCACTGCGGAAATATTGCTCAATAATGGATCCTACGAGTTGTCGGTAAGTTGATGCGTATATAAGCAATGTTTAACCATAATCATAAGATTACCTTAGAGAGTCTCCCATTCAACTGATACATCCCCATAATAGCTACCACTTTCGAAACTCCATATCTTTGAAACCCACGACCAACTTCGTCTCCAAAATTATCCGGTGCAGGATGAACAAGAAACTCCAAATCGTCAGGAAGATTCGGAGGGAACTTTTCAAGGCCATTTTGCCAAGATAATGAGAATCACTACCAAGAATAACGATACTACCACCTTCTAATTGAAATGAACCTAACAATCTCAAAACTAATGAAAAATGTGCAAGATAATTCACAGCAATAGAACTCTCATGACTATCCTCTGTGAACTTTAAACCCGGTTGATATGCTCCATGTAAAAGCATTACAGATTACAGATGACAGGGGAGATAATTTTGCTGCGCTGATGTCGGATTTGACTTGATGGTTTCTGCGAAGTTTTGTACTGTAATTAATGAACTGAGGTCTAGTTTCTGGATAATAGATCGCTTTTTGGGATAATTAGACGGGACTTTCCCGAGCCTTTGAGTATTCTCGTCCGAAGGATTGCGGACGGTTAGGAGGATGGTGTAATTTGAGTGATTTGTGAGAAAGTATTCGATATTGGAATTGCAAAGGAGCTGTTAGCGCCGGTGATAAGAACTGCGCCGGCTTTCATGATGAAGAAGTTTGTGGAAATGGTTATACGGTTGAAAGTGGATGGTTTTAATACTATCACAAGTGCCTGCCTTTGCTTTCTATGTTGAGGACTTAACGAATGGCTTTTGAAATCTGCCTAGAAATACTGACGAATCTTTGCAAATGGTCATATCCAGCGAGTGCAAGAGGCTCATTCGGATTTAATGCTTAATAAAATTTCAATAACTCATATATTAGTGATAGTCTTCTACATAATCTATAGCAATCCAGCCTATCCGTGCCGCAGCTGTGCCACATTTTTGCTTTCACAACAGAGCTCATGCCACCGAGGATATCAGCGAGCTGTCAGCGTAATACTCAAGAGCTTATTAATGAAAATACCGAATGAAAAATACCGGGCGTGAAGTCTTGAACGGATCTAGTCAATGTTCTGCTTTGCGGCACAAACCAAATTAAATGGTTGGTCTTGTGATTTAGCGAATGATATGATTGACTCTTGTAAGATTACGAGGCACTCTTTACATATCCATATCGAATCATACGATTTTCAATACAACTTCATTTATTTCTTATCATCTACCCAGCAAATTATTATAAATTTCTTTCAAGCTCTCGCAGACTGGAAACATACAATAGATATACAAAGATCACAAAGTATAAGAAGAGTTGAGTGAGTGATTATCGTATTTACCTTGAAGTACTTGATCGATTCATTATTAGATAAGGAAGTATATAAAAGAATCTTTATAATATCTCAAGAGGCCAGAGGCATATCAGGTTTTATATGGATGCTGATCTCCGTAGAGGATGTCTGAATATGATAGATAGATAGAGCTTTTTGGAATAACTCATGTTGATATCTTGATTGTGATTATATGCTTCGCTTAGGGATTGCGAATCGGGGCTTGAGATTTGAGATTTGATAGATAGTCTTAGTTTACTATTAATTGAGTAGCAGAGATGTTCACAGGAATATTATATACACAGGAGATATAAAGGATTCAGTCATCAAGACATCAAATCACTAACTGCAGACTAACGTACTTTAAGGTAATCATCAAATATCTTTCATATTGAACTGGACTGGACTGGACTACCTAGTATACATCGAAACATCTCATTGATATCATATCGATTTATCTCGCCATCCCACCACTTATTAATCCATTAAAATCCCACCCATCCCATCCATATCCGTTAAGTTTCATATGATCCATCCCGGCCATTATCTCAATTAATTCATTCCCGCGTTATTATTCTTTCCTTCCTTCCTCTCCTCCAATCATACACCATACATCCACCCACCCTACAACAGAAAAGCCGCCATCCCCAACACCGCCGCCCCCACAACCGGAACCCTCGTCGCCACTGCCCCAGCACTACTACTACTATCCCCCGCACTCCTCGTTGCCGTTCCGGATCCCGTCGCCGAGCCCTTCGTCACCGTCGCACTAGAAGTACTAGTAACCGTCTTCCCCTCACTATTCGTCGTCGTGACCACACTCCCCGTAACCCTAACCGACTCGCTCGACGACGTAGAAGTTAAACCCGCCTGACTACTAATCTGACTTATCTGCACACTCAACTGACTCCTAATAGCCGAATTCGTCTCGGTGGCTGCAATAGCGCTCAAGCTAGAGATATAAGAAATCGCATTGGCGGAAGCATTGGCTGCGCCAGCGGTAGATACAGAACTGGCGTATGCGGCTTGGGAACTTAGGACGGCGAGTTGAACGGTTAGATGGGAGATTTGTGCGCTGAGTTGGGTTTTTTGTCCGGGGTTGGTTTCGGTCGCCAGTTGCGCGGAGAGGATTGAGAGGGCGGATTCGTCTTGTTGCGCATCGCGGGAGTAGGCCCCGATGTCTGAGGCTGTGCTGCTGGTTGCTGTGTTGCTTGCTGTGGGAACGGTGGCGGGTGTGGTGATGGTGTTGACGGTATCTGTGGCTGATTGAGCGATGACGAGAGAGAAGAGGGGAACTGTGGCGAGGATTTGGAAACGCATTTTGAGTTTGGTGGAAGTGTTTGATCGGAGTGTGTTTTGTTATGTTGTGTATTGAAGTTGTTTGACAGGAACTTTTGAGTAAAGTTATAACCAAGTTCAAAAGTCGGTAGGATGTATTGAGAAGCTTTATTAGAGTAGACAGATAGAAAACGAGAAAGTGAATAGGAGATTGGCTACTACCACTCGTAGAAGAATAAAATTCAGAGCGATACGATAATGTCCCCAAGTGCAACTTCACACCTTATTTATATCTCAAACAATTTCAGCCCATGGCGCCATAATACATGATTCAATACCCATCTAGGTAACCAGATAACCCAAGCCAAATGCAACCATAGCAACGCAATGGAATTGGATGGAAAATATTGCATTTCCCTGCTCATTTCCCCGCGTGGTAAGACGAACTGTCATAGTAATTAATTAATGTTTTTTTAAATTCTCGTCACGGCAATCAATAAGTACGAAAGTAAGTACGTGTACTCCGCATCCCCGGATCATCAAATGTCTCACCTCGCTTCCCCAATCACGTAACTACGTAACACTGTTGCGACTCTGTCTGGAATAAACATAAACATAAACAAATGAAGATCCATACTTTTGGTAATATTTTACTCTGATTTGCTGTGTTGTTCTTCCACATATACGTATACTATACGTATACATATACGAGACACGCCACTTGAATATTCTGTACGTTTCTATAAGCAACGATGATGGATGAAGAATGGAATATACTAATATGAAGAAATGGATGAGATGAAAATAGAAAAGAGCTTGTTGCTAGGACAATTTTCAATCATCGTCTTTGATGCCCAGCATTGGCATATTTGGGAATGCAAGCCACTGGAACTAATTCTAGGGGTCTCAAGATTGCAAGGAGCATTTCAATAATATTTCTCATTCTTACACGGAGCGAGGATTCATTCTCATTCTCATTCACATCTATCATATCGCATCATATCACATCAAACCTCACTATCAAGAAATATATCCAAACCTGATCCTAAGAGAAAAGAGCTCACGACTCAAAATAAATCTTAATTACCCAGTGAATTTCAATTACCTATCGCCATTCGTACGGAGTATACCTAGCTATCTATCATCACCACCATCTCCATTCAAAATTCATACTGCCCATCTTACACTTTCCGCAATACGAGATCTTATATTCCATTTTCTATTTTCGTCCCTGTGCATGCATGCATGCATTCTGCATTCCAACTTCCAAGGTTCTGAGTGTAACCATCCATCCATATGTATCCAAAACATCCATCTATGGTCTTGTCTTGTCTTGTCTTATCACCTTAACTACTAATACCTACTAATATAAAACAAGACCAAAAACCCATACCTCCGTACAACTAACTCATCAGCCACCAAAATCAAAAACATCAATCAATGCGGGTTTCCCCAATTCCCGCAGAGAACTACAAGCTTGGCATTTTGTTTGTTTGTATCCCACTATCAACCTTATTTGAGCGTAAGGTTAATCTTAAATGCTTTGGAATCTGATGCGAATTCTCAGATCATTATGTATATATATATACCGATGTAGGTAGGTCGGTAGGTATTCTGATCTGATCATATGATTTAATCCAACTGGTCTGTTCTGTGTTGATATTTTCAAACACGGATAATGACTACCTACCTAGGTACATATGTTAAGATTAGGTAGGTACGTACCTGAGTAACAAGTAAGATCTTACTTTATCGGTATTTATCTACCTATCTATTTTCTATCTATTTTCTATCTATTTTCTATCTATTTTCTATCTATCTATCCATTTAATTTAATCCAAAAACTACCCAGGCTTTGTGGAAAATATCCGCTTCTATAAGTTAATAAAAGCGTTATCATCATCCAAGTATTAAAATCTTCCTTTCTCTTTTCTATTCATCCATCTAACAACTTTCTCACCTCCCCATCTTATACCTCCTCAACTGTTCCCTCCACACCACCAAACTCCCACCTACCTTCTCCCCTCACCCAAGCATCCCCTTCCCATTCCACAACCACTCTTTTCCTTCCTCTTCCCTGCATCCTCCTCCTTCCCCAATCCCCTCTCCTCCCCAACCACTCCCCAACGCCCCAACTTCCCGTCGTGTATCCTCTCCACCTCCTCAGTAACCCCTTCCCACTTAAACCCACATTTTTCAAAAACCCTCCTACTAGCCGTATTAAACTCGAGATATTCACCTGTTAGGAAATGCATATTCATGTATGGGATGAAGAAATCTGAAAGGAGGGTTTGGAGGACGGATGGCATGATTGATTTTCCGTGGTGGGAGGGGAGGAGCCAGACTGGTGGGAGGGTGGGATGTTAGTTTGTTGGTTTTGGGAGAGGAGGTAGGGGAGAAGGGGAAGGGAGAATAGTGGTATGTTTTCGCTTGATGACTAGCTGGATGGATAGGAGGAGAATTTGGTACTACCAAATTGGTGTCAGGTGTATGAGCTGAGCTATCCTTGAGATCCATGGATAGAGGTGTTCTCCACTCATCTCTTTCAAATTCACCGAAGCAACTCAAGCCAGCCCTCAGCAGCATGATCACGCATCTACCTTCTTAAAAAAGCCAAAAACCCAACGACGAAAACGAAAGAAAAACATACAACCAATCTCCCACTCAATCCCCTCATCACCCACCCTCCTCTCCAAATTCTCCCCCACCAACCCCTCCCTCTTCTCCCCATCCAAAACCGTCACAAACCCCCTCCTCCTAACCTCCACCTGCCCAATAAACAACTCCCTCCTTCTTCCCCGCTCATCAACCACCACCTCCCTAATACTCGGAAACGGAATTGCCCCAACCCAACTCTTTCCCTCTTTGTTCCTCTCCGCTTCCCTCGCATCCCACAGTTCCGCTACTGCAATCCTTACATTTTTATCCAGGACCTCTGTGAAGAAGGAATCGAATGATTCTTGCGCGTATGGGAAGGGAGGACCGGTGAGATTTAGATAGATGGATGGATTGTTGAAGGCGGGGATTGTGGGTTCTGCGTCTGTGGTGCGGGGTCGCGTGAGGATGATGTTTTTGTGTTTTGGGTTGGGGGAGTTGAGTGTTAGGGATGGGTTTATGGGGTCGTGATGAATGGGCATTTTGAGCAATGGGGGAAATGGACGAGGGGTTTTGATGCTATGGTTGGAGATGATTGATAAATGGAAAGAAATATAAGGAATAAAGAGAATCGATGTGCTGGAGATGATGATAATGCAACACGCTTATATAAGCCACGTGAATGTCATTACCATAAGAGTCATCACCGTTGATTGTGTAATAGGTGGGCTGGTATGCCAAGGGTTTAGCGCCCACTACTGCATGTCCGTTCCAAGCGAGAGCTAAAATCCATGTTCATGATGCGAAATAGGAAGGCCGTTGTAATATATATGTATGAAGGATTTGAAAATCATATTGATGAATCCTTTTTACAGGAATCATAGTAAAAGAATATCGCTGACCCCATTCAAGAGATCTTTGTAGCTGTGAAATTGAAGCGCTTAACACCATTCTTTATTGATGTCTGCAATACTTGCTTCCAAGACCTTGTCCGTATCTCTTTCATTCTCCCGAATTCGTATTGCACTTTCCATCCCCTTACTTTAGTTTTTGAAATCCCTCTCTGCTCTATAGCTCATTCTTAACTGTCTAATATTCTGAAATCTTCGGCCTTGCAAATTTTGCAGATATTTTCTCCCAAACCCTTTGCCCTCCAAGGCTACCACATGTTCCTCTCATCATGGTTTCGTCGCTACTTATCTTATCTACTAATGCTTTAGCACAAGCCTGCATCCTAATTATCCAAACTAATTCTGTAACGGCATGAAGCCCTGGAGCTTGTACTTGCAGCACGTCATAATCCTCTTTGGTGTTTCCATCAGTTCGGCCACGAATTGTGCATGAGGGTTGTGGTCAGTAATATCTGCTATTGGGTGTTGTTGTGATAAACATATCCGATGTTTGGTGTCGAGGGGTTTCGAATCTGGTCACCGTCAGCGCATTAGACCATCATCTCTCACTTCCAATTTCATAGACCCAATACTGTCAGGAAGTAGAGATCAAAAAGGGGTTGAACAAAGACTTTCACAAGACCATTCAATGAACTACCGCTGTGGATTATTTAACTCTGTCAGTCCCCAACGGGGAGCGGTCACTTGATGGACTCATAACCAAGGAAGACTAGGCTACTTGTAGTAAAGAATTGTCAATGAAATTTTGTCTTGTAACAGCGATTGGTAGATTTAAATAGTCTGGGTATCTGACGCGACTGCTGTAAAAATCTCGTACGTCTCTTCCTCAATCTTTTCTATTGCTAGATTAGCACCAGCTACTTGTTTCGGCATCCCGAATTTGATTGTACGTAGTTAGATTGCAATGAACTGGGCTGGTAATTTTTCGGTATAGAAGATTTGGCCACCAAAATCCTGGATTGAAAGCCTCTGCTCAAGATGCAAGTCTTTGGTACCATAAAATAGTTGTCCACAGTAATATCGAAGTGATTTCCAAAAATAGCAGCCACAAATTGGATGAGCGTAAATTATGTGTACCTGGCACTACTGCTTTCGTACGGACTGGCTATCGTATGGCACAGAATATCTCTCTGTGTCGTCTCAGGCTTCCAGGACGGTTCATCCTCAACGTCATCGGAAAATACGCAGCCTGGTAGAGAAGCACCGACATAACCCTCGATGCATATGGGGTTGCCTACAGTCAGTCGAAGGGTTCAAATAGAATTGCAGCAACGAAGAAGTTACCAGCATCAAAGAGAATAAAAATCTGGATTGGTAGCTTTGTCGTCTCTCAATCCTCGAAGAAAGAAATGCTCAGATAAAGCGCATTAGGTATCTTTTGTATTCCAAACCAAATTGCTGTGAGTTGATTTGAATGAACGTGTGTGTAATAATTTGGAATATTAGCCATCGTAAATCATTTGGGACACATTGAAACGCTCTTGACACGCGCTAAATCAAGAGGGCACGAAGAAAAAGGGCGGAGGCGAATCCAATGCCATACACGCGATTATCAATGATGCACTAGCAAACACTTTCTTCAGCCATCTTCTAGCGTCTGGTATGGCGCAGCAATACCCTTTGCATAGTGTAGCAACAGACAGCAGACAGCAGACAGCAGACAGCCACAGCCACAGCTGCAATGGCTCGGTACGCTATTTAGTAGACGGATGCACTATAATGGACCAAAACTAACGGTAGTGCTGACTGAAAGAAAATGTGATCGGTGAGTGTTTGACCAGCAAAGACGGTGAAATAATTTGTCGAGTGCGAAAAGTGAATTGACTTTGTGGAGCATTGAAATATCCGAGGGGTATCAAGTGATCGATGTCAAAGAAAGTCATTGCTGGTGAACTGATGAATTTGAACTCAAGATAGGACAATTGCAGCGGATGTACGAGTATTTGATTGGCATTAGACAACATTCTCGGAATAGTTGTCGAGTTGTGAAAGTTGTGCTGACAGAAGTTTTGCATTTGGAAATTACTTGTGATGAGATGAGATGAGCATGGAGCATCAGCAATTCGGTCGGTGGGTGTGACCGTGTGAGCAGGAAGAGTATGGAGTGGACGAGGCATGGGGGCCAAGTTCTCGGTTCTTTTCCCTCCCTAGTACCTACCTTAATGAAACAAAATGTGGGGCCAATCTGTTTTAGCGACTACTCACTAACCATGTAGGAACGATGTATCCACAATAACCTCCTTTTTACGCACCAGTCGACCAATGAAATACCTCCGTTGCTTGTTATCAGACTTTCCGATAAGAAGATGGCTCAATTTAGCCAGGTTGAAGCTTTTTAAGCTTGCGAAGCTTTTGAAGCTTTTCCATCCTCTGCGCCGTTTACTGTTTATTTATCCTATGCAGAAGCAATGTGAGCATACCCATGAAATGCATGGGGATGGATTTCGAATGGCTGCAGTAGGAAATAATGCAGAGGATACTAGACCAATTGGAGGAGAAAGAGACGGAAATCGTCAAATCACTAAATCCAGTCATCACAACACGAGGGTTTCTCATTGGTTCAAACAAACATGGGATTTTTTAGAATCCTGAAGTTTCTTATGGTTCCTTGATTTTCTAAGCGTATCATTAAGAAAAAAAGAGACCAATACTATCATGATCATCTCCAACATGGATCCACAATCTCTTCCTCCTTGTTCTCGCATATCCTTAATAGCTCGTTCAATATTCAATTCCAATATTACATCAACTCATTCAATCTACAACCACAGAGAGACAGAACCAACTTTCATGGATTTTTATCCTCATTCACTCGCTTTCCTCCTCACCGTCTATCCAGCTTGAGAATCAACTCTCGTTTTTCAGGCTTGCAAGTTTTATTCTTTGCGATAATAAATACCTACTCCTAATTGTGATACATGCAATTTTATACATCCTTTTCCATCATCACTGCTTATTGTTGCTCCACTCCCTACATAACTCCCAAAATTTGTGCGGCGCAGGTCGAGTGTGATACTCTTCATCCATAAAACGAAGGAACGATCCAGACTCCAACTTCTCTCGGTCTTTCGAAATTACTCTGTACTCGAATCGATAACCTAGTCTCTCTTTGGATCTCCACTACACTTTGATCCCGCACCCCAAACCAAGCCAGCATTACCTTCAATCTTAAGTCTACTAGCCAGGAGACGAGCAGGAGACGGAGTAGAAAAACCTTGGAACTTGTGGATGCCATCCATTAAAAAAAAAATAACAAGCTTCCCCATTGTTGTTGTCTGCCTTCTCTTTTGAACTTCGATATCCAAATTCACACTAGAACAGTCTGCTCAGTCTTTCCTTCAAGTGCTTGGTTCGCAGAATTTCCTTCCTTCAATATCGCGTCGACTTTCGCTCTTTTACCGCTCGCTATCTTCGATCTTTGTACATACAATAATATCTGCTATTTGCATCATGTTCTCAAAGTCCATTGCCAGAGCTGGCTTGATTGCTAGTTTGGCTGTTACGACCGTTAATGCTATTTCCACAATCTCTGCAACTGGTTCAAAGTTCTTCACAAGTGATGGCGACCAATTCTTTATCAAAGGTAGGATCGAATGTATTTTTTACTTCAATTCTTGACTGACAATATCTAGGTGTCGCATATCAATTGACTGAAGCCGATCCATTAATCGATACCAACCAATGTCAACTCGATGCCTCTTTGATGAAGACCTTGGGCGCAAACGCTATTCGTGTTTACCATGTTGATCCTTCCAGTGATCACTCTGGATGCATGTCCGCCTTTGCAGATGCTGGCATTTACCTCTTCTTAGATTTGGATACTTTCACCACCGCAATCACCCCAGTAAGATATATCTTATAATTTTGGGATAAAATAATGGCTAATCACTCCTATAGACTAACGCGACTTGGGACCAAAGTCAATACTCAGCATTCAGCAAAGTGATGGATGCTTTCGCCAAATTCGATAATACTTTAGGATTCTTTGTAGGAAATGAAGTTATTGCTACGAACAACCAATCTTTAGCGGCACCATTTATCAAAGCTGCTGCTAGAGATATGAAGGCATACAGAAAGTCAAAAGGTTATCGAGAGATTCCAATTGGTTACTCGGCGGCAGATATTGCAGAATTACGTCCTATGCTTCAAAATTACCTTGCTTGCGGTACCAACAGTTCGGAAACCATCGATTTCTTCGGTTTGAATGCGTACGAATGGTGCGGTGGCAGTGATTATTCAACTTCTGGCTACAAGACCCTCAACACATATGCGGAAGGTTATAACATTCCTATTTTCTTCTCAGAGACTGGATGCAATACGGTTAAGCCAAGAACATTCCAAGATCAAGCAGCTATTCTTGGTTCAGATATGGATGATCAATGGTCTGGCGCAATTATTTACGAATGGATCGAGGAAGCCAATGATTATGGATTGATTAGCTATGGGCCAACTGTAGCAGCTACTGTTGTCGCTTCAAATGTTGCAGGTGGTTTCTCTCGTGGTGGAACTCCAACCCCTGTCGCTCCGGATTTTGCCAACCTTCAAAGTCAATGGTCAACTTTGACTCCAACTGGTGTTGCAAGCTCTGCTTATTCTCCAACTCTTACACCACCTGCTTGCCCAGCTTCGACCTCTGGAGGTTGGTTGGTTGACGGCAATGTCCCATTACCATCTATTGGTCAGAAAGAAGCAACTGGCACTACCACTGCCACAACAACTTCTGGATCACCATCCACTACCGCGAGCGCAACGGGCTCAGCTGCATCCGCAACTTCAACAAAGGGAAGCGCATCTGGTGGTAAAGAAATCACTGGTATGAGCGTTGGATTAGCCGCAGTCATGTTCGGTTTTATGTACTGGCTGTAAAATTTGGGTACATGGTTAAAAAATTCTTCTTTTCCTCAGCCTTGATGGCTTGATGTATAAACGATTATGATACGTGGGTAAAAACCATTTCACGTTAATTCGGTACATGGGCGCATTACGATGAATGAAAGCGCGGCGTTGGATTTGTACTTGGGTCCTTTTGGACGCATTAGGGTTACCTTTTTTTTCCGAGATGGGATATACAGGCCATTGTATCCTATGCATATAGAATGCATGAATAAAGGGATCAATATTTGTTATTTTAGATTACCTAAGTTTAATAGATACTTAATACCGAAATCAAATTTTGATAACTTTTGTTTAGTGTTTGTTTTTATTGTGAGGATGGAGAGTAAAGATAGAGGGTAGAGAAAATATCTTCTTTCTCCTCTTGAATCAGAATAATTGAATATTTTTTATAATAAAGAATGATAAGTTCCCCTATTACTCTTACAATACTAGCGAGATATTGCAGATGGGGATAGTTATTTACTATTTTATTTCTGGGGCTTTGAGGAGTATAATGGTTTGGTTTATTGGTCCTGATGATTGTATGTAGGTAGATTATCTGGAATTCATTGTTGATAGCTACAAAGTGGAGTAACGGAGTAAAAGAGAAGAGATAGATTTACTATGGATTAAATACCCCTCCTTTCTCATCCCATACTCTCCTTCCTTGTTCCTTGTCTTGTCTTGTCTTGTCTTCTGAGTAAAACTCTCTCTTACTCACTACCTAACAAATAAGATATATCTTTAGATAATAATAAAAAATATCTTTGTTCACCCCCATGGTAAAGTAGAGTAAGAGCTTCCAAATGGGATAAATCTGGAAGAAGAGGATTTCTGCGCGGGCTTTCGCTAGGTTTCTAATCAATTGCGTTTGTTCTAATCTCCTGATGTTCGGGGTAGGTAGGATAGGATAGGTAGGGGGGTGCATTTCTGATATTAATTAATTCTCTTGGCCTCCATTTTGTGGGGTTTCTGGGGCTTCGGTACTTTGGGATTGGTATTTCTCTAGTAGCTCTAATTACTGCGTTCTCGCTGGGTGGACTGTTGATTGGTAGGTGGAGAGGAAGACGGGGACGAAGAGGGCGAGGACGAGGACGAGGACGAGGACGAAGAAGAAGAAGAAGAAGAAGAAGACGAGGACGAAGACGAAGACGAAAAAGAGGACGAGGAGGAAGAAGAGGACGAGGACGAAGACGAAAGATCAGCTGAGAAGACTAAATACTGATTTACGAGTTGTCTCAATTCTGAGGGTGAAGCGAACCACGAGAACCCGGATTTGACTCTGTTGAGGTATCGAGTAATAGTGAGGAGGTGATTGTACCGTCTCGAGCAGCTGCCCCAGCATTGGAATCTAGTGTTCTGGATTCTAGCCTTACGAGAAAGAAGGCTGGGTATTTACAATCCGAGAAAGTCTGTGATTGATCTTTACAAGTCGGTTTGCATCATCTTTCGAATCTGGATACACGGATGTTAAGGAATCTCATACACCTAGTTCGAAGAAAAGGACAGTTACGTCGTCTGTCTCAGCTGCAAGACCTGGTGGTCTTAACTTCAACCTCACAGTAAGAAAGGCTGGATACATCTATGATCCCCGAAAGTCTATGGTCGATCTCATAAATCGGTTTGCTGCAACTACCGATTCTCACGATACCGACCACAGTGAATCTTAGTGAATTCGATTTCTCTGATACACGAAGCTTGAAAGAAGAGCACTTAAACCACCGGCACTATCTCCTCCATCTGCTGCAGCATCAAATAAATTAAAAATCAATCTTACAGCAAAACAAGCAGGTTCCTGCTAAAACCCTCGAGAGTCTACAATTAATCTCACAAACCGGTTCACCTCACCTTCCAATTCCGATCTTGCTGAAAATAGCAACGACAACGAATCTTGTTTTAACTCTACACCAAATAATACTCCGTCTCCAATTACACCCGTTCTTCACGTTTACCACTCCCTTTACCTTTACCTCAGTGGCAATAACACCATATTCCTGTCGATTCAAATAATCCAAGACTTCTCCTTCTGCAGGAACCAAAAGGAAAATGGAACAAGCTTATGCTGAATGGCAACAAGCAGAAATGCATACACCAAGAGCTCCATCTTTTTCTTCAATTATCATGGCAGCTGACACACCTGAAGTCAGAAAAGTCGAGCAATTCAATCAAGGTGAACATGCACCTGCACAATATAACCAACAATCACAAATGCAAACCTTCGAATCTTCCCGCGCACCTTCATACTCAAACCTAGCCAATGCTTCTTCTCAACCTCAAGTTCACTATCCAAATACCTCAACCACCTCATCTTCCATTTTTCCCCTCAATCTCCCATCTCCCAACGTCCCAATCCGTCTAGAACCTCACTCACCAATCCTCGATCACTTAACCGCTGAATACATCGCCCAAGGACCTCATCCTCAAATTCCGCACGTCTCTCATGCAATCGTAGACCAAGTACACGCATCTGAGATATTGAACAAACATGTTTCTGACCGCATGCCATTTGTGCGCGCTGCTTCTACGAGATTACAGGCTGTGCTGGGAGTGCGTAATGATTTGCCATTCGATTTACTTATGGGGAGTGGAGAAAATGATGCAAGGAATTTGGTCGTGGGTGCCGATGGAGCGTTGGTGGATTTGGGACTTGCGGGTTTGGAGGAAGGTGGGGATTTTGTGGGTGGTGATTCATATGCGAGGGGTATTGGTGAGAATCTTGATGCTGTTAGAGGTAATGGTGTTGTAAGTGGAGATTCTGGAAAGGATCAAGAAGATATGGACACGCAAATGGATTTCAACACCGATATAAACATCAATACCAACAGAGGACAAAATCCAAACACCACAGCATACCATCGCCAAAACATCAACACCCTTCCATTTTCCCCCACCAACCACTTTCCACCTTCCCAAAACCAACAAAACTTACCCACCAGTCTCCTCGACGAATTCCCTCAAGACCAAGACCCAAAAATATCCCACTTTTTCCTATCATCCTCAGTAAACCCACACACAGGCGAAGGACTCCGCCAATATCTTCTCAGACGAGCTCTCCTCACTGGCTCTAAAAAGAGAGTGTGTAGAAGTATATCGTTTCATGATTTTACACCGGATGTACGGACGGGGGAGTTTTGCAATAAGTTGTTGGTGCATTTTGGGGTGGATGTACCTGGGCAAGGGGTTTCTAAGTGTGATAGGGTTGAGGTTGTGGAGTTGAGTTTGTGAGTTTTTGTTTTCTTTTCGTTTTTTTTTGTTTGGATTTGGGTCTGGGTTTGATGGATTGGGAGCGTTATGTTTGATTTTCCTGAAGTTGTTGTTGTCGTTGTGGAGAGTTTGTTGTGGAGTTTGTGGGATGGAAGTTGTTGTGGCAATGGTGGGATTTCTGTTACTGCCACACAGCTTGATTAGCGGTTCGAGGGAATGGAATGACGGGATGGCATAGTTGCCGTCTTCCAACTTTGTACGTCGTTTGTATATTCCATTTGTGGCACTTCAACTTGACAGCGCAAATGGTTTTTGCTGTCAATCTGCTTCTCCCACTCTCCTCCTTCTCCACTTTTCTTTTCATTTGCTCATCCATTTCAAAAGCAACTAAAAACCCCTACTAACAACCCCCCGCGGCAGACCTGACAAAAACGGCATTCTTCACCCCTGGCTCTCAATCTTCATCCAAAAACCTTTCCTCACCATTACCTCCCCCCTCAAAAATCCCAGAACTAGCACACCCCCCAACTTCCCCTCTCCAATCCCCACAACCTGGCTCTGTCTCGCCGTTCCTCTCGCAAACATAACTACCTACCCCATCCAATCCGATACCAGCTTACCCTCCTCCCTCCTCGAAGAAAGCCTCCTCAAAAACAAACATGGACTTCCTACCAAAAAGATAGCCAGACGTCAAGATTACGATTTCTCCTTCCAAGGAATACCCATCTTTGAATTTTCCACCCGGAAATTATTCGGTCCTACATCTCCATCTCCATCTCCAGCCACCTTCTCCTCCCCCACCCCCCAACCACCCATCTCCGACTTCCTAAGCATCTCCTCACTTCCCCCCTACGACCCCAAGGACCCATACCTCCCATTCCCACCCCACATATCTCAAAATCCCACACACCTCCAAAATGCCGCTCGAAAATACGCATATGCGGCAGGTGTTCCACGCGAGGAATTACACACTTTTGGTGAGATGATGGAAGATGAGAGTGGAGTAGATATTAGCGAGGAATTGTCGCCTAATGAGGGCATTTGGTGGAGTATGTTTTATAGGGGAATTACGAGGGATAGGATTATTTGGGAGAGGGTTAGGAGGTCGATGGGGAGGGGAAAGTGTAGGGTTGTTGTTCGGTGGGAGGAGGTTTCTGGGGGTGAAGAGGGGGTTGGTGGTGATGATGGAAGGGCGGGGTTGGGGTTAGGGTTGGGGTTGGGGTTGGAAAGGAGAGAGAGTGAGGTGGAGAGAGTTATGCAGGAGGTGGGTAGAAATTCAAAGGGAAAAACAAGGAAAGGTATGAACGGGGCCACGAATCAAAATGACGGGCTCGGCATTATGAATTCTAATACGGGTATTCATACACATTCTACACGATTAGTATCGGGATCGGGATCAGGCGAAGCTATACGTGCGAGGACAAATAGTAATAAGATGAGTATTAATGGACCGGGACACAGTGGTACCGATATTGAAACGCAGAATTCAGGCGAAAATGCAGGGGAAGGTTATGGATGGGAATTTTATGAGATGAGATGAGATACAAGATAATTAATTAGTGAGAAGATGAGAAAACGGAGTTGGGATAAATGATGAGTTATCTTTTTTTGCAGTGCTTCTTGCTCACTTTTTAAGTGGGAATGTGTGGAAAATAAATAGAGTTTCATTTTCTGGTCGTTTAGCTAATCTTATGAGATTTATGATGGACGCGTGGATGAATGAATGAATGGATACATACATACATGGAAAGAAAGACTTTTAGGATTTCTCAGGCAGGCAGATATCGAGCGGATAGACATCTTCTAATAAGATTACTAACAAGTCTAGGAATTAAGAATGAAAATAAAATTAAAAAATAAACTGATTAATTACAAGTTATTAAACCTTCTATATCAGAAACAGATTTGATTTATTTATAACCTTAAATTCTATAGGAATTAAACGATATATATATATATAAGAGTTCTAGTCGTTACTCACTATACTCTTTTTAAATTCTATTTAAATTTTTGAAAATTTAATATTAAATCAACATTACAATATATTTTATTGAAAATTTAATAATATATTAATAAATAATAATTAATCCTTTTATTTCAATTATATTTTTTAATTTACAGATTAATTTTTCAATATATAATTTGAAATCTAAGAGATCAAATATCTTTTATAATTTTTTGAGTTTCTTTTTTAATTCCTCAATAGAAATAAATATAAATAATAATTTTTTTAATTCTTTTTTTATTCAATATTATATTCTTTTAATTAGATTGAGATCTGAAGAAAAAAATAAATTATTAAAAGTTTCTAATATTATACTTTAATCAAATTAATTTAATATACTTTAAATAAATCTTTATATTATTCTTTATAAATATATATTCAAATTTTAATTTGTTAAATAAAGAGAATCTAATAAAAATAAGAATTTGATTTTAATATATTATTAAAATTCTTCTTCAAAAAGATTAATAAAAATTTATAATTTCAATTAAAAACTTTTTATATTATTACAAAGATCCTTTTTGATTTGTATATTGATTTGATATAATTCTTATATTTTTTTTCTTTAATCTTATAAATCATTTATATTTTATTACATTTTTCAATTTCGAAAATACTTTCATTCGATTATATAACCTTTCTGTCACGATTCACGGTTTTCTTTATAGTAGTATTATTGACGTCGGTGATTTATATGCCGACTACAGGGGGGGTGTGATTTAACCGTTGCTTTCGGGGGTCCTGATTACCTAAGCCTAGGACCCCAGGATTCCTAGGATAAGTATCCTAGGCAACCATAGTAGAATAGGACAAGTGTCCTAGCTAGTTGGTTGTAATGGGACTATCACCCTAGAGGATATCGTATCCTAGGGCTATGGTTCCTAGAGGGAAAGCTCCTGGGACAAGTGTTCCAGGAAAGGAAAGGCCTTGGGATATGAGAAGCCTCAGGATCAATCACGTGATGTGCTAGCTCTGCTAGCCAGCTAGCATAGCTAGCATGGGAAAAGAGATTAGTATATAGTCAGAATAGTTTCATAGTTTAGGAGCTTCGTGCTCAACTTAGTTATCAATTAGTTTACCTACATTCCAATTGATCTAGTAACGTATTCACCTTCGAGTGGATAACCAGTGATTATTAGCCTTAACCTACAACTACCAATCAGACGAAAACCTGAGGCAGCCGCTGCCTCAACCAGATCGTTACACTTTCTTCAATCATTCCCTTTAAGCTTTTTGAAAATCACATCGATTATTCTTCATCAATAATATATATATATATAAAATCTAATCTTTTTTTTATTTATTTTTTAAAAATAAATAATCTAAAATAAACTCTACAATATTTATAACTATATTAATATAATTCATATCAAATAATATATATCGAAACTCTAATTTCTAATATATATTTCATTTATTTAAAAATCATTTTTTTTCCTCTTCAATCTTTTATCAATTTCTTTATAATTCATCGAATCTCTTTAACTATCATTATAAAAAATCAATATATCTTCTTCTCTTTACAAATAATTCTAAATGAATTCGATTTAATAATACCTTTTATAATACTTTAAAATACATTCAAATTTTGCTCAATCCAAAACCACGATTTCCCATCCCCTTTAACCTAAAAGAGTCTAACTCTACAAAGGATACTCCAATTTTGATGAAATTTATAATTATCATTTTTATCTTGAATTTCAATATTCTTTTTAAATTTGAATAGAAATTATTGAAAATTGGAATTTTGATAAATTATTTATAGTTAAAGGTTGGAAATAAGATTATAGATATTTTTCGATAAAGTGTGCAATTAGAAGTTTCCAGAACTCTTACATTGATACATTGATACATACATAGTTACAAATACAAATACAAATACAGATACAGATAGAGATACATAAATACAAATACAGATTTCGTTCCATGCTACGCTACCTAAAAATGCATTATAACAATCGAGTTGTGATCGCGAATACTAGATCGCATGATCCCCATCCATCATTAACATGATCGATATACCACGAACTAATCTCGGCCGCGTTTGCAGAGGTGAGATTTGAGGGCCGCCTGTGCTTCATTCCTATCGACGCCTGATTCATCATACATGAAAAATATACACTCGTCACGTCCTTTCGACTCTCTAACTCATCAACCATTAAGACGAAGCACCTCCCCACCAACCTCCTGTCATTCCACTCTTCATAGCTTTTAATCCTTCTTCCTTGGCTTTTTCCTCCATCTCGGCCTCTTCCTTCAACCACTTTGCTCCATTTTCTCGAATTTCCTTTTCAAATGCCTCATAGTTCTTCTGCCCTCTTTCTCTCGCTAAATCTTGTAACATCTTTCCCTGGGCAAGCGCATCCGCTAGACTCTGTTCATTAGGATCTGTCACCATCATTCCACCAGGCTTAATACCCAATGCACTTCCTAACAATCCAACACCGCCACCTCTCTTTCCATGCTTCTTTCGTTCTTCTGCAAGTTGTTCTTGGAACTTCTTTCTTGCTATTGCTTCACGTTTGGCAAATTCAGTAGGGATATGTGTGCCCTCAAATGATTTAATGGCTTTGCGTACATCTGCGTATTGCATAGTAGGGATGTATTCAAGGAATGGAATCAAAGAGACAAGTTCTTTATCTTTCACATCGCCTTTCCATGGCTTAAGAATTATTGCGTTTTCTGGTTGTTTCTTGGCGTGGTGTGGTTTGGTATCGATTAAAATGACTTTCGAGAGGTCACGGTTGAGGTATGAAAGGTCCTAATACGAATTAGTAAAACAACAAAAATGTGATCCGAAATTCTTACCTTGATATATTCTCCATTCTCATAAAGTGTTGCCTCTCTGAAAAGTGGCCATGTGATGATATGATATGGATCGAATTTTCGAATAACTGGCTCTGCTAAAGTGGATGGTTGAGTGGTAAAGATAACCAATTCATAATATTGACTTAAATATCTCAAGAAATAATCAACACCAGGTCGTTTCGCCAATCGCCAACCATGTTCTCTAGTCCATTCACTATGAATTAAAAGATCCTCCATACTTAAAACTAATGTGTAAGGGCGCTCAAACATAGGAGTTGGATCAGGTAATAATTTTGTAAAAGCTGGCTCTGTGTAATGACCAATTTGGTCTCCAGTTCGAGCTCTTACACGATTCCACATGCCACTAAGTGACCAGCCAGATGGAGCAGTTTCCGCGTGTAGTTTTTCTTCTTCCTCGGTCTCCCAATTTCGACCCAAGTATACCGTACCGGTGATCGCAGATACGAAAAAGGCAAGATACATGTAGTTGGCCATCTGATTTCGCTTCCTTTCCGAGGAAGAAACATACGCGGATGCTGGCAATTCCCCGCGACCCTTGCCCCCAGCGCCAGGAATCTCTTCAGGATCTGCCGCTTCTGTAAGATTTAATGGCGAAGTCTTCGATTTTCTATTTGCCAATTCGAAATCCAATGTCGAAGGAATTCCTTGGGTGAGATCTGGTAGAGGTTTGTTTTCGGTTTCTGCTTGTGCGGGGTCGACGGCGATTGTCTCGAATTCATCTTGTTTACCAGAGAACTCTGAACTTTCGCCTTTTCTGGCATCTGGGTTTGGTACGCCAGCACCTCCGCCCACTGACTCCGGCACAGTATTCCTTTGCGGTGAAGCATCCTTGCTCACTTCATCTTGGGCCTTGGAAAAGTCTGGATTACCAGATTTATCACCACTCTGTCCTGGCTTTTGTGAAGTGAAAGCAGCTTGTGCCCCACCTGGAGCAGATGGTTTTGGCGTACCCGAAGATCTATTGTATCCTGTAGGTTTTTTAGGTTGGCGATTATTACTCGCCATCGACCGAGTCCATGATGTCGACGAGGCTATCCGGAAATTCGTCGAAGTATTTCTTAGAGCCGGTGTTTGCAACGACCTCCCAATAGCTCTAGACAACATTATGAAGGAAAAGTATCAATGTACACAGCTTACTCCAATGAAGAAAAGATTTATATGCGAAATCGCATTGAATACTGTTGAAGTTCTTGTCAGTAAAGAGAAACTTCAAAGTCTTTTTTGCTTTTAGCCTTACAAAATAACCTTTGATTCCTTAAAAGTTCCCTTTATTTATAACAAAATGACAAAATATCAATTTTCTACAATGATGCGGGCGGGAAATCTTAACGCTAGTACTAAACTATACTAGTCTCAATTGGCGTCAATTCGACAATCGATTTCCCCCACCATAAAAGCATCGATTCATTTTCGGATTGTGGACATTCTTTTCTTTTCTTTTTTTCCTTAAAGTTGACACTCAGTGGACAGAAATTTATACTCATCGCGCCTACAATAACCGTGGACGAAGAGTTGAACAATCTGAGGAGAATAAATATGACACTTTCAAGAATTGGATGTTAAGCCGGTGCTTGAAAGAGTTACCGGCTACTCAATTACAACTTCAGTCCCGTGGTGTCATAACATTCCATATATCTATCTATCTATCCATCCATCCATTTATCTACCCAAAACCCATTGTGGAAAATATTCTTACGGATCTCTCTCATTATCTGCATCGCGACTCTGTTCTTTGGACGCCTTCTATCAGGAGCTTTCTTGTTTATAATTGAAATCATAAATACCATCCGTCATTCAGTCTTTCGCGTTAATCAGACGATTCAACTTTCTTATCTGTGACTTTGAATCATTTATCTACTCAACACGCGATCTCTTCCCATCGTCTAATTGAAGCTCAACAAACCTAACACCTACCAATCTCTCTACAGCATATCAACAAGAACGAGAACGACAATTTGGTTTTGTTACCTCTACTTAAACAATAACAATTGATATGGCGCCGTCTATGAAGCAACATACTCTTACTATACGGAACCATCGTCGCGCGATAGCAAGCACGCCTGTATCTGGTACCTCAGCTCCGAATTCGTCCGCATACCCATCAGCTTATCCATCCGTTGCTGAAGACATAACTCTTATCACTTCTCGCAAAACCAAACAATCCTTTCCATTTCTTTCCCTGCCTTCCGAACTTCGTACCAAGATTTACACTCTCATATTCGCCCCTTTCCCTCAAGTTATCGACCTCGACCCTACAACCTTTTCCATCATTCATCGTCACAAACTATTCTCACTATTCCATGTCTGCAAACAACTTTACAATGAATCATCTCACCACTTCTTTTCGACCTATACTTTCCGCATCTTTCCCATCCATCCAGGTCGCTATTTTAAGACAAAGAAACCTCTACTCGCGCGTCTGCCATCTCATTATCGCAACTCTATCACTACACTTGAACTTCGTCTAGGTCCTGGCTGGAATAGTCCGCCCAGAGGTTGGGTTGTATCACCTTTACTTGGACTTTCCGATTGCACATCCGTTCGCGTTTTGAAAATATTCGTAGAATGTGATCCATCGGACGCGATATTTAAAGGTTTTAGAGTAGGCGATGGATTCTATGAGGGCTTTTGCCAGGAACTATTACAAGGGATATTCAAAGATGTGAAGGGAATTCAAACTGTTGAATTTGATGCCTTTCCTGGTGTGAAGAGGAGCGGAGATATGATGAGTGGACTGCGAGAAGTTGTGGAGAGTCATAAAAAGGTTGTGACATGGGGTCCTGAAAGGGGTTGGGGAGTGGAGAAATCTGGAGAAGGCAAAGAACGAATTTGGTTGGATGCTGTGCTTGTGCATGGAGTTGGAAGAGCGAGAGTTGTTCCAGCGGGAGTAGAGGGTATTATGGCTTCAGCTTGAGTTACGCCATACTTCTATTGAAGCGCGGGTATGATGACACGAGTGAAATGAAGTTAACGTTAACACGATCGGCGAATACAGTAGGTCATTTGTTTTGAAATCAGATCGGACAGTTTGTAAAATTGAAGATGCATCAGGGAAAGGGAATCGAAATGGCACGAAGGCATGTAAAATTCCTCTTCATCTTGCACATAATATAGTCATGCTCAATACCACTTTATTCACGACCCTTTCTATCATGACAACTTTTTTTCTACTCCATGTCCCAGAATTCCTAGCCACTATGCCACTCTGGTTTCGGTTCAAATACTAATTTAATTCAACACAACTAACTGACATCAATCGAAAATGAATTCAAAATGTTGGACAGCTCACTTTCTTACATCTAGTTCTAATAGTATTGGCGTATGTAATTTAACAATTATAATTGAAATACATCCCCATATCCAAAATCATCCCAATATCCAGAAGTCTAGACTGTAGTTCAGACTATTGCACACACATGATCTCAAGCAAGTGCCAAATTCTGGGAGTATTTACACATCTTCAATGCAAGAGCAGCAGGGTGACAGAACTAGCTTTCTCATCGCTAGGGTTGACAGAATTCTGCGAGGACATCCCGATTGAGGCGAAAGGTAGAACTCAACGATAGATACAAAGAAACATGATACAGAAATCTGGTCGTATAGGTTTTAGATTAAGCCATATTAAATTTCAAGGTAAAACCATTGATTGCAAAGCTGACTCAGAAGGTTTGAAATGCTGAGCAAGCGATTTAGCGAATAGTAGTTAGCCAATCAGATTCATACATTATCAATCCTTAGCTTCAGCCACATTTCCCGATAATTCCCTCTATTCATTGGTCAGCTTTGTCGCAGCGCCCTTAACAATGTGCAAGACTCTTAATCAGCAACTCATAAGCAATGCGATAAGCATTTCATCATCATCATCATCAATACTCTCTCTACAGCTCTACGAGTAACAAAACATCTAAAGTTAATAGCTCCATAGAAACTAATCACCTAAAAATCTTTAAATATTCTTTCAAAGAAGGTTCTTTTTATTTCTCACTCTTTCCCATATCCTATTAAACTGTCATGACTTCCTGAAATTACTTCTCGTCATCTTCTCAATCATCATTGCAGTATCCTCAATTATATTTCGAGATCCAATTATTGAACACATCGAAATCATAACTAACTTGTTTACCAACAATCCATCCACAACTCCTTCCCTAAAACAACTTCCTAAATTTCCTTTTCCTTCATATTCTACTTCCTCCAAAGTAATAAATATGACAACACCCAGAGGAATCCAAAAGTCTTTTTTGGCACGCGAGCAGGCCGAAGGTGCAGGCGCAAGAGTTCGTCGTTCAATCGGTTCACCTCAGCTAAAGAACCTCTCACCATTTCTCATGCTTGACCATTTTCACAGCAGTTCCTCAGCTGGATTTCCAGATCATCCACATAGAGGACAGGAAACGTAAGATAACAATCTGCTTCCCAAAATGAACTTCGCTAAAATACTCTTCATCAGGATAAGTTACATTCTTCAAGGCGCTGTCGATCATGAAGATTTCGCAGGAAACAAAGGTACGATAGAAGCGGGAGATCTTCAGTTTATGACTGCAGGAAGAGGAATAATGCACTCAGAAATGCCACGAGACAGTGCCGATGGCAGCCCAAATATTGGATTACAACTTTGGGTAGACTTACCCGAGAAACTCAAGAAATGCGAACCACGATATCGTGATCTACGAGCTAAGGAAATACCACAAATTGATATCGATGACGGAAAAGTCCATGTGAAGATTATTTCAGGACAAAGTCATGGTGTTGATAGTGTAAAAGAGCTCGCTTACACACCTGTTTGGATTTTCGATGTAGAAATCAAACCTGGTGGGAAGATTGAGCAACCTTTACCTGCCGGCTGGAATGCTTTTGCTTATATTTTAAGCGGAGAGGCTGTATTTGGAGGTGGGGATGAGAAGACCAAGATTGGAAAGTTCCACAATGTGGTATTCCGTCAGGAAGGAGATTTTGTGAACGTAGAAGTAGAAGAGTCTGCTAAAGAAAATGGTCATTTCAGTAAGTTAGCTTGTTTATTTGGTTTATTCCTGCATGAGTTTCCACCGCCTCCACCGCCAAATTTGGCAGGACAAAAGAGAAGGAAAGCTCGTTTAACTACTTCCATCCCGACCGTCAAGCACTACTTTTAAAGTCCAAGACAGTAAAATCATTCAACGGATTGAAGGCATACAAGAACCAAACTGATAGTGCGTTCGCCGGGAAGCGACCTCTTTCGATGCTCATGAGGCAGGATCTGTAAGGAGGGCCGAATGTCCCCCTGAAGCGGTGACACTATAGCCGAGCGACAGGGGTGCATGTTTGGTGGGGTAAATTTCAAAGCAAGTGCTTCAATGTTTGAGGACATGTTTCTTTGATACATCGCAACTATCTAAGATAACCATTCATCTGGCCGTCGTTGATATTGATGAATTAGTATCATTACCTTGGTATTCCCATCACAACTAAATCCCTATTCAAGCACAACTTTCCATCTACTCATCTAAAAAATTTATTTCATTTCCACCTTCCATAACACAAAATAAATACTAACAAATCAAAAAGTCTTAGTAGCAGGTCAACCTCTCAATCAAAGAATAGTCCAATATGGACCCTTTGTCCTCAATTCAGAAGAGGAAGTCTATCAAACGATGATAGATTTCGAAACTCACACTAATGGTTTTGAGAGGGCTAAGGGATGGAGAAGTGAAATTGGGAAGAAGGCTGCACGGCTTAGATAACCTTATTATAGAATTGTAGGGGTTCTTAACCTTTGTGTGTAATTATAGCTTAATTGTTAAATATCGTTTAGTACTAAATTGGCTGTAATAGGGGTTTGATCTTGGGTGATATTGAATAGTAGATGGTAAATAATAAATTTTGTTGACTATTTTTCTTTAATTAATAGATACTTCCACAAGTTATAGTATACTATGCTATATATATAATGGTTTCATAAAAGTGTCTCTTTATACAATAAGTCTTAGATTATAGGAAAGGATGATATTATAATTATTATAAATAGATAAAATTAATTTATGGAAATTTTTATTTATCTTCTACAATGATAGAGTTGTTTATTATTCTTAAAAGTGGACGTTTCAAGATATTCCAAGTGATTTAATACAGTACCTACCTAAAACCAGCCCAATACCAGAAAATAAAAAATTCGTCTCCATATCTCCCATATCCGACCCCATACTCCAGTACTTTCACCAAAAAACCGCCTAATCTCAAACAAACCCTCCCTAAACCTCTCCACTCCCCTCCTAACAAACCTCAAAGAAACCGGCTCCCTCAACATCTGCAGCGTAATAACCGACTCACTCTCCCTGATCGATTTCCTCGCCCTCTCAACCGCCCTCCCATAAACCTCTTTCTTTCCCTCCCCATCCCTCAATCTCCCCATCACTCACCCACCCCCTGACATCCAACTCCACACTCCACTCTCTAAACACCACCGCCAAAACCCCCCATCATCTCCACCTGCGCAAACCTTTTCCCAGGACACGCTCTCGCGCCTTCGGAAAACGGTAGAAAAGCTCCTTTGCGCGGTACGAAAAGTTGTTCCTCTCCTGGAGTATTAGGAGGTTCTTTATCCCTTGCGTTCATCTCGTAGCCTGGTGGCCATCTCTCCGGTACGAAATCATTCATATCGTGAGTTTTGGTACTTATTTTACTTTTTTGACAGGGCCAGTAATGGGGATTGCGATGCGCACCTGCGATGTTGAAATAGATGTAGGTGTTTGCTAAGATTGTGACTATTTAAGAATCGAGGTTCAGGTGTTGTGTTTCGTGTGTTGTTTTGGGGATATCAATAGCGGGAGGCATGAGTCTTAGGGTTTCATTCATGATGGCTCCTACGAAACTGTTGAATAGAGTCGGGAAATCTCACTCGTAGTTCCAGGAATCAGATGCTCGGTTCGAGAGAATTTTGTCGAGTGTTGACTGGAGTTTCTCTTGTGAAGCTTGGTAAATGGCTAGGAAGAGAGACATGTAATGGGTGGTGTTGCCTGTAGTTTCGTGCCCGGCAAATGTGAATATGAAGGAATCGCTATCGCTTCTTTTTTCGTGAGCATTATTTTTGAGGGATCTGACGGGTCAACTTGTGTTGCTTTTACCAGTGAGCCTAGTTTTTAATTAGCACTTGTCCATGAGATGAATAAGGATAAGTACCTATGATAGCCATAGTTCCATCTTCCTTAGTCTCTCCCCGCTCAATACCCGCAGATTGTGATCAAATAGCTCATTAGAATAATTACCACATTCCACGAATGATTGGTACCACTTCTTATGGATCTTTAAGGGTGAAATTCCTGAAATCTCTTTAGATGTGACCTCTAATTTAGCTCCACTAGAAAAGAAAATTCCACTCACTATACACCCACATCGGAGCGAGCGCAGCCCAATTGATGTTCAGTCCAGCAGCAATCAGGATTTCTACTATCTCTGTATTCCCGAAGCAGCAAGCATAATGAAGTAAGTCACCTCCATCCTCTAAAAGAATATCGATACTAGCGTCTTGGTTTATCATATCCTCCACGATCTGCCGGTGTTTCCCCATATTGCTAGATGAATTGGGCAGAGATTTTCCGAGTTGCGAGACATCATATTGGCCCCGGCAGATATTAGTACCTGACATGCTTGATGTTGACCGTTCTCCGCAGCGATATGCAGTGGCGTTTTCCCCTTCATTTCTTGAGTATTTGGATCTGCCCCAGCTCTTAGGAGTTCCTTAATAGTATTCACATGATTTTCCCATGAATAATAATGCAGGGCTGTTCCGCAAATGCCCTTTACGACCCCTATATGCTTGATCACCATTTGGGCCTCTGCGAGGCATCGAGGTTGGGCAAGACTGGTCTTCACGTCAACACCACATTTTCCTTCAAGATCATGATTCAAAAGTAACCTGACACAAGCAAAATGGCAATTATAAGCCGCGATATGCAATGGATATACTTTCTGATGAGTAGTCGGTTTCCCCAATTTGAGAATCTTTTCCATAATCTGTTCGTCTCCCAACATTGCAGCCTGGTGGAGAGGTGTAAATCTAGCCGTGACGATGGGCTTAGTGCATGTCACTACGCCATCTAGTGATGCTCCATTATCCAGTAGATAATGAATGATTTCTTTGTGCGAGTTTGTTACAAATGCCTTAAGTAATGGACTACATTCGCAGCAATAAGAGCCTTCAAGCTTGTAGCCACTTTGAAGTAAATATTTAAGAGTCGAGAAGTCCTGGCGAATGATGCATCTTCAATGGCGCCCGATACATACTTATTACCTCCCACTGGTTCAGTCGCCCCGGCCAATATATTGCTATCTGAACAAACAGGCGCAGATGGTGCTAGATGGATGGAATATCAGTAATTGGCATGATCTCCAAGTGGTAGCCATCATCCACAGAGATAACTAGCTGACTAAGACGATAAAGGACAAGTACAGCGGAGACTCACGAAGTTTTGCTGGAGTGATAGCCAAAATCTTTGCTATACTTTCATACACAAGATCCAAAGCAATCATAGATGGTGTCAATTCTGCACCATCACGAGCTTGGGCGTCGGCTCCATATTGAAGGAGAGATTTAACAACTAGTTCGTTGCCAACTACAACAGCAAGATGCAACGGTGTCAATTTACGCGGGCCGTAGAGCTCGCTAGTGGTGGCACTATATGATAGAAGCAACTCTATGGTGTCATGCTGTATGCCATAAATCGCCAAAAACAGCGGAGTTGTGCCGAAGCTAGCAGTAAGATTGAGATCTGATTTACTACCAATATCCAGAGCATACTGTACAATCTCTTTGGTGCCGCGATAGGAAGCGCTATGCAGGGGCGTCACATCTTCTATCTCGGTAAGAAACTGTTGCCTAGTCCCTGATGAAAGTGCAGGATAATCGTCTATTTCCATCATGCTGATCCCGGGTATGAAATGACCCCGGAATTCCAATTTAGTTTTCTGATGCCAATCATTGATGCCATGCTCATGAAGAAATTCACACAGTAGTGAATTTGACGCATAAGCGAGCGAGAACACTAAATTCGAAGGGGATATATATTGGTCAAGCAAAATACAGCCATACTGCAGCAGCAAACTGACGATTCTTGTATCTCCGGACTGAACGCCCGCTAAAATCAGCGGCTGCCCATCTCGACTTAAGATATCTGCCTTCCATCCCGCTAGAAGCACTTCTTCAGGAACGCTGATCTGGTTGTTGAAACATGCTAAATGAAGCATGGTAGAGCCACGAGCACTGAGTGCGGTTTTATCTGCATGATTCGAAAGAATTTTGCCGATGAGTTTTTTATCGCGTGATCCATAAATACAAAGCATTTCAAGGGCTGTTCGCGGGGGGTTCCCCTCATCAAGAGAGATGGCGTCAATGCCTCGATCAAGAAGTGCTTGGCTGAGTTGATCTTGCTTGAGACTAAGAGTAATATGAAGCAGACGGCGGCCATCAATTAAGGTGTTGTTGAGCTGATCTATGGAAGCCGCGGATATTAAAAGAAGCACAGTTTTGGGGCCGAATGGTTGGAGCTCCGGATCATCAAGAATTTCCAGTTTGTTAAACATTATGTGTAACTCAGTCATATTTTTCTTGTTGGCTAATACCAGAGAATTACTGGTGTCATTTTCTGCATGAACCTTTTGGTTTGGGAAATCCAATGTTGTCATGAATTTTTGATTGCAGTCACTGTCGTCTTCATGGCCATATTAATATTCATTTTTACCATGTTGGTGGTCATAGCTATCGTATTTACTCCGATATTTGGAACTTTCTGGTATGTCCAGCTTGGCGTTATTGGTTGCTTTCGAATTTTTGACTGCCAACAAACATGATATACATTGAACTCAATTTGTGTGAAATGTTCCGTTTTGCAAAGGTAGTGCAGTGCCGTATTCCCTTGTTCGTCTTGTTGAGTGGCCATGGCTCCATGGCGCAGTAATAGCCTTATCACCCTAGCCTTGAAGCTCCGCCAAGAAGGGTCCGAATTTATTGTTCCTTTCCGGAGTAACATGTTGCAAAGCACTAGCAATGCTGAATTACCATTTTTATCTTGAACTTCCAAGTCCAAATTTCGGCTGGATGCTAGAAGTAGTCTTAGCATCCTTATGACATTGGACGGAAGGTCATTGCGATTTTTTACTACTATATGTAAAATCGAGTGCCCGAAGCCGGTGAGACAATTTAACATGTGTTCATCGTGCACGTATCAAGAATGGACCACCGAGCATCGGAGCTCTGCAGGAATGCATGGTTGGTCAAGGCTCTGAATGTCGAAGTATCTCGACATTTCAGAGAGTGTGGTGTCAAAAAAAAGTTGAGAGTTTCGCGGAATGTGTGAAAATCACATTCAGCTGCCAAATGCAAAGGTAGAAATCCTTTGGCTGTTGGTATGCATGGATCTATGCATGACTGTTTGAGCATCGCAACTTTTTGACACGAATAAATCCGAGAATTTATGGCCGCGTGGAGGCAATTGACCCCATCTTTAAATTGGAGCAATACACTCGACGAACTTGAAGCCTGCAGAATAAACTTAAATACTTCGGATGTGCTGGTTGCTGCTGCCTCCATTAACACGGTCCACCCTGAAAGCGTCGCAGTAGAAAATGAATGATGATGCCTGGAGGATTGGAGCAAATATTTGATCATGTAGATGCTCTGTCTAACAGCGGAATGCAGTGGTGTGAGCCCCGATTCACTAGGTTTGTTGATATCTGCTCCATTCTCTTCTAGAAATGTGGCAACATCTAGATGTCCACTCGCAATTGCTAGGTGAAAGGGTGTCACACAATCCGAATAAAATGGATAGTATCCTGAGTCTACTGCATCATTGGAAGTAGGGAGATTGATTGAGGCGCCATGATTAAGAAGGACCTTAACAATTTGTAACTGGCCGTCTTTTGAAGCACAGTGTGGGGGCGTTCAGTCCGTTTATTTTGGAGTAAGAATCAATATTCAGACGACCTTTTTTCAATATTTGTAGCACCGTGTACATCTGAGCAAAAGTAATTGCTGTTAGTAACACAGCCATGTCGTCAGTAGAGTCGATGTCGTTGATAGAGTTGAAGAATGGATCCGGAGGAGGTCTACCCACGAATTGCATTCTTTGTGCAAGTTGCATGAGCTTAAAACAGGAAATAAATAGATAGTGTTAGCATGGCAGTGATTTCTAACCTCGAGAAATCACCAAGTTTGAAAAGCGGCCTTGAGGAAACTGACCTTGGATTGAGATAATCCGGGACATTCTTTGATTGTGTCGTTTATACGAAACTTATAACAAAGTTAGAATCTAGATCCTCTTCAAGAGCTTTCATACATGAATCAGTTAACAGAGCTCTATGTTGAAGTAGTAACTCCCATCCAAAATGGGCTGTAGTGGCGAGCTTTAACGGATTTGTACGAGGAGACTCTCCCCATTCGTCCGTGACTAGAGGAAACTGGTCCAGTCTTGTACCAGGCTTTAAAATACAGTTCAATAATTTCTCTCTATCGATAAGATGAGGATACTGCATGCATTTATTACGTCTGAAAACAGCGCCTAGGACGCTTTAGGGTGCCACTGCGCAGGCCAGAAAAGTACTAATATCACTGTCTTTGCTTAGATGTGAGCAGATGCTGGTGTCGGAAATTAACCATTCGACTATGTGAGGAAGCGAGAATAATATCGCAAAGTGCAGTGTGCTAGCACTGGCAATAATCTCCTGGGAAGGGCCGGGAGATAAGAGCTTCTGGGTGAAAGAAACGAAATTGTTTGTTTTTATCGGATTAAATAGTAGTTTAAGTAAATTCAAAATATCTTCATCATTGCTACACAGCATCCATGAAGAACGAAATATCGCGTGACGTATGTATAGAAGGCATAATTTCTCTTCACGGGCCCTCCTCCTTTCTCTATCGTGTATGGGATGATATCCCCGAAATCTTCGAACAGTAGATATGTCAAGCAGACCTTAGTCATGTAAGCGTTGTGATAATCCTGTGAGATGCGGTAGCTAGCATAAGTGTCATCCTGAATTGTAAGTAATAAAAATTCCTTAACGGTGAAATGGGACAGTTCGATTCGAGTGTCAAATGACCCACCCCCACCAGTCTTTCTCACAAGACTACTGCATCTCTTCAGAATACTTTTTTCAGCCGGAATACCATCTCGATCCATCTTTTTATCAAATGGATTTACAGAAACTGCTTCAAGAAGTTCAGCCAGCGAGAGCGGGACAACAGAACAGACAGTCCACAACAAGACTCGATAAACAAGTCCTTTGGTGTCATCACTGCTGAGATTGATACGGTCTAGAATCCTTTCGTAGGTTCCGTTTAATGTTGGGGGAAGAGAATGCAGGGCTTGGCTGATTGCTTTGACGGAATTGAGGTCGCATAGATGATCGAATTGGCATGTTACCCAACGGACTAGAAGTCAGCAATCTTTCTAGAACACACGGTGCCATTGAACTATATTAACGTAACTTACACATTCCTTGTGCTTCGTTCACCAGGCGGTAACTTCTTCTTTGAGCTTTTGATCCTTGATGGATAGTAGACCATCGTCTTGCCGACGCTGCATTTCCGAATGAACGTAGAGTTCCAAGTCATTTCTCTGTGCTATAATGGGAACGCTTACAAAATCTGCCAGATGTTGTTCAATATCTGGCTCGGGGCTTGAGCTTAATATTATTTTGACATTGCTATCCTTGCTAGCATTTAGCTCAGCCAGAATTCGTGCAATATTCGACCGGCTATCTCCACGCTCATCTAGAGCATCAATAATCAGATGAACATTGTTAAAGTATCGTGATATATCCTGAAGCAAATGACAGAGTTGCTCTGTAGACTTTGAACCTGAGACCAATGTTCTTATTTGGACAATGATCAGCCCAATAGTTCTCCAGCTCCGCGAACCCACGGCGGTCGGCTAATGCAAGCTGTTTAACTAGAGATCCCAGATATTCAAAGGATCATGTGTCCGTGGATCTTTGTAGTCGCAGTAAAAAAATGCCAAACCTAGAAATGGCAAAGTTTCCATTAGTTGAAGGTTACAGATTCAAATAGAGCTGGGAAGTTAATACAATCACCATCTCCGAGCTAGTCAAATATACAGCTAATGGTAGAACTGCTATTTTGAGTTAGTAGATAACTAAAGCTGCAGGAAATGAGAGCTTACATCAATATAGTCTTGCCGGCTCCGGCTAAGATTGAGATCAGAACAGGTTTTGGGGAATGCTGTAAGTTGTTGAGAAACAGAGGAGATGCTTAAGAATACCATACAGCCACAACCTTGATGCTTTCGAACTACACCAGTAATTGAATTGGTCTCCTTTGAAGAACCACTGGGACCTTTAGCTAAAGAAAGATATGAAAACGTTCGAATAACTGATGGCTTCTTACCTGACCGGTGCCTGGCTGCCGAAGTTTCGTTGGAACGTCTTGATGTCTCTGACTGGGGTCATATGGCGCTATCCATTTAATAATTTCCTTCTGCTTTTGTCTGATATTCGAACATGTTGGTTAGATATTGATACAGAATGCCATGTTGAAGCACATACTTAACACTGAAATTGATCTCTCATTTCTAAGGGCAAGAACATTCGCACGTATTGCTTCTATCTCTAGTCCTTGTGACTTCCGGTCACCTAGAGCATCTAATAATATGTTCATTTCATCCACTTGTAGGCCAAGCATAAATGTCGACTTCTGTGTCCTAATGTCTTCGATTAATGCCTTCATCTCACTGACACTGAAAGGCCAGAAGAGAGCTCGCCCTAAGGTGGAAATCTTTCGGGTGAGTACCCGCTTTTGACTTTTAAGATGGCTTGGGTCTGCTTTACCTAGTCGTTCCTTTATTGTGTTAAGAAGTGTTCGATAAGCATCTATATGCCGGGATTGCGTTACGGACGGGATTGATTCGCCATCAAACCGTGAAACTACCAGGCGTAATTGGTTAAGAATGCCGTATAGATTGGTCTTTTCGTCAAAAAGCTTTTTTACTTCTTGAACATACCCCTTGGTGTTATTGCTGGAAGGAGTTACAAATATATCAAATCAGCCGAGTATGGATATTAATCCAGAAATGCTGGCACTCATTGATAGTGGGTCTATGTTGTAAAAAGAGCCCGGATATGAACTTTGAATATTTCATTCGATGCTGAATATCGAAGTGATTCGGGACGTTAAACAGCCTCAAGAGGTTTGTATGCTCACTTTTGTTCTGAGTATCACGCAAATATGTCCAAAAACGAGTGATTAAGCCTTAACTTATATGTCGGGAGTAAGAGCAGTAAAAAGAAAGTTTCTGTTCGGCTTGAAAGGTAAGGCTCAAACTGCACAATCATCCCTGGGCGCAGCAATTACTAAATGCTACGACAGAAAGAGCACAAACCGCAGCAATGCAAAATAATTTAACAGTAATATACACAACATAAGTGAGCTTCAAAGCCTGATTCTAACGTCGTTGTACACGCATCTTGTCCACTCAAATGATCTCTAGATGTCTTGAGGCTACACAAGCCTTAGCATGCATTCGTACAAAAAGTGCACGGCGTGAAGGCAAAAGTATGCCTTGAGCACTTGCCACAACATATGGGTTTCGACATATGGACACGAGAGCTTGACAATAGGCAGAATTTTCGTCGGAACTGTTGATGGTAAAATGGATTTCGTTCCGTATAATAGAGAATAGTGTTTGAGGTACTCAATTGACGTTGATGTAAGATATATTCATAGACCATGCATATGATTTCTGAAATGCCAAGAGTATTTGAAGGCTTCGACATACATGACAATATGACAAAAAGCAAGAAGTAAAAAGAAGAGGTGAAATTGAAGACCAATAACAATCGAAGGATTTAAAACCAAAGCGAGAAATTAGCTCAAGCCTGCCCTTTCCCGAAGTGCAAGGTAACCCCAATAGGAAACTTCATGGTCGATATTCTGCCAAAAGATCAGCAGCACATCAACCCATATCCTTTTAGTTAATGAAACATCCTCACCTCGACCTAATAGATTAGTAACCAAGAGAAATAGCTCGAGATTCACAACCATAAGTTCCAATACTTCTTGCTTTGCAAGTATAGTAGCCGAACCAAGTCATATCCATCCTACAATCCGCGAGATCGAAATCGCAAGTGAAAGGAATAAAATTGAAAGTCTTCATGATAATTTTAGTGAAAAAAACAATATTAGTGGTAAGAAATTTGTCCTTATTGTGGTACAGTAGAACGTGGTTATAAGGGACCGAAAGATTCGACCAATCGAATCCCTTATAAAGAGGAGTCCCGTACATCCAATCCCTTACAAACCGAAAAACAACATACAAAATCAATATGGTAGAAATTTTCATCCCGTATAGAGAGTTATCCCTTATAATGCAGTCCCTTATAGCCAGGTTATACTTTAGCAGTAATGGTAAAGAATGGATGATTAACGACAAACGTGAGGTCGGGAATACTCCTTGCAGGTGCTATGAGGTATTCGTGTATTTTGCTGGCTTGAAGACTGCGAGGAAGTACCTGTTTTCCAATCTTTGCTATTCTCTAGCCAGCATAAAATCATCAATTCCGCACCCTTTCAATCCTCCAAATCAACTCTCTTCTGCCACCTTCCCAAGCACTTTCTCCTTAGCAATCTTAACAATATTCACCCAATTCCTTGGTAATTTCCTCCCACCCCCTTCATTTTCTGCACCCAACCAAGCCTCAGCCTCCTTCCCAAATTCAATCAACAACTCCTCGCCTCCCCATTCCGTAGATCCCATTACACCCACCGGAATTTTCCCTTCACCTTTCTTTGGATCTACATATCCAACTGGACAGTTGATTCCAGGAATACCCGTGAAATTGGCCAACCATACGTACTCCATATTTCTAAGACTTTTATTTGGATCAAAAGCGCCGTGTAATAAGTCTCCCTCATGTTCTATTTGCCATCCGGGAATTGGGGTAGTTGGGGTGATGATGATGAGACCGGGGTGTTTTTTGAAGAGGAAAGATAGATGCTGCATGAGTAGATTGCGGAGTTGTTGGGCGAGGAGATAGTCTTGAGCTGGAGTATATGCACCCATTGTAAGGAGAATCTTGTTTGAGGGAGACGCATCTTGTAACCAGTTCCAAGGCGAGAAAGGATGAGTCTTCGCCTGTGAGGCCATTTTTGCGAGAATGGTCATGGCATGGGCAAGTTGACCTTCAGGGCAGTATGGAATTGTGATTGGAACAACAGTATAACCGAGAGATTTTTCACAGTGATCCACAAATTTAGTACACAAAGTATGAACAGATGGTTCTGCTCGATCGAACCAATCTTTATAAATTCCGATGACTTTTGGCTGTGCAGTTTTGGGAGATCCTGGCGGATTGAAGAGCGCAGCAACCGGATCAGATGGGTTAGGCTTTGCCATAACTCGATAAGCCACCTCGAGATCCGCCATAGTCGCTGCAAGAGGACCGTTAACAGTAACAGTACTTCCAGTATCCTCAACTCGTGCGTGTGAAGGCTTTAACCCATAGAGACCACAGAAAGATGATGGGATGCGGATACTCCCGCCACCGTCTGAACCAAGAGCAAATGGAATCAATCCAGAAGAAACTGCATAAGCAGGACCTCCGGAAGATCCACCGGGATAATAATGGTCATTATGTGGATTTTTTGGAGTTCCCCAATTGGGATTATTATTAGTAGTATCCGAACCAAGCTCATGCATATTCAATTTTCCCATGATAAGAGCACCGGAGTTTTCCCATTGTTGAACGATCCAAGTAGACTGTTCCGCAGCAGTGAACATTGAATCATTCCTTTTTCGTCCATGATGACTTCTATATCCTGCGACATCACTGTCATCTTTGATACCGGTCGGAACTCCATCAAGAATGCTCAAAGGATTTCCTTGTTGGTATCGCAAAGTCGATGCTTTGGCAGCTTCCAAGATTTGTTCAACATTGCTCTCAGTAAATGCGACGGAATGAGGTCCCTCCGGGCTGATATCTCTTCTAATCAGGGGAAGAAGTGATTCCGCGACAGCTAGTGGGGTTAATTTTCCGGTGCGATAAAGTGCATGATATTCAGCCACCGAACGATATCGCTCAGCTGAATCCTCTGGGATTACAGGCATGGATTTAATGTCTAAACCATCAGAACTTGTTGTGGATGGTGAATCATTTGCAAGAGGGATTACTGTAGGCTATTTGCCCTCTTGTCAATTATCATCCACCGAGTCAGATGAAATTCCAAACTTACATCCCATCTCTCATAGTACTCATCCAATCCCTTGATATTCCTCAACGCATTCATTTTTGCATTGTTCCATAGGGGACCTTGAATGAACGTAATTTTGGAAACACTTTGGAAATGTCAGCGAGGTAGAGCTTTCGCTGGACTAAATAACGTACAGCCATCCAACCACCACCAAAAGCAATCCTCGGAATGTAGGATTCTTGTCATCTGTTCTTACAAAAGGGACATTAGGACCTTCTTTCGGAGAGGGGTAGCCAACCCATTTGTGAGGCTCTTGAGTTGGTTCAACCATTGCAAATAGTTTGTTGTGACGGAAAGTGGTGACATGAGAAGCAAAGTGGAGGTTGAAGGAGCACATGGGTAGAATGTCACGTGGACGATTCCAAAATCTGGAGTACTGAAAGGATCAGTTGTTAGGCGACAACCCACCCATTGAATTGGTATGGAATACATGGCCAAGACTCGATAGCATTTTTCCATTATAATATTAATCCTATCCAATAGATTCCATTTTTGTATTTACATACATATTTTAACAATGTGGCTTCGTAATCTTACCATAAATAGGTAGAGCTCAAGTTTATGCATCTTTCAATATTCATTGGTATATAATAGATTCTATAATAAATTACCATTCCGAAACTTCTCCTGGCTTAGGTTTTTCGACTCTAACAACCTTATCTGGATTCAATAGGCACAATGGATCAAATGCAAATTTCAGCTGTAAAACATTAGTAAAACAAGTCGGCTGAATGTCCCGTATTTTGGTACATACCCTTCTCATAGCATCAACCGTATTCTCCCCCAATTCATGGTTCAAGTAGTCTCTCTTGACCAATCCAACACCATGCTCGCCAGTCACAGTACCCTCCATTTCGACCGCTCTCTTGGTCATTCGGTGGATGACTTCTTCGGCGGTTTGTCTTTGGGTATCATTGTAAAGGATAATGGCTGTACTTTTTAGTATTTCGATTTAATATACCGACATTATTGGATACTCACTGTGAAAGTTGCCATCTCCAACATGTCCCACGATCGAAGCAAACATCCCACTCTTAGCCAAGTCCGCCTTGGTTTCTTCAATAATCTCCGACAATCTACTCATTGGTACGGCGACATCTGAGGTCCACACATGATCACCATCTTTCTCCCGCATGGCCATTACAGACCATAGAGCCTCTTTCCTTGCACTCCATAACTCAACCTGTTCTTCTGCATTTTTTGCGAATTCAAAAGTTTTGCTTCCGGTCGCCTTTGCTAACTTTTGAACAATACTGATTTGCTCTTTGACAGCATTGGGTGTACCAGCAAATTTGAAGAAAAGTGTGGGCTCTTCGAGCCATTTTTTAGATGTCATGCCTGACTTGTTAATGCTCAGCATTTGATTGTCATCCAAAATTTCAATAGCGGCGATCGGGACACCTTCAGTAACTACCTTTCCAACACAATCCGCTGCTTGTTTAATGCTTCCAAAACTGCATACTGCCACGCTGGTAGTATTCGGTTTTGTAGTGACCTTCAATGTAGCCTCGGTGACTAGCCCAAGTGTCCCCTCACTTCCGATAAACATTTTAGTCAAATCATAACCTGCACTGCTCTTCCTCGGCCTCTGTCTCGTCTTGATAATAGTTCCATCTGCCAAAACGACAGTCAGATTCATTACCCATTCTCTCATAGTACCATATCTGTACGCATTTGTTCCACTGCACCCTGTTCCCACCATTCCGCCAATCATGGCACCTGGACCTGGATCTGGTGGAAAGAATAGGTTATCCTTCGAAAGCACTTCATTGAGATGTTCCCATCCTACAGCTGGTTGAACAACCACGTCCATATCATCTTTATGTAGCTTCAAAATCTTGTTCATCCTTCCAAAATCTATACAAATACCACCACGTGTAGGAGCGTAATGTCCTTCCAAACTTGTGCCTCCACTGTATCCAGTAACGGGTATCTTCCTCCTGTGACAAATTTCCATGATCTTACTGACTTCTTCCGTTGATGAAGGGGAAACGACCATAAATGGTACCTCATTCGGCTTTCTCAAATGAGAAGACCATTCGCTACCTGAATGGCTCTCAAGATCTGAATCATTGGTAGAAACATTTTCTTTGCCCACTATTTCGACAAAATCCGCCCATGCAGATTCAAGATTTGAACGACCTGTATTATGTCGAAGAGGTTTTGTGGTCGAAAGAGGGGTAGTCGACGTCGTAGGCGCACCAGGGTTTCTAAATGAACCGAAGTAATATCCTCCTATAGCCACTGATATAATAACTATACGGTTGTTTATCAGCAGTGTTCAACATGCTGTTAATGTCTCAAGTAGATAATCTATATGCGCACCGAATGTTAAAGCCGAATTCTTTCCTCCAGAACTTTCATTTCTATTCTTGGAATATTGTTCCCGCTCTGCGCGTTCCTTTATCAATCGAGCCTGTGTACTTTCGTAGAGCTGCCCTTTAAATGAACGACCTTCTCCTGCGTTTTGCTCTGTGGATGCATATCTTAATCTGGTTGCGGGGGATCGAAGACAAAATGGGGATCGAGAAGAGGATGCGCGCAAACTTGATAGCAGGGCCGATGAGGGCGCCCTTTTGGAAAACGACATGAGTCAAATATCGATTGATATTAAGTAACCTAGCATCGAATCGGCAAATTACCAGGAATAATTTTTCGTGGATTTGGGGAAGTTTTGCGAGGTGGTATAAATATAAATTCCAACTCGTTCGCAAGGCTCGGAATAATTTACTTCAGGATCCAAGCTTCATAAAAGGCTCCCCACATTTCAGCACGTAATTCGTTACATCGATTTGCTCAGTCCAGTCATGATACTGAATCCCCTATGAAATTGCCTACTAATTAGATACCGACTGGCAATATGACGTTTTCATGGTTATGTTGACAAAGTTTATGCACCAGGATTAATAATAGTATTTTCATTAAATGGGTTCGATTGAGAATATATAGGATATGAAGGGAACCGCAGTCTTAAGAGTGGAGTAAAGAGTGCGTGTTTAGGTCATCAACCTACCAGCCGCCTTTTACTCAATAAGATGAAACCAATCCATGAGAGACAGTATTCTTTACTATCAGTTCGGAACGCCCCATCCCCAAAATAATGAGCAAACTACCAGCAACCCCCTCAATCCATCCCAACCCTACCCTACCGTACCGTACACCACAAGAAAATAGTCCTTCTCACGATGTCTAGGCATTCTTCCATGCATTAAATAACTGAACAGAAAATGATGGCTTGACACCACCAATAGCTCCCAAATAGGCATCCAGTTCACTGTCGTTGTCAATAGGTATTGTCAAATCTTGGTCAGAAGGCCCCAACATGATCCCCTCAACACGACCAGTAATTGCCCCAGGAAATTTGGATGCAGCCAGCCGGCGTAGCTCCTCAAGAGAGGTTCCATTCAGTGTATCCATCCATAACCTAGATGGGGCAGTAACGTCTGATGCTGGATGTAGCCGAAAGTAAGCAATCATAGATGACGGAGCGGCTGATGGAAATGCTTGGGCAGCTTGGTCAACATATTGTTGATCCGTATATTGGGGATGCGCAAATTGGTTTTGCATACTTCGATTCATCAAACCAGGATCATTAGCAGCGGCAAGAAGTAGAGATGGATCAATCTGCATGTCACCATGATTCTGAATATCACCGTGATTAACCATAACAGGTGTATGAGCCTGGGGTTGTGGTTGGACCTGTGCTTGAGCTTGGGATTGCGCATGTGCGTGGGCTTGAGCCTGAGCCTGAGCCTGACGAGCTTGTGCTTGCATATGAGATTCTTGCGCTTGCATGTGAGACTGAGCTTGGTTCTGCGAGTGAGCATGAGCATGAGCTGCAGTTTGAATAAGTGCTTCCTGTGGATCTGGTTGGAAATTTGGCGCTCCTTCTTGATTGTGGTGGAATTGTTCCATAGTTTGACCAGGTTGGAAAGTACTATCAAACTTCTTTCTCCTTGTTGGATCACGTTTAGTCTGATCATCACGAAGACGCTTCATGACGTCTCGGCATAGAACCTCCATCGCCTTTACTTTTTGGCCATGCTGAGGATCAGCCTCTCCAGGCGCAAGTAGATTCTGCAATAGCTCCGATCCATTAATCCAGGATGCCTTGAGCTCCTGCCAATGTTCTTCACCAGCTTCAAGCTTACTGGTGAAATGGTCAGCTTTCAAAGTCTGGTAGAAAGCATTACGAAGTTGTCTGGACTCCTCGGGGTTTACTCCTAGAGCATTCTTGGCTTCGGCGATAGTCATACGACGCTGCAAGGTTCGCATTCGCTTTGTTACGTCCCCACAAACAACGTCGAGAGCTAGCTTCTTTGGGTCCAGATTATCATCGTTATTCCAGAAAACTGATTGTAGATGTTCACTCTCTTGTATGAGTCTATCCTTTGCAGCTTCCCAACGCTCGGGTCCAGCGATGGTCTTCTTAATGATACCTGCTTCTTCGCATATGCGTTGGAATCTTTCCCTTATATCACGATATAGACGATTATCAAGACTCAAGAAAGACTTGCTCTCATCGATAGTTGTTTCAGAAGGAAATCGAGGGGGTCCTGGAGGATCTGCCGGGAGACCAGCCCAGCCACGGGTGCGACGACGACGTTTGCGAGCGGCCCATCTTTCTGCAGATTCAGCTTGTAACTTAGCGTAACGTTCTTGTCTTTTTGCCATGACCTCTGGACTAAGTGGTGGGGATTCAGCTCTAGAGTTGTTCTTGGGAGTGGATGAAGTTGGTGGTAAATCTTCCATTTGTCCTTCCATCTGCTGTTCTCCTTCTAGTAATTGTCCATTGTTGTAAAATGCCTGTTGTAATTGATTTTCTACATCTTGATCCATCAGCTTCTTTGATTTGTTCCCATTAGGTACTCGCAACAGCCAGCGATTCTTCGCCCTGACGCGCATGAGTTCACGCTCCTTGATCTCGAATCCCTCCTCGTTGAGAATGCGAAGCATTTCTCGCTGTGAGGTATTGATGTCCCATAGCTCCTTGACGCGCTGAACGAGTGGCTCATTCCTATGTGCAGGGTTCTGTTTCGAGGGGAATTCCCATTTTTTGAATTGGGTTTGAAATGCACGTTTGCTTATCAGGGTCATTGTCAGTGCGAGTGGTACGGGTGTGCATATCGATATATGATGCATGATGCTATAGCTGCTATAGTATACTATAGCTTGCAGCGCAGGACAGTGCAGTGCAGTTCAAACAGGATATAGACTTACGATGGATTAAAGGACATGGTTTCTTTCATAAATTCCATAATTTCTTCCAATGATTTTTTCTCATCAATATACATGCGATAGCATAACTCTTCCTTATCATCCCAATCATAAACCATTTTGACGGTTGTTCGCAATCGTCATCAGGATAAAAATTGATTAGGGTTCGATACTCGGCGGTTGAGTCGTGGCTTTGATGGTACTTGGAGGTTGCCGTTGATTGCGTTGATGATGTTATAGGTCGCCGTTTTTCGGAAGATACTGTGGAAAGGGTTGGATTTATGATGGGGTGGGCACAGATTTACTAGACTCTCGTTTAATGTTGTGGTGTGGTCACGTGATGTTAATGTCTGCGCCATGTATTAGTCATCCATTTGCACTTGATGGCTTCCATACTACGCGGTATATTTATCACAGAATCCTCCTCCTTAGTACCTACTTATTGTTCATATCAACTGAACTGGATTTCACTCAAGTCCTCTTCATATATCGGATCGAAATACACCAATATATATCTGCCAGGGGCTACTAATTGTACACTAAAGCAGCTATGCACAAGGTATAATCTCAGTGGTCCAGATAGCAAGCTTATACTATCTGATATCGAATCCCTTTTGTTGCTGTTCTCTATCTGATATATACACTCGAGAAGTACAATATCCTTACTGCTATTTCATATATACGGAGTTGACTTCAGTATCTCTCAACTGTATCTCGCGTTTGATTGCTCAGGAAACATTCAATTCATGAAAGTTGGCTACTGCATACGTCATTGAGCATCGTTATGTTAAATGCTTGATTTCACTGCCACTCAGTTCTTTCAATCACCGAACTTGTGCTTGATCCATATCGAGACTCGCTTCTGCATTTCTTCTTATACAAGCTTCTTTCTCACTGACCTTTCAGTCCAAAATTCCCACTGCACGTTTACTTCTACTTTACCGTCATCTACATTATCATGTCTCAAACCCTCGATATCCAGCTACAGAACCGTTACCCTTCAGATGAAGTGTATGCTTATATCACGGGACTAGCACTAAACAACAATAATCGTGTCTTTCTACTAAAGGCCGATGGAAAGACGCCATATTATCCCGGGTCACCACCACGTACCGTTTATCCACTTTCAGCAGACTGTGCTATTAAACTAGGTAGGCAAGGCAGTATTACTATTGCTACAATCCCGCTGCTTGCTGGAGGAAGAATCTGGTTTTCAATAGGGAAGAAGCTGGAGTTCTTCGTTAATCCGGGGCCGGCATTGGTTGAGCCATCTGTTACCAATCCTTCTGATCACAATATCAATACCAACTGGGCCTTTTGCGAGTTCACATTCAATCAAACCCAAATCTATGCCAATATAAGGTCCTTTTACCTACCACATGATACCTTTCAAAATCGCTAATATGGAACAGCTATGTCGACTTTGTCAGTCTGCCAGTCTCTATGAAACTTATCACTGAAAATGGTGGGCCACAAGAAATTAGAGGATTGAAACCAGATGGTCTAGAGACTATATGTGAAGGTTTAAAGACACAAAGTCGAGCCGACGGAGCAGGATGGGATAAGTTAATTGTAGAATCTGGTGGTCAGAAACTTCGAGTATTAAGCCCCAATCATGAACCAGGCTTCAGTGGTTACTATGAACCCTACGTGGATGAAGTGTGGGACAAATATAGCAAAACACCATTAATTGTCGACACACAAGCGGAATGGAGAGAGGTCGAGGGCCGGGTATGCAACGGGCAATTAACATTTCCAGGTCTGGCAACATTTTCGAAACCATCTACCGCAGACATCTTCAGTTGTAGCTCTGGTCCCTTTGCCAACAATGCTGGAGCGACGGGACCACTCACTGCTCGCATTAGTGCGGCGTTGAATCGGTCGACATTGTTAAGCAATAATCACCATCCCACCAACGAAAGAGTAGCAGAGTATTATCGCAATAACATCACCAATCACTATGCTCGACTTGTTCATGAGGCAAATCACCATGGTCGTGGATATGCTTTTCCATACGATGATGTCTCTTCTGGTAAAGAGACAGATCAGTCTGGTTTCGTAAGCGGATGGCCAAAATCATTCATCGTATCTATTGGTTGAGGCTGAGCGATATCTGACATACATCCGGGTCATTATCCTTGATCTTCTTGTGATCCACCGGGTGATACTCCCAAAAATGTCATCTCGATGCATTTATTCGTCTTTTCAAAGGCCATTGGATGGCCGTTTACTCATGTAATGCTATTGATAAAGTTGCAGGAAGATCTTGGGATTATGACATTATTAATTCCGAAGAATGCTATATAAGATCCGAAATGATAGACACAAAATTAAGCGTACATCATCGCCAAAGATGGAATCCAACTTATATAAACCATCAAACCATTGATATTAATTAATTATCTGAATCTTTGTTTTTATTTTCACTTTTGTTTCTCAACTACCCAAGTTTTGAATAAACAATCATCAAATCATTCTCCGTATCAAAAAGTTCAAAATTCTATTTTAGATAATATAAATGTAAAATATCCAAACCTCTTCTATGTTCTCCTTACCCATACTTCATACTGATACTCATACAAAAGATTTCTCTTTAAACCCCCTTCATTTCCTTTCGTAATCATAATTTGGCTTCACTTTACTTCACACCTCTTAATTACAACAACTCTCCTTCTTCTCCCCCTCCCCCTCCCCATCCTTCCCCCTCTCCTTCCCACTCCCCACCACCAACCTCGACTCCAAATTCCTCAAACCAGGCACATCAATCGCGGGATTCCCCTCAAAAAAATCACACGGTTTAATCCTCAACTCATGAATCTCAACCGGCATGACCGGCCAATCCTCCACGCGCGGATTATGCGTCAAACCAAAACAATTCCACACCACTACATCCTCTCCCTCTTCGGGCAACTGCTCACCCCTCTCTACCGCATCCGCTACCCCGTCGATTTCCCGCTTGCTCTGAAGCGTGTATCTTCCTCCTGCGAATAACTCTCCATCTCTGTATTTGGTCACCCACACGTGATGTTGAGCGAATCTTGCTCGTTGGGCTTGGATACTTTCATCCTGTGCGAGTAGTACCTGGGTAGCTGCAGGCATGAATTTATATCCGACATTTTTTCCGCTGATTTTGTTTTTCTTCGCTGGATTGATCATTTTGATAAACATGTTGTTCATCGGTGCGGCATCTATCCACGATACCTTCTCCACTGGTTTGGAAACCACCTCGTAGAAATTACCGTACGGATTCCGTGTCTTATCAGCCACGGCGTGAGATTCCTCAACCATAATCGTATTTAGTGGTCCATCTACCGCGGGATCAATACGCACGCAGAAGATGTGTTGATGATTTTGCGCTAGGACACCTGGGGCAACTACATTTCCATATTCGCTCTTGTTCTTGCCGGCATCGATTGAGACGACGGATACGATACCCGTGGCGCGTGTTTCGACAGTAATGCCACCGGCGAGATCAAATTTGTAGGCGAATACGTATTCATAGTTGGCGAGGGTGATGATGAATTGAACGACGAGTTCGCGGTGACGGGTTACGACTGCGCGGCCGGTACGCCAATTCGTGTGTTTCCAGCCAATACCGGCGTCTTGTTCGTGCAGACAAATGACATTGGGACTTGTGGAAACCGTTCCATCGGCTTGGGTTTTAGTGCCGTCGAAATACTTGAGTATGGTTAACTAAATACTCTGAGGGTGGGGGTGGGAGGGTTATTGAAATCTGGAAATTGGATAGGAGTACGAACTTTTATGACGCCCAGACAATCACATCCCAACTCGAGGTTATTGGCACAGTCTCCTGCACCACCATCTCCAAAATCAAATGCTTGTTTGCGATAAAATGGAGCTCGAGCATCTGCATACGGAACAGTCTAGATATAAAATAATCAGCACGATATTCCACCACAAACAAGAGATCAATCTCACATACCATCTCGGACATACTCAACCGATATAAGATACTCCTCCCGTCATACCTCACATCATGAATTGTAGCCCCCTCCCTGTGATTAAAGCCCACCCTAAACCTCCATTTCTGCCACTCCACCAAACTCTCATCCTGATCTACGACAAAACTTGCCCCTTCAGGCTGCACCACATTAATAGGTTTCAGACCCTTTCTCGTACCATTTTCCACCAGTTCCGGCACATATTCTGACGGCTTACAATGTTTTAAAATATTCATATCATGAGTCCCAACCTTGAATCCATCTTCAATCCCTCCCGTAGCCAATCTTTCAACCCGAATAATCTCGCGCGTATGAGCATCCATGATAGGGATCAAAGGAAGCGGATACCCGTAGAAATTCGAATCTGGGTTTCCATTTCGCTTATCCTGCGCAAAGCAGAGACCTTGAAAGTATCGAGGATTTTCGTCCTCGATAGTTCCTCCGTATGGCCAAGGTTCTACGACGACTTCAAATCCTTCTGGGATATGGAGTTCGGAGACGGCTTCTTTGAAGAGAGACGAGGCCCAGGCGGCTTTTACTAGGTCGTCGAATTCGGTTCTGCGTGGGCGGGTTAGCTCGAATTAGTATAGGGAGGGAAGTTTATACATACAAAGTCAAACGGGCATGATGTTTGGTATCTACAATCTCCCTCGAGATCTCAACACCTTCCTCGACATCCACAAGAGACTCTTGATATTTTGGTATCTTACTACCACCAATAACATCATACATAACCCTGGCAACTCTTTTTGGATAGACAGTTGATGCGTTTAGATCTCCATTATGTTCTATTTCTAGAAATTTTTGCAGCTCGGCTTTGGGAGGTTCTTCAAGGAAGATGGTGCGAAAAGAGACGAGAGAGCCGCTGTGTAGACCTATTACTATGTCGCGGGCTCTATGGGCCTCGATGATTGAGAGTTGGGTGAGGGGGTGTGGTCTTGTGCTTGGAGCGGCCATTTTGATTGATTTGAAAAGAATTTATATTATGTTTAAACAAGCACACGAATTTTTGTATCAAACCCAACTGTGTAAATTTTGTGAACTGAAGAAACAAAGTGAAGAAAGATGCACGACAAGAAATGCACATAAATGGGGGAGGACTTGGTATAAATACAAGTAATGGGAGAAATTAATCCACTACTAGTCATTACACAAACATCGCCATCAGTTTAGCGGCCGCTCAGGTCCATTATGTAAATTCTTCAATTCTGATTGCATGAATTTAATAGCGCACTAACATGATTGGTAGATACACATATCCGTCGGGCTATTTCGCTTATCTCCACGGAAACGGGTATCTCAACCGACAATCATATACCCGGTATCACCAATCCTCTGACTGATGACCAACTCTGAAGCCTTGCCTATCAGCGCTGAAATATTCGTGCATGACAGTTTCATGCTGGTCTCAACTTCGGAACCAATGTAGTTAACCTTTTCTGGAATAGATCGATATGACAAGTGATAATTACAGCCTTGATACGTGGTTGATAACGGAAAGGCTCCGCTTTATACAGGATACGGGTCCTGGAGTATTGTAAACTCCGTGATCTTTCTAGAGTATCTTGTTCAAAGTTTGTATAACATTACAAACTTTGCCTTTTGTAATACAAAGTTTGTCTCTGATATTCTACTACTGTCCTCAACGACACTGACTTTCGACGAGAATTGTGAAAGCTTTTTTTTTTCTAACAATGGATTTTGAAAGCGGCTTCAAAAAGGAGGATATGATGATGAAGGAGTTTCAGCCTTCGTCGACAGGAGCAGATGAGGAAAAAGAAGATATTCTAGTAGTTGGACAAGTAGAAGAGTTACGCAAAGACTTCTCTGTCTGGTCACTTGGCTCCTTATGTCTCTGCTTGATGACAACATGGGAAGCATTGTCCAGTGTTGTAGCAGCAGCATTGGCAAATGGCGGAGCTCCATGTCTTTTGTACAACTAGTAAGTCATATCAGATTCATGAACCAGAGTAGAATCACTGATAATCTCACAGCTGCATTTCCTTGATCGGAAGTTTGGCGATATCATCATCCTTAGCCGAGATTGCGTGGCGGTAAGCAACACCTTCCACACGCGAAATATTGTTCAAATCTGACGAAACGAACTAGGACAATACCATTTTGTCGCTGCTCTCGCTCCAAGAAACCAAATGAAAATTGCATCCTGGTTCACGGGCTGAACCTCCATCGGTGGACAAATTGTCTTCACAGCATCAGCCGCGTTTTCTGCAGGACTGCAATTCTAAGGCCTTATAACGCTCAATAATCCAGACAGCTATGTGCCAACAAGATGGCAGGGTATGCTGTTCTACTGGTTGGTTCTTTTATACTCTGCCACCGTGAATATATGGGGATCAAAGGTACTTCCACATACGAATCTAGCGTCTGGTAATTGCCCACAGCCCACAACGATTTAATTCACCAGAACTGATGATTTTAGGTGTTCTACACATCACCGGCCTCGTGGCAGTCATGATGGTACTAGGAGTTATGGCACCCAAACATAGTGCCCATTTTGTCTTTGTCCAAGTTACGAATACCAGTGGCTGGCAAGATGGTGGGGCATCATGGCTCGTGGGTCTTTTGAGTGCTGTATATCCGCTTCCTGGGTAAGATACATTTTGACTCTCGCTGCGTTATTGTGTACTAATGATACCACAAAGTTACGATGCAGCCTGTCACTTAGCAGAAGAGATGCCACGCCCTGCACGAAATGTTCCAATCGCCATGGTCGGAAGTGTGGCTGTGAACGGGATCTTGGGACTTGGATATTGCATCTTGCTGCTGTGTTCTCTTGGGGACTTGGACGAATGTAAGAAATTTCTTCTCTCTCATGTGACATTCCATTAATGCTCCAACGAAACCAAGTTCGACGTTCAAACACCTTGAATAAGAAAGAATGTTGACAGTTACAACTCCAGTACTCGCATCCCCTACTGGATTTCCTTTCATGCAGCTATACCAAAACGTTACGAACAATAAAGCCGGAGCAACGATTTTAATATTAGCCGTCTGTTCTATTGCCGTGGCGGCCAATGCGGCTGGTTGTACATCAACGTCACGAACGTACTGGACATTCGCTCGCGATTCGGCAATTCCATATCCGAAGTACTTTGCACACATAAGTCCAACAACACAAGTCCAACAACACAAGTACCTGTTCGCTCTATTGTGGCCGTGACCATGGTAGAAATGCTGCTTGGTCTAATATACCTTGGAAACAGTACAGCATTCAATGCCATCTTATCGATGTCCGTCCTTGGGATGTATGCTTCGTATCTTGTTCTAATTATCTATATGATAATATATGGTAGAAAGAATCTCAAAAGGAGTCAATATGGGCCTTTTAAATTAGGTGGCACATTTGGAATTAGTAGTAAATGTAGTAGGTGTTGTTTGGCTTTTCGTGGCGATAGTGTTCTGCACTTTTCCCAGCGTGCAGCCTGTCACCTCACAAAACATGAATTATAGCGTGGTTGTTATGGGTGGATGGCTGTTTTTCGGTGCGATATTTTACTTCGGCTTTGGGAGAGAGGATATAATGGACCCATCGGGATCATTGAGATGTAAGGAATGGTAATGCTGTGGAATTGAGAATAATAGGAGTAGTTATGCTGGTAGCCTATTCCTATTAAATGTCCACAGGAACTTAGAGATTCCATTGTTGATCGCTCTCGAGAAGAGCTCGGAGTTCCTCATCTAGAACATAAAATTCATCAGAAGAATCTCCAAACCCTCTCAAAAACTCCCAGTCCTCTGTTGGTGCCATGGGTTTGGCTACGCCAGACGTGGCATCTGCTGTCGAATGTCGTGCATACATCGATTCTTGCTCAGATAGAAGTTGTGAGGTCGTCGACTCCTGAGCATCGATAGCTGCGGCTGCATTGGCTAGAGTTGTCATATTAACATCTCGCGGCATTGCAGATACTGAATAAATTAGTAAAAACTTGTGAACTTGCAAAACAGGGGCTTACGGTCTACCAAAAGCTGTTGGCGAGCTCCAGCACTCTTCCAACTCTTCCCAAGAACAGAAAGCCAGTGTATACACATCTTAAGGCGACGTTGCGATTCCGCATTGTCACCTCCATCCGGTTGCTTCGATTGATACAATAGCGTGCTTGCAGCTGTAAAAATACTAAATACCATGTCGCATGGTAGGCCATAGAAGTCATCAAAGTACTTCTCTAAGATAGTGCCTATCGCATTCGCGCTATTTAGGCAGATCTTGAGTGGGTGCGCCGAAGCATTGGTACTTGCAGGGCTTGATACCCATCTAGCAATGAACGGGCGATGTAAAAGTATTACCCCGGAGTGCATGATCTAGATTGAATGAGTAAGGGCTAGATATCAAATATATTGCGCACTTACAACATAATTAGTAACGACACCAGAGACTGATGTAAGGTTATTGCTTAAATCCAAGCGCAAGGGGGAGGCTTCGATACTACGCTCCCATTCTTGAAAAGCAGACCATATTTCTATGCGTTTTGCTTCACCAAAACTTCGGTCCTCACGAATTGCTCTTCTACTCATTAGCCCATACACTTCTCTTGAAAGTCTCTCCATTACGACTGCGAGTTGGATAGACATCACGAGGACTGAGAGTGTACGCATCTTGCCCGTGCTATGAATATTAGTCGAATTCTGTAGTTTCGTTCTAGCAGGAAGCAATTCAAATTCATCTGCCTCCGAGGTTGAAGGATAGGGAGTATCAGTCTCCTCCACTCTAAGCATCACCGGTCTACCCATCTCGCAAGAAATCATCTTCTCAAGGATGAACAGATTCCACCAAAGACGATAGCGAATCTCACGCTGTGGGCCATCCGATTCGTGAGGTCTATGCAAGCGTAATTCGGTGGCCATTGATGATGCAAGTCCACAGAATACTGCAGCTCTGGAATATTCAGCCACTCCATGTTGCTGCAGTGCAAGTATCGTCAAGGTTTGACAGTTTACTATGGAGGGAGTAAGTGCATTTTTTAATGTTTTATCGTTGCTGCCATTGCTTCTCTGCAGCAAATTTAAGGCTTCTTCAAAATAAAAGTGAGGCTCTGCAGGACCCGTGATATGCGGATCATCGTATGTCTGCGGAAAGGGTTGATGTCTATCTACACAAGCCGCAATTGCGAACATTGCAGATGCCAAAACATTTGGTATGCTTGGCGAAGGGTACGTATAATCGAATGAAGTGTACATTGGCTTGTACAGGATAGGCCATAGCGGATGGATGCAATCGAAGTAGATCTGGAACAAACGTTTTGAAACCTCAGCATTAAAAGGATATTTCTTATCTTTCCTTTGCGCTGACGAGCTTGTGGCCAGAGTCGAGGGTTGCCTGACGGGCCCTGGCTGAATGGATTGTGCGTCAGAAATGGTAACAGGGCGGTTACCTCCTGGTGGTAGTTGAAAAGACGGCTGAATAGCTGAGTTTTCACGAGGAGTGTTTGAGTTTGAAGGGCTAATTGTTCAGTCAGTATATCAATCAGTCAGGTTTCTTTTTTATGGAATGAAGTCTTAAATTAACACACCTCCCTTCTAATAATTTGCGCGGGAAATGTCCACGCTTCGATATACCGTATGAGCATTCGGCATTTCTTCTCTGGCATGGTCCGCACACAGGCGCCCCGCCATCACACTGAATTGACTAGTCAATGACCGCGGTCGTTTTTCGCGTGTAGAGAGTGGGAGAGAGAGGGATTATACTCTACCTTGATTTTCTTGACGCCACACGGTCTACAAGCTTGCGATATTCTCTTCCGACTCGACATTCTTTTTTTTATCAAGGCGCGTTGTTGTCAATTCATATATATGTTTCCAGCTGTTTGATGGGAAGGGAAGGCGGAGAGCGGAGAAGAAAATATTCTACGGAAGACAACAAATACCGAAGCAGCGATATTCCGCTTAGGGATGCCGCGTCGTAGAAAATGAGAACGGGTTAAACGGGTGGTGAACTTTTGAGATATCTGAAAATCTTACATAGGAGTATCGTATAAACTCCATAAGAATTCATTCCCTTAAGTATAATATCTAAATTAACTTCTTGCTAGCTTAATCCCATCAATGTAAAAAGGTGTATTGATCTACTAATTTATTAATCTATTTATTTATCGATTTATTCAGCAATTTATTTATTCATCTATTATCAATTTATCAACTTATTACCATGAGATAATTCCTTCAGGGTATTTGAATGGTCAACCGGCCACAACAAATAAAATGTACCAGCCGGTTCAACCGGAAAATGTTTATCATCCGCTGAGTGAAACGGGGGTCTCGGGTATTGACAATTTTCGGATACATACTATGGGGGATTATGGGGGGTTGGAGAAAGGGGGACATTCTACCCACGAAAACATGATCGGAGTTGGGTAATGATTACCAGAAAGGTATTACCATGTAGAACTCATTAATAAACAAACCGTATTTGAAGTGGCTAGCTATCTCAGATTGCTGCTAGATTTAGAATGATAGGATCTAGTGCGGTCGTAATGCCCATCCAACTCCTGTTGTGTGTCCCGAGAAGTCCGAATACCGTGTGGAGATTCAGCCATCTTTGCAGTGCTGATCAGCCAATTCTGCCCTGCGATTGATAGCCTACCTTTGTGCAGCATAATATAAAAATGAGAGAGAGTATGGCTTGAGTTGGCGTTGAGATGCCTAAGCACTGGAATTATATATCCCATAATAACGACAATCCGCTGCGCAACTGTGTAACCACTGGCTAATGATATAGTAGTGTTCCTCTGTATTTGGCTCCTGTGCCATTTTCAAAGGTCCATACTATACATGTCGTCTGTAATCTTATTAAAAAAGGCGAGGAATTGATCGCTTTGTCGCTTCCATAAGCTCCTGTAACTCTGACAATATCAATAGCAATACCAATTCCGAGGCTATCATTAATTCTTTCTCGTCGGTAATTCCTCTGGAGGGTTTCTCTGAGTCCAAATTTGCCCAATCGTTCTATCCTTACTCCTACGGCAAATAATCTTGATCCGCAGATCCAAAGGAAGTTATGCTTAGAAAATTCGTTCATTCGAAGTCGTAGATGCTAACGAAGTACTGAAATATGGTGAGCTTTTGATGTATTAAAAGGGATAGCATTCTCGGATAGATTTTTCTCTCGAGGTAAATCCGTGAGATGTCTACACAGATCATAACAATTGATCAAAGATCTTGTTGGTAAATGAATCAAAGCATATTTGAATATGGAGTTTGATTTGGCACGTATCTTTATGCAATCTCATAGGCGTCGTGACGGAGTGGTTAACGTGATTGACTAGAAATCAATTCCTTTCGGGGGCGCATGTTCGAATCATGCCGACGTCGATATATTTTTGCTCTTTTTCTTATTGGAATGTAATAAGAAGAGCTTGCTTTTGGGAGATCCTAGCTGTCCATCCAGGATTTCTTGAATCGCTCAAACAAATGAAGGTGGAGAAAGTTTTAACACAGATATGGATACTTGAACATTGTGAAAGCGGAGCGATGCTTGAGTTGTGGGTTTGATGGTGGGTTTGATGGTTGATCTAGGTCACGAACTACGGTGACCTTAACCTTACCGGTTTGTCGTGCAGGTTGCGCACAGAATCACAGACTAATAGAAACGTAAGGTTATTCATCACAAAAATCTTCTCCCGCTGTGCATCGAACCTCAGCAGAAAACCTTTTTCCGGATATTAGTATAATAAGCTGACGATATACTTCTATACTTCTTCTAGGTAGGTACGGTGAAACTTCTACCCAACTAGCCTAAATTTTATACGGATTTAGCGCTTCTATCACATACGAATCAGCCATAACTTACTTTCCTTTCCTTGCCCTCTTTTCACCAATGCAACCAGTGACCATCATCTCAATTTCATTAACAGTTACTACAGAGAAAGATGAAAGAGCCTTCTAGTCGGAGGTGCGATAGCATCTTCCTTCGTGAATTTATGTCAAAGAGTAACCAGGTGCAAGGAAAAGCCTCGGCTTATCACCAGAACTTTGGACATTTATCACATTCCGTCAACTACTGGATGAAGGGCTATGGTGGCTTAGATTGGTCGAGCTCCCAGGCAGTAGGAATGTAGAATTATTGAAATCCAAACCAAGCCCTTATCAATGCTATCGTCCCATCTTACTTTCCGTTAACAACATCACGTCTTTTTTTCCCCGTGTGCTGCAAAAATTCATCATGTCCCCTCAAACCAAGAACAAGACCAAAACTACGATTTTCTCTCCTCGAATGTCGAGAAAACCTCCTTTCACAGCAGAAGTGCAAGGGATTCCTCAAGTGCCTGGTGAATCCATCCCCCGTCGCAATATCCGATACCCAGAACTTCTTTTTCAGCCAGAATCAGGCATTGAGACGGTTTTTGATATCGTACAGCAGAGCTCTCGTCGATTTGGGATGCTACAGCTCTGGGGTCAAGAAAACTAATCAAGAAACACGAGGAGAGCAAGAAGGTAAAGAAAATTATCGAGGGACAAACACAGGGAGTAGATAAAGTATGGACTTATTTTGAAATGAGCAGGTATGAGTATATAAGCTATAGGGAATATAAAGCTAGGGTATTGAATGTAGGTGCGGGATTGAGGAAACTGGGATTAGTCAAGGACGACCGGGTTCATCTTTTTGCAACGACGAGGTAATCGCCATGTTGTGACGTTTGAGATTCAAGCTTATCGTAAATTCAGTGCTCACTAGCTCCCAATCGCTCACAGTTCAATGTCCCAGTCTATGCCTATCGTCACTGCATACGATACTCTTGGCGGCGAAGGGCTCCGTCATTCCCTCATACAAACGAAAGCCAAGGCCATATTCCCAGAGCCACAGCTCCTTAAAACTTTACTTGATTCTCTCGAGGACTTGAAGCATATCAGATATGTGATATACAACACAGATGGCGATTCAGAGTTCAGAACTTCCATTATCAACTATCAAAGAACTGAAGAAGAGTCACAGCCACCTCACACTTTTGAGCTACGAAGAGCTAATAGATTTGGGACATTTACATCCCATCGAAGCTGTGCCACCTAAAACTGAGGATCTTTGCTGCATCATGTACACATACGGATCAAGTGGTACTCCGAAAGGCGTATCTCTAAAGCATAAGAACGTTGTAGCCGCCAGTTAGTGTTCCTATTCCCTGGAATTCCCCAAACTAACTTCGTTATAGTTGCAGGAGCAAATAGCATCGTAGGTGATTATTTAGGTCCCTCGGATACGCTTCTAGCATACCTACCCCTCGCTCACATCTTCGAATTCGTATTTGAAAACGCATGTCTGTACTGGGGTGCCCTAATGGGATACGGTCATCCCAGAACTCTCTCCGAAACCTCCATGAAAAACTGCAAGGGTGATATCCGGGAACTAAAACCCACTCTTTTAGTGGGTGTACCATCAGTATGGGAGACCGTCAAAAAAGGTGTAATTGCCAACGTGAATAAAGGTAGACCAGTTGTCCGTAGTTTATTCTGGAGTGCTTTCTACACTAAAGGATTACTCTCCACAACCGGCTTACCCAGTCCAGCTATTTTAGATGCAATTATCTTTAACAAAGTCAAACAAGCGACAGGTGGAAGATTGAGGTTCTGTCTAAACGGTTCAGGTCCCATATCTCAACAAACCCAAGAATTTATCTCTCGGACCATCACAACCATGATTTCCGGTTATGGATCCACAGAAACTACCGCGTTAGCAACCCCAATGCATACACATATGTGAAAAAAAGTTTACTGACGTTCCACCAGCATGGGCGCAATATGCGACCCCCTCTCCTTCACCCTCCAAGCCGGCGATATCCCTGCCTGCATCGAAATAAAACTCGTTGATTTTCCCGACGCAGGCTATGTTGCCACGAACACTCCTCAACAAGGAGAAATCTGGATTCGTGGTCCTAGCGTCATGTCCGAATACAACGATAACGTCATTGAAACAAACGAGGCGCTAACTCTGGATGGATGGTTCAAGACTGGGGATATTGGTGAATGGGATAAGAATGGACATTTGAAGATTATCGATCGAAAGAAAAACTTGGTCAAGACCATGAATGGAGAGTATATTGCATTGGAAAAGGTATACTTGCCGTCATACCTTACAGATATTCGTATGCTGTGCTAATAATAGCTCAATAGCTAGAATCAGTCTATCGAGCCGCAGCCATAGTAGCAAATATATGCGTTTACGCATCGATCACTGAAACACACCCCATCGCAATCATCGTCCCTGCCGAGCCGGCTCTCAAAAAGCCCGCCCAGTCACTGGGAGTAGGAAGGTCATGGTATCGATGATCTCGTGCACAATGAATCCATTCGTCGTGAGGTATTGAAGCAGTTGCAGGCCATAGGGAAAAGATCTGGATTAGCCAGTATGGAAATAATTCAAGGTGTTGTATTAGCAGATGAGGAATGGACAACCATCAATGTGAGTGTAAATTTTCATCTTCCGTGTTCTATGTAAGGATCAAACAAAAACAAATACAAAATAAAGACAAAAAACATACAACAGTGGGGATTCGCTGGTGGTCACCCACCCAACTACTAATCCACCGATCTGAAGCTTGTGTATGGCAGAGCGGACGGGATGCCCAATTCTCTTCAGTCTATGGTCGTATGTGACAATGTATCACTTGTTTGGATATATGTTTATAGGCCGGTGAAGTTGTGTGTGTGTGAATTGAATGAAGCTAACGAGAAACAGAAATTAGTAACTGCAACCACAAAATTGGATCGAAAAGCGATTTTTGAGAGATATAAGAAGGATATTGATATAGCGTATAGGAATGGGAATAGTAATGGAAATGGTAGTGGAAATGGAAAGTAATTTTTTCATGATTGGGAGAATTCAAGATGAGAAGATGAGATGCAAGATGAGAGCAGGCAAGATCTCAGGAATACTAGCTTATAGATAGATCCGCACCTTTTCGAAATGGATTTTTCATATGTGTAACCGGTTGTTATACCGAATAAGGTTATCTCATTAGTAGTCTTCTTTTAATTATATTATTTTCTTGAATGATGCAATATTGGTCAGTCTATCAGTATATCAATAGTTTCAATATTCCCATCTGTATACTTGATCAAATCAACTTGTTTATTTTCATATTTAATTAATTATAATTTATAATTGTTTTATTTTTTTTTGTATATATAGAATTCTTATATAAATTAAGTTTTATGATTATTAATAATATTTGATTTTATTAAGATTTATTGAATTAACTTTTTGTTTTATAATATATATATATATATATATTTCTTATTATTATAAATAAATAGATTTAAATATTTTATTTTGGATTTTAAATAGATAAGTCTAATACCCTACTTTTGGACCACCTCTAATATGGACCACCTTTTTACACCAAAAATCATGATTTTTAGCTATTAATAACTTTATAACCAATCCATAGAATTTAATGAAACTTGAATCGTAGATTCATTATATAGTTATAACTCAATTCTGAAAATTTTAGATTTTTTATAATTAATTTCATTGAGATATACAATCTTAAATTTTATGATTTTTGATTTGTATAGGATTTATATACAAATTTACAAAAATTTTAAAATCTTAAATAACTTTTCAACAAAAATAATTAAAAATAAATTATAAATTTTTTTCGAATATTTATATCATAAATGATCAAATAAAGCAATTTATTTTAAAAAATTTTTTCCCAAAATCCCTTTAATTAAAATGTTATGATTTTTAATCCTTGTAAAATCAAAAAATATCAATAAAGATTTATTTATATTATTTAAAATTTAAAATATTGATTTATTATATAGATTTTAATCTTAAAATCTTAAAAAAAATTTATAATTTATTTTTAATAATTTTTGTTGAAAAGTTATTCAGGATTTTCAATATTTTCAAATTTGTAAGATCTTATATAAATCTAATACAAATTGAAAATCGTAATTTCAACTTTCAATTTCTCAATCAATAAAATCAGGAAAAATCTGAAAATTCCAGAATCTATCAATAATTATATATTAAATCTATAATCAAAATTTCAATTGATTTTATTCATTCATTGTTGAGTTATTAATAGTTGAAAATGACGATTTTTGATGTAAAAAGGTGGCCCATATTAGAGGTGGTCCAAAAGTAAGGTACTAGACTTATAAGATTATAATAAATATATTTTAATAAAGTAGATGAGGATTATATATATATGTATTTAATATTTCAATATAAGTTGTAAGATAATTATATATAAAAGATACCCGGATATACACTATAAATGTAACTGAAGTCTTTACTTTTGAATCAATACTCATTTTCATGGTGATTTTGTTATAGTTGAAGAAGATATCTGTTCTGATCAAATAATAGGAGTGAACTTTTATATTGTTATTGACTAATACCTACTTCTCGGTTCACTATTCAACTAAGATTGTAAGATCTTATATGAAGTTTTCGCCCAAATGTCACACGAATTTTGGATAGTATTTGTCAAAACGGACAACTAATTATTCAATCTATCAAACACTATACTTTTATTATCTTCTTAAAAAAGATAGAGCAGCAGATCCGACGCCCAACCCTTTAGAAGTTATGTTCCAGCCAACCAGTCAACCAATCAACCAAGCTCCGGTATATCAATACTACGCTCTAAATTCACGAGAATTCCACATTCCACAACACATTGTATTGTGAGATGGCGCCGCACCATAAAGGAGCTTTTGTGCCCACATGTTTATCATCAACTTTCCACGTGTTCCCCATGATTAAATGTGCCTTCACATCGCTACCCTTTAGCGTTGCGACCTCCGCCGCAACAACACCATCAGAATTCAAAAATGGCATTCCAAGACCACCACTATCTGCCCATCCCTCGAAAGGGCGAACAGCAGGCTCGCTTACAGGCACAGGACCTCGGCCGATAGCTGCACCAATGGCGTCTCCGATTGAAGATTTGCGTCTGTACCGCGAAGCAATTTTATCTTCTTCTACGGCAGCTGTTCCTAATTTGTGGATGGCGATCTCAAGTTTTCTGAGAACGTCTGCTCGGTCGTTGGAGTCGTTGTGGACGATGAGGTATGTAAATGTTACTGTTTCCTCGTCTCCAATCGGACAATTATGAAGCGTTAAGCTGGGATATACGAAGCCAGCTGAGTGCTCCCCAAGGGCGAGAGCAGTGGATTGCACTCCTGCGGATACGGTGGCAATAGAAGCTGTAATGTAAAGGGTGTCTACACTTGCAGACCGAAGCTCCTTGATCAAAATATCGGTAGTGTTGATGTTATAACTTGTTTCCCTTCCAGAAAACTCCCGGGTGCCAATAGAACTATGCCACCATATTGAGCCACCAGAGAAATCGTTATAACAAGTATTGTATTTACCGGGAATCTCATCGGTTATGGGGTTACCCAGATACCCACTGTCTCCACCAAGCGCCATCCACCTTTTGTAAATATTTCCACCTACTTTTACGGCACCGTACTAGAAAACATCAGGCGTTAGTAATTGCCTACCATGTCAAGTCATCTGCGGCAAGACGAGAAACTCGAGCGATTTCAGTAAACACGCAGGAGATAGAAAATGACCAAGGAATTCGGAGTTGGAAAATCACGACCAGGAAATGCAACATCAAAGAATACAAATTGCTCACTTCTGGTGTTGAGTAAATCGCACCACCACCAGAAAATTTGTTAAAACGGCACACTTCATCAGGTGCAAATTCCTCGTCTGATGTGGGATATCCTAGCTCGCCCATCTCGCCACCACAACCCATCCACTTCTTGTAGATATCTCCATAAATCCAGAATGCCCCTCGAGTTACAGTGTAATATATAGCACCACCGTGTGAGAACATATTGAAGAGAGTCACTCCCCCGGGCGTCAATGTTTCCTTCACATAGGTGAATTAGTAACCTGCTCAACATTGGAGTCAAGCATAAATAGCATTTTGATATGAAAGGGTCTGTAATAAGGAAGCGTGGAACTAAGATATTAATTATGCTCACGTCAGAAACAGGGAGACCCATAACCCCTTCAGCTCCATCCATAGTCATCCATTTCTTATAGATTTCACCATTCACCACGTAAGTGCCGGTCTTGGAATTGCAATAGATTGCACCTGATGTGAAGTTACTGAAACGACAACTACGGTCAGAAGTCCACTGTTCATCTGTGACCGGACAGCCCAACTTGCTTCGATCCCCACCCAAGGCGAGGTACTTCTTGAGGATATCCCCATGTACCTCATAGGCACCAGTAGCTTTCCCAAAGGCATCTGCTTGTGCAAAAATTGTAGCATTCACATAAGAACGAAAATATCCATTCTCATTGATGACGAAGCCGCCTTTGGGTGGACCAATCCATGGCAAAGACGCAGCCTTTATAGCTATCAGATCCGCAGCAGCATCTTGGTTGCGCAGAAGTTGTTGGAATGTGGGAGATTCCGAATCGTTACAATCGGGATACTAGAATTGGTGCCGTAAGCTTCACTGTATCCCTGATAAATTTACCATATACTAACATGAACCGATACTCTGAACGAAGAAGATTGAAGTGACGCCATGACGTTATTTTTTGGCGGGCCAAGAGCTATAGCTCTATCTGCTGGGAGTAGTAATTTATATCAAAAAGTGTATATGTGAAATGCATTTCTTTCAACGGAAGTTGCCAAGCAACAAAGCACTTCACCCCCATACAACAGTTGTTTCATTGGCTGTTAGGGCCATAGGTCGATCACCATTCTAGCATCAGAGCTTATCAGCTCGTAGATTCAGGCGTATCAAAGGATGTTCTTCTCCTTTGACACGAAAATATTCGGAAGATACCGAACGCCCCTATCTCTTGCAAGAGAGGATAAGTCCTATGGAAATCTAGGCCTTTTAAATAACAACAATACAAATATAGTTGATAAAATATATCAGCCCATTTTCAGTGTTTTGTTGATATGTGTTCAGGGCAATGGGATGGTAGAAGGCGTGACCGCGCTTACTTGGCGCTTGGAGAGACGCCATTCGATTCATATGACATCATTGCACAACCCTTCACCACAAGTTGTTGATCAGATCATGAACCCAACGATATCATACTAACAGCCATTGCGTGATTCTCCAACTACAACAACCTCCACAAATTCCTTGAATATGTGCTTCGGAAGCAAATTGAAAGGCGAAGCACCATCCGGATTCGACAACGACAACCTCAATTCGCGACCACTCAACGCAGTACCTCAGGGAAAGAGCTCGATTAAAATGCCGCAAACCGAATCCTACTCTCCTCCAGCGGGACCACCGCCGTCACAAAAACCTGAGCCTTATAACGAGCAATATGTACCCCCGCGTAGTCCCCCACCTTCGCACGAATATGCCCCTCCTTTGGGCCCACCACCGTCGCAAACTCAAGCGCCATATCACGATTGGCAAACCGCAGTCCCCGACACATCTCTTCTGCCGCCTCCTCCGTCTATGGGATATCAGCGAAGCGATGCAAACAACGCTACAGAAGAAGAGGCACTACAAGGAAAAGCATGGTGTGAGCAGAACCCTTTGGGACCGCCAGTACAATTCCCACAAGCTGCTCTAGAAGCACTTGATGCTGGAAACATTGGTGTCATTAAGCCAAGGTCTTACAATGGTGATCTTTCACGTCTGCGACAGGGTATTTGGACTGGAAAGACGAAGTCAAACAGCAAGGATTCATGCATTATTTCTACGCTTCCGTTGTACTCCGTATACGCGCATTCACCTCTACAAACCGAAATTGGCAAAACAATATACTATGAGGTCAAGATATCAGATAGACATCGTGGGGAAATCACTTTGGGATTAGGATATGTTGCACAGCCATATCCAACTTTCAGATTGCCTGGTTGGCATCGAGGGTCATTAGGTGTCCACGGAGATGATGGTCACAAATATGTCAATGATCTATGGGGTGGTAAGGACTTTACAAGTAAATTTCAAGCCGGCCAGACTGTCGGAATTGGAATGACTTTCACTCCACGAAATGTCAATAGTCCTCCTGCATATGATTCTGGGCCAGCACAAACCACTACTAAAACTCCTATCAACGTTGAGATTTTCTTTACCAGAGATGGCAAAAAGGATGGTGGATGGAATCTTCATGAAGAGGGCGATTCTGTCGAAGATCTTCCCGTCACTGGATTGGAAGGAATGCACGACTTGTATGCCGCAGTAGGAACATTCGAAAAAGTTGAATTGGAAATCGTTTTCAATGAAAGGGAATGGATGTATCGGCCATAATGAACATCACGGATACTTAGATATGTAGAATAGGATATACTAATGGGAGGATTGAGTTGCACGGAGTTACTAGGATGGTGGGTCTGAGAGAAAGAAATACACATAATCATTTCTACTTCTTTATCTTAATCTCCTTTAATCCGATAGGAACATCTACACAATTTAATTTTTGCCACATACGATGGCGACTGCCCTAGTTTGGTGCCTCTCAACTCTCAAATTTTTCTGTTATCTAAGCTGTCTTATCAGACTTGATGCTTTTATGGATCTTCTTTATACATCACAATGATCTCATTGATCAGCTTACACATCCCAAAAGTTCAATTGGGGACCAAATGAGCATCCATTCATCTCTGAGCATATGAATCAATTACCAAATTTCTCTCCCTTCCAATATTCATCCTTCCAATAGTCCACTCATGAATGATATATCAAATGATATCACACATCCCCAAGTTTACAAGATTACAGGCTGCGGTCTGGATTAAAATCGCTCAGTATTTGGAGAGCTATGGACTTTTGAAAATGTTTCAATCATTCCCCTCAGTATTGCTCTCCGAAGGTAGACGATCTCTGAATGGTTTCAATCTTTCAAGTAACTCGTAACCTTACAAATAACTTCAGTTTTCAGATGATTCCAACGACTAAGATATCTCATTATTGGATACATGTCCGGACTGTGGGGTATTACAATTTCTGTTACTTTTTGAACTGGTCCAAATGATAATTTCTCCATAGCTTTGACTCTAACAAAGCTCAATGAGATGTGTAGTAGCTACTTAGTCAGTCTCCTACTCATGACCTATCTAACCGAGCCAGTCGCAAAGGACGAATAGCGAAATACTATGATGTTCAGTAGCTTAACCCAAACGCCACTGCATAAATTTTTTCATATTGAGTGGCTGGAAGTACAGATCACTGGAAAAAAAACCTGCAGTCCGGCACTCTTTAGCTTCTTTGGTATATGCTCGAAGATGTCGTGATCGTTAAGTTTCGCATACTTCGTCCATTTTTATGATCTAGCTTCTTCCATCTGGTATGTCTGGTAGTTCTGGGGTAATAGACTTACATCTGGCTTGATTTCTAATGACTCAGTAAGGTTACTACTACAGACATGTTTTCACTAAGCTTCATGACCGTTTCCTAGTTAACGGCGCCATGGTCTGTAGCTCGTAAGCTTTTGGACTAGCCTTCAAATTTGACGGCAAAAGGTTTCCGAATCTTTGAGTGTCATTGAATCCTCTCCGTTCCTTTCATGCTTCGAACAGTGATTTGGCTTCTTGAATGAATTTAAATTATGAATATGCCTCTAAAGTATAAACCTCGTTCGACGATCAAGGCTATTTTCATGCTGAATTACAGTCTGTAATGTTGGATACAGTGTACATAAGCAAAACATCCCTCTTCTCATCCCCGCAGCGACGTTTTCAATCAGCTCAAAATACTAGTACTAGTATGAAGCTTGTATCTCCTAGCTCGTCTTCTAAAAGCTATCTATCATTCATTATAGTCATAACTTTAGATAAAAGTACATTCTCAAATAAGCATAGTCTGCAAAAGTTTTCACGCACTTATGAGCAATGCCATATTGCACTACTGGAGAGGAAACACATAAAAGACCTACGTTTCCCAGCTTGCAAGAGATTCTTTCTTCTTCAGCCAACAATCTTCTGATCATTTTTACCATTTACAAAAGTCAAACTTTTGAAATCTGTATCACTGATATATTGATTGTCCGATCTTAGTTGCTCAAGATCAATCATTTATTTAACTCTTCTTACTTACCACTTATCTTATTTATTTTCAAGATGTCTCTCCTACCTCCTTCCTCCCTTCCTCCCTCCTCCTCCCCCCTCCTCCCTCCTCCTCCCTCCCTCCTCCTCCTCCTCCTTTCCACCTTCCAGTCCTCTGCCCCGTCCTCCTGGTCCTCTCTTCCTCCCTTCCTCCTCCCGCCTCTGTCGATGAGCTATCGGCTTGGCTTCCACCTCCATCAATGAGGTGGTGAACAAGATACTGCCTGTCAAGGCATACGTCTTCATCTCAATTGACTTGGAGGCAACCACGCACGAGTTCAACTGCTATGCCAATGGCAAGGTTTATCCTCGCTCAACGCCAACGCAGATTGGCATCTCAATCCTCCGTGCGACCGGAGACAACGCGGCCCTTTACGCGAAGGATTCGTGTTCGGAAGCTGGCACCGAATTCCGCCACATCTTCATCAAGGAATTCAAAAAGTACAGGACCAGAGTTGGAAAGCTCAAACAAGGTGAAAAGGTCGCCTTTCAATACGGCCGCACCGAGTTTCACGAGCTCGCCAAGGTCAATGGGCTGATCAAAAAGCTCATTGACGAGGAGTCCAAATATGGACAAGTGGTCTTGGTTGGTCATGCCATCCAGAATGACCAAGCCTTTTTGGAGAAAGCGGGGATCGACGCCTTCGATCGTTTCTTCCCGGACGCCATTGATACACAGGCGATCCATCTCGAGCCGGGAAGCAAGAACGGCCGAAGTCTCCTCAACTTGGTCTGGGAATACGACCCTTACGTCCAGCCTGGATGGGAGCACAACGCTGGCAACGATGCCGCGTGGACGTTGTGGGTCTTGGCAAACAAGCTCCCAGACATTCTTAGGGTCTCGGATTCTGGCGAGGAGATGATCATCGACTCGTATAAGAAGCTCAGATTCCCTTCAAGAATGAGCAGACAACGCCGTCTTTACGAGGATCAAGATGACGTTGAAGAGACGGCAGGTTGGGGGATTGAGAATTTGAAACCCCCCTCTGCTTGCGATTCATCGTCATCTTGGTAGAAGAGTTGAGGCATTTATCCCTCGCTAGATGAAGCTTGTCTGTGGTTCTTGGTGTTCCTTGGTTGTTCTTGGTGGTCTTCGGTGTTCCTCTGGTCTTTGGTTGCCCTTAGTGGTTTTTGGTGGGATAGGCGGAGTTTCTTTTGGGTGTTCTTTTGGGTGTTTCTTTTGAGTGTTTCTTCGGGGTGTTTCTTCGGGGTGTTTCTTCGGGGTGTTTCTTCGGGGTGTCCCTACGGGGTGCTTCCTCAGCGTGTTTTTCGGTTTTAATTTTTATATACTTCCATCATTCATCGATCAGTTCAAGTGGTCATATTCATAAGTGAAGTCTGTGTCTGTAAATCCTTGAGTTGAAGTTGAAAAATATGATTAATTAAATTACTACAAGAGTGATGCGATTTATCGCCCAATCCGATTATGCTTTGAAATATCCTAATGGATTGTAGGATTACACAAAATACATCGATCATATCCTCAAATGCCACGCCTCGCTCCGATCTTGAAGGCTCCTTCCTTAATTGCATTCATTCCAAACTCCTTCCTATTCTCGTCTGGTCTTTATCAAATTCGGATCAGATGCTGTTCTGTTGGTTGAACTGAAAATCATCATCTTGCACAATCATGTCATTGATTTTAGTTAGGTACATGAGACGAAAACTTCTCATGTCCAAGCTAGAAGCAGGTTGAGAAACAATAAAAACTTCAGGCCACTATATAAGGCAATAAACAAGAGACGTGATTCAATTCCATACATCTCTTCATTACATGCAACATCCACCAACACATATTCTTGTTAACCAACACAATATATTCTCCTCATTTCCTCATCCAACCCCAACTGCACACTCCCGCCCACAAGCTCGGAATCTCCACCCCCCTATAAAATACCTCTCCACACACCAAAGTCCCCAACACCGAAATCACAAAACAAATACAAGTAGCCGCTATATCCGAAACATCTTTATCCACGACAAGATGGAGATACAAGGGAATAGCAGCCGAATATACCACAATCGACTGCGTCAAAAAGTAACCTTTATAATAAAATGAATCCATTAGCCATAGCCCAACGACTCACAAACATTTCGTAAAATAACCACTTACTTAAACTTCTCTTTCCAAGAGCAATCATCACCGTATTCTTAAATAAATTTTGCACTCCCTTCCTCGTCTCCAATAACAAAAATCCTCCACATAAAATTAGCCAATCGGCGATTCTGGGCGTTTGTTCCTTCAAATCTGGAGTTGTGTTTAGTCCACCCGAAGAACCATAAATATCGGTATGGGCCTTCAATTCCGCATTTGCTGTTTTGACCTCGGAATTAGAAGTGATGTAGAAATATTGGAGACCTATTCCAATTAAAAGGATAAGGGTGTAGGGCATCCAAGACGGTACTCGTTTCTTCGTGAGTTGTTTTGGTAATGGAAAGCCGGTTTTGGAATGAAGGAGTAGGGGAGAATTAGGGAGAAGGAAGAAATCGGTGAGGAGGAGGCCGCTGATAGATATGAATGAGTAGGAGGATACCCAGTAGGCGGTGAAGAGGAAGAGGGGGGAGTATTTGAGACGCCAGAGCGGTCGGGTGTAAGGAATTATGAGGGTGGTGATGTAGAGGGTGTAGGATTGTGAGTAAAGGATTGGAAGGATTGATAAGGTTGCGGAAGGGAAAGCGCGGACGGCGGATAGCTTGTGTAGAGGTGTGTGGGAAGTGGAGAGAAAGAGAGTGAAGATGGAGTTGAAGAGGGTGAGGGGAACAGGTGAGGAAAGAGCAGAAGGAGTTTGGATACTCGCGTTCGCGGTGCGGGTTATGAATAGTGTGGTAAAATGATCGGTAGATGTTATGTGCGAAAGCAGAGTGATAAGCGAAAGGGAGAAGATAGTTGGAATTATAAGGCGGAACGATCGTCGGAATATGGAAGATGTGATGGTTTGTTTTGTCGGAGAGCTAATGAAGGATATACAAAGTGTTCTTGCAGATAAGAAAATAAATGACGAATATATGAGCGATTCATTCCAGAAAATTGGAGAGAGAATCTTGCGAATGAAGTTTTGATAGGTCGGCGTATCTGGAGGGAATGTAACGATGTTACTCTTGACCGTAGCAGGAACAAATGTTTGTAGGAATGTCCATAGAAAAGTCTGCGTTATGAGAAAGCCGCGCAGGCCTAGAAGGTAGGTCGATTGAGGAGTACTTGCAGGCGACGGTAGGAAAAGCAATTTCATGGTGGTAATCGTAATCGGTTTTCCTGGCTTTCTGAATTCTACTCGCTATAGATGGACGCGGATCACAAAACTCAAGAGGTTTAAAATTCAATGCTGATGGAAAAAAGGTTTTATAAATGAGAATTCCAGATATTTACCTGGAGTAAGCTTCAATACTTACTCAGTGTGAGAATTCCAGTAACCAGGCTCCCTAATATTCTAACCTGCAATTCACACTATTGGGAACCGTATTCGGACTATCTTACGCCTTCTATGTGAGCTGTAATGTTTCATGTAAAAAAAAAACTCTTTCCGAGACCTGACTTGATTTGTCTCGGGTAAAGAAAAGGGGAGGCGGGGTCATTCCAGTATTGGATCCAAAAGATCATGTCAAAGTTCTGAAAATTAATGGAGCCCAGTTTTGTGGCTTCAATCACAAGACAATAACTTCCAGGCTCAATTTTAAAGTCTTTCTATTTTGTGAATATTAACATTGGTTTCGAGGCATATATTAAGCATGAATATGTGATGGGTGATTTAATAATAAAGAATTGATATTTTGAAGAGATTAAGGTTTTTCCTCGGAAGAGAAATATTATGTACTTTGAGTAAATATGTTTCCCGCCAAAAACTACCACCATTACAAAAACAACTACGAACCCTCATTAATTTCTCATGCCTTAATAATCTGGTTTCCGTTGACATGCACCTCACCCTCGGCGAACCTGCCCTTGGACATATTATTGGTGGGACTAGTAGTAGATGCTTGCAGAACTCTCTCCTCACACTCGATAACCCGAATCTCTACGCCGTTTACCTTCTCCTTCCCTTTCCCCGTATTTCCAACCTTACTTTCCTCAATCGGTGCTGCACCACTCACAACAGGAATCCCGTCAACCATGCCATTCCGGTCCAGCCAATCCCTTCCAAATGGTGTTAAAGTTGGCCTTCCCCGCAATGGCTCCTCCCTTGAGTCTCTCTTGATATCCCCAGCTAACCCTTTTCCGCATAACCCTGCGATCAATGATAATAATGGTAATGATAAAAATAATACCGTATAACATACCACGGCCGTCACAATTAGTACTGCCCAATACGGTAAGATGTTGTTGAGCGTAATGCAGACCCAAGCACCAAGGGACCAAAATATCATACCGTGGAACAGATACATGCTAAAGACGTGTGGGAATAAAAGCATCAGGTGTTTAGCGGAAAGAAATGACTGGACGAAGGGTGATATAGATGCCAGGCATTGAATTGCAGTACAGAAGACGAGGCCATTAAAATGAGGGACCCAATACCCAGGATAGCCCGGGTATCCGGAATTTCGAGTGATAGTCGCCGGAAGTCCTGTGTTTGGGTCGGGATGTATGAGTGTTTCTTTAGCTATAATGCTGTAATTTAGCCATTGGTTGAAGGTGTCTGCGCTCAGGGCTGAAAGGGCTAAAATTGTGAGGATCAAAATAAGAGGATAGTATATGAGAGGATGTTTGTGCAGGTATTTTGGAATGTGGTAAGTAACTTCGAGATCGGTGAGTAGAATGCCGACCCAAAAGAAGGAGGACCAGGATAGTGAGTACCAGTTTATGAGGAGAGAAAAAAGGTAGAAAGGGAGACGTTTGCTCGGGCTTGGAATAGAAGTTATCAGAAGGATGGCGAGAAGTGTTGTCCATGATCCCTGTATTATTACAGGAATGGTCCAGAGAACACCGGTACAGTAGTTGAAAGTTATGAGAGGAACGGCGTTTGGGATTGTGTATGCAAGTGCGATAACTTCATTCAGGAGATTTCCGATGTGTGGAAAGGGCGTAACGTAAGGCCATGTGCTCCATGTAATTGATGGCAAGAAAGGAAGGTAATACGTTGCTCCCGATAGAATGAGAAAGTATTCTAGAAAGACGAACGCGAGAACAGGTAACATGATTTGAAATACTCGACCGATTATCTTTTGAGATATACAAGAGAGGTCTCCATCCCGTAGAAAAGGTGTAATGAGGAATCGAGCGGAGGTTGTAAAAAAGAGACCGAGAGCTCCTTGATTGAGAAAAAAAGGTACGATGGTTTTGTTAATCCATATCTCAGCGGGATAGTGTGCAAACGCACCCGGGGCAATGACGGCCGGTACGAAGGTTAGGCAGAAGTGGAGGACAGTTACGTTGATTGCTGCGACTGTGATAAGACCGGCTAAGTGATCCACTCTTTGACTGTTTTCTATGGGGGCTGCACTTCCGATTGTTGAGAATTTAGATGTGGGAAATACATTTGTGGTATCTCGTCCATCTGAATGTGTATCAATATAAGTTTGGCCATGCTTCTGATGCTGTGGTTCTATGACGTCTGATTCGATATCAAGTGTTACATTGTCTAACGCACCCACGGTGGTAGTATTGTCAAGCCCTGAGAGTCGTCTAGACTTTTCATTGAGGTTAAAATCGAATCGGCTAGGGGCGGGCGAGTTGGGCCACGAGTGAGGTTGGTTAGAAGGTAGTTCATTGATAGACATTGCATTGTCACTATTCTCGCCTGAAGTACTTCCAGGAGTATCCCATCCGGGGTCAACCTTGCTGTATATCTGATCAATAGATCCGATGCCACTCAAGCCTCTTCCAGCAGAAACTGAATGGCTTGCGGATGAAAAATTGAATGAAGCTATTAAGGTTGATGATTCCGAATTATAGGATTCAATTCGGGTCCTATATGAAGGTGCGGGAGTCAAGCTTGCGTTTCTGTAGTGCGTATAGGGTGAAGAAGGAGGGCTCATCACACTGTTATCATCTTCTGGAATATGTTGGACATCCCCCTCTTTCTTCTTGAAAACTTTGAGCTTAAGAAGAGCATTCACCAGAGCTGTCAGAGTAATCACTATACAGCCTACGCTGAACCAAATAGCCACCCACCGAAGTGTGCCACGAGCAACACGCTGTTCCCATGGATATGAAGCGGCTGATGGGAAAGGCGAGGAGCCCCGTAAAGCTGTATTGTCCATTGAACATGCGACAGTAAGGTTGCATTTCGCATCGAAATTTGCATGGTCCGTAGAATTCATCGTTGACGAATTGAAAAAGAGTCGAATCCATCCAATATTTGCATCTGAAATAGAAATAGGTGGGCCTTGCATCGAATATGGATTTCCTGTAGACCAATGCTTGATAAAGAAGGGTGAGGGCGTTGATGGTATGGAACCATTCGTCTTAGAAATTGATCTAATAAGAGCGCTTCCGATATACCAATTAACTTCACTCTCCGTCCAGTCCAGTCGAAACTCGTTGTAATCATATAGCGATATGTTCTTCCCGGCAAAAGTACTGAAGTTCGTGCCAAGTGATGGATCTGGAAATTCCGAATGAACCAAACTTGTGACCCAAGAAGTCGAATTTTGGTTGGTGTTCATGATATTGATTTCCATTGATTCTGTATCATTATATCGAAACATCATTGAGAGTGAAGTTCCCCCAACTCCCTGATTTGAAGGACGGAGATGAGCACGTGCTGAACCATATTTGATATCCTGTCTCACAGTTCGGATGCCACCACCTGTTACCAAGTGATCACTATTCGGTGGATCTACTGATAATTTAAGGGACGTCGTGAAAGGTCTACCAGACGGCATGGGCAATGATATTGGCTCATTCGCAGTTGAAGAGTTCCCGCCTCCTCCGCTGATCGTAGACGAAACGTTCTGGTGCGGAGAATTTGACGAGACCTGTCGTGAGGAGCGTGATCTGGATGAAGGTAGAGACCAGGAATCATCGTTATCGGACGTGAATAACGAACTGTTAAGGAAGTTGATGTTTGTAGGATTGGAACCTTGTCGGAAGATGCTGTTGTAATCCCTCTCATATCTGTTTTCGTATGACTGAAGTATGAAGTCGTCGGAAAGAGTATCGGTTTCATTGAAATACACTATTAGAGATTCTGTGAAGAGGTTTCCATTCACAATATCATAGTATCCACACGAGCAATCACCATTCGAGGAAATGACAGGGGCAGAAGGAGAAGATTGGGCATAGACGGAGAATGCAATAGTAAAGAGTAAAGACAGAATGGAAAGGGCGTGCATGGTCGATAACAACAGTAACAAGTAACGGTAAAAAATCCTTCGAGGTTACCTTCGTCATGAATTCAACTTGTCAAAAGGATACCACAAGATAAATCTTAAAACCCATAAGTTGTCGTGGGTGTCAAATTCAAGTGCCCAGATCCTCCTCGAGAGCTGAGACGGGCGACCACACACACAACCCATCATGTCTTATTTACCTTTTGCTTTTTGACAGGACTTGGAATGAATGAGAAGTGACTTCCTGTTTACCAAGGACTTCTTAGACAGTACAGCAGATATTGCGAATTTCGCAGGGCTTCATGAGTGGTCGAAGGAAAACTTTTAGCTTCACGTGCCTAGCGCTATAGGGGTTCGGTGGCTTCAGTGGCTCATTCAGTGGCATTTTAGCTTCCGATGGGTTCTTCCAGTCAGTGATAAATTTAGATTTATGACTTTCTTATCCGCAAACATTAACTTTCCAACACAACACTGTATCTAGTGTATAATTTCCAAATTGCTTAGATTCTTTACTATCTACTTACATAGTGAGACGAGGCTTCATCACTCAAGTGAACCTCTATGTTTATTGAGAGGCTTGAAACAACCAAATACCAAACATCTTTCGCCATTCAAGAGAGGCAGAACTATCTATCGCTGGAAGTCTAGATCATCTGTGTTGAGCTTTAAGACAACAAGTCTCTTACGGATTTGACATATCATTATCCTTTGCCTTCGCAATATTCGGAAGCTCTAATTGCACAAGTAAGCAATGTTGCGGACAACCACATGCTTTCAATAGTTTGATCAGCTTGGGTATGATGCTATTCATGGATTATACCAAGAATTCATCGAGATGAATCTAGTTCACGATTTTGATTCCCCTCCGGAGTGCGAATAGACGGATAGTGTTGTCTGTTTGTTGATGTCCTTCAAATTCTTCATGAGCCTCTTACCCTTATTTCATCATTACGCAAATTTAATACCTTCGGTTCTCTGTTTACCCACACAAGATGTTGAAGCTAATCAGTTCCTCAAGACCTGCTTCTCTACGCACTCTCGCGTCTAGAGCTTCAGCTTTCTTGTTGGATTGGACTCCGTTCCTCCTAATTATTTCCTATTTCATATTCTCAACATGTCTTTACATGTTTTGTACGCCAAAGCTGATAGAGATTTTCTGGCTGATCTATCTTTCCACGAATTCCTACACAGCAGCTATGAACGTCATGGAAGCCATATGTAGTCTAAAGCCTAACAGAATTGCAAGGAAAGCACTCTATGACGTGGAAGAAAATGGATGGAAATTTCCTACACCCGATGATCAACTCTTGATACTGGATCTTGTTATCGTCGCATATCTTCCCAACGAGCAAGATATCATCATGGATAGGATTCACTATGCTTTGGATCATATCGTATATCCAGCAGATAAGATTCGGATCAACGTACTGTACAATACGCCCAAACCTATCGAGCCCGTTGAATCTGAAATGAACAACCTCGCTGCGAAAATTGACCGATTGAGAATAATCAAAGTACCAGACTCAACTTCCAAAGCACACAATCTTAATTACTTCTTTACCCTATATACCGGAGCACAAATCATCGCCTTGTATGATTGTGATCATTATTCCCATCCTTATGGGCCGCGATTGGCAGTCGAGCGGTTTCTAGCCGATGAAGAAGTCGATTGCGTTCAAGGACGATGTGTAATTCAGAATTCCAAGGCCACATTCCTGACAGGTATGATCGCGGTAGAATTCGACAAGATCTATGCTACATCACATCCCGGCCGAGCTGCATTATTCGGATATGGTCTATTCACCGGTAAATATACCTCATCCGGCCTCCTCTTCCCCGCAAGACCCATATTTCACAATATACATCCCCTCTAGCATCTCTAACAACCCTATAGGATCCAACGGCTACTGGCGCGCGAATCTCCTCCGCGATCTAAAAATGGACGCAAGCATGTTAACAGAAGACATTGACTCCGCACTGCGCGCCCTAGAACAAGGCGCAACCTGCATCCACGAACCGAACGTGATATCCTACGAACTAGCCCCCACAACCTTCCGCTCATTTCTCAAACAGCGACTCCGGTGGGCCCAAGGCTGGACCCAAGCAAGCTATCGACACTGCGTCCTCGCGTACAAAAAATCACCACACAAGAAACGGAATCTCCTCACCCGCTTTGGTCTCCTCTCTTTACTGTTAATTCGCGAATTGAGCTATTATCTAGTATCGCAATATACATGTCTCATGCTCAGTTTCCTCATCACTGGATTTCCAAAAACAGGCACCCAGTTGAAAAATCTTATTTTCTTTGAATTTCCGGCTTCGGAATGGTTATTTATTATCGGGTACGTATACGTGAACTAAACATACCCATCTTCCTTCCTTCCTCCATTCCTTCCTTCCTATCATACTCATCCCAGCTCATCGCATCCCAACCCTCCCCAAAGCACAAACACACCACTAACCCTTCCCCCCCTCTCCCAGAACCCTCTGCCTAATCGGCAGTCTCGCAATAACCTATTTCGTCCTCTCCGAATTCATAACTAAACGCATGATGCTCAAATTTACGCTTCTGTATCCCTTCTATCTGATTCTAGGAAGTTGTATTGGTCTGTATGGACATTTTCGACAGATTGTCCGGTATTCGGCTTGGAATGCTACAGTGAGGTCTTGAGGTCTTGAGGTGTGGGAGGGATATTTGGAAGAGGGGAAGGGGAGGGGGATATCGAGATCTTGTAGTTTTATTTTCGTATAGATATACATCATACATACATAGCATGGCGTATAATAAGTTTGTTATTCTATTTAGGGGAATTTTTTTGGGCTCTGATATGGTGGTGGTGGTGATGATAGTCTTTGGGGCGGGGTTTTAGAGAATTAAATAGGTTTGGTGATTCATCTATCATATACTGTCTATGGCTTCTTCTCTTCTTTATTCTCTATGATTTTTGTAAAGATCTAATGGTGTAATGTAAGAAGACACAGAAGAGAGAAAAGATAATGTGATGGCTTCACATGATAATATTTGAATCACCAACTCACCAACTCATTCACACATAAATACAAAAACCAAGCAAAAAAATGTAAAAGGAAGTTTTTTTAATTGTGCTTATCCTATCTATCCCAAGCATACCACAATCTCCTATCCAAAGATAGCTAGCTACATGAAGGCATGCAAGCCACTTTCACTTCACTTCCTCCCTCAATCACCATCACCATTGCACTCATTCCATCACCAGAAAAGCAAATCAAATCTGTGTCCCCAAGCGATTCCCATCCAGTCTAAGAACAGAGACACCCCATAAATCCCCCCTTCCAAGTATAGAAAGACACAAACTTCCTAAAAACCAAAGCTCCTCCATGTGTATGCAAAGAGCAAGCAAGATGCTTTGCCCAGCAATAAAAGGAAAATGATCAAAGCACCAAACCCCATCAAACACCAATATGTAAAATCTCCCTAATCAGAGGTCCTGTTCCCAGAAAGAAGTACTTTAATGTACTTTAAAAAAAAAACGAGTGAACCAAACGCCTCGCTGATGTGTCGCATGTGACGGGAAAAAACAAAAGCAGTCGAAATATTTCGATGCCGGTCCTCTGGTATGAATCATGTTTGAATCTGCCTAACGCCTGTCCAGAGGACAAAATAAATCCCAAAATTATGTTTAAAGAGAGTAAGAAAGTGGACAGGAAGCCTTATCCAGGAGATGGAGGATGGAGGATGGTTGGGATATGTGTGAGGTATACCCGTTGATAAAAGTGTAAGGTGGGTGTATGATATCTTCACATCTCTATCCCAGCTCCATTGATCAAGACAATATATGTTATTTCTTGCTAGTCTTCTTACCCAGTCGCAAGAACCGAGTCCTTAACCACATCATGAGTTTTGTCCAAGCACTGTGTGTTTTCTTCTTGGTATTTGACCTGGTGGTATGACTTCTTCCTCCAGGTGAACCCTGTTCCTCGGTAAGGAATGGGGGAGTAGAAATAGTTGCAGTATTATAACTCTGGCCATAAAGTCCTTCACTTTTCTCATGTATAGTAAGGTCAGATTTGGAACGCTTTGATCTTGTAGGTAGGTTGTCACTGGCAGATGAACGACGATGTCCCCTTTCAATCTGCCTTGCTTCCTTTTGTTGTTTCTTCTCCATTGCTCGAATTTCCTCCCTCGCCGCCTTTTCTTCTTTGGCCTTCTCTTTCTCTTGGAACTTGCGGCGTGCCTCTTGTATTGTTTCCGATCGCAGACGATTATCAACATCACTGCGACTTCGAATTCGAAATCCTTCCATGGATCGCCGGATAGCTGGTGTAGTAGGTGACATGGTGTCGAGTGGTGAGGGTACTTCAGGGGTCAGGGAGAGACTTGTGCGTGACGTCGCAAGTCCAAGTCTTGAGGAGGTCGGGGGTAGCTTTGTTTGAATCCTTAGGGTTTGCTGCAAGAGAGGATTCGCCGAACTGCTCATAGAGTTTGCTTGATTTGATAAATTGGCTGTACTACGGAAAGTATGCCGTAACTGATCCTCATCTTCGGTAAGTGCAGGGCTGCTGTTTGTTGCTTCACTTTCGCGAATTGAGTTTTGATAGGAAGCACCTAACGGCGGAGTGTAAGGTCGGGGTGTTTGCTGGAAAGGATGTACGAATGGTCCAGAACGTGGGCCACTGCCTGTTGTTGTTGTTGAAAATTGAGATGTGCCGCTGGTTGAACGAGCATGAAACCCCCTTCTACCTCCTTCTCGACTGTTGTATGCAATGTCGTAAGAGGAGCGAGAACTGTATCCAGCACCATAATCAAATATCCCGAGGGCATCTTGTTGTTCCGCAGCAGAGCGATCCAGATCTAGTGAATTCTTTTCGCTTTGTATCAGCTTTTTAAAAACAGGTTTGACCTTGGATCTAGATCTCGATATATGATCTCCATGGTAATTGGACATTGTTTCGATTGGAGGGGTACGGTGTGAGAGCAGTAAAAACAAGCAAAAACAATGAATGGTAAATAGCAAGTAATAGCAATAACTAACACAATCAAGATCAAATCAAAATCAAAATGAAAATCAAAAATCAAAATCAAAGAGAAACAACTCTCAGTCCCTTTACGGAGACGCTTAATAACATCTAATAGTTTGCATCGCTGCTGTGCAGAAATGAATGTTGCACGGTACAAACAAGTGAATAACGATTGATGCACGACACAAAACTGACCGCCGACTTGCCCCTTTGCGCAAATCCGGTATGGTTAAAGAATGGGAATGGAATGTAGGTAGGTAATGTAATGTAATGTAAATCGGTTGCGATAACGATAAACCCCCTTCTTTCCCCTTCTTTGCGGTATGTGGACGGAAGTATATTGGTACAGAGAGTACGGTGAGCTCTTTCTTTTTTCTCCGAGGGATAAAAAAGGTCAAAAGGTTGAATAGGAAGGAGTGATTTGATTTGGGTTGGTTTGGTTTGGTTTTGGTCTGGTTTGATTTGGGCTGCAATGATTTGATTTGATTTGATTTGATTTGATATGGTAATAAATGTCTGTACCTATAATCTGAATTTGAGTTAAGTGGTCGAGTTGGATGTAGAATTTAATATGTTTTGTTGGTTGGGTTAGATGGATAGAGGCGGAGTAGAGGAGGATAGGAGGAGGGTAGGATGAGTGATGCAAGTGATGTAAGGAGGAAGTAATGTAAATAATGTAAATGATAAGCAATGTAAGTAATGTAAGTAATGTAAAACATATAAGTATTGTAGGTAATAATATATGTAAAATAAGATAAATAACGTATATAATCCAAGTAATGAAAGTAATGAAAGTAAGAAAGCAGGAAAGCAGGAAAGCAAGGTTTCAATCAAGAAGAAGTAATCCGTGTGCCAATAAGCCGCCGGATTGGAATCTCCAATTTCTCCATCAAACAATGAAATGAATGAATGAATGAATGAATGAATGAATCAGCCGCCATCAAACTAATAATCATTTTATTACATTTTCAGCATACCTGAAGCGGCGCAGGAAGAAGTTAAGGAAAAGAGGGAGGGGCTTTCATACGACTCTTTTCAAAGCCATCCAGCTTTAATCATCTAATAAGCCAAAAGTCCTCCAAGCCCCCCTCACAAAGCCATCAACATCTTCCGCCCACTTTAGAAAGCAACAATGTGCACGCGTTCGTACTGTACTGACTGGGCTTGTGCTGTATTATACCTAGGTGCTGTGTTGTGTTGTGTTGTGTTGTGCTGTGCTGTGCTGTGCTGTGCTGTGCTGTGCTGTGCTGTGCTGTGCTGTGTTGCTTTCTATACCCAGCTTGCCCAGCCCTCAACCAGATAGTAAAATGGCCGAGACTCCGACTTTTATCGCTCACTCACTGGTATTGTCCGGTTTTCCCGAATGCGTACTTCGAAATGTTGGTTGGTTGCATTGGCAGCATGGATAAGCGATGAAAATGGAATGCAAATGATACAATACAGTGCAAGCTGACAGCTTGAATCCTTAATCGTTCATCGCGGATCGTTCAAGAGTGTGGGAGTCTAGGTCTTTAAAGATAAAATCAAAGGTCATGATCATATGTCAGAAGTCATAGGTTAGGTTAGGTGAGATGGTTAAGTGTGAATGTGATGAGTGTAAAGGCCGAGATCATTGGTCGTTACATTATTAGGTTAGAACCTGCGAGGTACTTATGGCTGGCAATGTCTGTGTGAAAGGCTGGTGGAGGATGGGAGAAGAAGAAAAAAAGTATAAAGTGGGGATCGATGGAAGATCTCGACATGGAAGCGGGTAATCTGGAGGAAGGGAATGGAAGCATGTATGCCATTATGGAGAAGAATTCAATCGATTGAATCCTGCAACATCTACAACACATCTTCCTTCACGTTGACAACACAGTTCAATCTATTAATAACTACTTTGGTTGGCTGAACCTGCGGTCACGTATATTGTGAGGAGAAATGGATACACTTACACTGAGGCTGATGTACCCCTTCATTTGACCGTGGCCGTCGTGGTCGTGATGATTCACCTCGGGTGCGTTGGTGGTGGATAAGGCCGCCCCTTATTCCAGTTTCTCCGACACGGGGAGATACTCCAACGGACCATTCTCAAACGACCATGTCACTCATTCATGTCGGTGAATGCTCAGTCGTGGTCAAATATCCGCTTCTCTACCTATACCTTCGCTTGCCTGGACTGCCTCATGAAGGGGTACAGTGATCTGGAACTTGGTCAGTACAGTGAGAGTGGTACGAAGCATCATCTTACACTAGTCTAATAAAACATATCCTCGAGGAGAGATGTCGGCAGATATGGAGTACAACGTCACGGATAGATGCGGAAGGCCGAAGTAGGTAAGGTACCTACAATACATATGTATCTAGTGAGATAGGCATCTTTGAGATCCAGTCGCCCAGGTCCGTAAGAGCCGAAAGCGACAGGACGATCGAAGTCTACCGGCCATGAATTATCTAAATCGGGACAATTGAGAGTTGAAACCCCCTTGAAGTTTGAACGGAAGGGAGCACAATTGCATGACTAATTTTACGTGCCTGGGCCAAGATAAAGACATCGCAGAATTGTGTCGACGTTTTTCTACCTCATTTCGCCTTTCTAGGGTCCGGCATGTTTTGTAAGTTTGTATTGCAGATAATAATGCATGGAAAAATTTCTTCATACTTTCCGACCTCGCAGTTGCATATTATTTCACATATAGTTTTTGGTCGGACTTTGAACACAACAAATGTATCACTGACTCGGGGAATTTAATTCCTTCTCATGCGATGTTCAACGTCCTGCGAAGCCACTATCACACAATAGTGCCAATCCCCACCATTCAATGTCCTGTCACCTGCCAATTGTAGATCCAAGTCTCTGTCTTGCTTCCGAAAGTGCAACGGGTAGGGTAGAAAACGTTCTCAAGGTAATACAGTCACATATGAAGGCGTTGACGTTTGGCATCACACACATCCATATCCTCTCGGGAAACTGCTACATATATGTGTATATATATCTATTTGTGCAGTGAAAAAATGCCATGTACCTAGGATAAGTTGCATGAACTCAATGGCCGTGCTCGGGTCCTTCACCTGATTTCGTCCATGTTGGGACAACAAAACACTGGGGGCCCTTTGCAATTTCTCTCGTCTCCCTGGTTTTGATGACGACAAGAAAGTGTGCTAGGGAGAGAGAGTTTTCTCTATCGATCACTTGCATGAAGTTAGAACTTGCGTCTGTTTCGTTTGCGAGGGGTCTCCAAAAAGACGCAATTCTAAAGTATAATTGTTGACGAAGTATGCTGGGCAAGCGATTAAATGGGAACTAATTTAAATACAGATCACGGACGTGAGGTTATTGTGTGATGGATCATGGTGACCCTTCTCTTACCTTATCTTGAAGTATCAAGGATATTCCTCACCCCAGGGTTGAGGGTTCGAGGAAGTCATGTACATACATTCGCATTCGTACTGGTCTGCTGGAGACTTCCTGCAACATATGCAAGATTCTTCACCTCAGCCCCGTTTTCATTGCGTATGAGACGATAATACTCAAATTGCGCGCAGCGAGCAAGGCTGTCAGTCAAAATCATAACCATCTTTATTACATGTCAACCCTCAATATTGGTCCTCGCCTTGCTGGCGCCTGTTAGTTTGTTGTGGTCCCTTGGTGGATTCCACTCCGCTCAACCCACTTTGAATAGCTTTTCAAACGCACATTACTCGTTGACATGCAGATGATGATGAGGATCAACGAGGCATAGGTGGAGCCTGTAGCTCTAGATCACGTCCATACTAGTCCCCCTGAGCAGTTTTCTCAAACTGTCAAAATCTAAAATTCTCGACTTAAGCATCAGCCAAGGAGTGGATGATGTTACGATGCATTGATGATGGAGGGGTAAGGGAAGCAAGGTCACTCATCCTAGATAGGCCAGTTGGGTGCAGCACATGCCACCAGGTGTTCACTGCCGTCCCGTTGTAGTACCCCCAACTTGCAAACATGGGTACTTCTGCAAAATGTGTACATTGTACATGACAACAATATTAAAGGTACATGGGAATATGTCGCTCCCCATGCTATACCACTCGGGGAGGCAGAGTTCGTACTTCCGTACCCAGATTCAAACGATGTTTGGTAACGTAGAAAATGCCAGAGCTCATCTAGAATTCTTATGGCGGGTCGTCCCGTTATCTAAAGGAGAGGAGGAGTGGAAGCGTATAGGTTAAAATGATGGTATGAAATTGCTCCGTTAATCTTCCATCAATTTCGGCCATATGATGGGAATAAATGAACATGGATGCAGTTGGTGTAATATATCGAGGCGTATGTTAGTATGACATAAACGAGGAAAGCTAGCAGAGGAGATAACGCAGCCATATTGAGGCTATTATCTCCCTACCTTAATTTCCATACGGGAAATACGAACTTAGCCCCGACAATTCGTTGGAAGCAGAAAACTGTACGAGCGAAATGATCACATATTGACTAATAAGTTATAACACTACTACTACTTACATCGCTGCATACCGTAGTTGAGAGTAGTACGTACAAATAGCATGTACCTAGGTAGCTATGTAGTGGCTAATGATATCCATCCAAGACAATAGGCAGGCCGGAGGATTCTTCGAGACACCACGGATAATTCGACATCAAATAAAGGTAGCAATCTATTTGTTCAAATTGTTTTAACCTTCTCCACACTCTTTGCACGGCGTGAACTCACGGACTCGGCCTCGACCATAGTGTCCACTATTCTTAGCTTTTTTAGATTTGTACTATGTAGTCAGCATATTAGAATCAAGGTCACCAAGCTCACCAGACCCCGCTCCTCAAGTCAATTGGTGTGTCTCACTTTGTCTCTGTGCCGAAAAGTCTACCCACGGCCCTGTCTGCCAAAACAGTAAGTAATGTTATTTGTGATACGGACTTTCAGCGAGTCATCTCATATCTCTCGCTTTCTTCTAATCCGCTATCCGCTAATCCATTAATAAATCATGTATTGGAATTAGACTCGGAATCCATGACCGATGGGGAATAATTTCATATCAAGGCGGCAAATGCGTGAATTGAACTTTTGAGTTTTTGGTAGTCAATGAACTGGGGTACCGGATTACCTATATCTATCTACTATCGAGCAGAGAAGACGTTGAGCATATGTCAAGCATGCTCAGGATATTTGTTCCTCCGAGACAAACGAACCATCGGGAGAATCGTCTCTTACGTCTACTGGAGGCCCGGACGATGATCCGATACAGTACCTCACATATCGACAGGATCAGGAATTTCTTGGCTGACCTAAGCTAGCTATGGGTAATATCCAGATCAAATTGCATAAAGTTAAATGGGGAGGAAGAACGACATGGAAAATAAGTGAACTAGCTACAACCTTGAAAATTGATGAATGGTTACCACAACACATGATGTGAGAGTTTTGAGTAGTGATAGCTCAGCCACGAGCCCTTTTCCCGGATGTGTCAAAGTATTTGATGCTGATGTTTTCTTATTTTCTTAGATGCTCATCCTTAGCTCGTGATGGTTCTGAGTTTTCAGTAGCTTTTCTCACAACGTATGATTTTGCCAATGTTTTGATTTGATGTTTGTTTGTTTGTAGTTGTTCGGCTTTATGAGGGAGATCATGACCGTCCCTCCACCGAAATGCCCCTCTTTGCAGACGCGAAAAAAGGTGAAGGGGTTCATCATGCTCATCATTTCATGCCGTGATACCCTGGTCTATATCTATGGCTTTAGGTTGAACTACGGCCACCTTTTTGGCGGATGCATTCGAGGTGACAGAATTTGGAGAAAATTAGACTCCAGAGTCGTGGAGGTTGATCAAATTTCGACAACCGAAACGCCTCGTTGTTGAGTCTTCCCTGTAGAAAGACTGGAGAAGAACATGAAGCTTCGGATCATATTCGCTAAAGTTGATGAAAGTGTGGAAGGCGTCTTTAAGAAGGCTAAGATTTCCCAAAACAGGCGCCTGCAGCGGCCGATGTGTTTTCGTTATAAAATAACCCTGGTCGACCACAATTGCGCAAATGACAGGCCAAATAGAAAGCACTGAGCGAGATAACTGGTCCGATTTGTAAGGGCAATTTTATCAAGCATTAAAGCAGGCAATATTATAGGTTGTTGACAGGCATCTTGTCCCTCTACTTTTCGCAGGTACATACATTTGCACACCTAGTTCTTATCCCATCCATACTTACTACCTAGACTACCTGGATGATTCTATTCGAGTCGACGGGCCATACAAAAGACAAAGATAGGAATGGAAAAGCATTGGCTATGACAGCTTGAATCACATGAATCCATGAATTGGAGTCGAATCCTATCACACATTCATTAATTTCCTAGTAAGCCATTCACCACTCAAGCTCTTGACAAAATATGATATACGCGTAGGAAAAAATGATATAGATTTCTCTTTGCTTCCAAGTTCCCTCTGTCAAGTACGTACCATATCAGACAGAAGTTGATGTGTCCATGTACTACCTACCACACGCATTTCCCGTTCCGTTCTTCCATACTAGAGTACTTTGACTACTTTGCTACTTTACTACTTTACTACTTTCCCTACTTTTTACTACTCTTCTAGGTATCTTGGACCTATGCAGACCCTGAGCACCACCCCTACATCCTATACCTGGGCAAACCCACCTAGCGCACACCATCACCACAAAGATTCATTCTCTCACAATTCACAATCCACAATGCCCACCACACGCGCTTGGGATCCAATTTTAATATTTTAAATTCTTACGGTCTTACATATCGAGTTAGCCGGGATATCATTTGGATTCATTTCATCAATTTCCATCAATTTCCCCTCTGTTGTTACAAAAAGTGGCGCCCGGCAAGCGTTACTGAACCGAGTCTTATTCAACAACTGATGAAGGGGAAAATTCGACTACTGTAGGTCTGTAGCAAGCTTATTAGATAGCCGGACGGAACTAGACCACTATACTGCGTACTATTTATTACTCTGTTTGAAAATACTCAAAATCAAAATACATTAACCTTTTATTCCGAGTATTATTGTATTATTCGTTTATGAAATTCTCCCGCTCTTTTTCTCGACTTCCCAAAACAAATCATCCAACAAACCTTCTCACCACCCCACCCCCAGTAAAATACCCAGAGTGTACAAGTACATCCAAAAGCTTAATAGACCCAGGCCAGTTCTGGTACTAAATGGCTCGATTGATTATCATCCATCATATTCATGGAATGGCTCAAACGGCTCAAATGGGCACACCAGGCGCACATTTGCTCAATGCTCGCAGAAAGTTAACAAGCGCTGCTATTTGTCTCCAGATTTTGATCCACTCTTCCGTCTCGATCCCTGATTCCCTGATGCGTCCGTCCCAGTCTTCCTAATAATTGCTAACGCTTAACTTGCCATGTAGCAGAAGACAAGGTCAAGAGGAAAAAATATAACTGCTCGGGTCCAGCCGTGTGGTCGTCTTGTTGGTTCAGTCCTATATAGACCTCGTCCAGACCCCTAATCCACTCGAAAGCAGTATGACATCTCATCGTCTCTCTCTTCTATCGTGGTAGTGTGTCCTTCTTGTTTCAAGGGAACTGGCTCCTCGCAACTGTATATTTATCCAATTGAACTCAGGTACATCAGGATGACAGTCGTTTGGTGATCTCTTCGTCTCTATTGTCCTTCGTTGGTTGCTTGAATATATATCTACATATATATATATATATTGGCAGGTTTCTTGGGAAAAGTCTTTTGTATTTTGATCTTTGGAAGCAAACAAAATAAAGAACTACCTGGTAATACATACATACATACCCTTTACCACTTTTCGAGGAATTTCATGGCTGGATTCCAGTGAAATCACTTTTCCTCCCAAAGACAGAAGATTTCTATCTTAATTTTTCTGAGTTACGAAGAATTATTTCTACCTGACGGGCAAACACATTCAACCCAAGCTCACTCCTTCCTTGACGACCTCTCCGTTTTCGCGCATCACCACCACCATTCCTACCACCACCACAAACTGCCCTCGAGACCCTTATTTACACGTCCTCCCTCCACGACATATACCGGCATCATTTGACCAACTTCGAAGACATCGGCTCCCATCTTGTCTCTATACCTTGCATTTCGCCCTCTTTGAAGAAGCCGAGAAAATCAATGGAATCCTATCATACATGCGTTGCGGGTCTTCTATAAAATTCTTCATTATCTCAAATCGGTTCATGATCGCTCACTTGCACAAACATTTTTCGTCCTCTTTAATCGCTATTCTAAAAGACGTCCCTTCCCCAGTTCCCTTGTTTGAAACACTATACGAGTCTTACACACCAAATTCGGGTTGCCACTTTCTTACGCCTATACCTCGCAAAATACTATACCCACTCAAGTCATCCCGTGTGACGTTGAATTTTACCTCACTTGACCTCCGTGGACCGTGTCTAAAGAGGGCTCCTTATCCTCCTCAATTTTATCCCCTGCTACCTTAGTCTTGAGTAGCAAATATGGCTTTACCTAGTCCAGATATATGGCAGTGGGCTTTCCTGATATTGTGGTAAGTTTATAGAGTTCTCCCCGAGCCGCCTGCCCCACTGCTACTTCCATTCCTGCGCCACAAAGTTTGAGAACTAATTGAGGGAACAAACAGGCTCCATCGTTACGTCAGATTCATTGTCAATACAATCAGCCATTGGGTTTACAGAACAGTGCCAATACCTTCCAATCCTTCTTTCACATCGAAAGACGTGAGCGTCATAATACCTACGATTCATAACAACTTCGATGAGTTGAGAGATTCTTTGCAGAGTATACTCGCGTGTCAGCCAGCCGAGCTTATTCTTGTCACGACAGCCGACAAATACCAGAAGTTGCAGTACTTCTCCAAGTCCTTGGAAGCCAACAATGTCAGTGTGTACTTTGCACCAATCGCAAACAAACGAATTCAAGTATGCGAAGTTATTCCCAAAGTGAAGACGCGCATCCTGGTTATGGCAGACGATGATGTCACGTGGCCAAGAACAATACTACCCTGGTTACTTGCACCTTTCGAGAATGCAAAGATTGGTGGTGTTGGGCCATGTCAACGAGTGAAGCGAGTACGCAAGGGTACTTTTGCCGAGCGTGCTTTCAATTGGCTTGGAGCTGCTTATATTGAAAGGCGCAACTTTGAAATCTCGGCTACCCATGGTATTGATGGTGGAACATCCTGCATGTCTGGGCGAACTTGTGCATTCAGGTCCGAGATTCTGCAAAGTCCTCTTTTCTTGGATGGATTCAAGACTGAAAGATGGGGTCAATATCAACTCAATGCAGATGATGACAACTTTGTCACGAGATGGCTTGTCGCAAACCAATGGTCGACATGGATTCAATACAATCGAGAGTGCGAGATTGAGACGACCCTGGAGAATAATTTTAAATACTTGTATCAATGCTCGAGGTGGGCTCGCAGCAATTGGAGAAGTAACTATACCAGCTTAGTCACCGAGAGACATGTTTGGCAGTAAGTCAGAGCCCCTTTCGGTCACGAGGAGAATGTTTTGCTGATCATGTATGTGTGTAGTCAACAGCCGTGGTGTGTGTATGCTTTGCATATTGCCACTTTTACCTCCCTGTCCTTCGCCTTTGATCCTCTCATCATCTTCCTTTCATTCAAGGCTACTGCATCTTGGTCTTCACACCATCAAATGATTGCAGTAATTGCTCAATTGGTATTCATGCTTATAACAAAGGTTGTGAAGTTAATCGGCCTTTTCATTCGAGAACCAAAAGATATTGGATTTCTTCCGGTCTCCATTCTGTTCGGATACTTTCACGGATGGATAAAACTCTATGCACTGCTGACACTTCGGATGGTAAGCTAAGATCCCCGCCCTCACATATTCTCCCACTTGGGTTTCCGTTTCAATTTTGGATGCTAATAATCCTTGCACAGACTTCGTGGGGTAGCCGTGCAGACGGAGATGCCAATGATAGCCACCGTATGAGTCCTCGGGCGCGCCGCAGCGAAAGCATCACACTTCCACCGGACAACCACCCCGGTCTCGTCCGCTACAAAGACGAGGTGCAAGTGGGAGCACCCGAGACATTCGAGAGCTCACGTCACACCTCCTGTTCCGAAAAATTTAGCTGCGCAATTGCACCGGAGCCTGAACTTTACCCCCGCTTGAATTATGTATACGACGAATTTTTCATCGACGAGAGCAATCTCGACTCAGCTTCCGACACCTCTTACGATCCAAATGATTCCCATGATGATGATGATGTCTTTCTTTCTCATTAATTTCTTGATGAGGCAGTTGTAGAATAGGTACCCCTGAGACGCTAGTGCAGCATTTTCCCGGGGGTGGTCGCCTTTCTATTGTTTGTCATTTACATGCGTTGTCTATTGTTTCAACGTATCTTCGAATTTCCGGCCGGGCGTACGCGCGCGTGCATTCAGCATATTGACGATTGAAAAGATTACCTGGGTTACTGGTTCACACGCAAGATATATTTGCGCATTTTCTCGGAGTTTTATCTCTCACTTCCCTTTCCCTGAGAAGAGATGAGAAGGCATAAGTAGTTGCTTTAGGATATAAGTTATATAAGTTGCTTTAGGTTGTCGATGTACATACGCACATCCCACACCTCAAATTTGTTTACCCTTTTTTTTTCATGTTTGTGTCTTCATTCTCCTTCTGAATTTGATATATCTTTCCTTTTTTTCTTCATTTATTTACTAGGATGGAAAAATAGGTCTCCAAAACTGTCACTGGCGGGCTTTACCGACGGCCTCGAAAAAGAAAAAAATCCTTTCCGGAATCGTATGTCATTTCATTCTCTTTTCATTCTCTTTTCATTGTCTTTTCCTTATCACTTAATTATCAGGATGGATAAATTGGAGCAAGGAAGACTCTATACAGAGGTCCACAGTCAAAGGGGAAATAGGTTCTAAGAGAAAACAATTTTATGGTCACGGAAGCGAACGCATCATCACAGTGATTCGATTTGATTTTAATCAAAACCATGTAGAATAGAAAGATAATTTCAAATGGCATATGGATGAGATGGGATGATCTGTAAGGGAGATTAGAGGCCCGCAGGCATATTGTATGTGGTTTGGATATTCAATATCAATTATCGTTCGTTTCTCCCACCTGGACCAATTCATCAACGGAACTGGAGATGGATGGAGGATGCGTGTGACCCCCAAATTCATCAACGACCCATATATCTTGGCACTCTCTCACCCTCTCACTCATACACGACTCCGCGCCCTGCGAAAATCGCTCAGACATCGCAAGAGGACCAAACGTTTCATACGTACATGAAGACCCTGTGTGGGAAATCTTTGGTAAAGAATCGCGATTGGGAATGCTGTCCTTCGGCGTGACCGATCATCAATGCCAGGTGCCAGAGTCTGTCGAATGCGGGCCTGGAAGAAAATTAAACCAAGGCTGCGTAAGATGAAACGGTTAGATAATGGATGAGGCAGGTTTGAAATGCTAGCTAGCTAGCTAGGCTATGTGTAACGCATACGCATGTATGTTTGTACTTCTACCTGCATATGCTTGAATGACATTGACATATTTCTTGGCATGGATGTGTCTAATCGGATGTTACCCAGTAAGTGGAGATATGTTTTGTTCGATCTAGGTTATTTTGAGATTTTGAAGGATTCGTAAAAGGAGGGAGGATGTCGAATTGGGAAGAGATGGTGTGGAAGGGTAAATTTAGAATTACGGTATTGAGAAACTGTGGAAAAGAAAAGGGAAAAAAAGGTGGAAAGATATCGACGCCAGAGTGAACAGACAGGTGTTCATCACTGATGAGTGTAGATAGATGCGTGTATGTATATGCATGCATATGCAATGTATGAACAGGGGATGGGTATAACGTGAAAGGATTTGTGATTTGTGGTGGAGGGGAGGCACTGGGGTAATGAGTGATTACCCAGGTATTTATGTGGCCTTTTATTATGTTCTGGACCGAGGTGGATATGAGTGATGAAGAAACTAGGTAGGCATCTCATGTCGTGGGATTTGTTTGTAACTAATAGCACTTACCCCTTGCCTTAATGCGAGGTCGAGTAAATGCACCAAATTATAAACGAAGAAACAAGAAGTTGAATTATTTGGGACCATATCTGAATCCACGATTCCATTTCACACGGTATATGCATGATGAGACGGAAGTGTGTGAGGCAAACCGGTATTCGAGTTTGTTCGGGACTGTTCACAAACGATGAGAGCGTCCGGGGATACACGGAAAACGGAGGAAAAGGAAGAAAAGGGATCTTGCGTTGCAATCGGCAAATCTCTCATGCAATTACATACATTACATCCGAACGAAACTCGGCATCTAAATACCCTTTTCGTCAGTGGATGATGTTTTTCCAGAAGATCGGATGTCCGCTGCCAAGAAGGATATTTATCCGGGCCGGGACCGAAGTAAGGGTTGAATTCGAAATGAATGTATATAAATGAGGAAGGCGATTGCCCCATTTTGATTGTGGGGCCAAGTTGTGCTTCGAGCAAGTCAATTTGAGTTATATACTATATTGTATGAATCATATGATAAGTGCAGCCAAATTTTGCTGCGAGTTGTGCTCAAACCATAGTAATAGTAATAGTAATATCGGGAAGTAGGTAAGTGGAGACGGAGGAGAGTGCAAGGGAGCGATGTTCATTGTTCAGGCTATTACCAAACTCAGTTGGTGATAGGTATATGTCATGTTCAAACCTCGTATGAATAATGACTGACGAGGGTCTAAAAATGGAAAATCGAATCACCATTTGAGCGACTCAGGTTTTGGCTTAACTTTTGCTATATCAAGTATTTGATTGATACAGAAGGTAAAATAGATGAAGAGAATAGAAATATCACATTCACAGGCTGGCTTTGCTGAGTCCAGAACTGGAAAGCATTGGGTCCAATATGACGAAAACACGACAGATGATGCGCGATTATGGAGATGATTGGAGAAGGTGGGGGGACGGGGGCACACTCCGTGTTTGGCGTTTTTAGCCAAGTGTGGGTTGCACAAAGTATGAGGTTTTCATACATCATATCAACGGCGAGGGTGTGTGGGTAAGGATTAGACACGCGAAGTTGGATGTACAAACAAGAGGCTGTTTGGAAAAGTTGAGGACTGTCAAAGGCCTATGTAACAAGCTTAAATCGGATGGACCTGCATCAATGGCGTCTAGGTGTTACCTGTGCTTCCTGGGAGAAAACGTATGATTGTGAGGAAACAGCTTCGACATTTGTGTCATTAAAGATATTCCAAACATTTGAAGCCATTCATTCTGTGTATTAGGAAGTGGGAGCGGCCTGCGGAGATAGTGTACACTTTCTGGTGTGCTATGCATACCCAGTAATCACAACCGTTGGTGACAAAGAGAAGATTTTACTGTGCTTCATCTAGCCTGATATACCTGCTCAGTCGACAAGGGCTCTATGGATATTATCGAATGGGGAAGGAAGCTGTGCAGAAAAACTACTTTGGCAAGTTCTCCTTTGCTGATAATGAGGGCATACATTCCACGAGGTAGTCATGAATCTACCTGTCAAAAGAATGCACTTATATTGAAGCATGATGTTGAACCATGAAGGATGGTAACACAATGATTTCATGGTTCCGGGGGCATATTAGACTCTAAAGACCATTTTTAGACGCGGCGGGGTATTGTAGATAATTAACTAGACGGGGATTTAGTAATTGGGCCGACTTAAAGTAGATGCCGAGGAAAAAGCTCTTCGAATCATCCACTAGTTCCAATTGAATATCATGGTACGCGTATCAATTGGACCTTGTTCATATGAATTGACTGTTGAAATCAGCAGAGTATAAGAGGTCTTCTATGCTTTGAGCCTTTGACTTAAGTCAATTGGAAAGACAAGACCTACTAAAAGAGCCATACGGCTCTTCGGTCAATGAAATACTATTTGCCGGCCGATTTAATTGCGTTTTTGCCGATCCACGGCTTTGTTACAATATTCTGTGTTGGTAAAAACCATGATTTCATTTCTTATCGCGCCTTTCTCGGTCAATGGTTAAAATCGAGACTCCAATCACCCTAGTTGATATGTGTATCTTGGCCGTCATTAGCGTCCTGTTCCTAATCCATACGTAGTAAAAGGTGGATGCGCATGGAATCGCGGCATAGTTCTTGAATCATATCGTGCAGGAAGAAGAGAAACCTCGGCCCAAGATCAGAATGTGGGAAGTCGTCATTGTCCAATGCAACTTTGGAAGATCAAGTATGAGTAGGGTTAGAGTGGGACACGTTTTTATCCCGATTCAAGCACCGAGTATGGTAAATCGCGATAAAGTGCTTACAGCTGTGTTCTGTTATAATACAGGTAGCAGGAGATACAGGACGGGAAGGCTGCCTTCAAGATTTCTCCATGGAATGCAAGTGTAATACCCTTGAAGTACCGCACCACGTGGCCTGAATCAACCCCACGCAGCAATGCATGAAATGCCGACATGTCTCACCCATATAAAGGTCCATTCGAGATACGATGTTTGCAGGCTGTGGCAGATCGGATCGTACTCCCGTAGTTCCCCGGCACGTTCGAAGGACCCGCGTAGTGTATTAGCCTTCGCTTTCTACCCGTCCCGCTAGAAACACAATGTTCTCCTTCATGGCTAATGTGACTTCCCCTTGGCCTGTATAAACATAGGCGATTGTGTCAATCCATGCTTTGGGGCTAGGTAAAGGGAGATCAATGGAATCGCCCTTCCGAATATGTCCTGATAGCATCAAAGCCGCCAAAACCGGGAGATAATGTAAAGCATACTCTATGTCTAAATGAGTTGTTAGTCATGATGTGCGTGCCTTTGCTCATGAGATACTTACGGATTGGTACTGCCACCTGATTTTTATTGGTCTGCGGTCTTAACTGAGGGTGTACGGTCCCGAGTTGCTTTAGAATAGGAATCTGCTGCAAGGACAATCGACGAAGCATGCTAGATCTTCTTAAAATTGTTGAGCCCTGTGCGTAATCTTGATTTGGCCGAGGTACTGGTAGGCTCTCTCGTAATTCCTGAATGTCAAATTGTCTTTGTATCAAGAAGGGCTTGCGTTCAACTCCTTTAGGTAGTACCCTGACACGTATCGTCACTTGATCCGACGATCTAGGAGACTTATGGCCATCTTGTTCTTTTGTGGCCACTAAGCTTGGTCGCCGTAGACTGACAGCATTGATGAAAGCATCGGCGGTAGCGATATTTCCAAAATAAGCGTGACCCCAAGTTTGCAAGCGGTCATGGGTATACTGGAACGGAACACGATGCCTTGGGGCGGAGGATGCTGAAGTTTCAGAATGGCATTTGGCATCAGAGATGCTGATAGCAGAGGCCTCTTTTGAACCAGCAGTGTTGAGCTGAGTTTCGGATTTCTGTAGCTGTTCATGTGTGAATCGAAAATCAGGAACAATCTTTGATCTGGGTGCGGTGCTGGTTGATGATGCATTGCTTGAGGATGTTGCACCTCCTGTCAAGGTCACCACTGTAGAATGTCTCCTGGGTATATCCCGCACTTGGTTAAGATACCACGCCACGACCACGCGTCGTCTTTGCGCCCCGTTGGTATCTGGTATTGGGAGGCATAAGCTCGTGCTGCGACGATGCTGGGACTCGGGAGGTGTGCGAGCGGGGAAATAGATCCGGATGCTTGGGATGGAACCCCATACTCACACTCACACTTATACACAGGTTGGGAATGCATTCCTAGATGCTGCAACTTCTTATTCCGCGAACGAAAGATCTCCGACATAATGAGAAGGGCTAGCTTAGGGCAACTCGAAGGGATACAAAAGGTGACAAACAGAAGCTTAGCTCATAAAGACTCAGAATATTCGAGTAAATAAATGAAAAGTGCAAATGTCAGTTAGTGATGACGATGGTTCGCCCTTGTGCAGTCAAATTAAATTGACTCAATTGGTGAAAGAAACTCAAAAGGGATCCCACAAGATAGATTCGTGAAGGAAGTGAAAAGTAAATGATCCAGCAGAGAAAAGTATATATGAAGTGATATACCCATTCGACCTTGGTTGTATGAGACGCCCGCTACTCATGTTCAAAGGAGACGTGTCGCAGATTGTCTGAATCATCACATCCCTTAATTGATTCTCCTCATTCAAATTGGCAACATTAAACCCATCCATGGCCATAGAGACAAGTTTTCACAAGAGATGTGTGAGTCCCAATGGGCCCGAGACTTTCAAGGCTGGATGGCCACAAGTTTTGGGTAGATACTTCGTGGAACTAAGCCTCCGGTATGTGTCTCAGTTACATATGATATGGTAGGCCAGATGCGATCCGAAACGTCCATTTTCCAGTAAGCGCAAAAGAGTCTGTCATCAGGAAGATTGATAATATGCGGGAGAAAGGAGATGTTGTGGGAATCCATAAGACATCTAGTAAGAGGAGAAGGAATCGAAGAGCCTAGAGTACGGACAAATCAGAACTTTCAATCGTGCCTGGAATGCTCAACCTTTTCGGAAATTGAAATGTATCTCCATTACTAGAAAATATTAATGACGGATATAGAGAAGAAATTTGTTCAATGGAACGTGAAGTGTGAAATGGTGAGGGTTGATGAACCGAGCGGCGGGGGCCGCCGGAACTAAAACATTACATCGTTGGCTTGTCTGGCCTCACCAAAAATTATAACACAATTCTTGATCTTCTCATCCAATCGAGTCTGCAAGCACAGCTTTGCCGGTATGTCGCGGGCAGCTGAGGCAGCTATGGCTGCTAGTTATAAAAGCTTGAAGGAGGATTTTGTGTCAAATTTGACAGGAGGCAGCCTTGGAGAGATAAATATGGTCACTGCTGTCGTCCCAGTATGCCTTGCGCCATGTCAACTATCTTTGATGCACAACGAGCTAATTTGCTGGGGCAGGTCGCAGTTATTCTTTGGTCGACTTTACAGACGCGGCAGCATTTTTTCCTGCCATATACTCCAATCGCTTTCGCTGTCGACTTCCTTCTCAACGTCGGGGCTATTCTGTTGGCGATTTCTGTCTACGCAGATATGCCCCTCACTTTGAGTCTCCTACTACTTGCGCCGGTTCCCCTATTGTATGCCATTGCACCACAAAAGTCTTCGCAAAAGGCTTCGCAAAAGAAATTAAGAATACCGCCGTCGAAAACAAACCCTTCAGACCAATTGAACCCACTCCCGAAGAAACCTTTCCTTACCATCTACCGAGGGGCAATGATGATTATCACTTGTCTAGCTATACTAGCCGTCGATTTCAAGATTTTTCCACGGAGATTCGCAAAAGTAGAAAACTGGGGGACATCGTTAATGGACATGGGAGTAGGATCTTTTGTGTTCTCTGGTGGTCTTGTAGGAGCTCGACCAATACTTAGAGAACAAAGTGCTGGCCGAACATCGAAGCTCAGCACACGCTTATATAACTCCTTGCGCCATGCACTACCCTTGATTGTTCTGGGGACCATAAGATTGTACAGCGTCAAGGGGCTAGACTATGCGGAGCATGTTACTGAGTATGGGGTGCACTGGAATTTCTTTTTTACCCTTGCGTTCATTCCTCCATTTGTGGCGATATTCCAATCCGCTTTTCAACTCATCCCGTCATACGCGCTGCTGGCAATCATTCTTGGTTCTTTGTATCAGGTTGCCCTCGAATATACCAGCCTCAAAGCTTTCATCCTCATAGGTCCAAGAACAGATCTATTCTCGAAGAATCGTGAAGGGATCTTCAGCTTTTTTGGCTACCTCGCAATATTTCTGGCCGGTCAAGCAACGGGGATGTTCGTATTACCACGCAATTCAATGCCAGCCGGAGGCCCATTAGCTCAAAGAAAACGCCTCTTAATGACGATGGGTGCATGGTCAGGAGTGTGGATTACGCTCTATTTATTCACGACAAATTACAAATATGGATTAGCATTAAGTGTGTCACGCCGTCTCGCAAACCTTCCGTATTTCCTATGGGTTGCAGCTTTCAATTGCTCACAATTGACTGCATTCTGTTTGATCGAAACGATATTCTCTCCAGTTCATAGAAGCATGGATGCAAAGACAGAAAAGGAGAATTATGAATTCTCGACAAGTCGAGTCCTGGAAGCGTTCAATAGAAATGGCCTGGCACTTTTTTTGGCTGCAAATTTACTTACAGGACTCATCAACCTGACCATACCAACTTTGTTTGTCAGCAACCTCCAGGCTATGGGGATATTATTATTTTATGCCTCTGCTCTGACAGGGCTTGCAGTAGGCTTGGATGTATATGATATTTCTATTAAAATGTAATCCTGGATGGGTTATTTTGAGGACAGTAATCTGCAATATCTCAGAGATCAGCTTGTGCCATGAAACTTCCGCGCCTGACGAACGCAACGATAAACCTTGTACACAAACTTTTAGACATTTAATCGAAGCCTCTGCTTTTGGAAGATACTGAACCTGAACTCATCAATCTTACGGGTAGATGAGACAATAAAGCAAACGATCCGGAAGCCCTGACCTCGGCGACAGACTAATTGATATACCAAAGTATTTCGTGCTAGCAAGATCACTCAAGCTAATTTTGGTATGACCATTGCTATTGTCTACCTATTGTCTGTGAGAAATCAGGTGTCAGGTACTCAAGCAATTCCAAGCACGAATCTTCATGGTAATTTGAATTAACATTTGAAGTCACAACCTTGATAATATTCGGTTTCAATCAGCCCGGAAGAGTTTGGGCCTGGAGATCATCAGGTTAGTTGGTCGAATCGGGAAGATGAAACAAATCCACCCTGCACTCACATGCAACTCTACTCGAACTTCGACACATGATTCGTCCAATCGAGGAGAATGCAAGAATGCAGAGGTGCAGGTACCCATCGGCAATACGACCTTGACCAGATGAGGAATCGAGGTTCATCTGGTGGTACCTGAACCATTCCCCGTTTGCACTGGTATACAGTGAACTTTCTTCCTCCGACTGAAACGGGTATATTTGAATTTTAGCCTGTATCATCGCATCAGTGGTACTACGGCAAAATCATGTTGATGTCCTCCTCCTTTTGATGTTGACATGCAGTGGGACATCGCCAGGAAGTAAAGAAATTAAGATTTGAGGATTGCGGATCTTCCGCTTTTGATAGAACGCACCCCTTTTTTCGTTGAACATCTATTTTTTTGTTTCAGAAACATATATTTGAAGAACATCTAGAATTTGATATAGCGAACGTGGTATATGTATCATTTGTGTTACTCGATATTTCCCGCCAAGTGCTTTTCGAGCACTGAAATCGTCATATCGGGGGATGCTTGTAATCCTTCCTTCATCTGAGAAAAAGAAGATTTGGGTGAGACCTAATACTTAATGTAGCAATATGATCTAGGATATTTTAAGCCTTCCAAGGCTTTTCATACGTACAACAAGGGAAAAGCTGGCTCCATTCAACATTGTGATTCTCACTTCACGGCAAGACTTTGGGGACTTTTAAGACTTTTAAGACTTTTAAATGGAGCTTAAATACTTGCATATGGTGCATTGGTGAGGCGTTTACGCTCTCCCGAAGACTAAACGCCTCATCTCCGACGTCAATGCAAGTAATACAGAAGACAGAGGTTAACCCTATTCACGGAATCACATTCCCATTCTTTCTATAATCTACTTTGCTTTTAACGGAACCGACCCAGTAATCCTAGTAGTATACTAAGACTCTTCAGAGTCAAGACTCGAAGATGCCCTCCGAAAACTATGAAAACTACTTTACTTTTTATCCACTTGTATATATTAATGAGTACTGTTGAGAATGCTCAATGATCATTTGAGTACGGAGTAGAAGATGGAATATGGTGCGTGGTCTTTGTTGTCTTGTCCCTCGAATTGTATACATACGGAGTAAATCAGGAGAAATTCGCCGATGATGACTTCACGATGCATTTGGTACCGTGTGGAGGAGGAATTCAAGGTTCTTCCATAACTAGAAATACTTTCTTGGATCTATTGATGATACTTGATCACCGCTACATGACTCTGTGAGAGAGTTGTTAATTCACTGCCAAGGGGATCCTTGAGGGAAGAATGCCAATGGGAGATCTGATATTTCGTATAAATGTTCACAGACGTCAATAAGTCCCAGGATCCTTTCCTTTCAGCGTGCCACGTCAATGCAAAATATACTACCATTTTTACCATCTTTATGCCATTTGTTGATTTAACCATATCATCCCCAGAGACCCAAGGTCCTATCAAGGTCACCCATTCCGTAAATGCTTCTACGGCCGAACTAGAAGGCCACTGTCAACCCTTTTACCGCTTCGGTTGTCTATGCCAGAGAATTCACGAATAGATGGGAAGATGTACGGGGTAGTAGACATGCTGATTGCTGATTGAGCAAGACTTCCTGGACAGGGAGGCCTTTCATCTGATATCAAGGAATTGCCTGTCGCTCTCTTCCTCTTTTTGAATCATGGTGATGGGAAAAGAAGTAGCCGTAACATTACAAGCAAACCGCTTTTCATGCACCTTTCTTCATGATGAATTCAATAAAACTTTCTGTGATCCCAGTATAGAACATTGTATTCGCCCTTTTCTTTGCTTTTACTCCAGTTGAATCCAACGACCTCACCTCGACGAAAGTATCGAATTCATCATACCGCTCCTTTTATCCTTCTGATCGTCCAAACAGGCTGCGGAGGCAGGACAGCGAACTTGAACAGAGACCTATGGTTAAATAGATGTTTAATGCCAACAATTAGACTGAACCCAAATTGTATGGTAGTAATCTCACAACTCACTCTACTCTTTCGATAGGTACGTACAATATCATTTGGAAGACTCGAACTATTTGGAACATTCCTATCATTTTCCCCTTCCCCTCTGGTTCACACATGATGGGATATCGAAAAGCACCCAAAACCAACCCAAATCACCCATTCCCAATCAACATCAAAGGCAAATCAAACCCATTACATTGATTGATCGACTTATATACCATATATAATCATCCAAACTCCTGTTTGCATGTTCGTAGGTATCTTACGGTTTTAAGTCAATCGGCCTTTGTGTACTCGAGTCGGTAGTGCAAGTTGCATTGCTCATCCACATCAATCACAATCACAATCACAATTCACAATTCACAATTCACAATTCACAATCAGCAGCATGAGTCTTGCGCCCCAAGCCTGCCCTTGTTTCCGCCCAGCTCATCAATGGCCCTGCGCTTTCTCCTTTCTCTCTCTCAGCTCATCAAACGCTTCGCTAACTGATCAAAAAGGAAATTAGAAGAAGAGAAAAAGGTCGAATCGATCCAAGGAAAGTCGAAATTTGGAAGTGGAAGTGAGAGAAGAGGCATTTCGAATCGTTTTTCAATATTATTATTAGTCTGACTGGCTGAAATCGAAAGAAAGATTTTGGTTATTTATTGCAGGGAAAAGAAAAGGAGGAGGGTTACCGGTAATAGTAAGTAAGTCTTAGCATCAAAATTCATTATATATCAAGTTTTCATTCTTTTTGCGCTTCATTCTTTTGGGGATGAGAGATTTATGAGAGGGGAGGTACAATTAATAGAAGAGGGAGAGAACAGAAAAAAGGCTTGATGTCTCCTCCGTGTAGACAGAGAGAGTACGCTAGGTATTCAGAAATCAGGATTCCAAAGCCCAAACAGCCCAAACAGCCCAAACAGCCCAATACTGGTGGCAGTGTCAGCCCCCAAAGTCATTCATATCGTTATCTATGCGGCTTTTTCTAGCCATGTACTTACTCCTTAGGTACCTCTCAAGTACCTAATAAGCCTAATAAGTAGGTATCTAAGTACCTGAGTACCTACGAAGGTATTACATACACTACCAAACTCACTCCGACAATATAAACAAGGTGCTCGTACAGTCTGACTCTGTCAGTTTGGTAGCGGACTCCACCCCCTGGAAATTCAACTCAATCTATCTTTTTTCTTTTTCTTTTTTTTAATCTGCTCTCTGCTCTCTGCTCTCTGCTCTCTGCTCTCTACTCTCTACTCTCTACCTCTCTACTCTCTACTCTCTACCTCTCTACTCTCTACTCTCTCCTCTACTCTACCGCCTCTTGCCTCTTTCTTCACCACACTCTCTTGGCACTCACTCACTCACTCTCACCTCCCTCACACCCATAATCTCCTCACTCTTTTAACCTTTTCGTGCAGGAAATCCAACTTACACACTGTCATTAAAGTCTAGAAAGCAAAAACAAATAACAATAACAAATACATAACAATAATAATTACCAAAAACGAAGGAAGAAAAAAAGAAATTCGAAAAAGGATTATCATAAACCACCAATAACATATCGGCAAAGAAAATTACAATCACAATTATAATTACAATTTCGATTTCAATTCACTTTCCCATATCAACAAAAACACCAACCTCCAACCTCCAACCTCCAACCTCCAACCTCCAGACCTCTTTTAAGTTTTTGACTCTTTTACTCCGTACCTCACATCCATCCATCCCATTCATCCATCCATCTTGGGTTTCCCCAGCCACCCACATTTACTTCTCTCTACGAATTATAATCAACTGGTTTATTTAATCGGCCAACCACACACCATAGAAAGGTCGAACGCTAAACTAAAGAGCCGTACCGCCTTTAACTCCTCGACCGCCTATTTTTTATTAGGAGTTGCGATATCCCAAAATAATAATAGTCGCCAGCGCCAGCCGCGACCTTTTTTAATCGTCGAGAACTTTAATTCCAAACGATCCTCTTTTTATTGAAGATTGTTATCGCCAGCCTTCTGAAAACCCCTGTGCAAGGAGGAATTACTTCCCTCGAGACCTTTTGGCCCCCATGATGTTAGTTGGTGAAAATAGGTGGTAGACGGGCGAAAAATCTCGCAATCACAACGCTGCTTCTGGATTGTGCTTCAGCAACCAACGGTCATTGTAATTTCCGGTTGCTAGACACCCAATCTGCGATTGACAACAGTGCGCAAATTTAACAAGAGATGTCTTCAGCCGCTTTGCAGACCGCCCCTCATCAACCAACTTCAATAGGATCGCAATCACCAGTTGCAGCACCATCATCCTCGGGGAGGCCTTATACCTCCGGATCGCAGCAACAGTCTCGAGACCCCTACTACAATCAAAATACCACAAACACCTCTCCATCATCGGCACGGAAACCAGCTCGAAGGCCGAGCGGCAATGGCGCATCTACAAACACACCTCCTCAGCCTCAGTACAGTTCACCTTCGGTAACGACAAACTCGGCTCCCATAAACTCTCGCACCACTAATCCCTCGAACCACACATCCCCGACGACCGCCACAGCTGCTGCAGGCTTTTCTTCAATGGCTGCGGGTGATCATCAGCGAGGGATGCCCCCAGTTGTCTCGGAAAGAACATCTTCAAATAGACCGAACCCAGCAATGGCGGCTGCATCTTCGGCAGCAAATCGTAGCTCGAGTTCTAGACGGGGTGAAAACACGAACGAGCAGAGGGCAAGGGATTCTCCACGTCGGGCACAGTCACAAGAGGACCAATATTTTGAAAGGAGGAATATACCAACTAATGGGACGGGAAATGAGGATGCTGCCAATGCGGCAACCCGTGCCAGACGTCGAGCTCAACAGTCACCTGAAGCTATACCACACAGGCCGAATGGAACTCGGGAACAGAGACCTGGTCAATCCTCCAATACACAAAGTAGATCACATCCAGCGGGTACGGATTCGCCCGCAGGCCTGTCTCATGAGGCAAGTGAGGTATTAAATCGTGTGTTGGTTACCGATCCCAAGGTTGATTTGGGGCGTGAGAGAGAGCGAATGGCGGAGGCGGCACCCATTGCCACTCTAGCTCCTCCGGTGATGGAAGAGGCTCCTCGGCAGCAGAGATCACGTCACGATCACACAGCAAACTCCGGAAAACGAGAAAAGCACAGTAAATTTGGAGAGTATTATCTGGGCAACACGCTTGGTGAGGGAGAATTTGGTAAAGTGAAAATGGGCTGGAAATCAGAAGGTGGTGTTCAAGTAAGTCTATGCTGAATATCGTTTCGATCTCATACTAATCATCATGTCAAAGGTTGCCATCAAACTCATTCGCCGCGATAGTGTAGGAACGAATCCCACGAGGCTTGCGAAGATATATCGAGAAATCGCTATTCTTCGAGAGATATCACACCCGAATATCGTTCAACTGCATGAAATGGTTGAGACAGAAAGGCAAATTGGAATCATTCTGGAATATGCTTCAGGGGGAGAACTCTTTGACTACATTCTCAACCACCGCTACCTCAAGGATAATGCTGCTCGTCGCCTCTTCGCCCAATTGGTTTCCGGCGTTGGATATTTACACAAGAAGGGAATTGTGCACCGAGATTTGAAGCTCGAGAACCTCCTACTCGACCGGAACCGCAACATTATCATTACAGATTTTGGTTTTGCAAACACTTTTAATCCCGACGATGAGCTCGGAGACGAGATCGAATATAATCTATCTAGCCGTGACTATGTCAAGCGTATGGAATTGGATAAGATTTTGCCTGGCGGTTCGCGGAGAGGTGATTTGATGCAAACAAGCTGTGGAAGTCCGTGTTATGCAGCTCCAGAGTTAGTCGTGAGTGATTCGCTGTACACTGGCCGCAAGGTCGATGTATGGAGCTGCGGGGTAATATTGGTAAGTCTTGGTCACTGCACCTGTTAATAATTTTACCGCTAACATGAATGCAGTATGCAATGCTTGCAGGATATCTACCTTTTGATGATGACCCAGCCAATCCCGAAGGCGACAACATTAATCTCCTTTATAAGTACATAGTTTCGACACCACTTACATTTCCCGAATATGTCACACCGCATGCTCGAGACCTTCTCCGCCGTATTCTTGTTCCAGACCCACGCAAACGTGCAGATTTATTCGAGGTTGCCCGACATAGTTGGCTAAGCGAATATGCACATGTTGTTGGCTTTATTACTAGTAGCACCACAACTACTGTGGAGATTGCAAACACCACGGTTCCTTCTGATGAACCGCAGGAGGCTCCGCTCCTCGCTAGAAGTGCTTCAGTTCGGGAACCCAAACCGCAAAAGGCGCCGGCGGCTGTTGGTGACCTTAGTCGGAAACATGGCCATGTGGACCAAGATGGAGAAGAGGCACCTGGCAAAACTTCGAAAGACAACAAGAGAAGAACTGTACAAGTCGAATATGTGGCTCCAAGGTCGCAGACACAAAGAGGCGAGCCTTCTACCAACCCGTCTGGTGCTCAATCTGGTTCGAGAACACGCGCTCGTGCTGGTAGTCAAGGTCCAGTCGAGATTTCTGGGGCTGCTCAGGCTGCGAGAAGAAATGTACCCACAGGAGAAAAGCCGTTATCTCAGGATCCTTCATTGACGAGAGATGCTCAATATGCAACCTCGGCAAGAAGGCCGGGAAGCTCACAGCGACAACAAGGTATGGCTCCACCTGCTCGAACTACTCGAGAACATGGTGCAACATCAGAAATTAATCACATGGCTCCAGTTACTGCTCAACCCTCTATCGCAAGGCCAAACACCGGCGGTTCCATGACTTCTAACAGGTCTGGATCTATGGGTTTCCCGACACGCGGCTCGTACAGCCAACCTGTGGCGCCAACCGTCGCTGGAACTAATGCTCATGGCCGTATGTCTCAACCTCAACCAAAGAGTTCGAGGAATTACAACATATCCCCTCCTATGGTGCAAGGCGAACAACAAACCTTCGAATACCCTGCACAAGCCACTACCCAACCAATAGCTCCTAAATTTGCCAAGGTTGCTGGCCTTCCGGCGGCAGCTGGAAATGCACCATCTGATGCTAGCAAAACTCACAAGAGGTCAAACACAATCGGTGGCATATTCAGCAGAACAAATTCGCTGTTCGGCGGTAAATCACACTCTGAAAAATCATCAGAGAAACCGAAGAAGTCATACCCACCAGTCAGCATGTCAAATGCCAATATCACAAATGCCGATGATTCGAGGCAGTCGATGGACTCTAGGCGCTCTATTTCTTTTGGTTTTGGCAAGAAGAGGAGCGGCAGTATAACTGGGCGATCTCAAACTGGTTCTCAAGAGAAGGCATCAAGAAGATTTTCCCTTCTTCCGGCATCGTTCTCTCTCAAATCCATCGGCATTGGTAAAGATCCAGGTACTCCGCCCGCTAGTACCCCGACCGATGGCCACTATGAGCAATTCCCTGAAACCCAAGGTAATCATCTTGATGCTCCGCAGGACAATAGGGAAGCAAGGAATCTTAGCGGGAGTACTGCAAATTATCAGCATGTTGATGGGTCTTATGCCGCTAACCCTGCCCAACAAGAAAGACAACCTTTTGCTCAACCACAACAGCAAAATCCAGATTCCAGGTTGGTTGGTCCACCAGACTTCTTGCCACCCATAAACTACCGCCAAGATGAATCGGCACTAACGACTGACTCTGAATCTTCATTCGGTCAAAGTCGACGTGGGCCTTATCCAAATGAGAATAATACCTCGTATGAAGATTCACGACGACCGGCAGGACGCAATGCTAGAGGCGTATTACAAAAGAACAACCGGAAGTTTGCCGATGCTTATGATCAGGAGCACGCACACAATGACCATGGAGGTAGTAGTGGCGCAGCTAGAAAGGTCATGGACTTCTTCCGAAGACGTGGAAAGGCTCGTGGAGAGTGAAAGTAGGCTCGAGATAACAGTGCTTTTTAAATGATATCACTTCAACATATACACGACAATAGCTTTGCTCAATTCTGGATTATGCATAAGCTTTCAGCGAAAGCCTCAGACAATAACTTGCCATTCAGCTTTTGGTCTGATTGATAGCAAGTTTGCTTTCATTTCTCTAGAACGGCTTGGCGGGCCTGCTGGATTTTGGTATGGGAGGATGAAAGGTGTGTGGACAGGCGTTCTCTTGCATTTTATCATATGGTTCGCTTGCTATATTTTCGCGCTCAACTCGACCTCTACCTCGATTTGTGAATTGTGATCTCGTCATCGATGGATGGGGACTTGGCTCTTTATTTTACTTCGCCGTGGGTAAGATTATATCTTTGGGTTATTGGAGTTGAATTGAGTAGCATTTATGCTTCTTGATTGTGAAGAGTAGCCGAATAGTTTATTTTCTCTTACCTTTGGCTTAAAGTTGTTGTTTCGCTTTTTATTTTCTCTTCTCTATTAATTTGGTGATCTTGGTTTGGTTGGGGGGCTGGGGGTTGAAGGGATTGGAGCGGCAGGGACTTGGGATATCTTATTTGAATGGTGGTAGTGGTGAGATCTCAAATGGTGATTTTCTTTCAAAGGGAAATATGCGTGTGCTTGGATGGTGGAATACTACGATGAAGGGGTAGATCTACACCATTGGAAATGAAAGAGAAAGAGCATTAGAGCACGCGTGTGGAGGGAGGATGGATTTGAGGCTTGTGATGCAGATATAGGAAAAAAGAGAAGAGAAGAGAGAAATGAGAGGGAGGGAAGAAGAAAGAGGAAAGAGAAGAGCTATGATGGATGGGGATATGAACCCTAGGGTAAATCATTTGTAATAATCGAGATCAAAAACAAAAGAGCATCATTTAAAACATTATTTCTGACCTTGACTTGACTTGATTTTATTTTTACTTTTTGAGAAATATGTTTTTTAAGTTTGTATGATTTGATTTCTGATTCGTTCTACTTGGTTTTGAAATAAGATTATTATAAATATTGAGATTATAATTATTAAAAACAATTATTAAAATAAATAAAAATTTTATTTAATATATGATTTAAATTATAATAAGAATATTTTTTAAACTAAAAAAAGAATACTTAAAAATAAATAAATAAATAAAATTTTATATATAATTTATAGAATTATTAAAGTGTTTATTATTAAAGTTTTATATATTAAAGAAATAAAAATTTTATTTATTTATTTATAAATATATTTAAAATAATAGATTTATTTAGAAATGTTTTTAGAAAGAAAGATTGAAATAAATAAATTTGTATTTTCCAATTGAGACCCGGTGAGCTCGGACCGTCCTGCCGATAACGTTACAGACGTCATTGAGTCCATTACCATCCTTTTTTGTGTCCGCCACCAGCATGTAACAATATCTCCTGACTCCTCCCATCAAATGTGTATATTAATATTCCCATCCCATCATGGATCAAACGATCAATTTAATTTTCGCACAACTCCAAGCCACTCTCAGCGATTCCATCCGCGAAGCTCTCAATACCCATCGACCCCTCATCACTCACCTCAATGCAGACACTACATGGCTCCTTTCAATCCCCTACCCTCCTACAGCGTACAATCCTCTCAGCAGATCATATTATCATATACTCATAGATCCATGGCTACGCGGTGGTCAAAGTGACGTCGCGGCATTCTTCAGTCAACAATGGCATGCGAATCCTAGCGCAGTGCAAAGCATACAGGAGGTAGAGGACGTCATCAAGGGTATTGAGGAAGCGGCAAATAAGAAAGCAGTTGTGGGAGATGAAAGCTGGATTGATGTGGTGGTTGTGAGCCATGAATTTACAGACCATATGCATAAGGATACTTTACTTGAGATCCCTAGCACCGTTCCCGTATTCGCGGCTTCGAAAGCTGCAGCTGCCATTATTTCTTGGGTGCATTTTGATCGTGTAAAGGAAATACCTAGGTTTGATGGTGATTGGAGGGGAGCTTCTTTGGAATATTTGCCGGACTGGGTAGGGATTTCGAGAGTTGCGAAGGCGGGGGTGGATTTACTTTATTACCATTCTGCTGTTATGATTACATTTTCTATTTCTCCTGAGGATAAGACGCTGGATGAAGATGCGGGCGAAGAAATGCCCGAAGCGGTAATATATACACCTCATGGAATTGATCCTGGTGATTTAACATTGGTGGGGAGTGCTCGGCCGCCTATTCGGATCCTCGCGTTACTACATGGCTTACAGGATATTTCGTTACCTCGGGCACAATTGAATAAAGGGGCACATAATGGATTGAAGGTTCAAAGGTTACTGAATGCAAAGTACTGGCTTGGTACACACGATGAGGTCAAAACTGGCGGAGGATTAGTGAGTTGGTTTTTGAATCGGAAGGTTTTGACGCTAGAGGAAGCATTGGAGAGAGAAGCCATTGAGAATGGGGACACTGGTGATGCTGAAAAGGTAGGGGATATCAGATTTTTGGAGGTGGGAAATGGCGAGAGTTTGATTTTGGTGTAATGGTTAACTGTTTTGGACCATCCCAAGTGGTTTGTGATGCTGTTGTTGCTACTGTTGCCGAAGCATATTCCAAGATTAACTATCACATAAGAGGAAAGTAATTGAAGACTACCCGTTTGAAGAAGGAAAAGAGCTTTCTTTGCAGTCATTTTCGGAATCCGTCTTTGATACTATTTACCCCAGTATTCTTTATCTCAATCATTTTCATTTTCCCTTTGTTCATGGGTGGTATGTACCTCATAATTTCTTCATTGTAGCGAGAATACCACTTCCGTAACATGGTTCAATCATAAATATTTGCAAGGCGACCAGATCAGACAGAATATCTTTACGAAAGGTTCTTGGCGCTATATCAAAAATGGCTTCTGGATGTTGGAAACCGCAATTACCTCGCACTGAGCTTGCGGAGAAATATGGCCATCTCCTTATGCCAATCATAAAAGATGCAATTCCTTTAAAGAGTGGTCTCACTCCAATAACTTTGAATCCACATGCTACTGACTCCGAAACTAAATTCGCCGAGGATGTGCGCTATATACAGAGACGTCTCTATTCAAGTGCGTGGTTCAAATATGATTATTAGATGATTGCTAACATGCTCTGATTACTTGCAGACTTTACAGCGGCGGAGTTGGAGAGGATAGAAGCTGTGGCTCCGCTCTACAACACATACGAGGACGAAACTTTGGTTAACGCCAGTGCTAATATTGCCATCCATCCTGTAATGCAAAGAAAAAAGTGGAATTATCCTCTGCCGAAACAAGCAGCTGAATTCCCCCTTGGGAAAGATTTGGATGGATACTGGAATGCTGTGAGTACAAGGCTTTTGTGGAGAGGGATTAATGGTTCTAATGGTGATGGCAGTATACAAATGATATTGTGTGGGAAGCCTTGCTTCCAGCCCTACGAATAGCCAGCTTGTATTTCTCGAATATCGATATGTGGCCATGGTAACTATACCCCGATTTATTACCGACTCAAGGTCTAAATGATCTGTGTAGGCATGATGCTCTGTTTGCCTCAGAATGGACTGAGATTCTGCAAAAAGAGATCCCAATATTGCACTTTTTTGGACGAAGAGGTTACAGACGATTTTTTACCAGAGATCCCTTTGTATATGGAAGTGAAGCAGCCAGAAGAAATGTCCGAAACAAATTACTCAACTTTTCGAAAAACATATATTTCTCTCTTACCAGCTGTTTTGTCGATTCAACAAGTGGTGTTAAGATATTCGATGCAAGTCGGGGAAGTATTGCTGGCTCAACAATAGCAAGTTCGATCGACAATATATGTGTTATAAATCTCGATTTCCGTTCCATTTCGGCCTTGCTTCCCGGAACAGTGGAAAAATTAAATGTTGCAGAGAGACGTCTGATTCATTGTGACTTTGCAATAACTATCATACACGAGCTTGCTGTACGTTACTTTTTGACACCTTGTTTTAGATGTCCTTCGACTTGCTCTAATTTAATATAGCATGCTATCTATCAGCAAGAATGCAAAGTCAGCCACCCCGACTATGGAGGAATGCTTAGAGAGATATATTTTGAGCAAGAAGTAACTTCGGAACTGTAAGCCACTCATTACTTGCTTACTTTGACGCTTTACTGACAATTCTAGTGGCATATCCGTGAGTCTTTGTTTGGGCTTATTTGATATGGATTACTGATGTGTCTTTAATCACCTCTAGTTAGAACAAACTGTAAGTTCTGTCAGAAAAACATATATTAATAATTCTTAATTTTGAATCAGTTATTTGGTGGAATTACAGCTGGCATTCGTGGTCCTAGTGGAGAGGGCAAGATAGCTCATCTGGGTAAGCATATCTAATATCTTCTACCTTTTAATAAATACCCTAGTCCGGAATTCATCCTGTTTATAACTTTCTTTTGAGGGCCATGATCAATCACCACATACTGACTTTTTTTTTACAGAGGGAGGAGGTATGGCCTAGTAAGCAATAGCTCCTGATGACAACCGTATCCTCTATCTCATGCAAAGCAGTGATATAAACACTCGGTATCTCCAGGGTTATAATGGCGACCACCCGGTTCTACTCAATAAACCACCGGTAAATATATCATTCTATGTCTTCGGCTTGTTTCTGTTTGCATTTGATGTACAACGATATATCTTAGCAGTGCTGATCTAACGCTGAGCTCCTGTAGACTTTTAACAAATGCACATTTTGGCCTGTTCCTGTTTCCTGGTTTCGTAAGTACTGCCCAGCTCTCTACCTGCCTCTATACGTTGGCTTTGCTACTTTCATCAATCTCTCCTCGGCTTTTTTTCTCCTTGGAATCACATAGCTCTACCTTTTTTGAGCCGTTCAATAAACTGGTAATTGTGGAAACATTGACACATCTTAGTTAATATGGGAAGTAAAAGCAAATTCGAATTATTTGTTAGGAAGTAAGTCCATTTGATCTTATTCCAACTTGTCAATTCAAGTGAGTACTGACGCCAGCAGGTATGGACTTCATAACGCTAGATATACAAGGATTGTCGGTTCGGAATTTGAAGTGGATAGCGACGGTGATGCTGCTCAAGTGAGTAGGCATCCATTCGTCGAGTTTGAGGGGATACCAGACAAGAATCGACATGCCGAATCCAGTATGGATAGATTGGAGTCACAGCGCCCTCAGAAACGCCGGCGAGTAGAACACGCCATTGTTCGAGAGGCTGTATGTCGACAACCACAGCGAAGCCTAGAGGAAGAATTAGGCGTTGACAATGAGGAGACTGTCGATTCCAAAGATGAAGATCAGGATTTACCTCCTTGTCCTCGGTTTCACGAAATAAGCAGGTATTTGATCGATAATCGTCGACAATTGGCCCTTCACACAATGTGTTTCGCGATGCCTGAGCATACCTTGGTAGGCACATAATTTCCCGTCTCGAGAATTAACTAAAGTGTTAACAATGACATAAAGCTAATATTATCCGCAGCGTGATTATATTCGACGACTTGGCGGACTAAAAATCAGTGCCCAAGAATGGCGCACGTATCTACTTCATTGCAATTCGATACCATATCTTTTCAGGTAACTTCTCTTACTTCCATCTTGGGCGCATGTGCTGATAGCATGCAAGATTCGAGTCAGAAGAGGAACCTGGTGACTTCTCGACTTATCGTGGATCTATCCAACTTCATGCCTCGAGCTGGCCAAGGACGGATCTCACACCATTGAGGCCAAAACGTGAAAAGTTTGAAAGAGCCGAAGGGAATGCACTTGCATTCATTCTCGCTGTCCACCGTCTCAATGAGGCTCAAATCGGGGGCAGGGATATAATGTGGCCTCAGTCTACCTTTTGGGATTTCAGCGCTGAAAGATTTCTTGCTCTTTTCAATGCCGATGTCAAAAATGGGAATGGAGAAATGAGCAAACTTGGTTTGGGTCTGATGTCCAAAGAAGAACTTGAGGATATGCTATGGCATGTGGCATCTACTTCACCATTCCTTACGTGAGTGACACTTTCATTTTTGTTGTGAGATTGGAAATTGACGACTATTGATCTTAGTTGGGCTCCAGAAGGTATCATACGACGCTTACCACTAACCACTCCGGAATTTATGGAAATACGCGGTGGTGATGCAACATGGGACGAAGTTGTTTTGCCTAAAGGGCGAAGGTTAATTGATTGGGATGAGGGATCTAAAGCTTTACTTGGGGTAAGAAGAATTCCTAAGCTCCTCGTATCTGGTTAAGATACTTTTAAACTTACATGGGGATTTTCATCCTTTCTGGAGGGGCCTTGAATGTCTAAGGATATCATATCGATAGCTGATGGCTGATTATTGCATTCTATCACAGTGGGACAATACGAAGATGGAAACAGATCCGGAAGTGCTAGAAGAAGACACTGGAATAACATATACCGACGGCCGCGTTTGCAGTTCCTTCGAATACCAGGAAAAGCTAAGCATCAAGGAAAAGGAGAACGCGCCACCAGGGCCACCACCAACAGAAGAGCAGTTGGAGTACATGGCGGCAGAGAAAAAAATCCAGGATCTCATCAGATCGGTAGAAGCCTACATTAGAAAATTCCCAGACGCAAAGCAACAAGAGGTTTTTGATAATTCCTTTTGGCCGATTTGGACGGTGAATAATCCGGGGAAATCGGTCGAGGAGGGGTTTGCGGAATATAAGGATTGTTATTCTACGCCTGGCGATGTAGTCCCGTCTGAGGACTTGATGGAAATGCTGGCGAAGAATGAGAAGTGTAATCCGCAATGATTTGATGGAATGATTTTGGATAGGGGATTGAGGGGAAGCTTGATGTTTGGTGTTGGAATGATGGGATGATGGGATGATGGGGATTGGGTGGTTGAGGGTATGGGAAGTGGTTTGGGAGAGTGGGTGTTGTGTATTTTGTGAAATTGATTATTTATTTGTTTGTTTGGTTATAGTGCTTAGGGAATAGATGATGATTTGCTTTTGAATGAGTGGGTGAGTGAGTGAGTGAGTGAGTGAGTGAGTGAGTGAGTGAGTGAGTGAGTGAGTGAGTGAGTGAGTGAGTGAGTGAGTGAGTGAGTGAGTGAGTCAGTAGAGAGAATAGAGAAAGGAGGAGGTTTGTTAATGCAGGTGGTTATAAGTGTGATTGAGAAAACGAAAAAGAAAGAAAAAACAAATACTGTACTCAGGAATCCGGCCTTATAAACTTCCTCAAACTCCGATTTACAAGTCTGACTTTTTGATAATTACTATAACGGGTAATAGCTAGGAACCTTATCTTCCATCGTATGAAATGAAATGCCATAAATCATGGATCATGACAATTGAGGGGTTTCCCTAATATATTCTTTCATGCTCGTGAACCTTATGTTACCGTCGTGGTTTCATGATTAGATGTACTCGAGTAAGCTTTTATAGATTGATGAGATGATGTAAGTCACGGGTATCTGTCAAAGTATGTGAGGTGTGATGGTCAGATGTTATACTAATAAGTAGGTAGGCTATCTAATATGTGAACCTTTGAAGTTCTGAATTGACGTATCGGTATCATAAGGAAGGGTACATTATTGGACTGATCCTCACAACCACATAAACATTCTTTCACCAAAACCGTCATCCCATCCCATCTAGACGCCGATAAGGTGAAACGGGACAGGGGGACGTGAGTTTGAGGTGAGATGAGATGAGATGTACCGATTATCGATTATCCCAGTGCATATACACCAATCGCATCTCAAGATACTTCGATCCGTACCAAGTGAACGGAGAATTTTCATCTCAGAGTTACAAAAGTTATGGTTTCAATGGTTCCGTGTAGATTAATTAGTGACGCGTGCTTAATTAATATTTGGTGGGGCTTTTCTGTAGGTTTTGTTTTGTTGTCTTCTGGGATTTCGTCGCTTGTGATATTTTTGGTGTTTTCGGTATGGTTTCTTGGGTGTGCACTGCGTAGGGCGTGACGCTGGGTTTATATACAGCACGGAGTGTGTCACTTTGTTTGCTTCCTGCATCGTGCATGTCGTTGGAGCTTTGGGGGTTGCTTAGTGTGCTTTTCGATAATGGTGTGAGGTACTGGGGTGTTTGGTTTACAGAAGATTGGTGCTTGCATGGGTGGATGGGCGGGAGTACAAGTGGAGGGTACTTTATCTGCATCCAGGTGTTTTGCCGTATGGGGCTTTACTTCCTTTCATATGGTGGATATGTTGTGGGAGTCTTGGGATGAACAGGATTGACTATTGGGTTCTACCTTGTTTTGAGACGGGGTTTTGTGATGCTGGTCCACTGTTCGTTCCTCTTTTGCTTATATGTAATTTCAATGCTGTGAATCGTGACTGTTTTGAGAAAAGTTCTTCGAAGGGGGAGTTTTCGTATAAGTTGGTTTCTTTCCTCAAGGAAAGAGGTAGTTAGTTATAATCTCTTGTTTCTTCATCTCGTCTTTCTTCGTTCAAACTTCTCTCTCTCTCTCTCTACCTCGTATATACATTCTTTTTGGTGCAAAGTCGCCTCTTACATTCATTCATTCATTCATTTTTCTACATTCATTTATCCAGCTAGTTCTGGTAGATATCATTCGATCATTCCATCGATTCATACAAGAAAGTCAAATCTCTCCCAACCATACACATATTTTATCTTGACGATAAATTACCACATCATCAAAATGCAATACACATCCACAATCCTCATGGCCATCAGCCTAATCACCTCCGTCTCAGCCCACGGTCGAATCCTCTCTCCTACACCCCGATCCCCAGGTCCCGCCATGCAATCCGCCTGCGGCCAACAAGTCGAAGGCAACCAAGCCTCTGACCCAAACGGCAACATCCAAGGTATGCTCCAAGTAGCCAATTCACAAAAAGATTACAACGCCGCCGAATGCAACATCTGGCAATGCAAAGGCTACAAATTCGCCGACAACAAGGATAAAGTGCAGAGTTGGACAGCGGGCCAAGTCGTCCCCTTCCAATTCGATGTCGCGGCTCCTCATACGGGAACAGCTAATGTATCGATTGTTTCGACGGCTGATAATAAGGTCCTGAAACAATTATTGTATTACGATGTTTTTGCATCGACTGCCACGGGGGTAAAACCAAATCAAACTTCATTCAGTATTACGATTCCACAGGATCTAGGCGATCAATGTACTGTTGCTGGTGCGTGCGTGGTACAGCATTTCTGGGATGCTCGATCAATCGATCAAACATACGAATCGTGCGTTGATTTCACGGTTGGAGGTTCAGGTTCGGGCTCGGATTCTAGTTCTGCATCTGCATCTGCTGGTTCTTCCGCTGCAGTATCTAGTATTGCGGCTTCTTCCTCAGTGCCTGTTGTAGCTTCTTCTGTTTCTTCAGTTGCTGCTATCGTTACTTCGGCTGCGGCTTCGAGCTCGATTCCCGTTTTGACAACTTCGTTTGCGCCGCTTCCTACTACGCTTGTTACGATGACGAAGGCTAGTAGTACTTCTAGTGCAACTGCGGTGGCTTCTTCTGCGGCGTCGGTGGAGGATGATGATACTTGTGATGCGTAAGGGTTTTGGTTGGGGTTTATGGGTTGTGATGGGGTGGTTGCGGAGAACGAGGGAAAGAGGGAGACGAGGGAAGATGGGTGGAGATGGAATAGGGAGATATTCAAATTTCTTGTATATAGATAAACGATGATAAATGAAAGAAGTTTAAATGATTTTATTTATAAGGAACTTGTGCTCTTATTTTATGTTTTTTGGTGTCATGTGAAAGTTTTGAACTTGAGATTTTGAACTTTTTTTGGATTTTGGATTTTGGATTTTGGATTTTACATTGACTGGGCAGACGGGTTTGAATTTTAATACTTGAAGTTTGAGGTTAGAGTTGTGATGTGATACGATTGATATGATTATATAAATAAGTATATAAATATATAAATGCGTTATTATAAGATTAGAATTGTAGGATATTTTTCAAGGTAATTATTTAAGGCTTGGATTTAAAATTTGTAGTTTGTGATTGTGATTTCTTAAGAGCATACGAAGCATTATAGATATTTTAAATTATAATTATTCGATATAATATATTATAATATATGTTGCTTCTACTGCTCTATTATAATGTTACAAGGTAACAATCAACCTGTCCATATGAGCTTGGGCCTTATCGAAAAGCAAGGCAATTTGCATACAAATTTGTATGGTAATCGACTCATGCGGTCTCCCACTCTCAGTAAGCTTGGATATATGTGTCACGAAATCATTTTATAGAGTGTTACGAGGTAACAGTCAACCTGTCTCTATAAGCTTTGACCTTGTTGAAAAGCAAAGCAACTTATATACAAATTTGTATGGCAACCATTTTGTATAATCTCCTTACCTTTAGCAAGTTCGGATATATGGTCTGATTCTAGTTATATAATGAAGTTTTTAGAAGTGTAGGCTTTTGTAGGTTCCTTGGAGTCTTTAGGAGTATAGGTTTCTGGAGGCTTCCAAAATGGATTAGTATATAATTAGAATAGTTTTATAATTTAAGAGTTTCGTATTTAATTTAATTATCAATTAGTTTATTTATATTTTAATTGATTTAATAATATATTTATTTTCAAATAGATAACTAATAATTATTAATCTTAATTTATAATTATCAATCAAACGAAACTCTAAAATAATCGTTATCTTAATCAGATTGTTACACTTTGAATATCGTTATAGTTAAATTATATATAATATAATAACTTCCAATTAATAATTCATCGAATCGTTTTTATTTAATTCAATTGAGATCTTTATTCAAATTGTTATTATTATAGAATATAAATGAATAATTCAGATATCCATTTTTGATTTATTCTATAAAGATTGTAATAAGTATCGAACTTTTATTATATAAATTGATCTCTATTATACTTTTAATAAACAACTTTTCTTAATTTTTATATAAAGGATTTTATGATTGATCTTCTTTTTTCGAGGAATTGTATTCAATTGAATTAAATTATTCTTTAATAACCTAATAATCAAGATTATCGATAATTATTTAAACGAAAATATGAAATCTGAAATTTATTATCTATTCCTTAATTATGAATCGTTCAAATAAGGATTCAACAAAATATTCAGAGAAGTAAACTCCGATTATATAATTGAAAGAGCATTATGATAATTCAAACAGATTAAATTAATCATAATCTATATTACCAAGTTTCAATAATATATCGGGTATATTATATAAGATGATGATTATCTAAAATCATAATTCTATAAAGAATTAAAGAATATTATCAAAGATAAATTAGCAAAAGTTCTGAAACTATCTAATCTTTCCGAATTAATTAAAACCTTTATTTTCATTAACAATCGATTTTATAAACGATGAATAAAAAAGAAAGGAATTATTCAAGAAAACAGAAAATTCCAAAAACCTTATTGTCAGAACAGATATTATAATACTGGCGATCTAATAGAATTGGATGATGTTGAATAATGTTATATAAAACTAAGTAATTTAAATGTTGATGAGAAGAAGAGGTATAAGAAGAATAATTTATATTATATTTGTAAGAAAAACAGATATATATCTCAAGATTGTTTTCAAAAGAAGAAATTATTTATTACAAAAGATGGGAAACAAATAAGATTTGAGAACAGAAGATAAAATTTTCGAGAAATAGGGATCTTGAAAGGAAGTTCGAGGGAAATGAGATTATTGGAAAGAGATTTATTTCAATTCAATCTCAAACAATTAAAAGAATTAAGTATCAATAATCAAAACCTTAAAATTAGTATTAAAAACAGTATCGATTATAAGGGAAAATCTTTAGAAGATCTCGAATCAAGAAACGAGGAATCAATCGAAAAACTCGAAAAGGATCAACAATCAATTGAATCCTATCATTTACTTCAAGAAAATGAGTTATAATATCTAATCAATTATCTAGATAAGAAACGGATATAATATCATTATAAAAAGGAGAAATCTAATTTCATCGAAAAACACAAAATCTATAATTATCTTATTTTGTTAATATTCTATATAGTAATATATAATAATACTTATTATATAATATTTAAAGAAAATATTAAAATAAACGATATTAGAAAATATATTATAGATATAGATTCTTTATTCTTCAATAAAGTATAAGAATATAACAAATATAATCTAAAAGTTAAGGATATATAAAAGATCCTATTATAAATCAGGATTCGCTATATTTAATAAAGAATCGATAAGGATAATAAAGAAATATCAAATCGAGATTATTATCGAAATTTCCAAACAGAATCAATAAAATTATTATTTATTATATTTTATTGATTATTGAATATAAACGAATACTAATATAAATAGATGAATCTCCTTATCAGAAAACAAACCATCGAATTACTATCATTAGAACTTAATAATATTATAAAAATCAAATAATTAATTGTAGAAGTCAAATTAAAGAATCAACAAATTAATATCTTGATCAATTTCAAAGTTATAAGTATATTTATAGATCTTAACTTTACAAAAAAGAATAATATTCTTACAAAATTAAAACAAAACCTTTATCAATTGATATTACTAAAAAGAAAGAAAGCTGGAATTGATAATTAGATATACAAAAAAACTAATATTATCAAAATGATTATATCAAATAGATATATTAAATAAATCAAAATGGATTTAGTACTATTAGACAAATATACAATTATTCTCGATACTCTATAAATTAAGAAATATAATCCAAATATCGATTGAATAAAAGATATCTTAATATTCGATCGTTATAATTACAATAACGAATAACTATATGATCTAAAGAAACAAACTTCTGAAAAGATTGGATATTATACTATAACAATAACAAATCCTTTATTGATCGATAAAATCAATGAAAAAGGAATTCCAATATAATACAAAAGATTCGTTAAACTCTTCGAAGATTTATAAGATTTGAAAATCTTATCAAAACATAAAGCTTAGAATTATAAGATCAATTTCAAAAAAGGATTCGTATTCTCTATCGAAAAGTTGAGATTATATAATCCTAATATTATACAGGTATAAAAAGAATACAAAATTAAAGTTGAAAAGAAAAAATGGATTAGGAAATCCAAATCCCTTTGTATATCCAATATATTATTGATATTCAAGAAAGACAATCTAAATAATTAATCTTGTAAAGATTATTATCGAATTAACAATAAAACAATCAGAAATATATATCTAATACTAAAAGCTTAAGAACTCAGGGATAAATTAAATAAAGCTATAATCTATACAAAATTAAATCAAAGAAATACTTTTAATTTAATACAAATAAAAAAGAATTACAAATAAAAAACAATCTTCATTTTATTATCCGGTTTATAAAAATATATAATCATATTATTCGAACTAACTAATATATTAATTATATATCAATAACAAAACAACAAGATACTCAAAAAATTCAATTCATTTGTAATTTGTTATTTAAATGATATCCTAATCTTCTTTCAGAAAGAGAAGAAATACAAAGGATATATATTGAAAGTATTCGAAGTATTCAAAAAAATGGATTCAAGATTCAAATTATCGAAATACGAGTTTGGAATATGAAAAATAACATTTCTAGAATATATTATTCAATCAAAACAAATGAATATAAATTCTAAGAAAACAAAGAAAATAAAGAACTAAAAAAGATCTAGGAATATCAAGGATATATAATCTATACTAGGATTCGTCAATTTCTATTGAATATTTATAAAAGATTTTTTAAAAATAATGAAACCTTTTATCGAAATAACCAAAAAAAGAATAACTTTTATATAGAATAAAAAGGCAAAACAAATTTTCCAAAAAATCAAGGACAGATTTATAAGGGAACTTATCCTTTATAATTATCATAATAATTGAGAAAGCATTATCGAAACAAATGTTTCTGATATCTATATAACAAGAATCTATCTATAAAGAGATGATAATAAGAAATTATACTTTATTGTTTATTATTCAAACAAGATAAACAAAATAAAACAGAATTACAATATTTATAAAAAAGAATTTATAATTATTATAAAAACATTGAAATATTGAAAGATTTATTTTTAAAGGGTTAAATTTTCAATAATCATTTATATTGATTATATGAATCTTTGAATCTTTATTATTATTAAGGTTTTGGATAATTATAGATTGATTAGATAAATTAAGAAACTAACAAAATTTGATTTGATAATCAAATATATCAAGAAAAAAGATAATACAAGAATAAATACTTTAAGCAAATTATCAGATTATAAAGATAATAAAATCTATTAAAAAATAACGATCTTGAAATCTTTACTAAATAAAGATCTTATTTTTAATTTAACAAAAATCGTTATTATAGAAAATAAATCAATAAAGATCTGAAAAAATAAATTTATAAAAATATAACAAAATAAAAAAAACATCAAATAACCAAAACTATTAATAATTATTGAGGGATTGTTTCGAATAAAAAACAAAATATAATTATCAAATAATATCGTTTTTGAATATATTATAGAACAATATATATTATCAGTTTATAAATATCAAAAAATACAAAAAATATATTTAAAAATCAAAAGACAATATTGAAGTTTGGGATTTTGTAATATAATCAATAAAATGATTATTGAATATAATATTTGTATTAGAAATAAAGTTTTCTATTATACTTTTTATAATTAAATGAATATCATCGAGATATTATTTATATTATAGAAATCAATATTATAGAATTTCATAGATCCATTATCAAAATCCAAAAATCTAATAACAAAAATAATATATAATTACCTTTTTGTTATAATAAATAGATTAACAAAATACTTGATATTTATATTATATCAAATAATATTAATTGTAGAAATATTAGTCTTTATATTTTTGAAAGAAATTATAATAATATATAAATTATTAAAAAAAATACTCTTTGATAGAAATAAACTTTTTATATCGAAATTTTGAATTGTTTTAGTAATATTGTTAGAAATAAAAAGAAAAATATTTATTATATTCTATTTATAAATTAATAAAGAAAATAAAAGAATAAATCAAATTATTAAAATTTATCTTCAATATTATATAAATTATTAATAAAACAATTGAATAGAACTTTTATCCTTAATATAATTTGTATATAATAATTCAATATTAGAAATAATATAAATTATTCCGAATTATATTAATTATAAATATAAACTAATTGTATATTGTAAATTAGAGATTATGGAAATAAAGAATCAATCTATAATAATATAAACAAAAAGATTCAAAAAAATCTATAAAGAAATAATAATAAAATTGAAATTTATTATCGAAAGAAATATATATTATTATAATTAGAAATATAATCAGAAATCAATATTAAAAAAAAAAGATAAAATCTATTTATTTCGAAAAAACATCGAAACAAAAAGATCTAATACAAAATTGAATCATAAAAAACTAAAACTATTCAAAATCAAAAAAATTAAAGAATCTTTAAATTATAAATTGATATTACCAAAAAGTATGAATATATATCCAGTATTCCATATATCCCTATTCGAACTAATACTCTCAGAAGTATCTAAAGTTTCTGAAACAGAAATCATATTTATAAATCAAAATACCGAATATAAAATAAAAAAGATATTAAATTGTAAATATATTAGAAATAAAATCAAATACTTAATAAAATAAGAAAATTACTTCGATTCCGAAAATATATAAAAATTTGAGAAAAAAATTAAACATCTGAAAAAGTATCAGAAGTTTTATCGATAGAATCCGGATTTATCTAAAAGAAAAGAGAATTCATCGTTTTTTACAAAAAAAGATCGAAAGAATCGAATTCGTTTATAGGAATTTCGTTGAGATTGATAAAATCAATTAATAATTGATCAAATTGATTAAAAATTAATTAATCAAATTGATCAAATTAATCAAATTGATCAAAAGAATCGGAATTAATAATAAATACTAAAGATATAACAATTTCCTCTTTTTCTTCTTTCTTCTTCTTTTTCAAAATATCTAATTTATCAAGATATTTGAGATCTTATTTAATTATCTTTCTACAACAATTTTATAAATAATTTTGTTATTTTTGAAAATAAAGAATTTTAATTATAACTTTTTTTTTTTTTTTACAAAGTTTTTTCTTTTGTTTATTTAAAAATTCTCAATCATTTATTCAAAGAACTTTCTTATCTTAATTATCTTTCAAATACTGTTTTGTATTATAAGGAATACAAAATCGTATATATTCGAAATAACGAATCTTTTACGAATTATTCAGAATTTTTATATAATGAAGATTTTTTATATAATAATAGATATATAAAATTATTTCGATATCAGAATTCTCGATTTCAATTATAAAACAAAACTTTTCCTTGTTTTTTCAACAAATTTTGTTAAATTGTGAATTATTTATAATAAGAAAAAGGATCAAAATATAGAATAATAAAAAACTAATAAATTATATACTAATTATAAACAATCAAGAACAATACTTGGTTAAAAAGGAAATAATATTACAAAATCATTTTATAAAGTATTATAAGATAACAATCAATCTATCTCTATAAGCTTTGACCTTATTGAAAAGCAAAACAACTTATATACAAATTTGTATAACAATCGTTTTGTATAATCTCCCCATCTTCAACAAGTTCGGATATATAATCTGATCCTAATTATATAATAAAACCCTTAGAAATATAAGCTCCTATAGGCTCTTTAAAGCCCTTAAGAATGTAGGCTTTTGGAGACTCCCAAAATGGATTAGTATATAATCAGAATAATTTCATAGTTTAGAAGCTTCGTGCTCAATTTAGTTATCAATTAGTTTACCTATATTCCAATTGATCTAGTAATGTATTCATCTTCGAATGGATAACCAGTGATTATTAGCCTTAACCTACAATTATCAACCAGACGAAACCCTGAGGCAGCCGCTGCCTCAACCAGATCGTTACAATATGGTTTGATTCTAATCATATGATGGATCATAAGGATCTAGGGAGCTAGGAAATCGTATTCTAGGTCTATTAGATCCAAAGGATCCAATTGATACGAAGGTCTATATAGCTAGGAAAGGATTCCTTTTGTAAAGTTTTGTACTCGAGATCAATCATTTAGTATACTCTATTATTAGTTACGAACTGTAAGTATTGATATTATCTTAAGCCCCTACTTGACGCCTAGTTATAAACCATTCGAGGATCCAGGCCACTTCCACATGATCTAGATCGCATCCCCTGTAACATATAATTACAAAATAAGATTTATTTATAAGGGATTTAAAGTTTGTAGATTTGAGTTATATTGTCTAGGGGTGGATAAAGTTTGTTTATGATATTACTATTAAAATAAGACTTATTAAATAAAGTTTTAAAATTAAAAAGAGATATCACAAAATATAAATATATGACAAAGGAAAGTTTAAGTATTTGAATTTTCTTATCGGGTTGGTATAGTGTCATTTGATTTTATATTTTGTTTTCGATGTAAGTCTTAGGTAGGTTTTTAATATTATATTTCTTTTTTATATGTTTTCAAAGCTTGAAGAAAATCGCTTTCTGAATATCTAGTAATGATATGTATTTAGTACTTGATTAACTATCTTATTCTTGAATCGTCCGTCTCCTGTCAATATCTAAATATTCTCGTCTATTTCCATCGGGATATCGAAACTATAACTAATACCGAAATACTGTACTATTCTCTATCTCCGGTAGATGGTAAACGAGTTATCCCCATATATCATGATTCTTCCATACAGCATTCTAGAAAGTTAAAAGTTCGGCATATTACTCGACTACATCTAGATCTCTGTATTCAAAATCCAGACTTCCATCATAGAGTGAGACCGAAAAGTCGGATCCGGATTTATGTAAGACTTACTTGATTGATATCCAAGTTACTATGTCTTCCCTACCCAGCGAGTTATAATCAAGCCAGCTAAACTGAAAATACCTTACCGACGTCATAATATCGAAATCTCTAGAATATTCGAGCACCGATATTCATGAATCATGAATCATGAGTAGGTATGAAACATGAAAGTACAATGATGAAATAAATACTCATGAAATAAATATACGGTGAACAAGTACAAGTACTAGTAATCTTACTAGTGTACTAGCCACAATATTAAAAATGCGAGTACGAGAACATTTTACCGACCGAGGTAAATGATGGAAATGGAAATGATAACTCAGCCTTATTCTACTGATTGGATTGCGTAGGAATTAGATGTGGCTGTGCGTGAGTGCAAATTGTGGCGCGAAGATATCATGATGACGAATTCATGTTAGTGCGTCGAGTCGAGTGACTGTGCGCATGTATGTGGTGATGATCTGTGGATGCTGCAATGAGTTATGTGATGTGATTATTCATGGTGTGGTAAGGATATGGGGATGGAATACGGGATAGGGGATACTAGGGATGGATAGAGGCGGGTTTTGAAGTTCGAGAATTCTGGATAGGGAGCTGTGTGGATGGAAATGTTTGTGAAATATATGGAATAGATGAATTGTGAGGGTATTGGATGTGATGATGTTGGATGTTGGATGTTGGATGTTGGATGTTGGATGTGGGATGTTGGATGATAAATGGGAATGTCCTTGGCGAGAGCGTGCGTATGCTTCTGACGTGACTTGGCGCGGGGAAAGTGTTATCAAGTGATGGCTCTAATGGGTAGGTACAAATCATTGATGTGCTTTCCTGAATGATGAGGAGGTTGCCTGCTGATTTGGTGAATGAATAGATAATTTTGATAGGTAGGTACGTACCTAGATAAGAAATATATTATTGTCCACATGAGTAACAAAGATAATACTATATCATCAACTACCGTTCACTATTTTACTTCTACAAGTAATCAGACAACAATATATCGCCTCATTGTTTCCACGCATTTATACTTCACTACTTGATTTAGTTGCACAACTTGAATACCGGCAGTTGATTGATCGACCACATTGTGTACTGGCGATCAGGAGTTTACTGTGGTGCCAATTCTTTTTGGGATGGAGACCTAGAACGAATAAGGACGGGACACACGGCAGATTGATGACTCGATTGGAAGGTGTGGAGATATGCATATGGAGAATCAGGAAAGGATGTATCTGTGCTTTTCCATCTCTTTGTTCTGTATATTCCGTATACACTCCACTATCATTCTGACTTGATATCCATACACGATGATATCCATAGACGGTTGACTCTACACTCCTTTCTCTCTTCAGATCCTGTGATCTCGAGTCAACTTTCATCTAGATATAGAGAGGAAACGGATACTTTACAAGAAGTAGTTGCGCTACAGATAAGATAGGAAGATGCATTTCATTCTTCGTCCAAACCCACTCTGCATAGATACTAAGTGGTTGGTTTGGATGGTGGAGTAACCAAGGGAAGGGAACACATACTCGTTTCAGTTAAATAATCGAATACGCTGATTCGTTGGGCAATGGATGGGATACTCGGTTGAGTCATTGATCGAGTGATACCACAACATTGATATAAAAAAGATGATTACCCAGAAAGGATTTACTTTACTAGATGCAACATGGATGCACGTCCTCTTTCCCGCTTCCTCAAATTGTAGCGCTTCCTCAACACATCAACATTGGCCCCACTCTACTGCGCCACATCTCCCCCATAATTCACGAATCAGGAATCAAAAGCGAAGTCGTTCCATTCCCATCCAATAAGATAACAGAAGATCAAGATTATATCCAATTATATCCAATCATATTCATTGTTCTTGGGACTTTTCCCCACCCCTTGGCAATAAAGTAAAGTTCAGCCTTGGCAAACAGCAGACCTTATGATCCTTGTATTCTTCGCCTTATCAACTGGGGATCCTCTTGTCCTTTCACCGTATCCCCCTCAAAAGCCCCAAACTTTCCCCTTCCCAAGTGATCCCCTTTCTTGTTTCTAATAAACGTTACACCTACGGGTATATCAACAAGCAAATAACGCTTCATTTTTGATATCAACATCAAGCATCAAGCATCAAGCATCAAACATCAAACATCAAACATTGACTTTGTCTTTCTTCCTCTCCCTTTTTAACCTAACACGATACCCCTCCTCCCTCTATTTTTGGATTTTGCCAGCGAAGACATATCTATCTCTCTTTCTCTCAACCATAACTGTTCTCCCCGTTTAATCCACAACTCTATTCATCTGATTCTACATCGATGAAGAAGACTTCGTCTAATTCGCCGTCATTTATAGATCGTGTGAGCTTTTGGGATAAATCCAAGGCGCATGGCAACTCTACGAGTTCAACAGATTCGAGTGCACCAACTCTCCCCTTGAGTAACCCTCCTACTCATACGCAGTATAGCAACACTGCTACATCAGTTTTAAACGATGCAACCAATATTCCAAGAAATAACTCACCTCACAATGGCCTCAACAATCAACGTTCAAATCCCACTTCAAATAGTGTGGCAGATAATACATCCAACCTTCATCCGCCACCAGCTCCACCACCGCAGGTTGATGGAGAGAGGAATATCATAGAACCTACAGAAAATGAGAAACCCAAGAAGAAGAATGTTGCCGCTCGATTTTGGTTTACCGGTAAACATATTATACTCTCAAGTTATATCAATATCTTGTTGGTATTTGTACCGGTCGGTATCGTGGCCTATGCAGTTGACCTTAGCCCAGGTATCATCTTTGCCATGAACGCAATTGCCATTATACCTTTGGCAGGCTTACTCAGTCATGCGACGGAAAGTGTGGCGAAGAGAATGGGTGATACTATTGGTGCTTTGATGAATGTTACTTTTGGTAATGCTGTTGAGCTTATCATTTTGTGAGTTCTGTCGTTTATATACACTTGGATGTGGAATTACACTAACATTTAATAGTATGTATGTCTACCTCATAAGAGATCAAGACAAGAAAGTGCGAGAAGCCCTCTTAAAGGCATTATCATATCAATCGCGTCCCATATCATTATACCCTTTCCAATTTTCTTTGTCTTTTCATCATGCAAGTCCCGTGTGAATTCCTTTCCAAAATACATGCTCACCTGTTCATCTTTAACCCTGTAGCATTGCACTGCAAAAGGTTAGTAAATCTTTCCCATGAGTTTAAAGCCACTCTAACATTTGCCAGAATGAAATCCGTATCGTTCAAGCTTCCCTGCTCGGCTCAATTCTTGCAAATCTACTCTTGATTTTAGGAATGTGTTTCTTGGTTGGTGGACTGCGCTTCCGTGAACAGGTAAGTTACTATTTAGAAGATGATTTCTGAGTCCGTGCTGACAATTCTAGATCTATAATAGTACTGTCACACAAATGAGTGCTTGTCTTCTAAGTTTGAGCGTCATGAGTTTATTACTTCCGGTATGTGTAACCCTTCACTTGAATGAATTCATAATTAATGAATATAGACTGCTTTCCATGCATCTTTCAATACTACGACTGCTGAAAATAAGGCCAACACCAGAGTCTTGCAAGTTAGTCGGGGTACCAGTGTTGTAAGTTTCCACTCTTAAGTCCTAAGAAACAATACATTGACTTTTATCAGGTCCTCCTTTTGGTTTACGCCATGTACCTTTTGTTTCAGTTAAAGTCACATGCATACATGTATGAGAGTACTCCTCAACATATTATTGATGAAGAATCAGCTCCTGGTCCTGTTGCAGCTTGGATGGACTCATCATCTGATGATTCATCCTCTTCAAGCTCTGATTCTGATAGCTCCAGTGGTTCTAACACTACTGCCAAACGTGTCAAGAGACTTATCAGAGGTGGTCGACGTCGTAAGTCAAGCTCAGCATCCAAAGATACTGTAGACGTTGAGGCTCTGCGAACGCCCTCTTTCGGTAATGGTAGCATCAATCACGCAGTTGAAGGTCGTGGATCCACTGGTGATGATCATCGTACAGGTGCTATTGATCTCGCTGAAGACGGTGATGATGAGCGTCCTAGAAGAAGTCGCAATGGTTCATTCACAAACTATGTCATGACCAGAAAGGAACATAAGAAAGAACGCAAACTACAGAAAAGGGAAAAGAAGGCTCGTAAGAAGGCTATCAGGCATCAGCAAACCATCAATGAAGGTGTTGTACCTGATGTCGTAAATGAGAAAACTGCAGGAACGGAACAAAATGATTCTGATCCACGACGTGTTGATTTTGCCATCATGGAAAATTCTGAAGCCCAGCAAGATAGTAAACGGCCATTCACCCTTCGCGGAATTACTTCTAACATTCGACCTCAAATTCCAAAAACTTTCTCCCAAAATGTCTTTACTAATCCAGCACCTACCGGTACTCCACCACCTGGAAATATTCCTCGCGTTCGTATGGGTATTCGTCGCACAAATTCTTTGCCTGATCGTCTCAATCAGACAATGTCACACCCGGCTGGAGCCCCGGCAAATTTAGCGCCTATTCGAATCAATAGCACCGCTGTTGCAGTTAATAAGGTTCCTATGGACAATGAGGATGAGAATATCTCTCGTACTACAGCCATCGTTTTACTTCTTCTCTCTACTGGTCTTGTCGCAATCTGTGCCGAATTCATGGTTGACAGTATCAATGCTGTTGTTGCTAGTAATTCTGGTTTGAGTGAGGCTTTTATTGGTCTTATCATCTTACCTATTGTCGGTAATGCTGCCGAGCACGTTACTGCTGTTACGGTCGCTAGTAAGAATAAAATGGATTTGGCAATTGGTGTTGCTGTTGGTTCTTCTATTCAAATTGGTATGCTTCCATCTTAATTTCAATGTAACCTTAGCTAACCCATCACGATAGCTCTATTCGTTACTCCCTTCATTGTCTTACTCGGCTGGTGTATGTCCAAAGAAATGACATTATACTTCACCCTCTTCGAAACTGTCTGTCTCTTCGTCTCGGCTTTCATTGTCAATTTCTTGGTTCTGGATGGAAGATCCAATTATCTCGAAGGTGCACTTCTTTGCGCAGCATATGTGATTATTGCGGTAGCAGCTTTCTTTTATCCAAGTACAGAGGATCAAAGTAATTTGGGTGGAAACGCTGATGCGGCTAAGATGATGGTTAGAAGTCTGATGGGAATTTGAATAATGTAACGAGAGAGGAGGATAATGATTGAATGGTGGGATGAAATATTTTGAGTGGATTTTTATGGTGACATACTACCGGTATTATGACCTATTGGTAATGGTTGGATGAATGGTAGTTTTACTTCTTGAGCTTGGGATGAAATTTTCTTCTTTTGCAGGTAGTGGTGAGAAAGATGAATGGGGTGGAGGGATCAATTTATGGATGAAGTTTTTCGCTTTAGGGTATGGCTTCCTTGATGTTGCTGATTTTTTGTCTTCTCTAAAATTTGGCTTTGATGGATGGATGGATAGTCCAGCTAAGTAAGATGTTGAGGACAATGGACTCGAGATTTATTCTTTTGATTTGGATTTGTATATGATAAATAGTGGATGAATCATCACACACAGTATTTATATGTGTATTCCTCTACCTTTCCCTTTGAATTGGCTATATATCAATTAATCAATCTCTCAACTCAAATTAAAATCCCTCAACTCCACTCCCCTACAAATATTTTTAAAAATTAATTATTTAAGTCTGCTATATCTCTTCCTACTTATAACTGATAAAAAGTCCTTTATTATACAGGTAAATAAATCTTCAAATAAATAATTAATAGATATTCACAAATCAAAATCATTAAATTTTAATTAAATGAAAATAGTGATTTTTGGTGTAAAAAGATGATCCAAAAGAGGAGTGGTTCAAAAGTAGAATACTAGACATATATTATAAATTTATTATTTTATGACATTTCAACAATCAATGAATTTAATTAATTAAAACTTTGGTTGTAGATTCATTATATAATTATTAGTTGATTCTGAAACTTTCAAATTTTTCACAATTTTATTGATTGAGATATAAATGATTGAAATCACAATTTTCAATTTGTATAAGATTTATATACAAATCTAAAACACTTGAAAAACTTGAAAAACTTGAATAAATTTTCAACAAAAATTACTAAAAATAAACTGTAGATCTTTTTGAGATCTTCAAATTAAATGTTATATAAAAGATTAAGATTTCGAATTTTAAATAATATAAATGAATCTTTATTGATATTTATAAATTTTACAAGGATTAAAAATCATAACATTTTGATCAAAAGGTTTTCTGTAAATTATTTTTCAAAACAAATGAATCTATTCGATTAATTAAAATATAAATATTTGAAAAGAATTTATAGTTTATTTTTAAGTATTTTTGTTGAAATGTTATTCAAGATTTTAAAGATTTTCCAAATTTATATATAAATCCTATACAAATCGAAAAATTAAACTTATAGATCTCAACGAAATCAATTGTAAAAAATCTGCGATTTTCAAAATTCATTTAGAATCATATAATAGTATATAATTCAAATTTGATTAAATTATATTCATTTCTTGTAAAGTCATTAATAGATGAAAATCATCATTTTTGGTGTAAAAAGGTGGTCCAAAAGAGGGGTGGTCCAAAAGTAGAGTACTAGACTTATAATATAAAGAAATTAATAAGATTAAGATCTTGAGATGGTTTTATATAAAGGAGGAGAAGATTGTTGTGAGTTTGTGAGTTTGTGGAGAGGGGAGGAGAAGGGAGGGGGGAGAGAGTTTATCTATAGTGTTAAAGCGTATTGTCATCGAGATGATTAGTCTCAGTGAAACATAATTATTTGATATTTAGTATCTAGCTAGGTACGTAGCTTGTGAAGGGAAGAAACGATTCTCCATTCGGCAGGACGTGCGTGGACGTTGGCCATGCGCTGAAAGGGTTCTATTTGTAGGTGTGAAGAGGGTTATCTTATTATTGGAGTTACGGTTGCTGATTATATAGACCCATAATCATCATCGTACTTGCCCATATTGAGCTTGACAGCGCAGAGATAACTTATTTTTGATTTTAGGTTGTGTGATTAGATGGATTTTGAGTGGTTGCTGGCGTGAGTTTGCAAGATGTGGATAGAGCGCTTATATAAATTAATGGAAAGTATAGATTGATGTAAATATGGGTGAATAGAAAGAAAATAAAAGAATTTAAATAATGGAAATGACGAAATGTTTAGCGAAATCTATAATTATTATGTACCGATACCCCTTTTCCAGATTTCGGTTCTGAATTTTTATTTGTTGTTGAGTAATAAAATGTATCCGTGTAAGTTATTGATAATAAATCCATTATTAGATTATAAGAAAACAGTCAAAAGATTCAAGAGTTAGTTGATATCTATATATTAGGTAATTATCTGATACTATGGACTAGAATTCTTGCTCAGCACTTGAAGATTTGTGTTGCGTAGCTAGGTCTTTTATATACGAGTGACTGTAACTTTACTGTTGAGTGGACTAGTTGGTATTAAATCTACTCTAATGATGGCATCTTTACTTATGATATATGGCAATTCGGCTTTGATTTGATATCTAGTAATGGGAAAGTTATAATTCAGATGATGGAAAGCTTAAGATTTTAGAGAATTAATTCTGTAATTGAGAGAAATACTATATATACATCAAGCAAACCCCAAACTAAACAATGAATTAAAGTCACTTATATTCTGTACCTCCTTCCTGCCCTTCCACTCGAATCTCACAGACACAATCGGTCAATATACACCAAAATAATAGTTCCATCTTAGTCTAGGTATTTTTACTAGTGTAATTCGATATAAAGCTTGAAAGGGAATCTGAACAACACTTAATAGTGGTATTAGTTCTTTGATAAAAACAATGTAAGATCTTATAAACAATAAACTTATAAAGATTTCCTTTCAATATTACCTATCCTGCTATGTCTTTGTATCTCTTCCAGAAAAGACAATCAATTTATGATTGTTTATTTTCTTATTAGTAGGCAAGTAATACTTAGAATTGTATGTATTATGTACAGCTTCAAAATAACTATCGTGAATTCCCCATCAAAAAGTATAAATCTCAACTAATATTCCCTTAAATCCCTTGCTTTCACTATCCACATCACACACACATCACACATCACATTTCATACATCACACCCCAACTCCCATACAAACTAACAAATCAAGCACCCCAAACCTCCCATCCCTTCATTCCCATCTCCCAAGAACTAACCCTCACCCCAAAGAGAAACAAGTAACAAGAAGAAAAAATGGTTCGCTTCTCCTACGTCTGCTGCTATTGCGCCGGAACCAACGAGGACGTACGAACCTGTGACCAAGGCCTCAATAGAATCTGCCGGATCTGCGGTCTTCATGTACGTTGCCCAGGGTGTGCCTTGTGGAGTCTTTTTGGTTATATGGCGAAAACTTTGGGGGAATATGGGGATCAGTATTTATGATTCTTTTGTTATTCTTTATTTTTTTGGGAGGATGAGAGAGGAGAGGACAGAAAGGGGGAGAATGATTGAGCTTTCTTTTGTGAGATGTGCGATGGGAATTGTTTCCTTTCTACCTAGATGGAGAAGTTAAAGAAGACGGAGTTTCCTTGAGATATACTGTTGCATTTCATACCTCACACCTAATGGAGAAGTTAAAGAAGAGAGAATTTCCTTGCGATATACTCTCTATAAGAGTATCTTAACTTTGCATTCCATACTTCATACCTAGATGGAGCTGGACTGTCACTAGAAATAGAAAATAGAAAAATAGGTTGTAGTAAATAAGAAAAAAACTATCATTCGAATATTGCTTGATGGTGGAATACAAGTATATAACAATAAATAAAGTAAGTGAAAGAAACAAAGTAAATTTATCAGATAAAGAAACGAATTACTATAACCGTGATTATAATACAACTGCGTATACAGTTTAAAAGTGCTTAAGGGTCTCCGGATCTAAGTACGTTGATAAATATATTCAGAAGGAATTTTTCGGCTTAATCATGAAAATAGTGTCCCTCGCTCCTTGAAGTCGATAACCCCCTCGCTTGTTGTGTTGTGTTAACCCCTCTGTGGTTTATACACAGATTTAGAGTTACTAAATCACACACACACACACATATGTATGGTTTTACATACCAACTAATAATATCAAGAAAAAGAATGAACCTGTCACAGGTCACTGTATATCATATACCCTAGATATATAATATAGATATAATATAGATATAATATCAAAACCACAACGATATCAGGACTTCCATAATATAAGCAAAGAAAGTTCAAGAGGGTCATGAAAGGAAGGACTAATCATAAGCGTTATCCGTATTAGAATCGAGAGGGGACCGACCTGGATATTACAGCTAAATGTGGAAAATATGTGATTCGGTTGCCTGAGCTCCTAGATTGTGAAATAGCCTCGAATGCAACATAAACTTCCTCACACGCACAAGCCCCCCGCATTTTGCTGACGTAGATAACATCTTTCTATATGACACCTATCCCGAGATATATCGTGATTATTGCCGCCATTCATCTTGTACTGCCCCTAAGATAGCTGCCACTATCAATAGCATGAGCCTTGACCACTCAAGGTATATGAACTAAAACAACGGGTATTAATTATCATTACAATTAATCATAATATCCACAAGCCCTGGCATTAATTCAATACAGAGCATAAATGGAGCTCGGCTCCATTCATCAAAAACACTCCTCGGGTATGACTTTCCGCAAGATCTCTTCGCTTCAACCCCTTCATCAACAACAACCACCTCTTCTTCTCCTCTGGCCTGGTAATGTAAAAACTTCCTCCCACTCCCTCATCCCTCCGAGTCCCCAATTTTGCCCTCTTTTCCCCTTCCTCCTCCTCCTTCCAGTCCCATCCTCGATCGTCATCCCACTCTTCACACTAGCCCCATCACTAGCATTTGTATCCCATCTCCCTCCGTCCCCATATTGTATTCCACTCATCGGATCATCCGGGTCAATCTCTCCCAACTCTATCTTCGTCAATATCATCCTCGCCAACCTATTAAAAACCTCCTCGACATTGTCTCCGGATAACGCAGAAACCTCAACCGAAACTGGTATATTCGCGGAACTAGCCCATCTTGATGCTTCTTCTGCACTAACTTCCCGTCCATCCGGCGCTACACTTGCTTTCAACTGTGATCCTATCCCTATATATCCCGAACTCGAATTCACAGATCCCCCGGCAGTATATGGAAATGAGGAGTTTTTGCTATTCATGCTGGATGGTGTTTCCGGTGGTACAGATGTATCTATTAAATCGCCATTGGACTCCGAAAGATCAGTCTTATTGCCCACGAGTAGTAGTGTAAGATTTGGGGAAGCCAGCGCTCGGGCGTCGTTGAGAAAGGTAGGTAATCCAGTAAAGGAATTATGGTTTGTGATATCGTAACATAAGACTGCACCTGCGGCGCCACGATAATAAGAGCGCGATACAGAGCGAAATCGTTCAGTGCCTGCTGTATCCCATAGCTTTTATATGGTTAGCCTTGAGGAGCGACGAGAAGACGCGGGAGAGGGAAATACCTGAAGCTTAATACGCTTCCGTCGACTGCCGCTGCCCACTCTTATAATCTTGCTTGCGAATTCTACGCCAATAGTCTGAGAAGATAAAATTCTCCATTCATTTTTGACAAAACGATGTAATAGACATGATCTATGCGACATCAATATCATATTCCTCCCATTCCCATAAACATCCCACTCATCAAAGACAAACGGAAAGTGGAACATACTTGCCGCTTCCACTTGGTCCTAGGAGTATAATCTTAGCCAAATAATCGTACATACTACCTAATTCCTGAAAATCCATTAGTATTGGTATAATGTGTCTTTCATTTTGTCTCTCGTTCTGTATATCTGCATGGTTGTTCTAAAAACGAAAGAGGAGGTAGAAAACAAACCTGATCTCTGGTCGTACTGGCACTTTCATCACTTGCAGCGGATGAGCGCCTCGGTCGCACCATTTTCGCCTACGAGTGGTAGTACGATAACCTTTTTAATTTCTTGGTGTTTTCAAGGCACAGAAAAGTCAAAAAGTCGAAGAGTCGAAAAGTTCTTGAAAGTTGCTTAATATTTTTATATCTTGAAATTAATCCGTCTCCAGTAAATAGACCCTCAGTAGGACGGACGTAACATCAAAGTTGTCGCAAGTCTTATCGGATCGGTGTTAAACCAATCATTTCCCGACGCTAGACTGTTTGGGATTGTCTCTATGAGGGATCCGAATAAGGTTAAGCCGAGGCATGTGATTGATGGTGATGAATGATTTGGTGAATATTAAATAGATATTTCTCATTTCTCTCTTTTAGAACTTGTTATTCAAATATTATCAAAATGAAGATTGAGGGTAGAACTTTTATTGTATCTGGCGGGTAAGTAAAAACCATGTATGTATGAATCAAACTTCATTAACAAGATATCTAGAGCTTCAGGCTTAGGCCGAGCATGTGTTGTCGATATCTGCCAAGTTGGAGGGTATGCAGCTGTACTAGATATGAATGAGGAGTTAGCTGAAGAATTGGTTAAAGAGTTAGGAGCTGGAAAGGTCAAATTCTGGCAAACAGATGTACTGGACACAGATAGTATTACCAATGCTGTTAAGGGTGCTTTGGAATGGGCGAAGGAAACTGGAAAGGAGGTTGGTGGAGTTATTGCTGCTGCTGGTGTAGCTACTCCTGCTAAGGTGTGTTTTCATATGAGCCATACAAACCTCACAGCGAAGATCCCCGAGCCTCCCTACACTCCCTTCCGGTGACTTCCTCAAATCCAACTCCAAATCCCGCTCCATCTGATTCCCTCGCCATCTTCGCACTAATACTACCCTCACCAGATCCTCGATCGCAACCTCGAGCCCTTCTCTCTCTCCGACTTCGACTTCGTAATGAATGTTAACGTCCGCGGTACCATCGACTTAATCCGACAATGTCTTCCCCACATAGCTCGTTCCACTCCTGTAAATGATGATGGTGAGCGTGGTGTAATTATCATGGTTGCTTCATCTGCTGCTTTTGATGGACAACCTGGTCAAGGTATTTTGATTCTTCTTACGCTCCTATTCCGTGCTTCTATTTTCCCATAAATTTATCAATGAACAAAACACTAAACAGGAATAGTCGCATACTCTGCGTCCAAAGGCGCAATAGCATCCCTAACTCTTCCCCTAACCCGTGATGTTGCAAGACATGGTATTAGAGTTGTGACTATAGCACCTAGTCTTTTCGATTCGAGGATGACATCTATGATGAGTGATAAAGTGCGGGCTAGTTTAACGAAAGTCATGGAATTCCCGCGTAAGTCTCCTTTCTGTCCATATCCCATATATCCATGTCCGAATCATCCGTATGCTTTCCTAACCACTGTACCACAAAACACGACCCCCAAAAAGATCCAAACTCCATTCCACGAGCTAACCCACATCAAAAACAGTACGACCCGGCAAACCCCACGAATTTGCACAACTAGTAAGACAAAGTATCGAGAACGTGATGTTGAATGGAGTCGTATTGAGATTAGACGGAGGAATGAGGATGCCGAGTAAGATGTGAGGGGTCAGCTGACAATAGAGGAATATTCTTATGGTTTCTGTGTTTTGTATTTGTACATGAATGAATGGATGGGTTTGATGCGGGTTTCTATCATGGGTATGGTGTGAAGTTGTAAGAGTAGTGTTTTAATAGAGAATAGGTTCTTGTGTTTGGATTGGAGTATACTTTTCAAGAGTTTTTGTGATGAAAATAAAGATAAAGGTGTGGCTGTGGTCAGTAGATTCAGGGTTTGAACTTCGCAATGGGATCAGAACGACACTACATGAAATCCTTCTGCAAGCAAATTGATTAGGTATTCAAACAGCGGAACGATTACCTCACGAACTATTCATTCAATCTTCAATGCCTGCCCACCCATCCTCGACCACCGTTTCTCCGTCGTCCTCCGCAACCTTCTCCTGCTCTCGTCTTTTACTCCCTTGGATAGCTCCCTTCCTATTATGTTCCAATTTCCTCTCATATCCACTCTTCGTACTAATCTGCATTCTTGATTTCGACTTCCCTCCTTTCGAATCCTTTCCATCCTTCGCATTATTCAAACCCCCTCGTCTCGCTTCAACACCATATCTCTTCAGTTTCTTCTTTTCTTCCTTGCTAGGTGTTGGTAGCGCATCTAATAACCATTTCTGCATACTAGCTTCGCTTGCAGGTTTCCCGGCCTGTTTTTCGGATGCCGCGATGATATTTGCGACGTTCTTGACATAAGGAATATCCTCTTTTGTATAGAATGTTACTGCAATACCACCATCGCGACCAGCTCGTCCGGTACGTCCTACGCGATGGATATAGGCTGCTCCTGAATTGGGAACATCATAATTGACTACGCCATTGATGCCTTTGAAATCAACACCTCGTGATAAAATATCCGTGGTGATCAAGATCCAAATCTCACCATTGCGGAATCGTGTCATGACTTGATCTCTGATCGAGTCAGACAGATCAGAATGCAATACTGCGATTCTGGTAGAACCGCCTGCCTCAGCGGGTATATCATACAGAAGCTCAGCATGGAGAGCTATGGCTCGGGGTATCGTTTGTGTGAAGACGAGGAATGGAGGTCGTAGAGCTTCCGTTCCGTCTGTAGTTTTTGCGGTTGGCCGAAGTAATTGTCGAAGAGCAATAAGTTTACCAGGCTCAGTTGCAGCATAAATCAAGCGATGTGTGATATTAGGAATGGCAGAATCTTTAAGTCCAACCACGAGACGAACAAGATTTGAATGCTTCTCTAGGCCTAGCCTTTCTTGCCTGGCTTGAATAGTGCCTGAGGCGAGGGTTTCTATATTCGAACCCATTGTTGCGGACCAGAGTGTGACTCTTAGATTGGGATTGATACATGAGTTCCAAATTCCTAATGTCTGGTCTCTGAACAACGGGTCTAGAAGGACATCTGCTTCATCAAAAACTAATGTGCGAACAGTGGGTAATGGAGCATGATCATGTATTGATCCCAAGGACAAAGCATTGAGGAATATCAATGGTGTAGTGACCAGTATATCGGTCTTGGTAAGTGGCTGCTTAGATGAGGCAGCTCCATCAACGGATTCGTCATCATCTTCATCGTCATCCAACTGCTCCTTTTCCTCGGCATCTGCACTCGGTACTATTTTCATTCCTTTCTTCATTCCTAAAATCTTAACTCCAGTTCCGATGCTAAGTTTCTTTCCCTCATTAACAATCTGACTAGCGAGCTCTTTCGTTGGCGCTATTATCACAGCTTCCAAGACATGATTCTTGTCAGAAGTTCTGCGCCGTTGTACTATATCATTAATGACCGGTATCAAGAATGCCAGCGTCTTTCCACTTCCAGTGGGCGCAACAGCTAACAGGTCGAGAGTACTCGACAACTCGTCAGTATCTACCGAGGAACTACCCAATGCAACTGAAGGCTTCAAAAGTAAAGGTAAGCTTCCCATTTGGACCTCCGTTGGAATTTTATATCCTTGGTCTTTCAGGTTTTCTGATAATCTGCCCGATATTTTGTATGTAGCCCGTAAATCTTCAAATGCCGTTAATGGTTGAGGGTATAACTGCTTGATCTCCTCCTTCGAGCTCGTGGTCTTTGCGGACTTCGACTTCTTCGACTTTTTAATCTTCTTCCGCGGTTTTGCACCTGGCAGAAGGGTGACCTTCAATCGATGCGATTTTAATATCTGTCGACATTCCCCCTCATCTAGAAGTGGCTCTGGTTCTGAGGAAGGATTCGATTGTGCAGGCTTCGGCGCATCGTTTGTGGAAGCGCTTTTCTTAGTCTTCTGGGTCGCAGGATCGGAGGAAAAGAAATCAAGGTTTCCATCTGTTTGTTCTGTAGTATCAACATCCTTAGATTGTCCTCCTCTCTTTCTTTTCTTGCCTCTCGATTCGGGAATGGGATCGTGGTACAATTGAGGATTCGCAGACGTTCCACTTGAAGGTAACTTCGTAGCAACACCTCCTACTCTGTATGATCCGTTTTGACCGGATTGCTTAGTCGACCTAGAAAGTAACCTTAGGATATCCATTGCTGCGAATTATTGAATTTTCAATGTTGAGCACCGATCAAATTATCGCAAAACAGCTGGATATTTTTGCAGGATAGCATTTTATTTTTCGAATTCTGCCACCTGAGATAAATCCACCGCTTTCCTTTCTAGTCCAATCAACACGCCAAAGTGGATGGAACAAATTTACAACACAGCTCCTAGCTCTTCAATCATACGTCAATCCTCACATCACGGTATGCCAATTAAGAAATTGTTGGAAGGAATAAGCACTGATAGTTTTGCTCTAGTATTACACAAGCCATCATGCCAGAAACATCAATCTCTCCTCCGGCCGTCACACGCCCAAGTAAACCAGTTTCAGAAGCTCTTCTGAACGAAAAGGTAAATCCTAGTTTATCTTCAAACTCGCAGCTAAAAAGCGTTTCCATTCTTTGCGAAGGCAGTGCTGATTTTATACCTGTTTAGTGGGATCACTGTCTTTCCTCATTGCTCATACGATCCTCGGTCGGACTCGGATTTGGTGTTGTCGCCTCGGTTTTGATATTCAAGCGAAGAGCATGGCCTGCATTTGTTGGTGTTGGGTTCGGTGCCGGAAGAGCTTATGAGGAGTGTAACAGCTCATTTAGAAGGGTGGGAAAGGATGGAATTAGAGTGCAAAGACCCTGAATCAGATAATGGGTTTATTGGAAGGGTGGAAGTGGTCTCGGAAGTACATAAAAATGGATGGGAAGCTAGAGCACTTTGGAGTTTGTATGATTATGTGAAGGCAGTACTTCAAATGATGTGAATTCACCTGTATGTAGGACTCTCCGATCCTCGACTTGTGAAAATGCTCTTTTGTGTTATTGTTCTCTACTCAAAGCATTTGCTGATGTTCAGTACTAGCGACTTGATTAAAGATTATGTTTCAATTTGTTTTATTTCATTGAATTCTGAGTTTTCCAAACTTTTAGTATTTGCGTCCCTTTGAGAGCTTCTCCCATGTTAGAGATGGGGATCTCTAGGAGCCAGACATAAAGACAATGTAGTGACTGGGCTGTTCCGCTTTTCTTCTGTTGGTATCGAGGAAGTCAAATTACCCATGGATGCTGATTGGTGAACTTACAGGATTCAATTTAGAGCTTTGGAGCCCGAGCATATCTTCATACGCAGGAGCCCACCATTTTTTGGAGAATGACATGATACCGAGACTCAAAAGTTCAAAGTAAACATGTATGGCCCAAGTCAGCACTTTCATCCTATCCTTCTATAAAATCCCTTCACCCTTTTCATACAGCGCTCTGTCTTCGGCTTCCAAAGCTCTGAGTTCTCCTGCAGTTGTCTCCCAACATGATCAGTGTACTTCCACTCGATATACTCTGGTGCCTTGATAAATCCCCAGCATTCCCCGTCCCAGCATGTTCTATCTTGACATTTGCCTTTTCTGTAGGAGGAGGGTGAGACCATTTTAGTGCCTGACCGAACTTTCTTCTTCCCATCTCCTCGCTCGAATATGATCTTCCATGCAGTCTAGCCATCAGGATGTCTGGGTTCATGTTCTCCTCCAAGCCATATTTGACTGTATGTAACCTATGGATATACCACGTTACCGAGATGTACATCCCATACGAAAGCCAGAGGAGTAAGGCGACAATACAGAGGATAAGTAGCAGGAGGACCGGTGGGTCTATTCTTAGCTTTTGAAGATTGGGATGCATCGCGTGTGGTCGGTTCAATTTGTTTGTTGTAGGCTGAGAGGATGCTGGGGAATGGTGTGCAATGAGTTGGTTGTGGCGGCGAAAATAGGGTCGTTGTTGGTGGATATATGACATGCTGAACAGCTATGGATAATTAGGTAGTCGGTGTTTCTTAGGATGTTACTTCAACTGCCTGGGGATGGATAATATAACCTCTTATAAGTGACGATTTCGTGAAGAAAATAACAATCTTGGGTAAAAGAGCGGGAATAGCAATAGTTTTGAGGATATTCAACATGCTTGCATTGATGGAGTGTGCGTGAGGAAACCATCGCTTTTGGGAATAGATGTAGACAATTGGGTTGGTCTTTCCAATTTTGATGATTCCACAAGCTTTATTTGCCATACTACCTGCTGCGTAGAGCATCTCAAGCAAGTTTCGTGTCACTCAGTTAATGGTCGATGCTGGTTGACTGCACATCTCATGACCAGATACTTACTAAGTCCGCGGTCTAAAATGTAGTAAAACTGGTTTGGGCTTCTCCATGTTCGTTGCCACATTATTGGTTAAAGCTCTTCGAACTTTTGTTATACGGTGCGAGACTTAAGGTAGAATTGATTTGACTTTGGCAAGAGCATAGGACTACCTAGTAGTCAGCGACTCAGCTTAGGTAAGGAGAGGATGTCTTCTTGGCATGTATAATGCCAAGGAGGTCAATTGAGGTTATCCGTTATTGTTTTCAGTGCTGTGTGAGGGCAGGGTTCGGAGCTTTCAGGAGAGGCAGGGAGATGTGAAACTCTGTTCAAGGAGGAAGGAAGATTTGGAATTGTCACCAGCAACTTCGCATGATTTGAATAAGGCCATGATGGAATGATTGTTTGGCATAGATTTAGGTAATAATGAAGGACTTGTTACGCCTTATGGAAGAGTAGTCAGCGCATAGCGTTTCTGAGTAAGATCTTCATGTAGAGAAACATTTCATTAATGCAGGGCTGAGCCAAAAGAAAAAAAGAAAAAGGAAAGTACCTATGCTTAGCTGGCCAGTAGATAGAAAACATGATCCAGCTTTGCATATGAAATGCCATCCAGCTTGTGCCACCACCACAAGCATCGACGAACAAGAACACAAGAAATCCATAAATAGAAAGATCCCAGTCCACGCTCCCTAACAAAAGGTTTCGACATCTGAGTCGGTGGTACCAAACTTGAAAGCTGTTTAAGCCTTAAGGAAAGAATATTATGACTGTGATTCGTGATTTTGTGCGTGATGATAAACTTTTGAAAGCTTATTGCTTTGCTTGCCTTTGGGTCAAAGTAAACATAGCAAGCCTAGCAATAGCTGTTCACCGAAGAGGTTCACATATCGCCCATAACTGAAAAGAGGGGGTGAGTGAGTATCACCAGACACAATACAGTCATAATAAGCTTACATGAAGCCTAGTACAGCTGTAATTTTCAGCGACGATTTTCCTCAACAGGAGGTGTTTTTTTTAATGGCCAAGTCAAGGAAAGCTATATGGAGTCCAAAATGACATGTCCAATATCTTATCCCAGTTCTCAAGACAGTAAGCCGCAAATAGCAGTATCAATAGGTTAATTATCACGAAGGATCATTTAGACGGGGAATCCCAAGGCTTCTAGAAGGAAATTAGAAGGAAATTCCTGCAGATTTTAACCCCTTTTTGGCGGCTAGTGTGATGCACCGTGCTGCATGGCAAACATGGATACTATCTCCAGAACATGAGGACGGCGGTAAAGGTTCAAGCATTTTGATCCGAAAATGAGCTGAGAGAAATGGATAATGGATGAATGTATCCAGTTGCTACGATAAGTGTCCAAATGTCTCCTTATCTGCGCAGGATTCTATAATCTCTACGGATTGTGGCCTATGAGTTTCGAGGTTTCGAAAGAGTTCAAGACATACGATAAGAATTATGACCCAGGACATATGTAATCTCAAGTCTGCTGTGTGCTCCGTAATCAAGGACCCAGTATTCTGTGGGGTGTTATGTTATGGGTATTTGAAGTAAAGTACAGTACCTGGTCTCAGTGGTTTGGCAGTCAGTTGGTGAAGAATTTTGACTTGAATTGTTTCATCTACCTTATGCAAGCGAGGGAGGTTTGAGCGGCAGAGGAAGCGGGCGGGACGTCTTTGATCATGGGCTTGTTGAAGTTGAATACAGATTACGAGTGATCTGTAGGATATGTAGATATCATTCGTAATGTATGATATGTATGATACATATGATATATTTTGATGGCTCCAGAAAGAAGAAGGAGAGAGAGGTAGGTGGGATGGAGATGAAACCATTCAGATCGTCTGTTGTGTCTGTCGATGGTGTAAGACAAATCCAGGTACGCTGGAAGCTGGAATTATGTGAATGAAAGTACCTGCCCTTATGCTTGGTTCACTGGTGGTTCTAACATGAATGAAGCTTCCATGAGGAAGGATAATGATAAATTTCAACATTTTATACATTTTCATGTTCATTTTCATTTTCATTTTCATACATCTCATGCATCTCATTGGCCGAGGGTATATATGTGGCGTGTTATGAAGCGCCCCCCTCCTTCATGCAGGCAATTTGTGTGTTTCCCCCGACTTTTACCAAGTACATACGTACCTAGTGAAGGTAGGATCCGTACTTGTACCTACAACCCAAATACTCGCATGAACCCGTTCCCAATCCCAAGGCTGAAGGCGAGATGCTGCAAAGAAGCCGCGGTAACGAATGGAATATGTACAAAAGTTAAAAAAGAAATACCGTCTGCCGGTAAATCAACTCCAGTGCGATGTAACTCTTTTCTTTTTCTTTTTCTCTGAAAACATATTATTTTCATAAATGCCGAGGTCCTGATAGGTTGTTATAAGTGGCACCCATGAATCTTTTTCTCCAACAGAACAAAGGAAAAGAAAAGATAAGTGAGTCGTAGTGGGTTGTCATTGGGTAGCCACTTGAAATATTTAATCATTGATCATTACGGAGTGTGTAATTTTGTTTTTTCTTTTTTTTTTCTTTTTCTTCCTTCTTTCTTCTTTCTTCTTTCTTCCCTCTTCCCTCTTCTTCATCCAACGCTTTTCACCGAACCATTTCTTCACGAATCACTAGACATTTCCATGTCTCTATCTCCATTAATTTAAAAGTGTTGGCATTCTCTTGATCTGATACGTCTATTAATCCTGGTATAATCTGCAAGATGGATTAACCCCCTGGTTCATTTCATTCCGACGGTATTGTGTTTCTTTTTTTAATCCTAGCCGCTTTGCCCTCATCGCTCGGTAGGTAAGCTAAGTCGGATTCTTTTAATAACAGACGTGCAGAGATGATCTGTTCGGAGGTACGCTTGTACTCCGTAATCATGAAATAGCATGTATTCAAAGGTTGCAGTATGTAAATCACTATACCATAGAAGCTTATATCCATTCATAAATCAATCATAATCATGTTTTTGATGCTTATCAATGCTTGCTCTAGTAAGGATTGAGATCAGGGATTGATATCTTGTTACTGACAAGCCTTTCAGCTCATTGAGCTTTCAGTTCACTACTTGGTATTTTAAAAACTTCAAAGATATTCATGAATGAATGCTAGAAACACCAAATATCACTGCTAGGTATCTAGATATAAACTCTTCAAATTTAAACATTGAAAAATACAATATATAATAATAAATCTAACTAATCTAGTTTATCTAGTCTATTTATTTGTTAAGGATATATATTAATGAACGATTAATATCTAAGTATATAATCAAGTATTCATCTCTCTCTTTCAAAGATATAATAAGATGCCAATCCATCTAGTCCATCCCTTCTCACCTGCGAATATAATATACCCATACATACAACATACATACCTAGTATATACTCATCAAACAGCGGCCCGTGTAGGTAGGTACCTGCAGCATTAGATATACATCCATCATGTCAAAACGCTTAGTTACTAATTAGTTAGTTTATCAAGTATCAGAAGCCAATCTAGCCCTCCTTGCCAATTATCTCCTTCTCTTTCCATCATCAATCCACAAGATATTTATTGTCATAATTCACTTTGACAAATAACGTTACTATTAGCCTAGTCCAGTCGTCAAGAGAGGAAAGAAAGAACATGTATGTGCATTTTTAGTATTCACTTGATCTACTCGAATACTATCTATTTATTTATTTATTTGGCTAGTTCACCGTCGTAAATGAGATACTTCAATCATCATCTGATATCAAATCTCGACTTCCTTCATCTATTCTATTCTTTAAAATAATCATAGACCCAAGACTTACCCACAGTTATCCACTCTTATACATCTCCCTTCCCAATCAGGCACTCACTAGCGTAAAGGCAGCCGATAATTTGGACCTTGGCCCTGATGGCCCTTCCCTATTTTGATTGTAATTGATTTATTCTTTCCCGGTTAGCAATTAATTGTAGCATACCACACTACCCAAGCAACCTAGAGGAAGAGCCAAAAGAACTCTTTCTCCGTCCAACCCATCCATCCCCAATCCCATCCATCCATTCCATCCATTCCGTCCATTCCATCCATCCATCCATCCATCCATTTCCTTTCCGACAAACCTCGACAAACCTCGACAAACCTCAACCCTCAACCCTCCCCAGATCGATCCAAATAAATTCCTTCCCATTCAGTGTGAAGGAGATTTCATCCACTTGGATTACCAAGATCTCAAGAATATCTCGTTGGGTTTTCAAGGGTTTCAATTTGAAAGAGTATATTGTTAACCTGGTAAGTAAATAAGAATTCTTTGTTTCTTCTGATTGCACCGTTCAACTCCATCGCATGAAGGATAAATCATATTGGGTTTCATCCATCTATACAAATTGTCGGGAGGCACCAACTGCGACACGACTAAACTCGTCCATAACTCGTACTTCATCCTCTCTACGATTCTGAATACCAAGTATCAACCTCGGGAGGAAGCATTGCGTCGCATTCCCAGTCCCTTCCCCTTATTCACCAACCCGACCGAGTTCAATCAACTTCACTTCAATTTCGCACGTCGCTACTGATTGTCTTTTTTTTGCTTCACTATCGCCAATATCTCAATCATTCAGCCTCAGCCTACTCATTACCCGGTTCCCGCTAATCATTTACCTTTTACAGACCGCACTCTATCTTGCGGCCGGTCCTGCGACACTTGACACTCAACTTCACGACCTTTAACGAATTTAATTACTAAACACCACCACTATAATCAGTCAACATGGGTTGCGGAATGAGCACAGAGGAGAAGGAGGGAAAGGCGAGGAACGAGGAGATCGAAAATCAACTGAAGAGAGATAAAATGTTGCAACGAAATGAAATCAAGATGCTACTTCTTGGTAAGTTAAATCATCCTTGAGCCCCCTTCATCTATCATTGAGTGTTCAGCCTAACAGTTTTACAGGAGCTGGTGAATCCGGAAAGTCTACTATCTTGAAACAGATGAAGCTTATCCATGAGGGAGGTTACTCACGCGACGAGAGAGAATCATTTAAGGAAATTATCTTTAGCAACACGGTCCAATCGATGCGTGTTATCCTTGAAGCCATGGAGTCCTTAGAGTTACCTCTTGATGATCAAAGAGCCGAATATCATGTCCAAACTATTTTCATGCAACCACAACAAATTGAAGGAGACAACTTACCACCCGAGGTTGGAAGTGCCATTGCAGCTCTATGGAAGGATGCAGGTGTGCAGGATTGTTTCAAGCGATCCAGAGAGTATCAATTGAATGATTCCGCTAGATAGTAAGTACTTGCTTTATAGACGGATCTTGGATATCTTTCCGGTCCTGCCGTACACGAAGCTGCTTCTAACATCCTTTGTCTAGCTACTTTGATAACATCGAGAGAATTGCTCAGCATGATTATATGCCAAATGATCAAGATGTCCTCCGCTCCCGTGTCAAGACTACTGGTATTACAGAGACCACCTTCATCATCGGAGATTTAACCTACCGAATGTTCGATGTTGGAGGACAACGTTCCGAGCGAAAGAAGTGGATCCACTGTTTCGAAAATGTCACCACAATCCTGTTCTTGGTGGCCATTTCCGAGTATGATCAACTGCTTTTCGAGGATGAAACGGTCAACCGTATGCAAGAAGCCCTTACACTTTTCGACTCGATTTGCAATTCCAGATGGTTTATCAAGACATCCATAATTCTATTCTTGAACAAGATCGATAGATTCAAGGAGAAGCTCCCCGTAAGCCCTATGAAGAACTACTTCCCCGATTACGAAGGTGGTGATGACTATGCTCTCGCATGTGACTACATCCTGAACCGATTCGTCAGTCTCAATCAGCACGAGACAAAACAGATTTATACACATTTCACTTGTGCTACTGATACTACTCAAATCAGATTCGTCATGGCAGCAGTCAATGGTAAGCTTCAAAGCTCTTGAGAATTCGTCACAACTAACTCGTTCTAGACATCATCATACAAGAGAACCTCCGTCTGTGCGGTCTGATATAATCATGAAATACCCAACTGCAGTCAAATGATATCGGCTGCAACTTTCTTATTTATTCAGCATGGCGTTATAATCCAAAACCGGGGGTCTCTTTTTCCAATACCAAACATCTTCTTGCACAGTCACTTTCGGTCTTGCAACCTTTTTTTGCTATAGAACCATTGTTTTTCCCCGAAAGGGGATGTCGGGGGATATGGTATCATTGGAGCACGTCATGGGTTGTTTTAATTAACTTCTGCTTCATTGTGCCCACTTTATTTCTCTTTCTCCAATGCTCTGGGGGGTAGCATCGATCGAGACTATTTTCTTTTATTACTTAAGTTTTGTTTTTAAATCCTGTTTGTCATATTAATAGCGACGATGTAAGACCGTTCGGGATGTGGTTGGTTTCATGCCAGCAACTGATGATGTCGCGCGGTTTGCATTCTGCCGCGTCTCTTTTTGATGAAGGTGCAGGAGTTGTGTTGTGGGTCGGAAGCAGGATGAATGAGGAGAAGCTCTACAGCTGATTAGAAGGTTGGGGATGTACGAGCAGACGATGGTGGCAGTTGGATGGCTTGATTGGGATTAAAACTGATGGTGGTGGATGTCTGGGCTCGTTGGTTGGCTGGATCAAAAGCGACTGCATTATTTGCAGTAAGCATTGATACCATAGTCAGTTAATTAGAAGATTCATATTGATCTACATTTGTGCCTGCGTCTTGATATTTGTGACCATAAATCCGCACTTTAATTTGCTGAGAGATATCCAGGTAGGACAGGGTTGTGTAACTTTTTACCTAGGCAACTACAACTCAACAAAAGACGCATGAACCCCTTTCTACATTTGACGTGTGCTTTTAAATTCTAAAGACCATCTATTGAATTCTGATCCTTGGAACTTTATTTTCAACTCATACATAAGATCTTACATTTATTACCTACCCAATGGTATACTGAACAAATTTAACCGGCAAAATAAACAATTAACGAAACAATTAACGAATCTAGTTGACTATGATCATTCTAACACGCAAACCACCCCTGTCCAGGATTGCGGGAGTATGGCTATTGCTTCCTTTTCTGATTGTTGGGGTGTATGGAAGAATTACATTGGAGAGTGTGCAAAACCTTACCGAGGTCACGAGGGAGTGTACGGGGAGCGTTGGAGATTTGGGTGGGAGTGAGGGGTGGGAGGGGGCAGGAGGAGGGCAGATAGTTTTGGATGGCGGAGATGGGAATGGAGATGGAGATGAGATTGAGGATGTGAGTTTGTTTCTTATTTTCTTGGGTTCCGTGGCTTGGGTTTCGTAATGCATTGTGTATGGGACAGCGGGCGGTATATCTATACACACACGCGCGTGTGTGTGCGTTGCTGCAAAGTGAGTACACCAGTACTAACCAATATCTCACTGTCCACAGACAATTACAGCAGCTCTACACATGCTCTGTTCAGACCTATTAATGGAGTTGGAAAAGCCGCTATTATCTTCTCATATCGCCCCTGAAGACACATTGGTGTGTTACCTCTCTCCTCCCTTTGGGTGTCCAAGGTTTCTTTGCTAATTTCAATGCACAAGTAGACACAACTTAATTGCTCAAATGTTAAAAAGGATTTTGATGAGTTTTTAAAGGAAACAACGTGGTTTCTTTATGAGATTCAGGAACGTCAGATGGAGTGGAGATGGGGTGGTGGAAGTGCGGTTAAAGGGGGATTGGAGTGGTTGCAAGGGCTTTGGGCTAGTAGGAGAGCGGTATGTTGTTTTCTTTGATTTTCTTTGCTTGCTTCTTGCCTCATGGTTCTTTTTTAACAGAGAGTGCGGATTATATGCGTGAATTTTTGAGGAAGTTGGGCAATGGGAAGATGTAGTGAAAAAGGGCAGCCGGAGAGATTTATGCTGATGGTTATTATAGAATTCACAAGATAGGAGTTTTATTGAGCAGCAAATGGAGTTGTATAGGGACACGAAATGCTTTGCGAAATTGAATAGAGAGGTGCTGAGGAAAGATATTGAGGTTGTGGAGTACTTGAATGATTTGATTGACATGTTTTGGTGAAGACAGAGAGGCTGGATGAAGACCCAGAAGGGACACGGCGGGAGCTGGGTGGAGAGCGATGATTGGTAGGTTGGAGGGAAGTATTTGGGAGTAGACATTCAAACGAGGGGACGCAAAATTGTTTAACTAAGAGAATAACTCGGGAAATAGGCGCGATGCGCTGACGGAGGTAAATTGGGAAGGGCAAATTTGAAAACAGCGAGTGTGGAAGGTGCATAAATAGCACATTCGCGACACTTTGTAGCAATTCTTTGTTCTATGAGTAATGTAAATGTCATTGGGCGATACGTAAACGCAATGGAGTGTTGGCTATTGAGAGACTTTCTTCCTATTTGTCTTCATTTTGGCTTCCTCTTTAGGGGTTCTTTATTGTTCCGCATCGGATCGTAGATTAAACGAACTCTGAAAATGCCAATACACCGTCTACTCGATATCATTATGTACATACTGCATGTGATGTGTGGCCTCTAACAACGGTCCCATCGACAGCAACTTTTGAAAGGCGTGTAACGCACTTCGATGCAATGCCGTTCCATGCCAAGAACAGGCTGTGATGGGGTATAATGATGCTGTCTGTCTCGACTCTTGTAATATCCAACTCCTTCTGCTTGTAGACATATGATGCCTCATATGGGTAAGCTTCATGGGATATAACCAAAATCGACCATTAGGCACATACTGCATTCAAATTCGCCAGCTGCAAAACTACTACCAGAGAACACACACAGCCCCATCGATAATACTAACAGTCGACCGTAAGATTTTTGCATCTCTCTGTCCGAAATCCCGAATTTGCACCCGCATGGCTGCTTCCGATTTCCACAGGCTCAATGGCTCGACGGTAGGCTAGCCAGCCAATACTACAAACTGCACAACAAATTAGGTTCCGCTAGCAAGCCCAGAAGGTTCATTTTCAATATAGATCTGAGACTCTGATTCGAAGGTTCGGAACGATATTACCAATTTAGATGATGCTTATCTGGACATTGAGGATTTGTTGCACGTCTTCATTTTTGAATGTCGCCGACCTCGAGATTTTTGGCCAAAAATGGATGAATGATTGAGGTGAGCGAGGTGACCGAAGTGATGGCGCTTTTAAGTGTTACATCTGCTGTGTTGCAGTGCATGTAAGATTATATTTGATGACTCATCAACGCTTCTTTCACCAGCCACACCCACCAGAAATGGGATTCGTTTAGGGAAGCCACAGTTATCAATCCAGAGTACAGTAGAATGACTCTCATCGTTGGAATACAATCATGATATATAATTTGATGATTTGACGACATTTTCATGATTCGATCTTTTCGCATACAAATATGGCAAGACTTAATACAGTGCCCATTCCGTCGAGGGATCCTACAGCTACGAATTTAGAGCGCATGTTGGTGCGATTGCAGAAAATTATCTTGAGCCCAGATACTTCGGCGGCATCTCGAAGCTATGCTGAGTGGGTGAAGACGGGCGCGGTAAGGATTGTATAATCTCTTATGGAAAGAGCTATGGCTAATTCTTTGATGTTACAGAATCTGGAATATGCGCGGGGTTTATTGGTTCATGTAGAGCAAGATGCGCAGAGTATTAAAGTACTGGCGAGGAAACAGGAGATACAGGCCGATTTAGTGCGCAAGAGACATATGATACAAAGACTTGGTGAAAGATTGGAAGAGTTAAGTGAGGTTTGTATACCTAAATCTGCTGTACCGAGGGGGATGTGTGCTGATATTGCACAGCTTGCAAGTTATGAGGAAGAGGGCGAGGATTCATCCGAGGGAGAAGATTTACTGTCTCATGATCAAGATACACCTTCGGAAACTACAGATGAAACTACAAACAACCATGAAGAGCACTCTACACATTCTTCAACCGATTACACACCTTCTCCCACACACATGGAACATGCCCCTCCCCCACTACAAACGCAACCCTCTCAACCATCCGAACCTTCTACTCTTCGCTCTCGCAACCCCCGCGCTGAACGCTTCCAGCCAGCCTCTAATAAAGCCTACACAACATCCGCCTCCACATCCCAAATTGCTCCTACCGCCGCAACAACAACCACAGCCGCAACCGAAACACTCCTCACACACCACCGCACCGAACAAGAAGATCTCACTAACTCTCTCCTCTCCATGGCTCAAGAACTGCGCGCTCGCTCTCACACCTTCGCTAGCACCCTCGCTACCGATGCCTCGGTTCTCGATTCTGCCGTTGCGGGTATCAATAGGAATGAGATTGGTCTAGAAGCAGCGTCGAGGAGAATGGGATATTTGAGAAATATGACGGAGGGGAAGGGTTGGTGGGGTCGCATGATGATGTATGCATGGATCGCGGGCTTGGCGATTTTGGCCTGTGTTATTGTGTTTGTGATGCCGAAGTTGAGGTTCTGATGCTGGAGAGGAAGTAGAAGATAGGAGATTTAAAAGGAATGGGATGGCTTTTTTGGCAAAATGGGAGCTTGATGGAATGATAGGCGTTTTATGGGAACCCGTGGTGTTTGGATGATACCATACGCAAGTGGTAGGCTTTTATGTTGATATCTCAGTTCTAGCATATTTGGGCGTCGGGCGAAGCTGCATTCATGGCGACATTATGTTATGGGGTTTGGAGAGGAGAAGTAATTGATGTACATGTTAGTTTATTGATGTAGCCAAGAGGCTATTTAATCAACCCTTTACAAGTATGACCCGTGTATCCGAGAATAGACATCACGCAACAAATCACACTGCAAGTGTAGCATCATGAAGCATAGATAGTAAGTGATGAATATCATAACGCTTGCAAAACTATGGTGAAAAATGCCCCTACTTGCTCTTGAATGCTATATCCTCTCGAAACAGAGATAGATAGATATCCACCCATTTATTCATGCATCAATCCATCCATCCGTTGTATGTCATAAAAGGCGAAAAGAAAGTAAAAAGAAAACCAAGATTAGAAATTTGGTTCATCAAAACCCCTATTGGCCTCTGGCTTGTTGAAAATTAGTGTTGATGATGTATCTGTCTGGTTGTGCAAGTATCATTGAAACGGGGAAAAAGATATATTAAATTTTTTTTGGAAAATGAATTTGATAACTGTTCCGAATCGATGATGTACTGACTTGGTATTGAAAAAAGGCAATGCGAGAGATGTCTCATCTCATTGACGCCTGTGCAGTGGTGGATAATGGTGAGACGTGGTGTGGTGCGTTATGATTGACATTTTTGGATATGATGGATATGATGGATATGATGGATATGATGGATATGATGGATATGGGATAGAAGATGTAAGGTTTTGAGGTTAGGAGCAAAGTCTACTCATAAAATGATAGAATCTGAGATCGAGTTACCCGATGCTGAGAACGAGGACAGTGGCTGCGAAACATGTGTTGATGAGATATTTGAGGAAGTTGAGCTGGTGGCTGTTAGTCCTGCAATTTCATCATAGCCATCACCCGAATCACCAGTGTCAGTCTCCGAATCAGAAATAACAATAATTTCCTCCTTCTCCATCCCCGTGGCAGCTTGCGCTTGCGGTTGAGATTGATTTTGGTGTTTACGAGGTGATGAAGGAGGAGAAGGTAATTGATCCCTCATCAGCTCATCAAATGTCTCATCATCATCCACCTCACTATCACTATCATATTCATGTTGACTGCTCTCCATCATTCGTCTCTCGGCCAATCGTCTCTGCACTGCCATCTTCTCATTCCTCCTCTCATTCGCTCTCTCTTTTTCAGCCACCTCATCGTCATCCTCATCATTTTCATTAATTTCCTCACCACAAGGATCAAGTGCTCTCACATTGAATTTTAAATCCTCATCCTTCCAACTAGGGGCCTTGCGCCAACTAGGTAACATACCCATTGGACGACCCAAAGTAGGTCTTTGATATCTGAACAAAGTTTCCGAATGGTTTTTGGGGAGTGGCTCATATCGGTCGTCCCACTCGATGCCGGTTTTGCATTTGAAGATTGCTTTGAAGTCCGAGAAGGCTTCGGAGAAGACTTTGGCTAAAAAGAACTTAGTAATTTGTTGATTGTGATAAGAGAGAGAACGGAGGCGAGAAGGCAAGGTGATGGGGTTGTTGACAAAAGGATAGAGAAGGCTTACGACGACATTCATCTCGAAGATAACAAGGGCTTTGATAGGCAGTTGTGAGTTTTGCTCCCGCCATATAGGTACTGGGTTGAGCATTGGATGCAAAGAGGTAAACGGTATATTTCTGATTTTTGTTTTTGCCATGCACGAGGACGCGCGTGAGGACGACTTTGTATTCGAAATCTGTTTGATCGGTGTAAACGTGATGGAGTCCTATCTCCATGATTAGACTCTCCTCTCATCAGCATTGAATATAACAAGCAAACAAGAAGTCAAAGAAGACACTATATTTGGGGGCACATTAAGAAAAAATCACGTACGGTTGTCACATAATTCCTCACAGGCTTTCACACCCTCCTCAAATCTTTGTCGATATTTTATCTTCTGATCCTCGGTATGATGCAAGCGACGGATTACTCGCCCAAGCGTATAACCTGTGACGGCGAGTTTCTTTTTCTTGTTCAATTTTGACGTGAGGCAGTCTACTAACCAGTCGATAACGATTATATGGCATCTTTTACCCATCGACATTGCTTTGCAGACTATACCACAGGCCACTGCGTTAGCATTCTGTACTTTTCCACGAGTCCGATAATCAGAATGGACAATATTGAGGATGGTTGGCGTACCCTGCACACTCTTCTTCTTATATTCCTTAATAGTAACAATAAGATGCGTAGTATATCCATCCACCTCCGTCGCATACTCTCCCCCATGAACTCGAATCCATTTGCTGATTTTCTCATAGTTCCATTGTTGCTCAGCATTAGGGCCAGGATGTTCGGCTATAAAATCTCCTGCAAGAGACATTTTGCAGCCGCTGAAAATTGGTTTCATGGCGCCATTGCTGTAGGAATTCTTGGTGCGTTTGCTTATGGATGGCGTTGGGTGCGGTATTTTTTGTGATTTGCTGGAGGTTTTGGAGGTGTGAGGGCGAATGCGTGGCATGGTTGTGGTTGATGGGAGGTGTGGCTTGATGTGCTCTAGGAAGGTGTTAGTGTATTTTGAGGCGGCAGTTGAAGATCTTCTAGCTACAAGAGAGGGTGCATTGTGATTGCCAATCGACAGCCAAGGAGAATGTTCCTCAAGAGTGTTGATGATGGATGTACCACAGCTTATCATGTGTGTGAGTACCCTAGACATGGTTCAAAATCACAGCAAGAGTGTTGAAACAAGACACTATGGTGTCATGTCCTCAATATGCTGTGAACCCAAGAGCTCAGTGAAGCTACCTATAATGTTCATAGGAAAAAAAGTACCTCGCTTAATCAAAAATGACAAATTCTGCCCAAAATCAAACATGATGAAGTGAGGATGTTGATGGATGAAAGACAAAATCCCGAGCAGAATGTGAGCGTTGAAAGTGATTTGAAGGGTAAATCCATTAAGATATACAAATAAAAGACAGCAGATGCGAAAGAGGAACTTACGATAATACTGCGCCTTGATGCTCAAGAACTTATAGTGTTTAACGGGCTGATCGAGTTGAGGATGAAGTGGAGTTGTGATTTGATAGGCAGAGAGTAAGATACTAAGTGCCAGGCAAAGGCTGAGTAGGAAGCACTCGAAGATGGGAAGAAGGTAGAACTCAAATCACGTAAGGTAAACCAAATAACTAATGATGAGGCCACCGTGATCGAAAAATCAGGGTAAGAATATGAGAGGCAAAATAGCAATGTGAAAATGAGTAGGTATTGGTTGTAAGTTGGGTCTAGAAATTTGATATCGAAGTGGGGCGCGAGACAAAAGTATTGAATATGCTTCGAGACTAGAGAAGTAATTGCAATCGCGAATGGGACAATTCATTGGCCCGAACACTAATGAGGACGAGATAACTCCGAAAGATTGTATCGATAGGGGAATAGTTGGAAGAAATATGTTAAATAAAACCAGCTGACCTCTAAATGTAGTACTGGAGATACGTATTGTGCTAGTAGATTGGAGTTTATTGAAAATGGAGGCTTTCGGTGTCAAGTATATCCAATTTTCAAAAGTGAGAATGTTCTCGGTTGGGGTTGAGACAAATAGGGGAGCAACTGATGTTGGTATGAAGTGTTGTGAAAAGTGCCAATGCAACTCCAAGCAGTCACCCTTTCCAAGGCGAAAAGCAACACCCGTTGAAAATAGTACGTCCGGCAACATATCCTGCGTTTAACAGATCGACTTTTCACAAAGACTAGTCATTAATCATTATCTACCACCCAAGATCGTGCCATACTCCTCGATCCTGTCTACCTAACGCTCTTTGCTTCCTTAATGAAAGCTTTGATCCTCTCAATACTCTGAGCGCCATTTACCTCTACGCCGCTACTGACGTCGACACCGATGATCCGATCACCTACATCACCCACTGATCGCACAGCTTCTGCCACGTTTTCGGCATTCAATCCGCCAGCAAGAATGACTCTAAGACCTTGATCTTTTGTCAACGTAGCCTGTACCTCTGTCACATCCAATTTTTGCCCAGAGCCTCCTGATGCCGAGTCTAGCAGAGGAACGCTATGGTAACCTCTTCTCCCCAGACCAGCCTGACCAGGTTTGAAGCTTCGAATGACAGGAACTGGTATTAAATTTGCCCATTCCAATGGTTCGTCACCGTGCAGCTGCACTATGTCTAAATCATATGCCTTCTGCAGCTCCAAAACCTCTTCTAGAGGTTGATTTTGGAAAACGCCGACTAACAAAGGCCGATGACTCGAAACATTTGATGCTGAATTACTGAAGAAATCCGATGCTTGGTTACTCACTCGGTCACTAACGGCCGTCCCAGTCGTCTGCTGAGCTTGATGGACAGCCCTAGAAATAGCAATTGCATCTTTGTACGAAACATGTCGACCTCTACCAGGGACAAGAATCATCCCGATCAAATCCGCACCAGCTTTTATAGCTTCTGTTGCAGTCTCAGCATTTCTTGTTCCACAAATCTTTACAAGTAAGCTACCGCTTGCAGATTTGTTGAGGATACTTGAGCCTCCAAGTAATTCCCGAATGAAAAGGGCTGTATCTTTGGCTCGCATGAGGGCCTCGCCCACAAGAACTGCACCTACACCATTCTTCTGGTATGCTTCTACATCTTTGGGGCTGGAAATACCACTAAGTGCGCATACGATAGTTTCTTTTGGAACTTGGTTGAGGAGACGACTTGTAGTATCAAGATCTACTTCAAAACTTGTCAAATTCCGGTTGTTCACACCAATGACTTTTGCGCCAAGGTTAACGGCTATGGTCATTTCTTCTGGTGTATTGACCTCCACTAAAGGCTCCATTCCAAGCGACACGGAATAGTGATACAAGCGGGTCAAAGTTTCTTCATCTAGCATCTTGACGATGAGTAAAACAGTATCGGCACCAGCTAATCTAGCTTCTAATATTTGGTACTCTTCAAAAATAAATTCTTTCCGTAAAACAGCAGGTCGATTTGGCATGCCTTCAAGAGCCTGTCGTACAGCTCGCAGATCGTCGATGCTCCCCTTGAACCACTCTGGCTCGGTCAGAACGGAGATCACACTTGCACCAGCTAGAGCATATGTTCTAGCTTGAGCTGGAGCACACGCAGATAAAGAGATGACACCCTTTGAAGGAGATGCTCGTTTGATTTCGGCCATGAGTGACAACGGAAACGGTGATTCGCGGAGACGTTGAACAAAGGGAACAAGAGGAGGAGCAATATCGAGCTCATAAGCGGCTTGGAGATCTGAGGGTCGTTGGGATGGAACTTCTTTCTGTGCAGAAACTGCGGCCTTGCGATGCGCGAAAATTTTATCCAATATATTCTCTTTCTTGGTACTAGTGGAAACTGACCTGGAGACTGGCGCCGCACTCTCCGCATCCTCCTTTTGTAAACGTTCATTCTCTACCCAGGTGCCACCCCGCATCTTCAAGAAGTTCCTGAGCATGACTCGGCCTTCAGCAGTCAAGATACTTTCAGGATGGAATTGTACAGCTTCTAAGACGTATTCTTTGTGTCTAACGCCCATTATTACACCTTTTCCTCCACCAACGTCGGCCTCGATCCAGGATGATACCTCCAGACTTTCGGGCATAGTCGGATGCGTGCCAGCAAGGGAATGATATCGTGTAACCGGTAAGTCTTGCGGTAGACTTGCATATAATCCTTTCGAATCGTGTCGCAGTGGCGATGTTTTGCCGTGCAAGATCTCTCCAGCAAATATAACCTCTCCCCCGTATACGTCCAATATGCACTGCCTGGGTATATGTTCAGTAATGGCTCACTCAATTATTTGCCCATTACTCACTGTCCCATGCAGACTCCAAACACAGGTATCTTGCCTGCAAAGTATTTGATGGCATCTCTACTAACACCAGAGTCTGTTTTTGGATGACCTGGACCTGGACTTATCACCAATTGAGTAGGGTTGAGGGCAATAAGATCCTCGACGCTAAGTTCATCGTTTCGGTAGACGGTCACTGTTGCACCCTCAAGAACGAGGTATTGGTACACATTCCAGGAGAATGAGTCGAAGTTATCGATCAGAATCACATTTGAAGCAGATGAGAGCGGGGGAGCTGGCTCGGGCTGGTGGGGAGAATAATCGATTAAGTCTGCGGAAGGCATTCTGAAACTCCTTTCCTCTTTCTTAGATCTGAACAGATGAATGAATGTGATACAATATAGATTATAAAAAAGAGAAGCCTTGAAAATGACAGCAGTTTTACGGTAAAAGAGGGAAAGGTGGTTATGTTGTACTTTCTCTGTTCTTTGTCATTTTAGATGTTCATGAGTCAAAGGCTCCTCTTTTTTTTCGGATGTTGGATGTGGATTTGATGATGGTGGGGAGATGCAGTAGGTGTTAGTAGTTATTAGGTGCTAAGGTAAGATAGATAAATACCTAGATGCTCTCTCCGTAGTCTCTAGGGTGATAAACCCTGTAAAAATAAAAATAAAGCTTCACCTGAAAAGGCTGAAATCGCCAAAATCCGCAATCTAGCGAAGGAAGAAAGTTGATCGTGACAAGGCGCGTCAACCAAAAACTTCAAGTAAACGGTTTCAGTTTCTGGATTGTTTATTTTGGATCTCTCGCAAAAGAAGACACTAGGTAATTCAATTGAGACTCAATTTTCTCATGCTTTATGCTTCGAACAGCACTTTATCACAAATCTTGGCTCATTGAGCTTGGGTAGGTAGATATGGTCCCAGTCGCAGAGGCTAGCTATTTTCCTGATCTGGGTAAATGTTTGAAAGGAGAAGAAATATTGATGTAAGTGAAGCTTCATGAAATTGAGCTCCATGTACATCCTACTGATATCTTTATAGCTCTTGGGAGACGGCCTTCTTTGCTCTTTTGAATATTCAAGAAAGCGGAGCCCGATCTACACTTGAGAAATTCTTCAAAGAGTCCAGAGTATTATCTTTACTTTCCAATCCTATCGATATCTTTCCGGAGCCCACCACTAAGACCAAATCCGAATTCCAATCCAAGCTTAGTCCGATCAACGCCGACCATTCCTCCGCAGATTATGACGTTAAGAAGGTATCCGAAGATGCACTATGGTTGAGTGGGACAGCTGAAATCGACGAGGTTTCCGCTCTACGAATAGTGGTTCAAGAACATCAGTCTCGGGCATATGCGCAACTTTTGGGAAAACTCTCCGAGGAAGAATTGATCAGTCTCCAGGATGCCTTTGGCAACAAAAGATCTACAAATTTACTTTCCGCTGGATCACTTATTGGCACACAAGCGGAGGTTGCGCCGACTGAAGAGGAAAGCCAGGGAAATCGACGCGTGCGCATGCTGAGCATTTACCTCTCAGAAAGGCGCTTTTTTTGGAAATGTCTCACGTTGATAATTCAACGACCTCGATTTTCACCCACACCGAGTTCCTCACCAGGCGATTGGTACGAGGGTCTGCATACAGAAGTGTTAGGCAGGTGGAAGAGCTTGGGTGCCTCTCCGCATCGTATGGTGGAACTGGTTCAAACTATCGATGCGGGACTTACAAAATTGTTCAACGAGAGTGGTAGTGAATGGTCCTTGGAGGGTGATGGACGTGAAGAGCTCGAGATTGAATGGGGAAGCAATCAGATTGTTGAGGCAACGCACATGATGGAGACAATATTCTATTATATATTTTCCTCTGATAATGCGCCTGAAATTTCCCACTCGGATCTGGTACTTGAATGGTTTACCTTCGTTAGCAAGTTCAAATTTCTGGATGATGTGGGGATGGTACGATTATTACTCATCTTTCTTATGTGCTACTTACTGACGACACATTACAGCTTCATCCAACTCTTCAGGCCGTGGCTGTGCCCTTGCAGACTATCACCGCCATTATAACCGCCACCATACTTAACGTCGATAGTTGTTTGATATTCCTGGAGAAGCCTACTAAAGATTTAGCTCCTGCTGATTTGGCTGAGGGTCCAGATAAACCATGGTTGTTGAACCAAGCTGTAATCGTTAAACTACATCAAATACTCACAGATGCAGCCTCTGCGAGTTACATGACAGCTGGCCCGGCAGTCCTCGCATGGAGCGTTATTTTAAAACACGTTAAAGCCCGTGTCGCTGTTCGAGAGAGACTCCAGCGTCGACGACATGAGGGGCTCGGTGATGACGATGAAGATATTGATGAACCATTGCCAATTGGAACAGAACCCCTCCTTGCCCCAGATGCTTATGAGGAGGTGCTGAAACAAATCAAAATCACGGATGAGCTAGTTGATTATCTAGCTTTAAGCGCTGTCAACGAGAGTCGCGTGTTCGAAGTTCTAGCAAACATTTCACGAACGCTTGGCGATAACTACGAGGCACCTTTCCTGCCACAACTTGGTTCAAGCTTGAGAATCGCGATACTGGAGCTCATGAAGGCAAGTGCGCCCGATATTGGCTACAATGGCCCAACACTACAAACGATTCTTTCTGTTGTAGATGGAGGACAGCAGTACTGGGATTTTGTTGATCTACGAAATGCTGGAAACGAGTTTGAGCCTATAACCTATTTTGTCACAGACGTTGGCTTGATTCGTGGGTTCTGGCAAAATGCTAGTATGCGCTATCCTTGGGAAGCTTCTCCCTTTCAAAACCTCGTTCACTCTCTGGCATATCTGCACGTTGTTGACGGAGGTACTCATAAGTCAATATTCTCATTGCTAGACTCTCGATCGACCTTCACATACCCATTACCATATCAGTTCGTAGATTATGAAACGATCCAGGAGGAAGATAACAACAATTCTGTTCAGCTAACTAGCGATCTTCCAATGTTTGAGCCCCGAGGGCGCGGGAACAATAGAAGGCTTCTGATAGGAAATGGAAACCAAGGAGAGGCACTGGTATTGGCAGCGGCCAATGGGGACCTACGAATTCCAGCGGGAACAGCTGGTGTTATGATAGTTGAAAACGATCCGAAAGTGGTTTACCTAACCCACACTTATCGTGGTATGAGGTATTTTGGGAAATTGCTAGAAACATATTTGGTAGCGGGGGAAGAATATGACGCTATTACCGGTATGGAAGCGGACGCTGAGACTGTTGCTGACATTATTGGAACATTTGCGACGGGGCTCCTAGCCTTATCCAGGTCGGGAAAAGAGGCGCATGAAATCCAAAATGCTGCTACGGAATTCTTCCAGACTGCTAGTTCGGCGTTGAATCGGAACAGAGATATTACTCTTGTAATATCTGCTATCTTCGAGCAAGAATTGCAAAGGCAATCGAGCGAATCTAGTTCTGATGCATCCCTCGATATTTTGATCAGCTGCGTACAATATTTTCATGCGTTGCTCCTTTTTTCGCCTGGAAGAGTCTGGCCTCTTATTGGTCGTAGTGGCCTTCTATCCAACGATCGTGGTGACGGTGGTAAACTTTCCAATATTGTCGGAAGAATCGAAGTTATATCGGGGAGATACACATTCCTCGTATCATGCACTCGACTTTTTGAGGGGCTGGTCAATGATTTCGCAGTAAATGCTATCGCGAGGAACCGCAAGGCAACCACGGCTTCAGCTCGATTTAGCCAGGTCCAGGAACATAATGTTCGAGTTGCCGATAAAGTCCTCTCCGAGGTTCTCCTTTACTTTACTCGATACCTGACGGAGGTACTGGAAAGTTCATACACATGGCAGTTTGATTTACCAGGCGATCAACTTCAGCTCACATGTACCATTATGTCTTCTTTTGATAAAATGCTTACCCTTGCCTTTGGGATCCAGGGTGATCCAGAAGAACAACCACTGTCGGACTCTCGTTTAAAGTCAGAAATCGGCAGGGATCCCAAAGAAAATCGGGATTCCCCTGTTCCAATTATGGGGGCGTTAAGGCCAGCTGCCATGCACATCGTTGATAGCTTTTTATCCAAGTCCTCTGGCCCTATGCGGTTCGGACCAATTCTCCGGACCTTGTTCTATGGCTTCAATACTCGTCCCACTACGCTGTATGCAAATCGATCACGGTTAGTGACTGAGGGCGTAAAATCAGCACTTCAATTTTCCAGAAAACTTCTTCGAATCAGTGCATTATTAGAAAAACCATCACACTTGGAGACACAGCTATTCACCGCTGCACCTCTTATCGCAAGACTTTATGCTGTCAATGATAGCTATCGCACACCCGTCATAAAGTTGTTTGAAGCGATGATAGTCAGCGCTTCGAGTAGCACCCAGGAGCCTCCTTCACTTCTAGGTTACCTTGGTGCGAAGACCTCAAGGAATTTCCTTAATGTCGTGTCGGATCTGGATACCCCTTTAATTAGAGATGAAAATGTTGGATCAATATGGCATTTTCTGTCAATGATAATGAGCAGTCGGCAACAATGGTTTGCAAATTATGTTCTCACAGGTAAGACACCAAGAGATGCGTTAAAGAAGAAGAAACCAGACGTTACCATATTTTCATCGCCTAAACCTCTACTTCTCACGGCCCTTGACAATCTCTCACAAATTGGAGATATTCCGGATCCGAAGGCTTTGATGATGTTAGAATTCGTCTCTTTGGCACAAAACTTCTGGCCTTGGACTATGTACGAGCTAGGAAATAGTACGGGCTTCATTAGTTATCTCTCTAACTACATCAAGACCTTGAAACCGATTCAAGTTTCGTCTAGAAGCGAGCCAGCAATCAAGGCTTGTTATCGTACTCGAATTGCGGCTTACATTGCAGAAATTCTTGCTATGCACCTCTTTCATTCTAGACAAACTGGCAAGCCTTCAATTGCCAAAGATCTTATGCCAAACCTAGACTATTACTACGAAAATGCAGGAGGCCTTCCGACCTACAATGCATCTCTCCATGGCAATCTCAAGCAAAATTTCGATTCCAAGTATGCTAGATCTAGTCTTCAGAGTTTTAAGAAAACAGATCTGGAGGATCGCAAATATGGGGAGAACTACTTTTACGATCTACAACTACTCGACCAAATGCTCCATTCCGACGTAGCTTGGACAGGGCGCAGAAATGACGGGTATAAGTTCGAACTCGCGAGTGCTAACATCAACTTATCATTGGTTGATGCTCAGGTGGTAAGTAAGCTAATCTTGAATTCCAGCTTCGATCTAACAACTTTAGGCTCTTTTAAACGCCTGGAAAATTCTTGCTGTTGAGCTAAGTAGCAATATAACCAAGGAATCTGGCCAACAAGAGACCCTTGTTGATGCTGCTCTCAAGTGCCTTGCCTCAAATGCACAGAGCCCACAAGCAGAAAAATTATATTCTCGATTACTCCGAACAAGGGCAGACTTCGCTCTTGTTGCCTGCCAACGATTGATAGAAGCAAACCCAAGAAGCTCCAAAATGAAGGGACTTCTAAAGATAATCTGGGAGACGATCCGGAGTTTGGATAAAAGCTTTGAGCTTGCAATTGCAACAGGGGATGGACCGTATTATAGACTACTTCTCAAAATCTTATTCTTGGCTCTGCGAGTACATGCCGAAGATTATAATCTGAGAGGTATTGACCTCACAGCATCGACACGAAAACAACAAGTGGAATCGGAATCATCAGCAGACATTTATATGATCGTCGATATTATAGAGCGTGTAGTTGCCGGGGGGCTACTTGACCTGGCTCATATCATTCATGAAAACCATGAAGAGTCATCTCCAGAAGACATCGCGCTCGTTACAGGCATTCTGCAAGCCAGTCTTCGGATACCGGGCATCGAATTTCACCACGCACAAATCGTGGCTCTCATGGCAAATTGCAACACCCCTCGTATAGCTACTACACTATTCTCTTGGTCTGACCAAATCGCAATAAATGGCGATCCTGTCTATGGTGAGCTGAGCATCCTCTTCCTCTTAGAACTCTCAAGTATGGCCACCATGGCCGAACAGCTAGCCGTGGATGGCGTCCTTGGCCAGGTCAGCTCCGCAAGCATAACCACTTATCTCCGTCGCGGCAATGTTTCTCCATTCGCTGATGGTGCCGGTATCCAACGCTGTTACAACATTTGGGTTCGCGGTATCCTTCCTTTAATTCTGAATCTTCTCCATTCAGTCGGCGCATCCATCGCTACAGAAGTCGCGCTCTTCATGAACCAATTTCCCCACCTCCTTGCTCAATCCGCAGCCGCTTTCGACGCACCTGAGTCCTCACGGACAACTTCGATATCGCAACCAAGACACATTTGTTTATCAATGGCCTCGGAAGTTCACTCGATAGCTCTTATTGTCTATATTCTCAACGGGTTTAGAGAACAGTTGCTAGGAATCCAAGTTGTCCCGGAGGTAGATTGGGATCTTAGCGCAGTAGCAGAGAATGTAGAATTTTGGCTGGGGAGTCGAGCAGTATTGAGAGAGAGGATTGTCCCCATGGGTGATAAGGAATTGGAGTGGAGGGGGAAGAAGATAGAATCTGGAAAGGCAGGAGCCCTGGGCTGCTTGGATCGGCTAGAGGAGAAAGTGGTTATTGAGATGATGGGGGTTAGAGATGTGATTACTGGAGGCGATCCCTGAGTGGAAATGGAAGGACGGAATGGGTGTAAATGATGGATGAGTTGTGGCGTTCGTTTTGCTTTGGGGAGATGGGCTGAATACTAGAACATGCGCAATTAATTTTTGTATCAATGGAAGGAAGGATCAGGATACGAAGCCTCGAGCTTTGAAAGCGTTTTGCACAGAAAAATGATCTTCGTTAAAAGTTCAGGGAAACATTTCCGGCTAATTTGAGGAAAATTCGAAGTCTTTTCCATCATGTAGTATCCACACATATCTTTCCCCCCGAAGATATTTTTTCGTCATTTTATATTCCCGTCATCTGTAATGCAGCATTTATTTTCATATCAATCCTGCCCTCTTGCATCGACCTCAAAATTTTTCCTCAAATATTTATCTTACAACCCCAGTTTGCCCCCCACCTTTCACTATTCACCTCGCCGTACCATAGACCACATCTACCTCGACCCAGGAGGAGGTTGACTCATCATCTGTGCCTGTTGTTCCTGGAATCTCTGACCAATTCTCTCACTTCCCGCCATAAACTTCTGTACACATCGAGAGACGCAACCGGTTTCACGGGCAATGAGGGACTTGGTGGTAAAATCGTCGACGCAGGCATCGAAGCAGTGGGTAACTAGGTTGGAGAACATCTGTGTGGTGGAAAAGAGTTGTTAGTTGGTCTTTGAGTTGGAAAAGTCGAAGCGAGGTATGGGAAAGAAGTGCAGAATTATAGCAGGTGCGAGGACTGCTTATTATATGGGCAGTTTGAGAATATAGTGTCTGAAGACTCCCAGAATATGCCGTGCAGCCTCATTCATAACAAAGTAGGTTCATGAACACCATATGATTTGCACAAAAATTTGGAAGCTCAATGAGAGCTGCGATGATTGATCCAGTGGGCAAGTGAATTAGGGTTAAAGATGACAGATTGAGTGGCGCTCCCAGACTGGCAGGAACAAAGAATGTTGCTTGGCGAACATGGTGAAATATACCAGCCATCCAAACCAAGTAGAATTTTAGACTTCCCCCGCGGACACATGAAGTGCGGCGTGGAGTGTAATGGCCCGTCCCCCATTGTCTCCGGTACATATTCCAGCTTGGGATATTTGCAAGATTGCACAGTTGAGCGTGAAAAATGACAATACATAGAATATCGACTTACGCCCATAAACTCTTTCATTTGCTTCCTTTCCATGCGGCTTTGGAATTCTCTTTGCTCGGCGGGGGTAAGTCTATTTGATTATAGTTAGTAGATCCCAGTTGAAATACGTATGATAGCCAGACAGCTAGAAAGTAGCTAGACAACTAACCCTTCCATGATGATGAATTTTGAATACGTGTGATAGGCACTGATAGAAAGACTTGTCGAGGCTGATGAGGCTGATAAACTTTTCTATGTGTTCCTGGATGGAAGCTATCCAAATTGAATTTTACCAAGGTAGATAAATGACCGGGGCTTATGTTATTGGTCCGTCTACTCATCGGGATCCTGTTAACTTTTATCCGAAGTAGATTGTGGCCCCTGCACAACCTTTTCTTTATTCCCCGGCCCATTGATGTTACTTCTGTAGACGGAACAAACACAGTAAAGAAAAGGAAACGAAAATAATAAACAGAATAACATCATGTATTTTCATTGTCTAGCGATAACAGACGATCCGCCTTACTTGTTTGTCCCTTTTTCTTTTTATAAAATTATATCTGAGGAGCATATTACTTCCCTCTCTCTCTGTAATTCAAGATCATCTTCTGGAGAAAGCTAGAAAAGGTTCACTATCCCACTATCCTTCCTACGTACTTCCTCACATACCTGAAGCAAACAACAGAACATTGCGCATTACACTCCAAATTGATGCATGAGAGTACAATGCGAAAGGACCAAGCAATTCTGTCTGTTGGTAGCCTATGATTTTGTTTCTCTTCAATGACTACTAGGTACTGGTAGCCAGGTAGTTGACTTCAACTCTGCCCCGCCTGAAACTACGGAACTCACAAGTACACACCAGTACGTATCAATCAGTATCGGAACTCCTCTATGTCGCCTACATTAAGGGATTCGTCCTACTTCTACCAATCCACTTGTCCTCGTTGCTCTGGATATGACTTGGAGTAGTATCAATCGTGTTTTGCCAGCTCATGTATTGACATTTTTCATAGGTATCTAGAAAATGATCAAACATTTCATCTAATTATAGATGCACTAGCCATGAGTCCATGGCCACCCCCCTTCCCTTCAATGAGACCTTGGAGACCGACCTTGGAGACCGACCTTGGAGACCGACCTTGGAGACCGACCTTGGAGACCATCAGCCAAAAAGTCCAGATCTTGTTCGGTACCTAACCTTCTCGAAACAGGGTGAATCATTGGTAGATCAATTAGCACTTAGTTTTTTTCAAGAAGTATTGATTGCTTTTATAGGATGTTCATTAATCTGATTTTAATTTCTAAGAATATCTATATTGAAATAAAACTTGGAAGTAACCTCACAACAAGATGATACCTATTCTATTGTCAAAGCATACCTTACTTGGTATACCTATTTGACTCGTACGCAGTACCTGAACTAGAACTTGGATTTGAATTTGAGCTTATGATTGATTAACAGTAGACTCGAGTAAACAAAATAAACAAAACCCTGAAATCTAAGTTGGAAGTCTGAAGTCTGAAATCTGAAGTTTGAACTCTGACGTCCTCCATCCTCCATCCTCCATCCTCCATCCTCCATCCTCCATTCTCCATTCCCCGTCCTCCGTCCTCTCTTGAAATATTGTCCTGTCTCTCATTTTCATGGTCAGCAGGGCAAATTTAAGTGAAAGCTTGCAACACCACTATAGACACACACTACTGTACGGTCACTGTACACTCAAATGTGCTGTGCTGCACTGCACTTTTAGCGTCATTCGTTAAGTTTCTACAGTCCGAACTCTTTCACCCCAAATCAACTACCATCTTTCTTAGACATTTTCAACAATTACCAGCAACTTTACAGAAATTTGTCCCATAGGACTTGATTGTTTTGCTAACAACTTGACCCTCCGATTTCGATCTTAACTCCTATTGCTTTCGCGGAACTCGAAACCTTCAATATCTATCGACTGTACTTGCTCAAGAAGACCTGGTCGCGTCGCAAGTGGGAATAAGCCCCTCCAGCAACACATCCCCCACAAACAATCATTGTACCCACATGAACAATATCTACCATTGCTGTCGCATGCATCCTCATTCTCAACTGCGACTTATCGGAATCTCATTAGAAGATTCTCTATATCGCTTAGCACGTTCGGATCAACAATATACATAGTTCCACTGAGTGCGAAAAGTGAACTTTGCTGCCTGTGTCTTTTCTCGGGAGAGTTGGACCTCTCGGTCCTTTGCGACGTCCATTTTCGCTGGAGGTACCATTCATATATCATCTGGACGATTAGCAGACCTAATCGAACAGCTCCAGTATGTTGTCTGATCATCCTACCTCTTCAACTACACAACAAGCCTTTTCGAGCCCTCAGCCAGCGCCCATACAACAAGCATCGCCCCCAACAAAGCAGAGTTTAAAGAGCTGGTGGAAAACATTTAGGCCTCCTGCAAAGACTCAGGAATCAAGTGCTGGTGAGGACCCCTGAATTTCCTTTTGTTGAGAGCCCAGAAAAATAGTGAAGATCTGGGACATGCTCTCCATATAATTTTGCCCCATCTGCCAAGAAATTTATACCCTCTATTCAAGAAGAGCCCGATGGACAACGTTACATCCATAGTAGATGGTATTCCAGGAATTGCAACGGATACAAGGTCAAAAGCAGCAGAGGCGTCAACAACGACAAACATATTTCGTATTTTCAACAATAAATACACAGTCTCTTCAAGGGTATATGTCTGGTAGTGTGGTTTAGCCATCACCTTCCAGTATAGTACCTGGAAAAAGAATAGTTTTGGATAGTTCTCAACCCGGTTCCAACCGCGAAACCATGCAAACACAGTCAACCAGTGGCATGAGATGAAGAAAGGCATGAGACGAAGAAAGAGAAGCTCTCTCAGCAGGAATCCGTTGAAGGATATAGCAGCTAAGCAGCGTTCCAAAATCCGTATTCATAACTACCATCGAAATCATACAAACATGCAAATGACCCCTCAAAGCAGAAGTCAAAGCAGAAGTCAGAGCAGAAGTCAACAATTGTTAAGTTTTTGTCGCTATCGCCACATCAAATTCATATTTTGGAAATCGGGCAACAGTGGTAAAATCAAAACTGACCAAAGAAATTCCAGAATCCCAACCAACAGGTATATTTGGGGTACCTTTGCGACAGAGCATTGCATATGCAAATGTGGCTATTTCCCTTGTCGATGCCCAAGGGCAGAGCTACATATATGGTTATGTACCAATAGTGGTTGCAAAGTGTGGAGTTTATTTGAAAGAGAAAGGTGAGTTTTGTGCGTTGATGTTTTATTTATCCTTATACTTTGCAATGGCTAAACCGAACAGCAACTAATGTCGAGGGAATCTTTCGTCTAAGTGGCTCGGAAAAGCGCATCAAAGAACTGAAAACCATCTTTGATTCTCCTGATCGATATGGAAAAGGTCTTGATTGGGCTGGGTACACAGTTCATGATGCGGCAAACGTTTTACGCAGATATCTTAATTTATTACCAGAACCAATTGTTCCGCTTGATCTATATTCTCGATTTAGAGAGCCTTTAAGAGGTCATACTATGGCAGCAGTTGGCGACAGTGATGGGAGCCCGCAATTTTCCGATAATTTCGATGTTAATAAGGCCATCATTACTTATCAGCAACTCATTACCGAATTGCCTCCTTTGAACCGCCAGCTATTGTTATACATCCTTGATCTATTGGCTGTGTTTGCCTCAAAATCGGATGAAAATCGAATGACGGCCGTCAACCTCGCAGCCATCTTCCAGCCTGGTATGCTTTCACATCCTGAACACGATATGGCACCTGCAGAGTATCGTCTTAGTCAAGACGTACTAATTTTCTTGATTGAGAATCAAGATCATTTCCTAATTGGTATGAGAGGCACGGCAGCAGATGAGCAAACTCTGAATGAGGTTGAAAATGGTGGTACCCCTCCCCCAGGAACTCCCACCACACCTAGTAGATCGAAGGGCACAATTGGTAGATCCGCCTCAAATGCCAGCGCTGGAGCTGATAGTGTGCGCAAGTTTGGTGGCATTCGACGTAACGTGTCTGTCTCCTCTCATCATTCACGGCAGTCAAATGGTGCCCCTAGTCCGGCAAGCCCAGCTTATGGCGTTACGCTCACTTCTTCACCTAGTGGGGGCATCCATCGAAGCAATACTGTACCTTCTAAGAAGTCCCCTGGATTGCCATCTTCTCGAATGAATAAAAACTCTGGGCCACCCTCACCAACCCCGGCAGGGTTAACAACCAACCGCTCTAACCGACCCCGAGCTCTTTCACCCGGGCTCCCTACATCTTCTGCCCATCTGTTACCGTCATCTCCGAGCTTAGCACTCAATACCGCTACTGAATCAAGTCTGGCCGATACAGCTCACATTGTGACCAGTCAAGAGCGGCTGATCCCCGAATCTAACGAGCGCTCTTCTGAAGTCTCTACTCCCTCTAGAATTGTCTCAAACCTGTTCCAGCGATCGCCAACGGAGGGTGCCGACAAGCGACAACCTAACAAACTAAGGAAAAAACGTCTTCCAGGAAGCTCAAATCCTAGCGCTCAGAGTTCGACAAATTCTTTGGATGGGCGCTCATCGTCAGTTTCGCCCGGCCTCCATGCATCTCGCGTCAATCCTGACCACTCGGATCATCCGCGCCTGGAAAACCTCGCAGCTTTAAACCCGATATTATCCAACACCCAAGCTACACCGCCTGCTATGGACACCCCGCGGGCGGAACAACCTGCTCATTTTACACCCATGCGACCAGAGGATCCACACCATCCGTCAGATAGAACACTAAGGCCCGTCATATCTCCTGTGTCTTCCTTACATTCCCACTCATCTTTCAACGATCAGTCAGATCTTGATCACGGAGAAGATCCAACTCTCGCTGAAGCGAGGGATAAACGTTCATTGTGGCGTATGTCGCGGCGTAGGGATGACTCAAATACACTTGGAGCTGCACTCAGTCCAAAGAAAAACGGGTCGGATAGCGGTGCTGGTGCAAGTTCAAGTTCTGTAGGCAGCTCAAACCGCCCTCGAAAGAGTTTCACTGGTGATACTGTGCCTGTGGCCACCGACTCAGGATTCCCCAGCGCTCATATCTATTCTAGTAATGAAAGTGGATCTATGGCGCTTGAGGAGAGGAGGGGGCCTTTAGGGTGGATCAAGAGCAAGATGCGGGAAAAACGGGATGAAAGCAGGGACAAGGAGGCCGAGCGTGAACGAAATAAGAGTCCACCCGGTGATCGGCCAACTAACATCAGCTCTTCCGCCCTAGCACCACGACGGAAGAGTACAGACGTTAATAGAGGAGAAGAACCTGAACACGTCAACGGCCATGAGCATACACTACCTCGCCCCAATAATAATCCATAATGAGACGGCTAGGCTATTATCACATGATTTCACAGCACATTTTGATTAACATGGAGCCAAAACTAGTACAGCTCTGAAATGCCTGTTGTTTATTGGTTTATAAAGATCGCGGGTCCCAGATCATGACGCGTTTCTCTTCCCGTCTTCTGTTGTTTGCGTGCATTTAATTCTTTTGTGTTTGCGCTTCCAACTGGGACCCATCTTAATAAGTACCAAAGGATTTTAAATGGACGATTGTGGCGGTTCGAGATATGGAATTTGGATTTGGGGTGTGTTTGGGTGCAGTGCCTCGTGGAATCAAGGATTTATCATCCTGTCACGGAGATTCCCCCCTTCGGCGTCCTGTATAGAAGGATGGTATAAAGAAGAAAGGAGAAAGGAGAAAGGGTATAAATGAGACTGCCATGAATTCGATGATTTGATGAATTACTGGCGCTGGGAAAGGAGTTTATGTATCATGAATGCTTTTACGAAAAACAAAAATGAATCGGGATTTTAGCCTTCTGGGCTTTTGGGGAGTGGACAGGTTCTTATAGGGTCATTAGCATGGGGATGAGACGACGAATCCAACGACGATTGGCTTGATATGACTCTTATGATTGGGATGGCTCGGACGAAGGGACGGGTTGGGTTTGGGGAAGAATAGATAGGGAATCACGAATATAAGGAACGGGGAAGATGGACAGAGAACTTTACGCTCTTCCTTTTTTGGTGTTAAGTTCGTCCGTTTGTTTGTGGTGATGGGAGGCGAAGAAGGTGATATTGCGGAGACTAAGATGGGACGAGACGTTCGATTCTTTTGTATGTATTTTTGAAATAATTGTGAATGAGTAAATGGAAGGATCGGGGCTTCTTATATATACATAATGGCTCTGAACCCCCTTTTCCGGGTGAAATGTTGTATGCTTGGCAGAATCGTCATGGGTGAATGCTGCCTGGATGCCCTGAATCACCCGTTCTCGATGCTGCACGTACTCTACTCTGTGGCAAAATTCGGCGTGAACAAGATGGAGAAGAATTTTGAGAAGGGTAAGTAACGAATGACGGGAGAAAAAGGCACCGATCTCGAAAATACCAAAAGTGGAGTATTTGATGGATAGGGAGAGATCTAAGAGGTTCGAAACTTGAGGATAAATATCTTGCGTGCACAGCCGCGTCGCCCTCTCCGTTTTAAATACGGGCTAAGGGCTTGAAGAGGCTTGTGAGAAAAGTTCGCGGAAACGAATATTTGGTTCGAGGAGAAGTAGCGATTTGTCGCGATGGTATTTATAAAGGCGAATGGGTCTAGTAAATATGGATCATCGATGATGGTGTAGTGTGGTGAGCGGTGACAGGATGAATTCTTGACGCGATTGATTTTTCATATGCACAACAACACAGACGAACCGATTTTCCAGAAGTCCCAAGTTCTAAACATGAGATCTACGACGTATTATTACCCTACGGGTGGATAGCGGGGATCTCGAGCCGGATACGAAGGTTGGGATGCGTTTCGTTTCTGGTTGGGCGATGACTTGGAAAAGAAAAGAAAAGAAAAACTTGAGTCAACAAGTGAACAGTCAATCAATGCATTAATCACCTACTAATTAATTAGTTGACACCTGCCTGCATACTTTAACACCTGCATACTTCGTATAATATTCCCCTCGCAACATCTTTTAGCTTTTCAGCCTCGTATTATGTTTTGATTTTCAGAAAAGATCATCGCCATCACACACGGAGGTACATACATACATGCATGTACCGTGAATTCAACAAGAAACGTATAACGTCTCCGAATCTTCTCGTTATCGCTTCGTAAGATCTTCACTTCCTCTGTAGATTGAAATTTATTCTCTCGCCCTCCCACTCACTACCTGCGGATTACCTCGTAGTTACTTGCATTCCTCCTTTATTTTTACTTTACGTACCTACGGATAAGTTAAACGCATAAGCACGGACAAGACATTAATCAAGGACCAAATTTCATTCAAGAAAGGTATGTATGTTGAAATACAACCATTTTATACTACATTTCACCCCTCGAACCCTCGACCTCGCTCACGGATCCATAGAAGGAGGAGCAGTTCCTTGTTCGCAAGCCTTGCTTTGGGCCTTTTGGCTCTTCTTTCCTCAGCATCTTCCCTGGACATTACCCTATATCCTTGCGATGGATCACTCAAAAATAATGCTTGTTTCCCCTTCCCAAGCCCTCTGCCCGAGGTTTTCACAGCACATTGTATTATTTTGCCATTTTCTTGCATCTAATAATCCAGGCACAGCTGGGGCTTTCATTATCGCGACTGGAAGCCCCAGCCGCAGCCGCAGCACTTCTTGGTGAAGAATAAAAATAACAAAAATTTTAAAGCAGGTAGTTAATCAGTCTTCTGGCTCGCTCGCTCCTACCAAACACACTAAAGCACTTCACTTATTAACTCCCATGCTGTTTCCCCCGGGGCTTTCCTTCCTTTCTCCGCATTCATACAGCACTCACTCGTACTGGTACAGAGTACTCATGGCAAAACATAAAAGTCCATCGTAAAGTACCTAGTAGCTATTTATTCGTAGCTACTTTCTGATAGATTCTAGCTACCCAGCCACAGCATAAAGGGCAAGTGATGCCCTGGTGAAAAAATAAAAGGCTAAAACCTTTTTATCTCCTTTCTCTTGTCTTGTTTCAACCCTCAACCCTCATCCTCTCTCTCTCTCTCTTTCTCTCTAACAATCAATCGCTCTATCGTCCTTCATAATAATTCCTTGTCATACATTCAATTGTCTGATAATTCAATCACCATCATCCTTCGTTTCTCCTCTCTTGCTCGCTCTCTTCATTCGTTCTACCTTGAGTGGCATTGCAGCACACTACTGCACCTCATTTACAGGCTTATAGCTGCATTGGCATTCACTTAATTCCCTAATACAATCCTTGGAATTTCTTCTCTGGACCAAGATAACTTGGTTAAGCAATCATGACTTCAGCCGCTAATGGACGGAAGATCCAAGACCTTGAGCAAAAGCTCGGCTCAAGTATTAACACTTCCTTGATGAACAAGACCGATTACTTCCTCAACGAGAAACAAGATATCGAAGCGGACAAACCTCGAAAGTCAGACATGATGCCTTCCATTCGTCAATTCCTCCTAACTCTCATGGTCGTTTCCCTCCTCACCATCACAATCGTTTCTGCCACGACGACGAGCGGGAATCTAGGAAATGTCTCACCTCCTTGTATGGAAGATCAACAAGCTTTCAGGGAATTGTTGGATACTATTGAGCCTGCCATGCTACATGATGTGCTCCATCAACACATGACAGAGAAATATCAACACGGTGTATACGAAGATGATAAGGAAGCTATACAGGCTGTGTACAGGCAGGAACCCGGGGTCGCACACGCCTTGGTTGAGGCAGCAAAGGCAAATGCTATGGTTGAATTGGCCAAGAGACAGGTCGGCTCGAACTCGACGACTACGCAGGCTCCGAGTACGACATCGAGCGCCACTTTGACTACTCTCACTTCCCAGCCGGTCACAACTTCCATTTCCTCAACTTCGGTCTCGGTAGCTCCATCTTCTACATCCGTCACAACCACAGCTGTTGTACCAACCAGCACCTCAGAGAGAACATCTGCAACGACCTCTGCCACCACTCAAGCAGTTTCCCCAACCACGACTCCAAGTTCGACGACTGCACAGATTTCCACATCCTCCCGAGCTGCCACAACTGACGAAACCACATCATCACAAGTATTACCAGCAACAACAAGTACATCAGTCTCAACGCCTACGATAACTACACCAGTCTCCACATCCGCGACAACTACAAGGCCGGGTATGTTCAAAAGCAGGTCGACCCTGCATTCCTTTTCTCCCACTTCCACTTCTGCTTCTACTTTTCTCAACTTTTTTTTTGTGAATTCTACCATTTCTGCTTCCTTTACTACTGTAGTACCTTACGACTCCACGGCTTCGACTGTGGGTTCTCACCCCGCCACGTCGATGTCTTTGAGCTCAAGTTCCATGGTATCGTCTGCGGTTCACATATCTGCAAGTTCAACGATATTCTTGGGGGGTCTCTCCGTAATTCTTAATGCCATAATTTCTAGTTCTACTCCTTTTGGATACCATTCTAGTGCTGTTTCTGTTCTTGATCTCAGTTCTACTGGACGCCCTTCTATGGCTGTGGCTGTTTTTGGTTCCAGTCCTGTTGCATACCCTTCCACGGCTGTATCTGTTTTTGGTTCTAGTTATAGTTCTAGTTATAGTTCTAGTTCTAGCTCTGTTGGATACCCTTCCACAGCTGTGTCATTTTGGGGTTCCAGTTCTCTTGGACATCATACACCTTCATCAATTTCCGTATCTGGTTTAAGTTCTGGTTTTGGAAAATATAGCACTTCCTTGGCTATAACATCCGCTTCTAGTTTCTTTGGATATGACAATCTTTCCGCTGTCTTGCTGCTACCTATTTCCACTTTCATTCGATCTCAGGACAGCTTTACAACCTCAATTTCTAGTACTCTCGTCAATATTCCCAGCAATGTTTTTTCTTCATCGTTTTCAGGCTTAGACTTATACTCGGATTCAGGATCGACTGCTACCTCTATCTCTCGGTCTCAGACCTCTGCATCAGCTCAAGTCGCTACACCTACAACGGGAGCGTCCACCACCTCCTCTCGAGCTTCTGAAGCAACATCAGGTACTATTGCTCCTGTCTCCGTTACTACAGGAGCTTCTACAAGTGAGGCCCCTCTACCTACGGGGGAGTCAACTTCTCAGGTCACTGCCTCTGAAGCTTCTGCAAGTGAGGCCCCCCTTCCTACCGGGGAGTCGACTTCTCAGGCCACTGCCTCTGGAGCCACTACCTTGGCTGGTGCCTCAAGTTCTTCAGCAGAGGTTTCCGGCTCTGTTGTCTTGTCTACATTGGCTAGTTCTGCGAGCTCTACTGTTACTAGCTCTGTTTCTATCGTGGTTGTTACGTCAAGATCTACTAACATGGCTGAATCTACAGCTTCTCCTGCAGACGATACTCCTACAAAAGCCGCCGTAACAACTAGCAGCAGCACATCGACCCGAGTCTTCACTACAACCTTACCCAATGGTTCCCTTTCCACTGTCACAGCTGTCACAGTAGTTCCTGCTGTAATCACTGGCGGGTCGTCCGGTGGATCCTCCACCACCTCATCTGGGAAAGCATCATTGCAAACCAACAGTGCCGGAAAGAACAACATGGGAATCAACATGGTTCTGGGTGCCTTCGGAATGATGGTGGTCGGTGCATTATAGGCCAAAAAGTCGGGACGAACACTTCGAATTAGAACTCTTTTGATATTTACACATTTGCATAGCGTTCGGTGTCATGTTTCTACGGTCACAGGTTTATTCAACTATCAGTCGCTCATTCTTACGACCGTAACGGCTTGGCACGAATATATCATCACTCTTTTATTAACGGACTTTGGATCGGCGCATAGATTGGAATAGCCCCATCATGGGGCATGTGCTTTGCTTCGCATCATTGCTGGGAAAAATTGGTTAGGAACTGAACAGTGTTATACTTTACATGGAAGACTCGTGGAGACGGATTATTGGTAGTGGACAAAATGAATATATGTTAATACGGTGGAAGGAAGTAGCAAACTGGAGCATCGTGGTGAAGGGGTTTTGGAAAAACGATAATGCACCTGGGTACACCTGCAAAACTAGTAACTGCCTTATGTTTAACCTGAATCGTTAAGTGTGAGAACTTATACGTGCCCGTGGATTCCCATCATTTTCCCTTGCTCGAGTGTTTCGGAATTTATTAGTTTCAGGTTATCTCATCCTTAAACCCTCTAATTCAATTATATTTTAGTATTATTTTACGATAAATATATAGATTTTTATTAACTATTGTATAATTAGAATTTAAGTATAATTCGGTCAATTAGAATTCGAGGAAGGATAATCTTTTAAAGAGCTTGAGAACTTTTGATTATTTTTTTGATAAGGAATTATTTTTGTTTGATGAAAACATTTCAATGATATATTTTATCTTTTTAAATTCAATTTATCAAAAAAACAATCATACTATTCAAAAAAATTTATTTTTTTAATATATTCTAAATCTATTTAAGTTTTTTAAATTATATAATTAACTTAAAAGATTAAACTTTTTTTTTTTCTTTTGTTATATATTATCAATTATAATAATCTTAATATTTATATACCAGGGGCCTACGCCCCCGGACCTATGATTTTTCGAGAAAGTCTAGTAAAAATTTAAGTTTTAAAAAGTTTATAATAAATTTAAATATTGGATATACATATTAGAGTGTAGATAAAATATCAACTTGTTTTTGATAGTTGAAAATAAAATATCATTATTATAAATATTATCTATTATTATTATTATTATTATTATTATTATTATTATTATTATTATTATTATTATTATTATTATTATTATTATTATTATTATTATTATTATTATTATTATTATTATTATTATTATTATTATTATTATTATTATTGTAAGTTGAATAAGTTGAATTGAATAAATAAAGATGAATTGAATGAATAAAGTTGAATTGAATGATTTTAAAGTTGAGTGATTTTAATAAAGTCGAGTTGAATGATTTCAATTGAGTTGAATTGAAAAAAGCTTTAAATCAGATTTATCTAAGGTTGTATATTACACACTCTCAGCAAGCTCGGATATATAGTCTGATCCTAATCATGTGATGGATCATAGGGATCTAGGGGATCTAAAGAATCGTATCCTAGATCCACTAGATCTTTATGATCCAATTGATACGAAGGTCTATATAGTGTCACGATTCACGGTTTAGATTATAATAGTATTATTGATATTAATGATTCATATACCAACTATAAAGGGGATGTGATTTAATTGTTGTTTTCAGAGAGTTTAATCACCTACAAATAGAACCCTAGGATTCCTAGAATAAGTATTCTAAATAACTATATTAAAATAGAATAAATATCTTAACTAATTGACTATAATAAAACAATTATTCTAAAAGATATTGTATCTTAAGATCATAGTTCTTAAAGGAAAGTTTCTAGGACAAATATTCCAGGAAAGAAAAGGCCTTAGGATCAATCATATGATAAGAAGCTCTAGGAGTTTGGAAAGCTTCTAAAGCTCCAGGAGCTTTTTGAAGCTCTTAGATTCCTTTCCATTCATTAATATATAATCAGAATAGTTTCATAGTTTAGAAGTTTCATGCTCAACTTAATTATCAATTAGTTTACCTACATTCCAATTAATCTAATAACAAATTCACTTTCAAATAGATAATCAATGATTAATAGCCTTAACCTGCAACTACCAATCATACGAAACCTCAGGCAGCCGCTGCCTCGACCAGATCGTTACATATAGCTAGGAAAGGATTCCTTTTGTAGAGCTTCGTGCTCAAGATCGATCATTTAGTATACTCTATTATTAGTTACGAATTGCAACTATTGATATTATTTAAAGCCCCTGCTTGATGTTTAGTTATAAACCATTCGAGGATCCAGGCCACTTCCACGTGATCTAGATCGCATCCCTTGTAACATTATAAGACTTATATCAAACTTTTTGTTCGATTATTTACCGGGGTATTTACCGAGGTATTTTAGACCAATCAGATTGTCAGGATCGCGATTTATTTAAACAAGTTTTTCATTCTCTATTGTTCATTAAGTAGATCTTGTATATAACAAGATTATAATATCGAAAAGTTGACAATTATAAAATATTATATTTTTTAATCTTGATTTTTTGATTTTAAATAATATATATTTTATAATTGAATAAGATTATAATAATATAATATATATAAAAATAAAAATAAAAATATTTTTATTTATTAAATCTATTTTTAAATTTTATAATTATTGATAGATTTTTAATTATTAATTAAAAAATTTGATAAAAGTTAAAATATTATATTTTACACCAAAACGGGAATCAAAATGTTTCAGATTTTTCGGAGATCCTATAGTGATATTCCACATGCCTCTTATTGGCTGGTTTATAGATTTTAGATTAGATAAACGGAGAAGGGTCTAAGGATGAGATAAGTTTCAGGCCTTTTTGCCTAGTCGTTCAGAACCTCGTGACTCTTGCAAGAATTGTTCGTCCCGACGTTTTGGGTGTCGGTGCGCCTCTGTAGCGAATTCTTTCATGGCGTCAAGACCGTATCACTCATCATTAAATCAATCATCAATACTTGTTTTCCAGTCTGGCGGCTGCTACGTTCAACAGCCACAAAGACACCTCGCTCACGCAGTAAGATATGAAGCAGATGTCCGTATACCTAACTGATTGTGACTCTTAGGTCGACTTTATAATAAAATGATATTCGTTAATCTGGTATATCCACCTACGTCTCGCGCGCTGCTCATCATTCCCACCTGTGCCATAGCGACCATTAAAGCATACCGAAAAATTGTATTCGCGGGTCCTCGAGCCACACTTTCCTTGTAATATTCTTTCTGACATTCACAAACTCGGAGTAAAAGAAATCGTACGACCTGCTGAAATGCATCCATCCTATTATAAACTCCTCAAACTCCTGCTTCTCCTAAAGCGTAATCCACACAGTCAAAGTGACAGTTGTCGCAGGGATGGTGTAGACACCTGGAGTTGCGGCGGTGGTTGCAAAAGGACTCCTGGTTCCTGAAGCCCGATTATCCAGGTCCGATTTTAGGCATATCATGATGTTCACTCAGTGTACTAAGATATCTATTTAATTCCTCCACGCGCTCTTTATGTGTCTTTACCCCTTCACGTTTGAGTCGGTCGTTTAACTATGATGGAAAATATCGTTAGTATCTATTTCTCTGTGGATACCATTATTCCTGACTGCCATTATTCCTGATCAGGCATGAAGTAATTTATGATGGGACAAGTCTGGGAGATGGCTGGGAAAGAGTAGAAGAAATAACACACCCTCCTTCTCCTCATCTCCTCGTGCGCTCGCTCTGATGCCGTCTTCCCAGATTGATCGCGCGGATCCAATTCCTTTAAGTGGTCTCCACTCACTCCGGTTGACCCATCTCCTCCAGAGCCCTTCATTTCTAGATCATCTTCATCCTTCAAGGCTTTCTGTAAAGATGTTTCGGATCCGGCGGTCGAGGTAGATGTCGTTGTGCTTGTGGTATTCTTCTTCTTTTTCTTCTTCTTGGTAATACCGGCGCCGGTACTGGCGCCTTTTAGTTTTAAGCCACCGCCTGTGGAGGAATAATCATCGGGCATGTTTGTGGGATCGAGGGGGTGGTCCGTTAGGAGATGATGGAGAAGGGAATTTGTCGATGGGGATTCTAGAATTCAAGGTTCGGGCGGAAATACCTAAGGCCGGATGTGGGGTCAAAGTTTGAGTGAGAGTGAACTTGGCTGCAAATTTTGAACATAATGACTGAATGAATATTTATTGCTCACTGGATCGACCATATCACAGCACAGATGACATTTATTAGAGCTAGAGTGAGTAGGCACCGGTAGAGGGAGTCCCTGATGTTGTAAGGAAACATCGTACCTTTATGCTTTCGGATGTTTGTCTGTTCAACGGATTAAGTACACCAGAGTTGCTTATTTGATTGTTTACTTCCTTCTCTGCGGAGTAGTTCTAAAGTATAGTCTTCTCCTATTATCAGCATTTGTCCTATTTGATCATTTTCCAAGCAAAATCAGAAATAATCATCTCCTAAACACTTCTTATGGGCCTTGAGCGGATGAGTTGTCAAGTACATGACAAGTATTATCACTGCATTTCTTGCTCTGCATATTCAATTTCATGTTTTTTCTTTTTGGAGCCGTCTCTACATGTTGAATGATATAACAACTGTCTTCTGGAAACCGGTCTTTGAACAGAGGGCATTCTATTTTCACCTTTCTCAACCACTGTACGATTGGTTTGACCAGTTTCATGCCAGCCAGAATAAACTGATGCAATCCAGCAAGCACAGGATCATAGCAACAACTATTTATTACATGTGTATTTTACTGGAATATAGATGAATCTCATGATAGCATGTATTGGGGTTATAATCAAAGCAAAACTCTTCCTGCGACCTGAAGGCTTTGCTAATACTAGCAAAATATTGTGATCACTCTAATATAAGAGACTCAAAAGACCCTACATAAACAAACCATGTCCTCCGTGTGTGGCAATTAGGGTCCATGATCTACTAGCACTACAGTCAATCTTATATATGTTCTTCACGCAAAGTTCTCTCATTCACTTGGCCCGTCTCTGGACTATGGCAGTTGTCTAATTGCATCATAAGCTTCATTTTGCGAAGTAATGTCCAGCTACCTTATCATATCTTTACCTAGCAATATCTGTAGTCCCGAGGCATCTTCCCTCCTTTTCATTACCTGTACAGTATGCTTGTGAAGCAGGGTTGACGGCATAATCAAGAAATTCTCTATTCTTTATTCACTGAATCCTTCGGTTGTACATCCACCAATGGGTGCACAGACTCGTGAGACATAAATTTATAAATATTCGCAACTCAAAATATTTAAAGATATAAACAATTAATTCAATTCAATAATACCATCTAATATATATTTTATAAAATATAAAATTATCTTTTCTAATAGAATTTTATATAACGAATTTAGAATATTAAAAAAAGTACAATTTTATTCAGAATTTGATAAATATAAACGAAATAAAAATATATCTAATATTATAAAATATTTAAAACTTTCAAAAACAATAAATTATAAATAGCTTAAAGAAAGATCTCAATTATATCAAAAAGTATATAAATATATTCAACAATACTCAAAGAATATTAAAGAAAAGATAATATTTGATTTAAAAATATATAAAATACTAATCTCTCTCTTTCAAAATCATTTATAAGATCAATCTTACAAAATAATAATAAACTACTTCAAATTAGATATTAAAAAGTATATATTATAAAAAAACTTAAAGAGATATATTAAATAAAATTAATATTATAAATTTGTTTATTCAAAAAATAATATAAATCTTATAAATCAACAAAATTATATTATTTTTGAAAAGAATTATAAAGTTAACTTCATTGAAGGATTTTGAAGATATATAAACGAAATATATATAAATCTTATTTTATCAAAAGTAAAAAAGATTCTAAAAAGAACTAAGACTTATTATAAATCTGAAAACATTATAGAATATTTATTATTAAAGAACAATAAAATTTATTATAAAATATAAATTATATATAACAAAAAAAATAAAAATCTTGAATTTTATTATAATGAAAAAAAAATATATTGAAGAATTTATCTACTCTTTACATCTTAGAAAGCATTTTAAATATAAAACAAAAGAAAAATAACTTCAACAACTTTTAAAATAACAAATCTTAAAATCATAAATAATAAAAGTTAAATTTAAAAAAAATACTATAACTCAAAAATATTATATAAAAAAACTTCTTTCAATCTATATCAAGATTATTAAAGATTTAAAAGTTGAAGATTTTATATATGAATAACTTTTAATAAAAGATAATAATTTTTATAGTTTTTGAAAATATAAATTAATTCAATAACTTAAAGATACTTACAATACCAAAAATCTTTCTTACTCTTTTCAATTGTCTAATCTAAATCCAATTGAGATAATTTGGAATATATTAAAATAATATATACAAAAACATAAATAAAATATATTGAATGAATTAAAAATTATTATATAAAAAGAATGAAGTAAAATTACATGGATAGAAATTCAAAAAAGATATCAAGAATTGTTTAATAAATATAAAATTATTATTAAAACAAATAAAATATATATACAATCTGAATTATAATAGTTATTAGGTTTTTTGTAAAATTATAAATTCATTTTTTGTATTTTGAAGTTATACAACCTGTCTCACGAGCCCGTGCACCCCCTGGTGATCTTATGTACCGGTCTGCTGTTCGGTTTAATGAACCCAGAACAGCGAAATTTACTACAGTTTGTGCAAGAAGTGGATTGACTATTGTGATCTTCAAACAAACTAAACAAAATCCCGAACAACCAGCAACAGCTTTCTAAACATAATCAACCTGAATTGTAACAATTACAAAACCCAGCATTGGTCAACCCAATCTCTTAAGTGTGCTGCCATTTTTTCAAAGTCTCGTGGATACGAGGTAGCTGACACACTAGGTGCGCTTGCATCGGCGTCCAGATTGAACCGCCATTGTATCGTCAGCCGGGAGAGTTGGTTACTTCCACTAATTATAGGAAAGGGTATTGAGTGTTTCTCGGCCGCTTGGCATGGAAAATAGTTTTGGGGCTCCTACAAGCTCTCTGTCTCAAAGATCCATTCTACCACTTCCCGACAATCACAGATCAACATTCTCACTATACAGTCTCCAGTCACTAGCTTCTGGCATCCCCACCAATATAAACGAACAACAAACCCTTGTTTCCATTCCTGTTTCTCTTGTTGACAGAGGCAAGGCATCAAGCTCTACCAAAAACGCCGCGGCTTCTATGGCTGCTATGGTAGAACCCTTGACAGCACATGACGGAGGGGATTCACATTTCACCAATGACGATGCTACGCAACAGCCAGCGTCTAAATGCAACAACCCCTTCAATCTCAACTTCAAAGAAACAGGTAGTGGCTTTGCCAAAAGCACCCCGTCAACGCCTAGCGAGCATAGCTCTGGTTCTGACGCGCTGCCTTCTGCTGTAGGGTTGGCAGTCCCAGTGAGGAGGATGTGTCTAGTACTTATTTGTGCCGCACCAGGGAGGCAAAGCCTGCATTAGCTTCTATGCCTGTAAGTGTACCTACGTCTGCATCTGCGCCCGATATTTTTGACGGTAGTGTGGTTGAAAGAGAGGTAGGAACAAGAGAGAGGGGAAGCGTGAAGGGAATAGCTCAACAGAAATCAGAGAAAATACCTTTGTTTTTACAGCGGCTGTTTAATCGAAACAAGTCAAAGAAGGATAAGTAGGAGTGGGTTGTAATAGCCAATTGATTAGATGTTGTTGTGGTCAGGTGCTATCAATTAGAGTTGACAATTCCTACCTGCATGTATTTAATCATTAGCTATTGAGTTGTGATAGGCACCATATACTGCATGCGCTGGTATGTACTTGCGCTGACTGGGAAGCAAGCTACGCAATCTCCAGTCAATATGTGTGTGTATTTACCCCTTAGGCATACACTACACGATAGAAGTGCGAATGGTAGCAATGACAAGGCCCTTCCGAAATATTTTGAGATTAGATCTTGGATTTCAAAGCGTTTGATAAGCTGTAATAGATTATGTAGGTTTGAGGTAGTTTCATTTGATTCGTACACTAGGCCTGTTTAATAGATCGAATGCATTTGCAGCTGTTGATCCGAAGCCGCTCACTATTTTCGGAGCTAGCAAGTCGTGATACGATGACGGGAAGTAACCAAACATATTGGCCTTGGTGGGTTAGAGTCGTCAGGGGATTACCGGCCCTTTCACCGAACCCTTCAAGCAATGGCAGCGAAAGAATATTCTTCGGCCCTAATCAATATCTTAACGGGTATAAGGTATCCGGATAGTATAGCTAGCAGCCCTTAGTGACATGAACTATACGCGACCGCAAGGCTCATCGAGCAAAACCAAAGCCGATAAACATGTTGCAATGGTAAATTCAGGCGGGCTTACAGTAGCTATACACAAAAGCTATTACTAATGACAATATCTTTAGAGTCATTGATAAGGATATAGACGTGATTATTCTTCTTCCTTGTACTATTCCTTCGGCCAGCTTCAATCTGAAATTTTCGGAAATGATCAAATAGTTTTGTTGAGATATTGATCACATGAATCATTAGCGTTGACTTTAGAGAGATTATATCTTTATATAATTCTTCATTTATATAATTTTACTTCTTTAAGTAAATCAATATAAATATTATATAATATATATTAAAGTTTTATTTTTTTATATTTTGTTTTAACCGATCCTGATTAGTTTATTAAGGGCCTGCGCCCCCCGGACTCTTGACTTTTCGAGAAAGTCTAATGAAAATTTAAGTTTTAAAAAGTTTATAATAAATTTAAATATTAAATATATATCAGAATACAGATAGAATATTAACTTGTTTTTGATAATTAAAAATTATATTTTTTTATTTAAAAATAACAATTATAATATTATTAAATATTATTATATTATTATTTATAATATTATTTAATATTATTATTGTCGGCTTGACGACATTATAATCTTGCTGTACGCGAGGTTTACCCGGTGTAGGTTATGGAAAATGAGAAACTCGTTTAAGTAAGTCGCGATCTTGATAATCTGATTGGTCTAAAATACCCCGGTAAATAAATCTAACTTAGAACTTTTTTCAACTTTATTAAAATCATCAACTCAATTTACAATTCAATTTACAATTCAATTGACAATTCAATTGAAATCATTTAACTTTATTTATTCAATTCTTCTTATTCAATTTATAATAATAATAATATTAAATTATATTATAATTATTATTTTTAAATAAAATATTTTAATTTTCAATTATCAAAAACAAGTCAATATTTTATTTGTACCCTGATATATATTTAATATTTAAATTTATTATAAACTTTTTAAATTTTAAATTTTCATTAGACTTTCTTAAAAAGTTAAAGGTCCGGGGGGCGCAGGCCCCTGGTATTTCAATTAATAAAATTATAATAATTTAATTTTATATATTTATTATTCAATTATTAATAACTAAAAATTGTTATTTTTAATATAAAAAGATAATTCAAAAAAGAAATAATTTAAAAGTAAAGTATTAGACTTGCAAATATTATACCCCGGCCCCTCCCGCTGAATGTAACCATAGCCTTAATTATGAACGGCATTCCAGGCAGAGAGAGTATCCGCCCAGATCTCCCAATGTCCAATCTTCCCTTCCTCATCGAATTCGCTCAATCGGTATATGAACTGTTCATCCTATTCTTTGCCTGTCTTCAAGCTCCTGAAAGTTGCACTTCCAACAACACTGACAACACCTTTCTGCCATTAATCTCGCAAGTCTCATCAACGATAAAAGACTTGGGTGAAGGGGATGTGGTCGGCGAGGACTCGAACTTAAGGGATTTGGATAAGAAAGTGAAGTAATCGTCGCGTGTCTGATTACTGGAGGACTCGGACTTACGACCCGAAAATGTTTTACCTAAGAATGGGAGTTCTGAACTTTCAGGACCATGCTCTGTGATTCGCGGTTCTGATGCGAAATGTCCAGACGAGATGATACCAGGCGAAAATCCATCAACAAAAGCCTGACAGAATGCAACTGCTCCTGCTCGCATCTCCTTTTTACTTGGGGACATGGCTGGTTCTATGTGTTGCACTTTGTCGGCGATAGAATTTCCATCTGATTATCTCCCATTGGAATTTGTAAAATGAATGGATGAAGATTTGTAGTGAAACTAGCCCTGGTGTGATAGCTTGATACAACCATACGATTAGTTTGAAAGCAGTCACCACGTTAAAGAAAAAAGAGAGTGTGAAGTAAGGAAGTAATGAAGCAATCTTTCTTGGGTTCATCCGAGGTATCCTGTTGGTAGTTCATTACTGATGGCATGGCCAAGGATGGAAGGAAGGAAGTTCCCCGCATTGGGTCGGAGACAAGTATACAAATACAAAATGCCGAGGTAACATTCGCCACAGTGAGATGATGGGAAGCTGGCGTTAGACGATCGCTGCATAGGTAAAGTCACGCATTTGCTCCCAACGTTGATCTACATTGTTAAACACACAAGTCATTTTTCCATGAGCATGGAATCAGTGTTAGAAACAAGTATCATGTATATCTTCAGGAAACCACCACATAGCATCATGGTGACAATGTTGTTGCATGCTAAAAGTAAAGTGTAGCAGTTAAGGGTTGTAGTAGAATGGCCTCCACAGCAGTTACCCTTGGAGGTCAGCAAAGTGGAAATTAAAGCATCAAAATGTAAAGCACTCACTAGAGCATAAAGCATCAGGATGTAAAGCACTAAAAGCTTGGAAGCATTTCCTGTCTTCCTATTTACCTTCTAGAAAACAGCCGGGATTCAAGCATCGAGTGTATTTGTAAAGAGGTAAAGAAAGAGTACTATTTGTGAAACTTTCAAGGGTTCTCACAATTTATCTCAATAGAAAATAATCTTATCCATCTTTGGATTCTATTTTCTCATCTCAGGGCAATTCGCCAACCTTTTAACCACAGTTAGGTAATTACAGCACATCATCCAAGGTTTTCTTATTTTTACGCCCGGTTTCAATATAAATAAGGTAGTGACAGTATAGTTAGTACATACTATACGGAAAGACTTATTAATACAGGGCAGTAATGCATTTGATTGGGTTTCATTAACGAACGCGTTTATGCCCAACCAGCCATTCGGTAATAGATAGATATACATACATACGGAATGGTATAATATCAAATGTAGAATGCGGTCTGGCATTATTGTGTAAGATAACACAGCGTCTACTAGTTCTGTCAATTGAATCAACTGAATTCATTCTCTACATCACTTACTATGTCTGCATTATTCGAATCACCCATTCTCATTCATTCGTCAGTCGTCCTTCAAGCATTATGCCTCCTTAAATAGACGCCCTGTCACCGCCCGGAGATCTATTCTTCTGCATCTATACTAGGTAGGTGTATATATATATACACACACACACACACACACTCACACATATATACAAATACACATTTACCCCAGGACTTTCCTTGACCCATTTCCCATCCACTCTCCGATCTCCCCATACCTTTTCATGCCTTTCTATAATTTGTGGCGCTTGTCACGCTTGATATTCGCATTGCAACTGGCTATTAGATTGGTTCTTAGCTGACATGGGAAGTATTTGCTACTAAATATTCAGTATTTACCTTGCTGTATCGTCAGATTCGTCACACCTTGTAAGTTGTTCGAGATCAAAATAAGGATATAAAATTGCCCAATGATGCCTGATGCAGTCACCAGAATTGTACCGGACAGCACAGCCAGCTTCATCCCACTGGCTCCGAGGTCAGCCCTTGCAAAATACCATCTGGCTTGTCGCATCGCATTTCGTTTGGTGATGCAGCGTTTGCGGAAAGAGAATGAGCGACGACGATCCCTAAAACACCGAGTAACTTTGTTTTCAGAGCACATCCTTACCAACTCCTTGACAATGCACTTCTCTCGGGCAAAATCCCGAATTTTACTTCGAATCTGGGAGACGGGAGATTTACAAACATTCGACATTTCAAGATTGTTGGGAGCACAAGAATCCCCAATTCAGTTCAAATCACTGTCCATCATGAGTCAAAGCTTCCTGACATTTCCCTCGATTGCCCTATCGGGGCTTGAGGGGTCCAACGCCAGAGCCAGAGCCAGAGTTTAATGTCTAATGTGTCAAATATATACGAATATATACGGTATAGCTTCGAGTGAGCTTCATCCATGTTAGTCAATGAATTGTCTATATAATAATCCAGTCCGTCCTCTTTTTATTTTTCTCAGGCAGACAGACAGCATAAAAGCTTTGTTGTTTCGAAAAATTATAAAAACCCTTGGATCACCTGGCATACTCACCGCCCCTGTTCCTGGATCTGGATATCCTTGCTGGACCCATTATTTTAATCGTGGACATTCGATCTATAACATCTATATTGGAGCCATTTTGCATTAAATTGTCATCCGACGCAGAAGAACCTGACTCTAATCTCATCTCTTTTCTTTTCCCTCTCGTATTGTACAAGTATCAAGTTTCTCTTGACTTCAGACTTGGATTTGAGCTTGAGATCTCAAAATGATGGCATCCAGAAGAGGTATTCAGATCCAACCGGAATTTGGTTATGGACGTCCAACTCCCACGACTCTTCCGGATTCGTCGAGAAGGTATGCAAAAAAAAATCTGCAAAATTAGACGACAGAGAGCTAACTAGCAAGGAGCACATATACGATCGCTAACCGCCCAAGTTTTGATAGTGCATTTTATCCCAATACTAGGTAAGGACGCGTGCATCCCCAGAATCAGAACTCAAGAAGCTGAAGCCACTCTCAAAGCGCATCATACGCACCGGATTTAAGTGCGTCGCCTTACAATCCTATCACTGCGCCAATGACATCAAGCCCTTTAGCCCGTCTGGATTCAGTCTATGGATCTAATGCTTACAGCGTTGGTTCATCGTCAAATGTACACAGAGCTGCAGGACCAAGTTATGGCCCATACACAAGCCCAGGCCCAAGTTGGGTGCCTCACGGCAGGATCTCGCCCGAGACCTATATGGACGATTATGCTGCTTCTCCCAGCCCAACGGATTATACGCTTGATCCCGCTCCTCGGACATCCGGAAAAGCCAGAAGTGATGGGAAAGGCCATTCACAAAGGCGACCATCCAACAGAGATGAATTTGATGGACCACATCAATTTTTACAACGGCCACCCCCGGAATACATTGCCCAGCAGGAGAGGGACCTGCCACATCTCCCCACAAACCTTGTGGTACAGGAACAGGATAGTGTCCTAACTAGAGTCAATGACAGATTGTCACAGTGTGCTTTTGACTTTGTTGCCAAGTACCAGTTTCCTATTCCTCTAAACGACAGCTGTCGGCCCGTGGAGCGCCCGCAAGACCGAGAATGGACAGAGTGGGTGTACCTTCTGAAACGTCTTGCTACCAAGAGACGCATACCCGCCCGGGTGTTGTATAATGGCCAGATAAAACAATTTGTCACAATCTTGGAGAACAGCCTGGAGATGAGACATGCCGCAAAGCATCAATCACGCCCTTTAAAGGATGACAGGAATATTCTCCAACTGATCTCTGCCGGAATACAGGTTGCCAAAATTTTGAAGGACGCAGAGGCTATGTCTTACCTCGACCGTTTGTACGTTACGACAGAGCAGCAAATCCAAGAAAGAAGTGCGAGCCGCTTTCGTCCTTGATTTCAAGCCTGCGCTTTGCTTCGGCTCATATGACTTGACGACTTTTATGTTGTACGTTGCCCACATTCAGGCGTTCGCAATCGTTAGGCAGATATGCTACGTGGATGAATCAGTTGCTGCTCTTTAAAAGCATGTATGTTTTGATTTTTGGGTGCTTTTCTATTTATGTATGTTATTATCGTCATGCTTGGAGTCCAAGTGGCTTTGCTTCTTCACTGGATCCCGGACATCAAGACAATTCGTTCAGACGGCACTGAATTTTATGACGGAACATGTTATACGCGCCCGAAAAATGGAACTCAAAACCAGCCACATTTGGAACGGTTTCGGATATCAGGAATTTACAGACAGGACAGTGATAGTTATTGAATCTCGGCAGTGGCCGCCGGATAGCAGCGCAAAACATCGCAGAATAATGCTTGCCTAACCATCTCTTTTATCTCCGCACCAGCTTTGGCTTTTTTGAGAGGCATTTGAATGATGGGCAGATCAGTATTCATGCTTGGGAAGGATAGTCGAATGCAAGGCTGGCTAAGCACTGGCGTTTTGGGTTGACAATGGAAATTGTTGGGCAAATTTTTGGATTGCTTTTTGCCTAGTTTGCTCCGATGTAATACATTGCTGTACTATATTTCCTAATTTATTGTGAGGATGTGATGAAGGGCCTCTTTTTACTTTAAGAATGAAAAAAATTGTTTATGAGTCACCTTACGAGTCAACCTCCTTGACGAATGTGCCATGGAGAAAAGATGTATAGATTTCTACACAATCCGGAAATAAAAGAGATAAGATAGTTCTACAACGGAAAAATATCCAAAAAGCATGGAACAAATAGTATGTTGTGCATGGATAAAGCAGGATTCCGGCCTACCACAGGCGTCTAAAGCATGATTATGGACCAAATCTGCCTCTGTATAAGTATTTGATCGTGTATGAGAAGGAACTAATTGACTGCTTTGATCTAATCCGCTGCCTTCTCGGCAATTCCATAGACAGGCATTGGAGGATGCTTCCAATGAGAAATAGCATGATTCTTCAATCTGCAACCTGAGGTCCGCAAATCCCACGAACATTTACTTTCTCGTCAAGTATTGCCACCATCGGATCATCTACCTTGGCCATCTTGCATGTACCATTTGGATAATAGCCTAAGGGGCAAGAATAAGAGTGTCAACCAATTGATAATGTATTGTGAGGAACACGAGTGTCGGAAAGGAAAACAAAATGGAGAATGAAAGCAACACTTGCATGTGTCTGCACTGGACCTGATAACAGAAACCCAGCCCTCTCGAGTGGTAAAGTTGTAGTGATTGTTGTATCGTGGCCACGAGCCAATCACAATATTCTTGGTCCCTGCTTCATTGCCATGCTGGCATCCTTCGCCGAACATAAGCATATCCAAGGGGTTCCCGAGATAATTGTGATTTATAGTAGGGTTTTCCGTAGGGCCTTTTGGCTTGATACTAACATCACCTCGTGATTGTGGTGCGGGAAATCCGTGGTTATGGCGAACGCACATTTGCCATCCATGGGGAAATCCATGAATATGTAGGATTATTTTGAGCTGTAGCATTCCGTGTTCCAAAATTCCAGGTGGGTTTACGCAGGCCTGAGGCCGAGTGAATCAAGTCCTTCGGAGCGAGAGACATTCTGCCGAGCTTTGAATCTGCTAGTCTGTCGTCTTAACGAGCAAACGCAAAAGGCCAAAACGAAAACTTAGAAAAGACCTCTGTTTCCTCGGTTCTGTGCTACGTCAATGATTTTTCCTTTTCGCCTGTGCCAAATTAAATGGTCATCGGTGATGACAAGCTTTAAGACTTTGTAAAATGAAAGCACTATCTAGCTTTTATTGAATATAATTAAATATATATAGAATTGAAATGTATATTAAAGTTAATTATAAACAAAACATAATTCGATTTTAAAAATAAAATAAACTAATAAGTTTATTAAATAATTCATTATAAATATTATTATTATTATTAATATTATTATTATTATTAATATTATTATTATTATTAATATTATTATTATTATAAATATTATTATTATTAATAATATTATTATTATTATAAATATTATTATTATTATAAATATTATTATTATTATAAATAATACCAGGGGCCTGCGCCCCCCGGACCCCTGACTTTTTAAGAAAGTCTAATAAAAATTTAAGTTTTAAAATGTTTATAATAAATTTAAATATTTGTCATGGAAATTACGTGCTATCACGTGATCTTTAACATCATAGTACTCACTCGTTTATGTTTTTCTTTTGTTTGATCTATATTATATAATCATATCGATCTTATTATTCTTTTCAAAACTCTATCTATTTAATCTATATCCTTATCTAAATAATCGTTGATTAAATAACAAATTAGATCTTATATATATAAACTCTTTAATCAATAAAATCAAAAACAAATTTATTTATTTCAGTATAATTCTATATATTTTTATATATCTTTTCAATTAAGATTGTTTTATATACTTTATAATTATATTATTTATGATAATTATAAATCTGATAGTTTTTATTTCTATCCAAATTTTTATTATTTGATTATAAAACTATATAAAACAATCTTATTTTATTTCATTTTATTCAATTTAATATTCATATCTACATAAATCAATTTTCAAGATAACAAAAAATCATTTCGATATTCCTTGATTTATGATTCGTAAATAATAAATCGATTAATATCTTCAATTCAAATATTAAACATTAAATATTTGAGATTCAATCAACTCTAATTTAAAAGTGCAACTCCCTCCAATCTTTAAAGATATCATTTTAAACTTTATAATCTTTATTTTATCAAAACAAACTTATATCGATTAATTTATTATCGATTCTTTTATTCTTTTATTAACTAAAAATCTTCTATATAAATATAATAAAACAAAAGAATTTATATATCTTCAAATATTAAAAGAATATAAACAATTTATCTTCTAAAAAAATAGGAATAAGAATATTATTATAAAAAGCTTTGATAATAATACTTTAAGATTTATTCTTTTTGATTTATTTATTTTATTAATTTCAATAATATATAAAGAAATTATCTTTGAAATCAATCTATTACAAAAGAATTACAATTATTTTTATCAAAAATATCTTTTAAAAATTTCTGTCTTGAATCTGAACTCTATAACTTTATCACTTAAAATTATTATTCAAATACTCAAACTTAAATTAATTTCTAATATCATTATTACAAAATTTGTAATACTTTATAAATATCAATTAATTCTAATACAAATATCATTTGGAAAAACCGATCCAATGAAATAATATCGAGATTAGATTAGATTTTATATTAAAGCTTTCTTTTACAAAATCATTGAAGTACAAAATAATATAATTATCAATTCTTTTTTACAAATTGTTAATACTAAAATATATCCATTTTGAACAAATATTATGATTATATAAATTAAAATAAACAACCAGTTCGATATTCTCAATCTTACATTCAAACAATTTGATGATATCTTTGAAGAATTAATTTATCAGGATTTCATTTTTCCAAAATCTAAAAAAGGAATTTATTCTATTTTGATTTTTAAAAACAATAAAAAGTCTAAAAGAAATAATAGAAGGAATTAAAATTTCAATAGCAATTAAGGAAAAAATCGATTATAGAATTGTCTTTGTAAAATTGAAATTGATTAGAATCAAAGAATAAAATATAATTACTTTGTAATTATTTATCAAGTTATTCAAATAATATTTATAAATAAAACTTATCTAAAGTTTAAAACGATTATTAATCAACATTATTATCCTCGACATTTGAAATAATCAAGCAAATATTTATACTATTGTTATTAGAATATATTATTTATTCAATAATATTTTATTTGATAATTATAATATTATATATATTATCAATGATATTTCTCTTTTGGATAATAATCATTATATATTTTCTAATTTCAATAATTTTATTGAAACAAGAATTATAAGTTTGCAAATTCTAAAAAAAGGAAAACAAATAATCAGAAGAATCATTTTGTGTAAAAATTTTTCAAATAATAATCTTATTTTGAATGATATAATATTAATCCCTGGTTTTCATATCAATATTGTTTCAAAAACTTATTTAGAAAAGACAAGTTTATAATTCTTAGATTATAATTGTATTTTTTATAAAGGAAATCTTATTCAAAGTATTATTGTAATATATTATATTTGTATAGGAAATTTTATATTATTAAAATATAAATCTTTTTTATTTTATTCGAATATTTTTTTATTTATTTTTATAAACAATTCTTCTTTGATATATTCAATAAAGAATTGTAAAATAAATAAATTGTTTTATCAATTTTAAAATCTATTTTTATCAAAGGAGTATATAAATGAAGTATAATATAAATATTTAGATTATTTAGATGAAAAAGTATTCGAATATTTAGTATTTGTTATACAAAATATTAAAATAAAAAGTATTATTTATTATCAACTTGTTGACATTATACCTTGTTGTATACGAGGTTTACCTGGTGGATAATGGAAAATGAGAAACTCGTTTAAATGAGTCGCGATCCTGACAATCTGATTGGTCAAAAATACCCCGGTAAATACCCCGGTAATAATCTAACAAAAAACTTGATATAAACCTTACAACCTTAAGCAAATCTGATTTAACGCTTTTTTCAATTCAACTCAATTGAAATCATTTACCTCTATTGAAATCATTCAACTTTATTAAAATCATTTAATTCATTCAATTCATCTTATTCAATTCAAAACAATAATAATAATAATAATAATAATAATAATAATAATAATAATAATAATAATAATAATAATAATAATAATAATAATAATAATAATAATAATAATAATAATAAATAATATTATAATTATTATTTTTAAATAAAATATTTTAACTTTCAATTATCAAAAACAAGTCGATATTCTGCCTGCACCCTGATATATATTCAATATTCAATATTTAAATTTATTACAAACTTTTTAAATCTTAAATTTTTATTAAACTTTCTCGAAAAGCCAGGATCCGGGGGGCGCAGGCCCCTGGTAATTTCAAATCTAGAAAAACTTGATATGAAATCGATTCCGGATTAGAATTTATTAAACCGATCCCTTTTCAATAGGTATTTATATATAAATATAATAATCAAGATATTATTATATAATATTGTTCTCCATTAATTATATATAACAATCTTCAAATCAAAAATATTATCAAAAATATTTATATTATAATATTAACTAATTGATTATTCTGAATCGTTATAATATTTATAATCAGATATGATTTCGAAACCAAATAATATAATATTATCAATATCTTTATTAATATTTTATACAATCTTTTAAATAAATTTGTAATTTGTACTCTTTTCGATAAATATAAAATCCCTAACAAATATGTTATTCTTGATCGAGTATTATATAATCTTTGTGATTCTCTAATTATATAATCCAAAGATTTTACGAAAACATTTGAAAAGATAGAATTATAATAATATAAAAAGGAATTATATCTTTATATAAATCTAAAATATATTGTTACAATTATATTTTTTGTAAATAATATATAAATCATTTATTATGAAAAGTTTGAAAAAGTTATTACAAATATTATCGAAAAGATTAAATCTATTTATAAATTGCAAAATCTTGATAATATTAAATAGTTTTTAGGAATCTATATCCTTTATAATTGTTCTAAAAGAAAACTATAATTAATCTATAATATTTATATTGAAAAGATTATCAAAAAGTTTAAAACAATAAATAAAATAACAAGTACTTTATTTTTCTATTATAGAATTTAAAAAAATATATAAATCAAACTCTTTTTTATATAATCAAAACTTTTCAAAAAAAGATGAAATCAATATTTTATACAACAATTATTATCAAAACCAATATAATTTTCATTATCTTTCAATTGAATTATTATTTGATAGATCCTACAAATAAATATATAAAAACTATTGATTATTATCTTTAGATATTAGATTTCTAATTATTGAATATATATCTTTTCAGATATATTATTTATAGATGATCTTGATATTTATAAATCATTTTAAGGATATGTTATATCTTTTTTCGATGATTTGATTATATAAAAAGCAATTAAACAAAATATTATAATTATATCGATTATAGAAATCGAATTATTTAATATTGAATATATATCAAAAGAAACTATAACAATTTTATAATTCTTGAAAGAATCTAATCTTATAATAAAGGAATCTATAATTATATTCTATAATAATTAATAAATTATAAGATTAATAATTGATGAAAACAAATAAATCAATATGAAATTATATTATATTGATATTCAAAATATATAAATATAATAAGAATACTCAAAAAGAAATTTTTATATAATTTATTTTTCTATATTCAAAATGATTACCAATAATCTTATTAAGAATTTTATATAATAAAAATTCAAATACTTTTATTTATTTTAAACTTAAAAAATAAATAACAAAATTACTAAAATCAAATAGATAATTTTAAATTATAAATTATTTATAAAAGAATTCAAAATGATAAAAAAAATTAATACTAATTCTTATGGTTTTTTTTTTTAAATCTTTCTTTTCAATTCAAGTGTTTTATACTTTATCTTATTCTTATCAAATAAAACCCTTAATAACAAATCCAATCCTTTCTTATTACTTAAATCGAATATAATAATCGTTTTTGATACCTTTTTACAATTAGATTTGAAAACCTTTCTTTTTTAAATGAAAAGATTATAAAAAATCAATCTTTTTTTAAATGAAAAGATTATAAAAAAATCAATCTTTTTTTTTTAGCTAAAAATAATTCAAAAAATATAAAATCACTCTTCAATATAAAAAGATAATCTAAATAAATAATATAAATAATTTCAATATGAAATGTAATCCTTATTGTAATTCAAGAATCC